TATTTTATAATTAGCTTAGTATTATTTTGGATTTTATTTTCTTATAAATATATATATATTTGGAATTTATAATTAATATTTTAAAATAATATTCTTTAATTAGTTCTTATATAATTTAAAAGTCAGATTACTAAATTTAATACTTTTATAATACTTAAATCTACCTAAGTTTATAAAGTCTTATAATTATTAGGGCCTTTATAATTCTTTACCTTTTAAGTTTAATATCTAAATAGTATTATATACTTTGCCTTTAATATAAAGAAAGCTCCTAAAAGTCTAGGATTATAAAGGGATTTTTATATTAAGAATATATTATATTATAATAATAAAATTATAGGTATTTATATATAGATATATAATATATTAGACTAGCTATACTAAAAACTATACTATATTTATATATAAAGTTACTAATTACTTTATATTAATACCGGACCTATATAGTTATATGATTTTATATAATTAACTAGCTATAGAAAAGCCCTAAAGCCCGAAACTTATAAAGAGTCTTAAGGGCTTTAGGGCTTCCGGACTATTACTAGTATCCGGTACTTTTTAAGAAAAGAATATAATATATTTTATAATAAGTAACTTATTATAGACTACTTAATCTTTAAATTAAATAGGAAATCTAAAGGCCGGACTTGTAATTTAAGTCTTATTAAGGTTATTAAAATCTTTATTAGCTAGTACTATAGATTTAATAAAAATATTACAGGAATCCTATAGGTTCTATTCTAATTTATCTAGAAAGTATATATAGTATATTTCCTTATTTATTCTAATATTTATATATAATTCCTAAAAGCTAAACTATTACCTAAGAGGAAAATAAGAAGGCTAAACTAATATTTTTAAAAACTAAGGCCTTAATAAATTTATTTAGAAAAGCTTACTAATTCTTCTAAAAATAATTTAAAAAAAGTTTAAGTTTATTATATATTATAATTTATATAATTAGGAATAAGAACTATTCTAATAGGCTAGAAAGAGTTTCTTATATAGCTTATTTATATAACTAGAAATAGGGACTTAAGTTTATTATATGAAATTACTTATATATAGAGACTTCTATTATAAACTTCTTATTTAGATTAATTAGTTAAACCTATTTTTAATACTAAGTCTTTATTAAGGTAACTTCCCGCTTCTAGAGGCTTTAGATAAAATAACTAATAAGTTTCTTAGCTATTAGCCAAGACTTATTAGCTAGAAAATCTATAAGTAATAGATAAGATTATAAAATAGAACTTCCCTAATTATAATACTAAGATATTTTATTATAATATAAAATAATTAGATATAAAAGCTCTATTAAATATAATATATTTTAAATTATAAGTTTATAAGATAGGTATAGAAAGTCTTAGTACTTAACTAGTACTATAGTCTAGTCTAAAGGCACCTGTTATTTTTTATACCTAATTTAATAAGAATAAAAAGTACTTATATTTTAATTCAAAGAATAATTAGAACTTTTATATAGACTTAGGGTAGTAATTTGCTTTATAGAGAAAGAATAGACTAGAAATACTTATATTATATTAATCTTTAGAAAAAATTATAATAAATACTATAACTTCTAAAATATTTTCGAGAAAGCTTCCCTAAACTAAAGTAGGCTAGTTTATAATCCCGAAAGATCTATAGAAGTCTTATATACCCGAGAATATAAGTACTTAAGGTAAATACTATTTAAGTCCTAACCTATAATAAAAGGAAAATAAAATATATAAAATAAAATATATAAAGTAAAAGTAAAATAAAATACCCGGATATTTAATAAATAGAAAGCCTAACTATAGGTTATAAGAACTAGTACTAACTAGATATATATATAGTAATATTAAAGGAGAAATAAGATAAGAGAAACTAAAAAGTAAGTTAGTATATATTTTATAAAAATAAATAGGGAGATATCTAAATAGCCTAAAGGTAAGAAGTATATATTAAAGAAATCGAGATTAGAGAGAGAAGGGCTATTTCTTATAAGAATAAGTTAGTATATATTTCAAGATAAAGAATAGGAGTATTTAGTAATAGCCCAAAAGCTTTTATAAGTATTAAAGAAAAGAAGAAGGTATTAAAGTTCGGAAAAATCTAAATAGGAATTAGCTTTTTTTTTAGAAGTTTGAGAGAAGATATTCCTAAAGGGCCTAAAGGTATAAGAGATATTAGAAAAGAAGAGAAGAAAATATTAGAGAAAGAAAAAAGAAATCTAAAATTTAGCTTTCTAAAAAGCAAATAGGTTAAAGACTTATAGTATAGAAGTTCTAGATAAAAGTAATCCGGAAATAATAGTTAGATACTAGCTTTTAATATTATTAGTAGAAGTATTAAAAAAGGAAAAATTCGGAGAAAGAGAAAAAGATTATAAGGTAATTAGATACTAGCTCTTAGTATTAATAAAAGAAGTATTAAAGAAGGAGAAATAAGGAAAAAAGATAAGAAAAAGAGGTAAAAAGAAATAAAGAGGAAAAGAGAAAGATTATAAGATAATTAGATACTAGCTCTTAGTATTAATAGAGATATTAATAAAGATATTAATAAAAGTATTAATAAAGAAGGTATTAGTAAAAGACAGAAGCTCTTAGTATTAATAATAAAGTCGAAAAAATATAAAAGAAAAATAAAGGTTTTAGAGCAAAAATAGAATAAAGTTATAATTTTATAAAAAATAAAATTACTAGTATAAGGTAATTATATTATTATATAATTCTATATTTATTTTTACTATTTATTAAAAATATATATTTCTTAAAAGAAAATATTACTTAGAATTCTTAAGCTTCTCTAATTTAATAATTATATATTTAAAAAATAAGAAATAAATATAATTATATATACTAGAATAAGGGAATTCTTCTTATCTAAAAATTATAATTATAATATTACTAAATATAGAAATATAGAAGTTTATATAATAAGCTATATATAAAGATTTAAAAAGATTTAAATTACCTTAAATTATTTATAATTAGTAAAATAAATTAGCTAATTATATAAGTTAAGTATAGTTTAATTATTATTAGTATACCTTAGCTTTTATAAATTAGTAAAAGAAAGAATATTTATATCTTTATTTTTATAACTATAATACCTAAAATTATAATTTTTTTAATATTTAAATATACTTAATCTAGGGCTATTAAATACTAATATTTCTATTTTCAGGTATTATTTATTATAAATTTATTTGAATTTAAATAATTATATTAAATATATATTTTTATATCCCAAAAATAAATAATAAAAATATAGCTATACTAGCTTTAATCTTAGCCTTAACCTTAATCTTAACCTTCTTCTAAAAACAACTTTAATTCCGATATATAATACTATTATTAAAGCTCTTTTTTATTAAAGATATATTAAATATAGCTTTAGGTAATAGCTCTAGTAAAAGTAAAAGTAATAGAAAAGGCTATAAAGCTATAAATAAGTAAAAAGATAATATTTATAATATACTTTCTAATAATTCAGACTTAGTTTATAATATCCTCTCCTATTAATATATTTAACTAATAAACCCCTTTATTTCTCGACCTTCTTCTTATATATAACCTTCTCCTTTTCCTCTATAATAATATTTTAATCTCCTTATACTATCTAATAATACTACTAAAGTAGTAAAGCAAATTAATAATAAGGCTAAAATTAGAAAGATAGAGCTATATTAGGATAAAAAGCTAAAGAGATTAAAGAAAGGCAAGGCAAATCTAAAGGCAAGCTTAATATATACTTATAGAACTGAATTCTTTTAAGCTTATACTATTTATAATAATAAGAAAAGACTAAGAGGCCCTTTCAAATACTATATAGTTATAGAAGGCAAATTTAATAGTACTTATATAAATTATAGATATAATAATAATAGTAAAGTCTATACTTTCTATTAACTTAATACTAATTCTACTAAGTCTGGAAAGCCTTATTTCATATTTATAAAACCCTTTATACTAAAGCCTTAACCGCCTATAAGATATAGAAAGCAAGTATAAAGATAGATATAAGGTCAGAAGGTAATAGGGAAGAAGGTTATAGTAGAGGAGGATAAGAATACTAGAAAAGAAGAAAATAAAGGAGATATAGATAATTCGAGTAATATAGGTAATACGGAGGATATAGAGAATAAGGGAAATAGAGATATACCTCGTAATCTATAGAATTTGCCTTACGGACCATATAAGCTAAGGGGGGATTAGGAGTAGTCGAGAATAAGGCATATATACTATACTTTTTTTTTTTGGTAAGATATAGTAGGGGGGGGGGGAAGTGGGGGGATATGGGCGCGAAAATCAGAAAATCAGAAAATCACTTTTCGCTTCTCGGATTTGTCCGCTAGCCCGCTAATGGCCTCAGTATGTTGGTCGAATGCGTTTCTCAAGCCAAAGAGTGGCTCTCTAGAGATTGAATGCGTCTCTCACCATGTTCATTACCAGCAAATATTTTAGGGATCTATTATTAGTACTGCGCAATACGTCCAATGTTCGCTCGAGAACAAACGCCGTTTCCGAGACGCCAACAGAAGGATTGGGAAGAATGAACGACGGTGAATATGCATACCGCCCAGACCACATGCTGGGGCAACATCTGGCCGGTCAAAGTGACCTCGTCCGTGGTCTGCATAAAGTATACAGACATCGGTCATTTTCCGTCATGAATGATCACTGCCTTTTCCATCTTCATTGCGAATTGATTTTGCTTAGTCCAAAAGTTATCACCTCGAAAACATTTGTTGAGGGGTTGCAACAAGTACGATTCTGACTCTGTTTCTATGATTTCAGAGCCGGATCTTGGAACAATTCACAACCATGTCAGAGCCATACCCTCTCAATCGCCACCACCTCCTGAGTCACACCACAGTGATCTCAACTTGGCAAATAAGCACTCGTTAAGTTCCGAGCACTCGTTGCCCCGTCGTCGGAAGATTTCTTTGATGAGCAAAATTGGCATCTGGAATTTTATTATACTCATTGTTGGAAGCTTATTTATTTGCGGTATCTTGGGATTTCTTTGGTACTTGGTATGATTATCTCTATTTTTATTTTTTTTGCCTGCTTGATTGGGCATTTTATATTCCTTGATCTTACTAGCGGAGATACATTTTATTACAAACTCCTGCCCCTTTGAGCTCTTTCAACAATTACAATCGGTAACACACCCTGCCCGTTTGATTTAGGTTCAGCTAAGGAATCTCCTCAAGACTGCAACAATTCGACCTCATGACCCGTACCGAGACGACCCTGATCCTTGCCGCCCTCCAACCAACTCGCCACACTGGCTTGGCAACCGTCACGATCTTCTTAGTCTTTCATATACTTCTTGTACTTACGATCATCTCCCTGTCCAGCACGTCTCTCTCTTCCATTGGTGAAGCTTGGCATACAGTGGCGCAGTTACAAAGTGCCAATGTTGTGTCTCTCCTTGACAATGCAAGCTTGATGCATGATGGAGAGGTGGAGAGATGGGTAGAGAAGAGTGACGGGAAAGGAAGCGCGAGTAGGGTTATGGTATTGGGTGGTGATGGAGGCAGTGGGGCAGCACATGTGAGAAAATGATGGGAGTCGACACAGTTTTAGGGGGCCTTACTTTGAAGGGAGCATTAGCAATGAATTCGGAATGTTTCATGGCATATGGCAGGTACTGGGTTTTGGAATTTATAAAGCAGAACGGGTATTACATGCGAAGAGAATGGAGTTTGAATTTTTGATTTCATTCATCATGCTCGTTTACTCCATGGAGCAATCATTGAACATAAAGCCAACAGACAAACGGCACATATCTCCCCATGAACTCCTTGCAAAATGCATGCAATCGGACCATTTGAGGCAAAATGAACGTAAAGATATCTACTCAGCAACGAACTTGGCTTTCTTCTTTTTCTTATCATTTTTCGGCCTGCTGGAAGGCTCGCCGGCTGGCTCAACCTCGTCGTCCTCATCCTTCGAGGCCGGAGTTACGATCTCCTTATTCTTCTTGGCTTTCTTCTCCTTCTTTGGCTTTTTGGCGGTCTCCGCGATCAAAGCAGTGACAGATTCCTCGACTTCCTCCTTGGAAGGTTTGACACCAGCGGAACTCTCCTCCTTTTCGGACTTGCTTAGCTCGTCAACAGCAGCTGCACCCTTACCCTCTTTCTCAGCCTTGGACTTCTTCTTCTTCTTCTTGGACTTGCTTGACTCCTCCGCAATCGGTGCAGCCTCGGGGGCCTTCATCTTGTCCTCAGCAGCTGGTGCAGCTTCGATAGCCTCAGTCTCGCCGTCGTTTTCTGTCAACTGCGGAACGGCCTTTGCCTTCTTGGAAAAACCTTTGGCAGACTGGAGCGCAGGAGCATCAAACTCATAGCCAATTGCCTTCATCTCCTTAGCCTTCATCTCTCTTCGCTCCTGTTCATGTCGGTTGCGCTTTTCCCAAACCTCCTCGGATGCACCCTGCTCCAGCTTGCGACCTTCCAGCTTGTTCCATGGGACCTTCTTGAACCGCTTATTGGCACCCTCGAATACCTTTGCCGGAACTTGCTCGTCGGGGACTAATTTAACCTTGAGAAGATGGCCGAACATGAGGTAGTTGTCCATTGTCTTAGCAACGATGTCCGCAACACCCCCATCCTGGAACTGGATGAAAGCGTAATGTTTGCTAGCGCCGGTCTTCCTATTGCGTGACAGACGAAGCTTGAGAATCTTGCCGAACTGTCCGAAGTAGGCTTTCATCTCATGCTCGTAGAATCCATGGGGAATACGACCAACGAATACGACACCCGGCTTGCCCTGACCAGGAAACTCGGCGACTTTCTTAAGCTTTAGTTGTTTCTTATTGGAGAGGTTCTTGTTTTCTGTGATTGCCGGAATTTCAAGACCTTCTTTGTAGATTTCCTCGACCTTGTCATCTTCCTCATCACCGTCACTCTCAAAACCTTTGAGGAGTGCTTCAGTCTGATCGTCGATTTCGTCCTCCGAGTCCTCATCTACTTCCTCGTCACCCTTGTCCTCGACGTTCTTCTTGGTAGCATTTTGCTTCTTCGAGGAGCTCTTGTCCATCTTGGGAACGGTAGGCGCGCTTGCTCCACTGCTGGCCTCCTTCACGGGTTTCTCAGATGCCTTCGCAACATTCTTGTCCTTCTTGTTGGCAAGCTTGTCGGAAACTTCAAACTTGTTTGCTGGTTTTGCCTCGGAACCTCCATTGGAAATTGCCTTAGTGTTCTTCGCCTTCTTGACTTGGGCGGGTATCAGACCTTCGGTGGTAGTCGAGTCGGTGGGGTTCTTGGACTTCTTTGCCTTGATAGGAGCAGCATCCTCGGTGGCTGTTGTCTATTGTCAGCCAAAGACTACGGCAAGAACAATGAGTTTCGTACCTTTGCGCTTCTTTGCTGGAGCTTCTGAAGCATCGGTGGCAACGTTCTTCACCTTCTTGGGCTTTTCGGCATCGCGCTCAGGCGTGGAAGCTGTGCTGAATCAGTATATTTTCCAGGTGAAGACTGTTGGTCTTTATTGAAGATATTCGTACCCTTACGCTTCTTTGTCTTCAGATCCTTTAAGGCGGCGTCCTTTGCCATTGCGTGAAGACGTCAATGGTGGAGTCGTGTGGTGATTTTCGGGGAAGTTTTGGATCGTCAGTTCTGGGTTGAACTTTTTTTGGGCAGGCCTTTTTCTGCCGTTTGGGCGGTGAGCCTTGCTGCCCTCCACGAAATGAGCACTAAAGCCTCATCTCTTGGCTGCGGAGTTTGCTTCATATTTCTCTGATATTTTTACTTTCAAATAACGTAGGCTTATTCACTACGGTCGTACCACAACGTATACTTCGTTGACTGATATGGGTAAGAGAGTGTCTCGATGAAGGCCAGCTTGTCAGCCACCACGGAGTTCATTTAATCCTCCGAAGCTCCGTCAGCGCTGGAAAATGGCGCAGCTGGGGGGCTTCACTCATCTTTACTCGTTGCGTTTCAATACCAGGGTCCAGTTTCCTCGGAAGTTCACAGCGAAAGTGTGCTCGCTCATTGTAAAATGCCAGACTCTCGAGCTTAAATCAATCCGTCTCTTTTGTCTGCTCTTTTGACATATTTCATTTCAAGCATCACTTTTGAAACAGCCTGTCACTCTTCCTGTAGTGTTGGCCACGCATAAGTCTCATCGCACGATCACTTCATCGATATACTCCTTCATTCTTAACACCAAGCCATGAGTCACTTCGGGAAGAAAGTATTTAACGTTGACTCTGATATTCCCGACCTTTCTGGGAAGGTAATTCTGGTCACCGGAGGTCAGCTTGATCCCCCTTCACGCAAATCAGACTCAAGTAACAGTCGGTAGGCAATTCCGGCATAGGCAGGCCAACATGTCTTTGCCTAGCCAAACATAATCCTGCCAAGATCATTATCGCGGCTAGAAATCCGAAGACGGGTGAGACAATACTCGAGGAGATCCAAGAAGCGGCTCCAAAAGTGGAAGTAAGCTTCCTACTTCTCCTTAAATTGTTTCACGAGTTGTGCCACCAGCTGTCGCACAATTAAATATGTTAGAATACCTTCCACCTCGGTGACTGGAGTGGTTCACCAGAATGCTTTCATGAGGTAATACTGACTTTGCGAAGGTGACCTTCCTCGAGTGCAATCTTGGATCCCTTGCATCCGTCCGAGACGCAGCAAAAAAAATTCTCTCCTCCACTCAACGTCTCGATATCCTGTTTTGCAACGCTGGAATTCTTGACCCTCCTCTCGGCTTGTCTGAAGATGGATACGAAATCCATTTCGGAGTCAACTATCTCGGTCATGCCTTCTTAATAAAGTTGCTGCTTCCACTCCTACTCAGGACGACCGAAGTGCAGCCCGATGTTCGAGTTATTCTTCTTGGTTCCACAGGATATCGATTTCATGATCCACGGGGTATCGTATTTAAGGACCTCCGAACGACTCAGCAGAACCTCACACGGTTCGGCATGTTTGGTGGTATGCTTCGTTACTTTCAATCCAAATTAGCCATCATCTTGTATACAGTTGAACTTGCACGCCGATACCCTATGATTAAGGTTGTTGCCGTTCATCCAGGTATTATCGATACGCCATTGACTCCGCATTGGATGAAAGCGAATGCTCTGACAAGATTCATAACCGCAGGTGGTGAAGGTGGCATTAAAAGCCCCGAAGAAGGCTCCTGGAATCAACTCTGGGCGGCGACGGGATCAGGGGTAATCAGTGGCGAATACTATGAGCCGGTTGGAATTCTGGGGACGAGGACGAAGAAGTCTAAGGACCCAGAGTTACGGAACGAATTATGGGAATGGACTGAGGAACAACTGAAAATTTGGGCTGTTTGAACTGGTGGTCTGACAAACAGCTCTCTGTTCTAGACTACAATACTCGATTTTTGCAATTAGTTCGCAACAGACGGAATTGTCAGTGTTCGTTGCTCATTTTGCTATGAATCACGTGACCGAGTTCAACTTCGAGGACTAAACTTCTGAGAGCTTGCCAAGATCCAACATCGCTGATGTATCTGACGATTATCAGAATTTAGTCATTTTTTCCTTTCAAATTCGATTCTGAGAGATGAAGAGTGTACCTAGATATTCCCTCATTTTGCACATGACATTGAAGAAGTAGGAAACTCGCTTACTTGTTTCGGTCCGGTCTTGTCCAAATACATCAAATCAACATCACCGAACTATGGCTCCATCAAACAGAAACAATTCGCACGAAGAGATCTGGGACGATTCAGCGCTCGTCGACTCTTGGAACGACGCTCTCGAGGAATACAAGGTGAGGGAGAGCGGCAAAACCCAAGACGTCAAACCGAGAAAATCTGATCTCGAGGCAGAAATACCATAGCCTCAAGGCTCGCGGCGAAGATGTAGAAGAAGTACTCAGAGCAGCCGAGAGTCGTCATAACGGAGTGTCTGTTCAACAGTCCAAGCACAGATAGAATGCTGACTGTGTTGAAGAAGCCAAGAGATCGATCACGAAGAGGAACAAGCGGACGATAGCAGGCTTGTCAATGATCCACGTGCCAAGAAGAACCTGCCCGAGGAAACGGGAGATCATGACACAAAATCTGCCAAGCATGAGGCTCCAGTATGCGTTCTCAGGCCCATTTCTAAAGATAAACTCCTTGATTAGATCCCTTGGCACTCTTCATGCAAACTTTAACTGAATCTTATCTCTTTTTAGATAGCACACACGCAACCAGAGGTGGGCCAAGCATCAGGACGAACGCCACCAGCACTGCCTCAACATTTGATCGGCCAAGGTGAGACAAACATCCGGATCAAATTTTTTGATGGGTCACGCTAATGTGGGGCTCTCAATGCAGTTCAAGATGAGGGGTTGAAGAACTTACTGATGTCTTGGTACTACGCTGGGTACTATACAGGGTTGTACGAAGGTCAGCAACAGGGACAAGTGGCGGTTGCCAAGCATGAAGCGTAGTGCGAACGGTCGGGCTTCAACCGATCATCTGTGACAGGAAGAGTTTGGACCGTCCGATAGTGTCCCTGTATCCGAGATCAGGTCCAAGCGACTGGCAGAAAGTTTTCTTGACATCTGTCAGCGGCGACATGGGATGCGTGCTGTGAATAGGAAACGCAGCGTCACAATCACAGAAGCGGCTCGTTTCACGATCATATTATGATTGGGGTCTCTGAGTTTTGTGTTTCTCCGATGTTTCGTCGTCTCCGAATCATATCTGAAGGTTAAGCAACTTATGCGCCTGGGCCGCGGGCTACCTCCTTTGGGCGGCTCGATAGCCTTGATGTTGGTTGCGGGCCTCGGCCAGATAAGCTTCTATGGGACATCTGAAGGCCAGAATGGCAAATAACAGTGGTCGTGATGGACGCGGCCAGAATCCGTGGACTCCTTCTGGAATTTCCGGGAGTCGGCGATGTTGTCTTTGGCGCCCCCTGCCTTCCGAATTGCTGCGCTCAGGAAACGGTTTTCCGCCGCCGTCGCCTCCGCCTGCCATCCGTCCTCTTGACTAGATGGCATCGATTATCTGATCTTCCGGAATTCACTCTAGCCTTTTCCATCACAATCGGATCATTTTCTGCCATCTCAACCCCAGCTGAGACGAAGCGACGTCGGGCGCCCCTGACCGGAGCCGCCTGCATTCGGTTGTGAGACGAGCCTGGGACGAACTTTAAAACACACTATGTCCGAGGCCGCCGCTAACACGCCTCGCTTCACTTGAGCCACTACCTTTCCATGGCCCGTGCCCCCTCCCCCTCCCCTGAACATCCCTTCCTTCGCCCAACTGCCACCCCTGGATCTAAGATCATCTGTGTATCGGATTAGACAACGATAAAATCGTCCCAAGCTCAATGCCGTTTGGGAAGGCTTCATCAGCTCCCTCTCCGGACGAAGGCTTCTCCGAGCCACAGCTTTCCTCTGTTTCGTGCTGGGGTCTGCCAGGGTAGCGCCAAGAGGATTCCCCGTGGGTCCCTGCCACCAATTTCATGCTTGATTTAATATCTTACCCTCCCCAAGGCTGGTATCTTCACCTCTGTTCTTCTTCATCCGTCTTGCCGTGAACACATTCATTCACTTCCTTTCTATTTTCATCCGAGCTTTTTTATCATCACGAGCAGGCCCTCGCCATCTGGCTTATACTCTCAAGCTTCACCCTCACGATCTTTACTGTTGAGCCAAGACAACTTTGATAGTTTAGCTATACCGCAGTGCGGCTTCATCTTTGCACTACCTTCGATTCGATACCCGCTCGACAGTTCTAATATATCACCATGAGATTCTCAGCCGTTGTAGCACTTTGCGCCGCGCCACTGGCGTTGGCTGGTACTCTACAAGCAGACTTGGTTGCACGAGGCGCAGTCGGGATTAAAGCTGAAGGAGTAGAGTTTCAGGGAAAGGAAAATAGCAAGAACTCTAACAGCGGGGACAATAAAAACAGCGGTGGAAATGATGTGTCAAATTCAATAACAGAGATCATCATCATTTGGGTCAACAATGGAGGTGGAGCTCCTACTTCGACCATGAAATCTCAGTCTACTTTCTCCCTTCAAGAAGGCGCTCCTGCGGCAGCCCAAACACACAGCGTAAGTTGGGTCCGAATTATTCCATAGGTGCAGTACTAACAATCTCCCAGGTCACGGTTGGTGGATCCGCAGGATTAGCATACACACCAGATACTATCAATGCAGCAATTGGCGATATGGTAATTTTCACATTCCTGGAACAAAACCACACCGCAACGCAATCTGCCTTCACCACACCCTGTGAAGCACTGGCTGGAGGAGTTGATTCTGGATTCATGCCAAACCCCAACAGCAGCATCGTCCCACCACCGCAAATGGCCATGCAAGTTACTGTTGCAACACCGATTTGTAAGTCGACACATTTCTCGCTGAAGCGACCCAAAATTCTAACACGTCACAGGGTTTTACTGCAAGCAGAAAGGTCACTGTGGAAAGGGCATGACTTTCTCCATCAACCCCACTGCCAACAAGACCCAAGCCATGTTTCAACAAATGGCCGTTGCTCAAAACGGTACCGGAACTACCCCGGTCATTGCTGGTGGCTCAGGTACAGGAGCAACGTCAAGCACTGTTGCAGGCGCTGCCGCCACTTCATCAGCCAACAGTGGTACTCTGGCTTCCGGAACCGGAACAATCGACGGCACTGGAGCTTGCCAATGCTCATGTCTCTGCGGCGTAGCGTCATTCCCCAACGCTGCCATTCAAGGTGTCGACGGTTTCGGCGGTCTTCCAGGTAAGCTACTCCCGATTGTTAGCATTTCAAAATTTAATTTTTAACAGCAAAATTTTAGGTGCCATGCCTTCGAGCGCGCTCATGACATAAGAGCAATTACAAAAAAGGAGCGGCTTTTGCAGTGTGTAACTTAGATCTGGGGTTGGAGCGTCGCCGTTGAAAGGCTTGACGCATATTTCCGTGGTATATATGACAGGATCGTATTCGAGAATGCGCTTTAATAGTCCGCTGAATGGATACATTTATTGCATTCTGTCACGGCGTTCAAGTAACTTTTTTTCATTTACCTCTTGCGGTTCATAGATGGCAGTACAATTACCATTCAATGTTTACTCTTACCAAAAGTCTTCTTGAAAATCGTACCAATGTGAAGCCTGTGTAAAAAATCGGTCAAGGAGTACTTGAATCTCATTTCCTCATCTCAAGAGGGATCGACAGATGAAACTGTATCCCAAGCAGCTGCATAGGCTGCATAGCCACAGTCTTTCATGCATAGAAGCGCATCATATCATCCGGCCCGGCGACCAAAGCCCCACAAGGCACACTGAGAGTTTGAATTTCCATAATTCGAGAAGCAATGCTGCAATGCAAGATACCACATGGTTCTTGTCTCCGCTTCGAGGACCATTTCGAGTTGATCGTCCTGCAATGACAAAAGCCTTATCCGCATCCTGTGTTTTCTCTTCCTCATGCCAGAGATCTGTCGATGCAAGAGGATGCATAAAAAATTGGCAACGCTTTTGAGTTCCAGAGTTTTAGCCAACTTCAGAATATATCGAAAACAATCCATTCCCTGCCATCTTCGCAGTTCATTGAACAAGCATGAGGCTTCTTTCCAACCCTTTTTGCTCCAAAGCTCATTTCACTATGGTCCCGAGAAACAAGCATTGACGTAACTGAAGATATAGATGTAGAATTAGACTGTGAGAGAAATTAACCCTTAAATTTCCTTTCTTCAAAATTCTGAAAGGTATATCTCTCCTCCTGTCGCAACTGAGTTACCAATTCTACCCTTATCACCGATTGTAAAAGTAACCAAGATCGAATTCTTTCAACGCTCATTTAGAAAGGCCCAAAATAAGTTCCTAAAGCATCTAAGCATTTAATTAAGCAACATTTGAGATCACATTACACAGAGCGCGGTGAAAGTAAACACTGCTTTGCTACCTCCACAAATTCGTCAGCCTTGCATTGGGATTCCCAGCCTCGCGACGCGGTCTCGCGTTTCACTTAATTCTTCCCAACTTTCTCACCACCATCCACCTCCATTTCCGTCCTTCTTCAGAACGACAATGAATGGCACTCACTCTCCCCACAACCCTCAAGCTCTCTCAATTGAAGCTATTAGCCTTCAAATGCGGCATCTCAACCTCGGGCACAAAGCCCATCCTCAGGTCGCGCCTCCAAGATGAAATCACTCTCACTCCGCGCCAGCGACCCATTCCTCTCCGAATCCTAAGCATTGACATGGGAATCCGAAATCTAGCTTACTGTATCCTCGATGTCCCAAAATCGTCTCCGTCGAAGCTCCCTTCAATAAGAGCATGGCATCGGCTAGCTGTGTCTACCACGCCTGAAGTGGGAGAAGTCAAACCGGGCGAGGGTGTCGAGATGGCACGGGTGAAAGAGGTCTTCAACCCAGCTACACTTTCTGCCGCTGCGTATACGTTATTGAAGAAGAAGCTGTTGTTGGAGGAACCAACACATATCTTGATTGAGAGACAAAGGTTCCGGTCTATGGGATCGAGGAATATTTTGGAGTGGACGGTGAGGGTTAATATGTTTGAGTCCATTCTTTATGCTGTTTTATGTACTCTTAAAGGAGAGGGAGTATGGAATGGAGAAGTTCAGGCGATTGCTCCGGGGAAGGTGGGACCGTTTTGGGTGGGTGAAGAGACGGATGGAGTAGGGAGTAAGAAGGTGAGGACGAGCAAGAGTGTGAAGATTAGGAACAAGGGGGCGAAGATTGATTTGGTGAGGGGATGGCTTGAGGGTAGTGAGATGGTCGGGTTGGGGAATGAAAGTGTGGAAGGTGTAGCGAGGAGGTATAGGGAGAAGTGGAATAGAAGTCCTGGAGGGAGGAGGAAGGGGGAGGGGGATGAAGAGAAGAAGATGGGGAAGTTGGATGATTTGGCGGATTGCTTGCTGCAAGGGATGGCGTGGATACAGTGGGAGGAGAACAAGAGGACGGCGTTGAAGCATGGTGTTGAGGCTTTGTTAAGACAATGACTACCTCAATCGCAAGGAATAACTCGAAGACCTCCAAGATCTCATCTGGACCTACCAAGGAGGGCAAGAGCAAGAGGCAAGAGGATGATGATGATTCACATTGGGATGAAGATGCATTTTGGGCATCATTTGGGACGCCGAAGAGAGCCTTGATGTTTTTTTTTTAAAAAGAGGGTCATTGGAACGAGACCTTTGAAATAATCAATGGTTCCATTGCCTAATCTAGCGAACAACTCACATCATTCACAGCCCCCCCTTACCTCGATTTCCGAATGCGGCTTAGCTAGGAACCGTAAGGTACCGGTATCCCTGTCTAACCTTATTCGTATCACGTGGAGCTCCTCCAAATATCTGAGAAAGTTCGTCCGATGTATCTGCTAGCTGAGAAGAGCTTCTATAGCACTTAGCTGGATGTTGAAAACTCTCTTAGAGCTTGCGAGGTGTTTTTGAGCCAGCAGCGTTGATGCAAATCCCCAACAACATTCTTCTTCTAACCACCGGATGCCTCTCGGTAGAAAGAGATACTTCGGTTTGCACCAGCAGTAGCAAAGGCTTCACTCTTCCCAGTCTTTGGCAACCACTTGACACACCATAGAGTCTTGTCCGTTTCGCTGTGGGTCGCCACACATGCCCTTCTGTCAATAGACCACACTTTGCACTTGCCATCAAAAGACCCACTGAGAAGATACTCGCCAGTATCACTCCAGTCTACCGAAAAGATCCATGCTGAGTGGCCTGTGAGATTTGCAACTTGCTCCCCGTGCTGGACATCGTACAGAGCAATAACCCTCGCGTCTCCTGCAGCAGCGAGACGAGTACCAGCAGGTGAGAACGCAACCGCCCGTACTGGCTTCACCAAACCTGATTTCCATTAACAAGCTGCAACAAAACAGGTTCAAAAGAATGACCTTACCTGGCAACGAATACAACATCCTGCCCGTATCATTATTAAACACATAAACCCCACCATTCTCATGCCCACTGGCCGTAAATCTCCCATCCCGGCTCATATCAATACACATCCCAAAGCTCCCTTTCGTCTCATATTCTCTAATCTTCTTCCGTCCAGCAACGAGATCCCACACATTTATCCGCCCATCATACGTAGTGCTCGCCAAGAACTGTCCATCCTCGCTCAGCGCAACGGCCCATATCTCTCCCGCCTTGTTGCCGTCCTCAATTTTGCCTTCTCCCGCCCATTCTCCAGATTCAGAAATGCTCCATATCTTCACCTCGCCGCCGAAACCTGCGCTGGCTGCTATTCGTCCGTTGCGGGAGGTTACGATGTGATGGCAGCCGAGCCTGTGTGCGCCGGAAAGGGTTTGCATGAGAGGGATATCGGGGGAGGTGGTGGAGTGTACTTTGATTGATGACGCGCCAGATACGGAGAGGATCTGAGTGCGTGTCACAGCGAGGGAGAAGATATCGGTGATGTGAGCTGAGAGATATTAGCTTGCGCGGAAGAAGGAGGGGCAGCTTGAATCACCATCGTCTATTGTGTGCGTTGTGAGGTATTGTTTGGACTGGGAAGGATTAGCTTGGATCAGAAAAATGGTCAGGGGCTAGGCACCATTATCACCGAAGATTTGAGGGCATGTCAAGTTGAGGAGTGGGTGTGAAGGCTCTGCTGCTGAATCTTGTAAAAGTTTGGTGGGGTTTGATGTCGAAGCAAATCAACATAACATGACGCGAACATTTAGATTGGATGAAAACGCCAACATGCAATATTTGATCAAGCTTTGCATGAAGTCTTTTGATTGCAATATCTTCTTACGCCTTAAGTACAATATTTGTACAATCTTTAAGTCGCATTGAAGCCTAGTCTACAACCACTTCCCATTCCCAAAACGCCAAATGCTATGCCACAACCCAGCTTCACTTCCTCCATCTCAAATATTATCCCTCATTATTCATCCGTCGGCTTGTCTGATGTGGTTTTGTTCGTCTTCCCCTTGAACATATCCTGGATCTCTGTTCTACATCAGTAATTGTGCCACAAGGTCTGCTTGAAGAGCTTACCTCGAACGCAATACGGACAGAGAAAGTGCGCCTTCTTTACATGCCCACAAGCAGAGCACTTGTTCAGAGCGGTCACGTCATTCATTCCTTTTCCTGCCATTTGTCTGTGCCTCTTCTTCATATGTGATGTCTTCTTCTTCGGCACAGCCCGGAGTATCGATTCCCATATCCCACCCAGTAGTCCCGGAACATTGAGTTGTATGGCAGAAGGGATTGCAAATGCTAGTGAGGGTAATAACGGGTGTGAGAGCTGCCGTGAATATAAGGTGGTGTATCTCGAAGCTCTGGTCACTGTGGATACGGAGAATCGAGGGAGGAAGGAGGACAGTATCGACGAGGTTGCAGTATGAATGGCGGCCATGGTGACGGACGACAATGGCAATGATGATTCTTGCCTTGCCAATTCGAAAAAGCTCGCAATTGCTCTCGCACAGGACCAGCGTTCGACTTCGGCAATTTTGAAGCTTTTCGGAAGTTGCTGCAGGGGATGGAGGTCCCTAATCTTAAATGAGCCTAGCTCGCTCCTTCTCCTTTTTGAGAACGCGACACTTTATTTTGCGGAGGAAGGTAACCCCCTTCTCGACCGTTATCCGCTGCATACCACCAACGACGAGGAATTGTTCAATCCTAAAGTGCCGAATATCCATCTTTGGTCTCGACGAACATTATCGCAGTAAATGGCAACCATGGACAGACATGCTCCCCAGCAGTCGGTGTACCCGCGCAGCCACGTCGGTTTCGACAGCATCACTTCTCAGATTGAGCGCAAGCTGTTGAAGCGTGGTTTCCAGTTCAATGTCATCTGCGTTGGTAAGTAGAGCTCTTGAAGCTTCTTATTCCTATTATTTGCTTCTGCGCACCGGCTGACTGTTACTGTTCTCAGGTCAAACTGGTCTGGGGAAATCCACCCTAATTAACACTATCTTTGCGTCGCACCTAATCGACTCGAAAGGAAGACTCACCCCCGATGAGCCTGTACGATCTACAACCGAAATCCAAACCGTCTCACACATCATCGAGGAAAATGGTGTTCGTCTGCGGTTGAACATTGTTGATACCCCAGGTTATGGCGATCAGGTCAATAACGACAGATGCTGGGATCCAATCGTCAAGTACATCAAGGACCAGCACTCTGCATACCTCCGAAAGGAGCTCACAGCCCAGCGTGAGCGATATATCCAAGATACCCGTATCCACTGCTGCCTGTTCTTCATCCAGCCATCCGGACATGCTTTGAAGCCAATCGACATTGTGGTCTTGAAGAAGCTCTCGGATGTTGTCAATGTCGTCCCAGTCATTGCCAAGTCTGATTCCTTAACACTGGAGGAGCGAGCCGCTTTCAAGGAGCGCATAAAGGAGGAATTTGCGTTCCACAGCTTGAAGATGTTCCCTTATGACAATGATGAGTTCGATGAAGAGGAGCGTGCTCTGAATGCTCAGATCAAGGTTTGTCACAAGTGCCGAGCTACCCAGAGAGTAGCTAACATGTCATCAGAACATCATTCCCTTCGCCGTTGTTGGATCTGAGAAGTCGATCATCGTTGGCGGCAAGCAAGTCCGTGGACGCCAAAACCGATGGGGAGTCATCAACGTCGAGGACGAGAACCACTGCGAATTCGTCTACCTCCGAAACTTCCTCACCCGCACCCATCTCCAAGACTTGATCGAGACAACATCTCAAATCCACTACGAGACGTTCCGTGCCAAGCAACTTTTGGCACTTAAGGAGAGCAGCGCAGCTGGAGGACATGCTGGCAGCCGACCGATCAGCCCAGCAGCTGAGCGAGAATTGAGCAGAAACTCTCAGAGAATGACCATGAACGGCTACTAGGACATACAAGCCTTTGGGGGAGTCGGTGAATAGGGTGGTTCTTTATGATTGTATCTGAGCAAAAGCGACTTAGGGATTTCCTTGAGCAGGCCAAGGACAGCGTTTAATGGCCGCTTAAGCTGGGCTTTACTTTGACTCCGAGATTTCCCTTTGCTTAATTAGCCTTCTCTAATATCGAGAATTCATTTCATTAGTAGTAAAGTCTGTCGGTGTTTCTTTGTCCAATTATGAATCGGGTAGAATGAAGCTCGAGCTTTAAAGACAGAAACCATGTGTGAGAATCTCGTGATGCTTCTGTTCAATATCTTCTATGTGCAATGACTGAATCTGACAATGAGATGCAATCTATCGACGAAGTAAAACATTCTATCCACACCAATGGAGAACTTTTGGATACCCATGCATTTAACACCCGAGCTGCCAGTTTCTCCAAATGCTCACGGCAAATCAAATGGTCTTTCCAACTTTCAATCCTCAACACTCACGTCCGCAGCTCCCTCGTCCTTGGCATCCTGCTCCTGAGTCCGCTTCTTGAACACAAACTGCTCCAACTCAGTATACGCGTTCTCAAGATCATCGTTAACGATGATCAGGTCATGTGCCCCAGGTGTCTTGGAGTACTCGAGCTCGAGCCGCGCTTGAGCGAGACGCTTCTGGATCGACTCTTCTTTCTCGGTGCCTCGGCCTCGGAGACGCTTTTCGAGGACGGCCATGGAGGGGGGTGCGATGAAGACGTAGCGTGCTTCGATGTGGGAGTTTTTGATTTGCTTGACGCCCTGACGAATCCTTATTAGGCCCCATAATATAATTCCAAATACACACTTATCTTGTGAAACTCGTAGAACGGCAGAAATCGCGAGGTGAAAGAGAAGGTAAGATGGGGAAGGGGAGAGGGATGGCGAACAAACCTCCATCTCAATATCCAACACCACAACCGTCCCCCGCGCCGTCAGCTCCCCAATCGTCCTCTTACTCGTCCCATACCGGTTACCCCCAAACTTCGCATTCTCCACAAACGCCTTCTCCTCGATCATCTGCTCAAACTCCGCCATGCTGATGTAGTAATAGTCTATATCGCGCGTCTCGCCGGGTCGCGGGTCGCGTGTGGTATGCGAGATAGAGGTTGCGAAGATGGCGGGGTGCCGCTCGAGCAGGAGCTTGTAGAGTGTTCCTTTGCCTACGCCTGAGGGCCCGGAGATCACGATCGGACGGAGGTCGGTGGGCACTGTGAGGTGAGGTGTGGTTAGTATAAAGAAAGGCGGAGAGGAGTTAGGGATTGTGGGGGGGGGGGGGGGGGGGGGGGGGGGGGGGGGGGGGGGGGTGGGGCGGTGGGGAATGAGATGGGGATTCGAGGACGTACCTGGTGCCATTGTGTATGCGTGATAGGTTTGTCTGAATCGCGAGGTCTGGGAGAGGAATTTGGAGGATCTTGTAACACGGGAGAAAAGCATGTGGATTTTTGGGAGACAAATTTATGCATGAAGGTCGAGGCTAGAAAGTGTGGAGCTTAGCTTTATCGGCCGCCTTATCGTCACACTAAGTTTGATTCATGGTTCACATTTCGGACTGGACTGGGTGGAAATTATTATGATTTATTGGAATCTCCATTGAATTAGAGACACATGTGAAATGGAACCCGTGTGCCCGTTGTGCGCCATAACTCCCTCGAAATGTGAAAATGTGCTTCGTAAAGAGCGGGTATTTTGAGGGAGCAAAAGGGGGGAACAAAACTCCATGAACGCCTCTTGAGAAATCCCCTTCTATGATTATCTAGAATCTAGTCATGTTGCTGACCTCGCTGTATCGTGATGAGGCTGGGGCTGGAACAGGAGGGGGGGGTGGATAGGAATCTCCTCCTTTGTAGGCTGGGTGGAGTGAAGTTGAGGGACGCTGGATTTCTGGGATGACTGGGGAGCTTCTGTCATTCCAGGCATTGAAACGCTCGGGGTCTTGGACGACTGGTCTCGAGATACTGATGGGCCACTTCATGCCGAACTTGGACTTTCGTCGATCTTCGGAGTAGCTGCGCAAGATTTAGCACTGTAAAATGCCAAAAGATTGACGGAGCTGAGAGCTTACCTGGGGAGAACAGGAGTAGCAGGACGGCGAATAGAACCACTGGAGACGCTGAAGGCAGATTTTCCGGAGGGATCCTTGGGAATCGCGGCACCCTCCGCGCGGACCTGGCGACCAGTGATGCCAAGCTTAGAGTCGCAGAATACGTACGTCTAGGAGCCTGTCAGTGATCGCTTCTTGCGGCGGCAGCAGAAGAGGCATGGAAACAAGTAGATACTTACTGCGATGATATTGAAAAGCCCAAACAGCGAGTTGAGGATCCCCGATGATATGACAACTCGCCACATAGGCAAGCCTAGGTTCTCCACGCTTGTAGCGACCTTGTTGAGATTTCCGAGGGTGATGAAGCCCAGACATATCATTGAAATGCCGAGAGCGACGAAGCCAGACTCATCGCAGAATGAGGGCCAGCAGCGCGCGAACCACTTCTTGAAGAATCCTGACTCGGACACGATGAGGAAGATGCCGAGGGCACTGATTACGAAGTGAGCGGCTCCGTCGAAGAAGAAGAAATTCGATGTCTTGACCGTCATGACAAGCATAATCCAGCTAGCAACCACGAGAAGGAACAGGACGATGATGTTGAAGAGTCGAAGGATGTTCAGCGTGATGTAGCCGGGACCCATCTTGGATTCGGAAAACATATTGAATTGTGTATTAGAAGTCTGCAAAGGCAGGAGTTAGAAGATTTCAAATGGGTAAGTAGATTCGGAGACTCACGGTTTTGTGGGTGGCTGTAGTAGCTGTAGAATTCGACTGCCTGCAGTAGAAAGATTCGGTGACGGTGGTTCGAAAGATCGAGGGAATGTATGAGATGGAAAGTAGAAAGGGTTCGAGGAGAAATAAATTTATAAAATGCAGAAAGAAAGACTATTGACCTGAACACCTCATTGTTTGCCGAGCACAATGACTAGAGTGAATGTTCATTGACAATAAGAGGACAATGGGAAGTATATGAATGAAAGTTTACAATGGGAGAGCATGACTTGAAGACCTGATTCACAACCGCCTAATCTGCAAGCTATTGTGGGGAAACCGTACCTTTGTCCCTGAACGCAGCGCGAGTCACTTCGAACGAATAGTATCGAAGTGCAAGGGAAGTTCGTTGACCAGACGGGAGGGCCGCGACAAAGGGACCTCGAGTTTCGAAAGAAACAACTGGATGAAATCCCCTCGTCTGGTCGAAAAGCCGCTGGAAACTTTTCAAGCCTCAGAATAAGACTGCCGCCAGTGTTCGTAGCGTTGCACGGAACAGACAAGGAGGCTTCCGTGTGCGAAGTCCGTGTACGACAGGATCATCCAGGGCCAGACCTTTCAGGCCGGCCCAATGAGGCCTGTAACAGGCGCTTGTATTGGTGCCAAGTATATATTCTCCTGCGGCAAGCATAGAGGGGCGTTTCGAAGACCGTTTCTAGCACTCTGGCTATTGGACGAACGCGCTTAAGGAGTTTGTTTCAAGATCCCCTCCTGGATGCCAGTACATCGTGCATCACGGAAGATCGCGTGAAAAGGCTCCGATAACAGTTGCCGCTTGGGCTATTCATGACAGTGATTCGACAATTATATGACCGTTCTTTGTGAATCACCAAAGAATGTGGTGTTCGAGGGATTGAGGTTTAAGCGTGTATCACGTGCATTGTCTTGTTCGAGCCTTCCCGAAAGCGGGAAGGCGCTTACAGTAACATGCAAAAACTCCCTGTTTTAGCGCGTTTTTGACGAAAAGCGGTACACTTAAAAATGGGTGCACCAAACGTTACCTAAATTATTTTCAACCACCAATTGCTCCACCAAACCACGTCCGAATTAGATGAGAAGTAGATCAATTTACTCCCTTGAAGTAGCTCTTACTAATGATAAGAGCAGATTATAGCTCCTTACCTAAGCCCGCGCGAAATCGCGGCCATCCACGATCTTCTCGCACAACCGGAGCAGAACCGGGAGCTCCTTGAGCAGTGGTACGATAATTTCGATTTTGGATGGGAAACAGGATACTCCCGTAGTATTTTTATGGCTGGGGAAGAATTCGATTATTATAATGGATAACTGGTATATACTGGAGTCAGAGGGTGCTTGATATGTGCCGGGAGCAAAGGAGGGAAGGGGGGGCTTCTGGATATATTAGTTGCTTCCCTATTGCCCAATTTTGAACCCAATTAGGGGGAGCTTTCGCAATATTAAGTCTAATATGCGAAAGAACTGCAGGAAGGTCTATGGGAAGTATCCAGACTTTGGAAATTATCTGATTAATACCGTTTGGAGGCTTGGACGGGGGCCGGAAGCAGCTTGGAAGGCTAGAAGGCATTTCTATAATTCAGGATATCGGAATTTCCCTATAGAATTAGTATAGAATTAATGGAATCGCCATACTTAATATTACTTAAAGTTCTGGTGATTTTAATATTACAAAAGGTGGTTCCAAAATCACTTGTTACTTTACCAGAGAGCCGATATTAATACTAATTAAAAAACACTACGGTTCTTAACAACCACAACTACTATTAAAAAAACGAAAGCATATTTAGAATCGTGAGAAATAGCTCTTTTAATTATTCTAATATATAAAAATCCTACGGTATGGTTGCAAAAATATTTAGTATAAGGGAAAAACTTCAAATATTAATAATCTCGACTAAAAATAACGACCATAACGCCAGTAATAAATCTCTTCAAAAGAGCCTAAAATCCTGTAATCTGATTAGTCCATTCCTCGTATCCCTAAACCAGTGATACATAGAAATCAAGGGGGCAGCTCGTCAACCTCGATTCTAAATATCATTCTCCTCCACCCCCTAATCGCCTTGTAATCGTCATCCAATAGCCCAGAACTTATGAACTCTTAATAATCCTGCTTTTGTAAGTTGCCTATACCCTGGTGGAAGCTAATTTCGTCTTCAGGGTACGTGCTAAAGGCAATATCTGGTCGAATCGAGTCTTCTGCTTGGATGTCCGGAATAGTGCTTTGGAATGGGGCTGTCAAATGGGGCTTTCGAATGGGGCTACCATATTAGCAGTCGGTACTACTAAGTACCTATATTCAATATAAAACACTAATTAGCTTCTGAATTCCATATAGTATACTAAAGAGAGACTTTAGCCTTCATAACAAGGAGAAATCCCCATACTAGTACCCGATTTTTCCATTGCCTTTAGCTATTTTAGCTCAGCCTTCTCCTCTAATATCATAGATATCAAATTACTAATATCTGCCCATCGATATTAATAAAAAAAGGGCGAATTGGTTCGTAGATAGGGGAGAAGTTGGGTTTGCTAAGAATTCGGCTCGATGTACAGGCTCAATAGCTACAAATTCGGGGGAGGGAAGGAGGGGGTGGATCGTAATCTGCTTATATCATTAGCAAGAGCTACTTCAGGGGAGTAAATTAATCTACTTCTCACCTAATTCGGACGTGGTTTGGTGGAGCAATTGGTGGTTGAATATAATTCAGTACCATTTTTTCAAGGTACCACTTTTCGTCAAAAACTCGCTAAAACAGGGAGTTTTCGCATATAACTGTAGCGAGTTTAAAAATAATCTCGTTCCATTCTCAGCCTCAACTCGATCAACATCTAGCCACGCAGGCAAAGAAAACTTCAACGAATCTCCCATAGAATTGTGGACACTCAACATCATTCAAGATGGCCAGAGGCAATCAAAGAGACAAGGCTCGTGAGGCTAATCAGAAGAAAATGGCCGACCAAGTAAGAGCTTTCTTGTACTAGAAAATTGCGATTCACGTCCCAGAAACACATTGCTGACCGCATACTCTGTTTATAGAAGAAATCCAACAACATGTCCGGCTCTGAGATGCAGCGTGAGAAGGAGAAGGTTGCACAAAAGATGAGGGAGAAGCAGGCTGCTGGTGAGTCTTTCGCAATAGACTTTGCGTCGGAAGCTGATTGCTAACCCCACTCTAAGCCGATGCGAAGAAGGCTGCTGAAGCCGCTGGTGGAGCGAAGAAGTAGTAGACGACATCGATAATTTCCCACCGAAGTCTTCGACGATGCGAGGAGGTATTTGCCGAGTTATGACGGAGTTTCGGTACGGATTGCATTACATGGGCACTGAGCATTGGTTACATGAGATGAACAATTTAGAATGCGTAGTTGGGGCAATCGACAGTTTGATTTCTCTCCAATATTCTTTCTGTGCTTAGTCTCTTCAGTGATGGAACGGAGGATGTTAACCTCGCGGTTTACCACTCGAAAGACTTTCTCGTTACGCTGAACTTCGTTCCCCTTCTTCCATCAACAGTCGGAGGAAAGATATGTGGCCCTTGTGTCCTTCAGAGAAGACATTCCTATGTTTTCACCATAAAATATTCCAACCGAAACCGGCAAGTATGAGAAAGGGGGGCCATCTACTGCCTTAATAATCTTTCGTTCGAAGGCAATTTGAGGGGCATTGCGGTGGACAGGAGGGAATACCTCAGCAAAGCACAACACCCTGCGCCATTTGAAGTCCTTCCACGCAAGCTCTAAGACGTCGCTGAGGTGGCTCGGCGACCCAGCTTAATCTGGGCATAAAATACGATCCAGTAGAGTTGGCTGACTGAGCAGTTCTCCGCGGCTCTCCCATTGGCTCCTTCGTCGGAAACTCTCCAAGCCACGAGGTTTTGTCAGGAGTGAACATCTCGCTCATAATTAGTGCTTGAAGTGATCCACGAATATAGTCCCAAGTGGCGCAGTACCCTGGTGATTCCCAATTTACTGTTTTCAAGGAACTCGTTTAGCTTCTCAAGTTGACACCTAAAGATGTACAAAGAAGGGGAACTGACTCCCATTTCATGGAAAACTCTCATATCTCTCAACATCCGTCATTTCCTCAGCAATGTATAGTCATTTGTACTTTATGCTCGCCCTTCTTTTTGGCCGTCAAGTCTCAGTATTTGAGCTGTCCATTATTAGGCCCAGACTATCCCATTCCTACCAATTTGAGGTATGATGCTTCAATTCTTTCTGCGTCTCAAAACTTGACCAGCCAACTAAAGTTGGATGCATTTGTTCATAACTCAACAGTATTCGATCAACGAACGTCTTTCTCGGTACGGTGGTTTGCAGCTGAATCCAACGAATCTCTGTTTCAATATTACTACAACTGGTCCTGCGGTGGCTCAGAGTTCAGCGGGTGTCACAAACATCACCGAGGATTCGATCTACCGTACTGGCTGCATTTCCAAGCTGTACACGATGTATTTGTTCGTGGCCGAAGCTAGAGAAAGCTACTTCTAACGACCCATCACGGACTTCGTGCCGGAGCTTGCACAAGCAGTCAACGCAGGTACAGCGGGTGATGAAATCAACACCACCCAGTGGGAGGATATTTCCATTGGAGCATTGGCTAGTCACATGGCGGGTATGGCTCGAAATGGTAAGACAACCGCTCTCCTCTTCGATGTCGCGAAAGCTAACGATTGTCAATCTAGATGGTCAAACTGGCCTCCTCTCCACTACTTTACCGTGGCCCAGCTTGCGATGTCCAGAACTCACCGCATCAAAACTACCTTCTTGTAAGTTCAGTAGCTCTTTTCCTTCCTACACGCGAGCAAGTAAGCCTTGCAAGGTATATCCTTTAACGGATGCTAATGAGTTTGTAGTATTTCTGCAAGATCCCATTAAACACCAACTTATATTCCCACCATCCACAACATCCATTCACTCTAGTGGGGCCTTCCCACTTCTTTGCTTTGCACTCGAGTCTATCACCAACAAGTCTTTTACTGATATGATGAATAACCTGTTTACACAACTTGACTATCTCAGACTACCTACACGACACCCACTCTTCAGCATAAGGAGTCAATCCATTGAATACTGCATACAGTGGTTGGGACCAAAACGAAGCCGCAGTTGATCCGTCCGTACTCTTGCCTGCTCTTCGCCATGATGTCGGACTAACGAGCTACCCATTGAGCCGGTACGATCTGCGCGTCAATTGTAGACATCTCGAATTTTGGTCGAGCTATTCTCAACAACGCACTCCTCTCTCCGGTACAGACCTAGAGCTGGATGAAGCCCGCCACGCTCACATCGAGCATGTATCTAGCCGTTTGCTGTCACTGGTCCCGCATTATAACGCCGGATTCGGTATATTTACTGCCGATGGCTACGCTGCGGATGTTACTGCAACTTTGTCTAAGATGGAAGCCACAACTTTTGGGGAAGCACTCGAGATGAGGGCGAAGATGCAAGCATTTGGCAAGTTTACTGGTACTTATGCTGCCGCTGATGGGAATGATTCGACTGTTATCGGAACTTCTAACACTTTTGAAATGGCGGTACAGTGCTGGACCAGCGAGGGAAATTGTTGTATTGGAATTTTATTGACAATAACAGCTGGCCCTTCAAGTCAAGGATTTAAGGGCATATATATATATATATATAGTAGCGTGGATTTAATAAGCGCTAGCTTAAGTGACGCGTGGGAATTGAGAAATTGGTATAGTGACGTACAATACCGTCACTTCAACAGAAACAATATGCTAGCCAACATCGCCCTGATACAAGGTAGTGCTCATGCCACAGGTCTTTTGATACTTCTTGTGACGACTAGTCCAAGGTCCGTTGATGCCGGCAATGACCAAACAAGTCTGGGCTTCCGTTCCGCGTTGGGATTCGATGGACCAGTCCCGGCGAATAACTTCAACAAAGTGTGCTCCATGAACAACGGTAGGTGGCCTTGGTTATGGTGGTGTACAGTGAGATTCGAAATCAGCGTCAGCCGGAACACTTCATAATTTTTTGTTTGGCCCCACATTTTCTGCACACTAGCACTATTATAGCTAGCTGTATTTTGGGTTACTGCAGATTGAAAGGTAGATTGCTGCTTAAGGATTCACTACTCGTCGAAAATCGGCAGGAATTAGCTGATAGAAATAAACCCTTTCCTAAGAGCCAATTCTTTACTGAGGCTCCAATTCTGTGCCCGGGCCTCAGTGAGAACGTGCCACCTGTACGAAAGTAGCTCGCTCCAAGGTCCTGGGTCCGCAGGCTGCTACACGTGATAGAACGTTTAACCCGCTTCGCGTGGCCAGCCTAAGTCTGTCTAGCGCAAAATTTAGTCTTGTGGAGGCTGAGCGCAGACAACGTCCTGTGGAGCCAGCGAGGCAGACCTGTTTTATCCTCTACTTTCTCTCAACATAATTCTTCTCTGCCTACTTTCTCCGGTGCTGACCATCACGATGAGCTTTGGCTTTAGCTTTGGCGACTTTGTCGCTGTCCTTCAGCTTGCAAACAATATTCGGAAGCAGTTTGTTGATGCTCCAAGCCAATTTAAGGCAATCTCCGAGGAGTGAGTGTTTTGTATAAATTCGATAAATAAGTGCTTATTTAGTTTTAACAGGGTTAAGAGTCTTTCAAGTGTGCTTCAAGATATTGACGATATCTTGACGGCACGTGACCTCTCGAACCACCAGCAGACGGAACTAGGCAATGTCATTAAGCATAGCCAAAGTGTACTCCAAGAGCTTGATAAAATCTTAGTCAAGTTTAAGGAGCTAGATCCTGTCGCAAAAGGTATAGATGGAAAACCTCGAAGAGTGTGGAAAAGATTTAGATGGGGTCAAAAGGACATTGATGAGTTACGCAGCCGGATTTTGTCAAATATTCTACTATTGAATACGTTCTTGGCACGAGTGAACAGGTATAATAAAATGGAATTCCTTCTTTAAATGAGCCTATGGAGCTAAATTTGTCTAGCCAAGCAGTATTCGCAACTAAAGATGGCGTAGAGCGGTTACATGAGCGCCAGGACGCTCAAGAACGTCAGCAAGAGACTCGAGAGCGGCAACGAGAGCATGAGACCATTCTCAATTGGCTCACCCCAATTGATTATGTCTCTCAGCAAAACGACTTCATTACTCGGCGACAAAAAGGAACTGGCACGTGGCTCCTTGACTCCATAGAGTATCAATCTTGGCGAGAGAAAAAAAAACAGACGTTATTCTGTCCAGGAATTCCTGGGGCTGGGAAGACAATTCTCACATCGATTGTAGTAGAAGAGCTCACTACACGGTTTTCCACCGACCCGACTGTTGGCATTACGTATATCTACTGCAACTTCCGGCGTCAAGATGAGCAGAAGATCGACGACTTGCTCACAAGCTTACTCAAGCAATTATCTGAGAGCCAGCCGTCTCTGCCAGGTACTGTGAAAGATCTTTATAATCGACATAAGACTAAACGGACACGGCCATCCCTTGACGAAATTTCTAGATCTCTCCAGGCTGTGGCTACCTTATATTCTCGAGTCTTTGTTATTATTGATGCACTTGATGAGTGCCAAGCATCTTATGGCTGCCGCGAGAAGTTCCTATCAGAGATATTTAACCTCCAAACCAAGACTGGAGCAAACCTCTTTACGACCTCAAGGTCTATTCCAGAAATTGCTGAAAAGTTCGATGAAGGCTTGCGGTTAGAGATCCGGGCAAGCAATCAAGACGTACAAAGGTATCTAGATGGTTATATGTCACAGCTGCCCGGATATGTGCTTCGCAGTTCAGATCTGCAAGACGAAATCAAGACTAATATTACAAAGGCAGTTAATGGGATGTGTGTAATCCCCAATATCTTATTGACTAACTCTTACATCCCGTAGGTTCTTACTTGTACAGCTTTATCTTGATTCATTAAAAGGGAAAAAATCCCCCAAGGCTATCCGTACCGCTTTGAAAAAGCTCCCAACCGGATCCGAAGCATATGACCACGCATATAAGGACGCTATGGAGAGAATTGAAGGTCAGCTAATAGACGAAGAAGAGCTTGCAAAACAAGTCCTCTCATGGATTACGTGTGCAAAAAGGCCGCTGACTACCTCTGAACTTGAGCATGCCCTTGCTGTGGAGCCTGAAGAGTCGCAACTTGATGAAGAGAATCTATGTCGAGTAGAAGACATGGTCTCAGTGTGTGCTGGATTAGTTACTATTGATGAAGAAAGCAGGATTATCCGGTTAGTTCACTATACAACGCAAGAATACTTCGAGCGAACGAAAAGCCAATGGTTCCCACAAGCGGAGAGCGAGATAACGATAACCTGCATTACATACCTTTCGTTTAACGTATTCGAGAGCGGATTATGTCAAACAGACGACAAGTTTGAGAAGCGGCTTCAATTATATAAGCTATACGATTACGCCTCCCATAACTGGGGACACCATGCTCGAGCGGCTTCTATATTAATTCCCGAAGTCAGTAGCTTTCTTGAGAGAAAAGCTCAAGTAGAGGCATCGAACCAAGTATTATTTGCCCTGAAAGAGCACTCAACAAAGCCGAGGTATAGCCAAAATTTCCCAAAGGAAATAATAGGATTACATTTGGTAGCATACTTTGGGATTAAGGCTATTGTCAAGCTACTGCTCGAGAAGGGGGCCGATGTGAATGCAGCTGATCAGGACGGACAGACGCCACTATACTGGGCCTCTGGGAACGGGCACATCGACGTTGTCAAGCTACTACTCGAGAAGGGGGCCGATGTGAATGCAGCTGAACAGGACGGACAGACGCCACTACGCTGGGCCTCTGAGAGCGGGCACGTTAATATTGTCAAGCTACTGCTCGAGAAGGGGGCCGATGTGAATGCAGCTGATCAGTTTGGACAGACGCCACTATACTGGGCCTCTGGGAACGGGCACGTCAATATTGTCAAGCTACTGCTCGAGAAGGGGGCCGATGTGAATGCAGCTGATCAGGTTGGACAGACGCCACTACGCTGGGCCTCTGGGAACGGGCACGTCGACGTTGTCAAGCTACTGCTCGAGAAGGGGGCCGATGTGAATGCAGCTGATCAGGTTGGACGGACGCCACTACGCTGGGCCTCTTGGAGCGGGCACGTTAATATTGTCAAGCTACTGCTCGAGAAGGGGGCCGATGTGAATGCAGCTGATCAGTTTGGACAGACGCCACTATACTGGGCCTCTGGGAACGGGCACGTCGACGTTGTCAAGCTACTGCTCGAGAAGGGGGCCGATGTGAATGCAGCTGATCAGGTTGGACGGACGCCACTACGCTGGGCCTCTTGGAGCGGGCACGTTAATATTGTCAAGCTACTGCTCGAGAAGGGGGCCGATGTGAATGCAGCTGATCAGGTTGGACGGACGCCACTATACTGGGCCTCTTGGAGCGGGCACGTCGACGTAGTTAAGCTGCTAGCTGCTGGTCAAGAAGGGGCTTGACATAGTGGTAGGTAATGAATATGTTAAAGTTGTTGAGTAATTCCTATTTTATATATTTTTATAACTTTAATAAAGAGGGGCTTGGGGGAGTTAATTATTTTATATTATAACCTAATACTAAAATTGCTATTGTGTGATTTGTAAACGCACTAGATTAGCAAATCTAGAATATTCTAGCAGCTTTGCTCAATATTCCTAAAGCTATGTATTTCTGTTAGTAGATGTCAGCGAGCCATTGGCACGTGCCAGAATCTTTAGTCCTCACCTCAAGCAGAAGTTAATGTCTCATGCGACACTAAAGTTAACTTCGATGTCTGCTGGATGCGGAGGAATTCTCAGGCAATGACATACATTTCTCGTGTAACGCTCTACAGCAGTAAAGCTGATGCAAGGGACTAGGATTCAGCTAGCGCGCAGAAAATGTGGGGCCCAAAAATTATTGAGTTTCCGACTGATACCGATTCCGACTCGTACAGTACTGTAATACTTATTTTTGTATCTTTACGGTCGATGAGACAGATCAAGTCGTGGAAGTGAGCATTCCGGTATCGCAGACTACTCTCAAGCGCGCAGCTTATTTATTGCTTGGTTGGATGGCATGTAAAGAGGGGAGAGCTGGATCTGCAAGGCTGAGGGGCTGTGATCACGATGCGGAAAAGGACTGACTCCAGGCCTTGGCAGGGCTTTGCAGAGATGAAAACACCGCCAAAGCTTACAAATGTTTCCTACATTGAACAATTTGAAATCCTCCCCAAAATGGTGCTGAAAGCTCATGCGAGAGTGAGACAGAAATCCTAGACTTTGTAAATCTGCAACTGAAATCGTTCTTTATCCGTTTTTAATCTCCGCAAAGTTCTAGGCCCTGCCATTGCATAATCGCAGCTTCCCACACTAGCAACGGTCTCTAATCGTCAGAGTGCGTGCCCCTCAAAGCACGTCACCTCAGCCCGATCTGATAAATAGCTTCCATCATCACTTTTCCCTTCCTCTCTCCATGCAAAAGCTTACATTCCTTGCCCGCTCAACGGTCGCAGCTTCAAAGACGGCGAATTCTAGACTCTCTTCTCTGTCCCGCCAGTTTTCATCCTCGGCATCCAGAATGGCCCCCGTACCGAAAGAATGCGATTACCTTGTCATTGGCGGCGGCAGTGGTGGCCTGGCTTCTGCGAGAAGAGCCAGTGGGTACTACGGAGCGAAGACAATTGCAGTTGAGAGCAACCGTCTGGGAGGAACCTGCGTCAATGTTGGGTAGGAATACCCCCTTCGAAGCTGTGCCGTAGCTAACCTGTACCGCAGATGCGTTCCCAAAAAGGTCACATTCAACGCAGCTTCAATTGCTCAGTCGATACACGAAGCAAAAGCATACGGATTCTCAGTCCAACAGACGGCGCTTTTCGACTGGCCATACTTCAAGAAGAAGCGGGATGCATATGTCAAACGCCTGAACGGAATCTATGAGAAGAACTTGGTCAACGACAAGGTGGAATATATTCACGGCAGGGCACACTTGACTGGAAAGCACGAAGCGGAGGTCGTTCTGGATGACGGAACAAAGCAAACTATCAAGGCGAAGAAAATACTGTTAGCAGTTGGAGGGCACCCCACGATCCCACAAGATATTCCTGGAGCAGAATATGGCACAAACAGTGATGGATTCTTCGACATTGAAAAGCAGCCGAAGAAGGTGGCACTAGTTGGAGCTGGTTATATTGCCGTTGAATTCGCGGGAATGTTCAATGCTTTAGGAACGGAGACGCATCTATTCATTCGACATGACAAATTTTTGAGAAGTTTTGATCCTATGGTTCAAGAAGCAATCACTAATGAATACGAACGCCTCGGCGTGCACCTGCACAAGAACTCGAGTCAAAGCAAAGTTGAGAAGGATGAGAAGACCGGCAAGCTTACAATCCACTATAAGGATGCCAACGGAGAGGGAAAGCTAGAGGGAGTAGACAACTTAATCTGGGCTATTGGACGTTCTCCAGAAGTCGAGGACCTCGGATTGGAAAAGGCTGGTGTCAAGCAAAACGAGAAGGGCCAGATCATTGCGGACGAATATCAGAACACCAACATTGAGAATATCTACTCCCTCGGCGACGTTGTTGGGAAGGTCGAGCTGACGCCTGTTGCCATTGCAGCTGGCCGAAAGCTCAGTGATCGTCTGTTTGGGCCAGCGAAGTTTAAGGCTTCAAAGCTAGACTATAACCTCATCCCTTCAGTCGTCTTCGCGCATCCAGAAGTCGGCAGCATCGGCTTGACTGAACCAGAAGCAATCGAAAAGTACGGCAAGGAGAACATCAAAGTGTACAACACCAGCTTTACAGCCATGTACTATGCAATGATGGAGCCAGACGAGAAAGGACCCACGAAATATAAGCTCATTTGCCAAGGACCAAACGAGAAGGTCGTTGGCCTGCATATATTGGGTCTAGGAAGTGGAGAGATGCTCCAAGGATTCGGCGTTGCCATCAAGATGGGTGCTACGAAAGCAGACTTCGATAGTTGTGTGGCTATCCACCCCACCAGTGCAGAGGAGTTGGTCACATTGAAGTAAAGATCCACGGATAGATCGCATGTCCTTTCCTCCAATAGAGCTGTACACATATTTCTTGATTTGCTTTGCGTGTTTTGATGTCGTCCCGTATTCTCCGGTCATGATGATCATGATGCTGCAAGTGTGTGATGCTTCTCGTATTCCTCCCCTTGCAAGGATGCTGACGCTAGGCTTCCTCTTAGCCGAAAGCGGATATCTGTCAACACAGCTCTTGAATCTTCACCACCCTTCCTTGGACTGCTTCTGTTCCCTATTTATGGTGACTATGGCCTTGCAAGTGTGCGGTTTTCCTCGTATTGCAGCTCGTAGAAGAAGTCGGCAATTTGCTGCTTCTAAGCCCGATTAGGAAATTTTTCAACACCAGCTCTTGAATTGAGATCTCCACCATTGTGCACCTTCCCTGCTATTGTTCCTAAATTCAGATTTTGATGGCCATGGCTTTGCAATCGTGTCAGTATCCTCATATTCCTGCACGTAGAAGAGTTCGGCAATGTGGCGTCCTATGGCCGAATTAGGAATATTGTCAATGCCAGCTCCTCATCTGAGATTCTCACTATTTCACCCCCTTTTTAGCCGAAGCCGTTTGTTCAAGTAACGTTATCCTTATAACGCTTGTGAAGGCGGTGAAGCTATTGTCCAGTACGCTATTGAAGGCGGTGAACATGTGTCGAAGTAGTCCCAGGCAAAAGTAAAAGGCAGGTCCGACGCGTTAGTAGAACACGGAGATAACTTCGCTTCGTTGTTCACCGCCTTCATTAGCGCCTCGGTAAATAAAGGGGAGGCTCAGACACGTTAGTAGGACATGAGGATAGCTTCACTTCGTTGTTGGCCGCCTTTATTAGCGCTTCGGTGAAAGCGAAAGGAAGCACCGACAAGTCGGTAACAGGCGGCGATGGATTCTACACATGGTTCACCTCCGTCAGTACGGAGCGTAGTAGATTCTCTATGTTGTGAAAACTTGGAGTTGAACTTAGCGCATTGCGAAATATGGAGAAAAGGGCCAAATCCAGCATGTCATATGAGACTCTAAGAATTTCATGTTGCTGTAAAGCTGAGCTCCTGAAAGCAAAGCGGACTTGTATGCTTCTGCCTGCCTCACTAAGCGCAACGGCGGCTCACTTTCCATCACCGTGTGGCCGATCCTCTCCCAATCTTAGGAAACGAAATATTTTTGTGATGAGTACTGATCTCAGAAGTCAATACTCGTCCGGTAATGCTTGCAATGACGCAAATCTACTCATTTTTTACGAAGTCTGCACGGGAGAACGAGGATATCTCGGGCCGTAAGGGGAGATAATGGCTATCTCTTCCCCTCCCAGTGCTGCTTTTGTATGCTATCAAAATACGCTAAACTAGCGTCCACACTCTCGCTTGATTCTGCCGGTTTTATTTTGTAAATCTAGATCTATTCAGTAGATCGTGTGTACCTACTTCGACCTCTTCCTCTAATAGCCCTCGCATCTCTGAAGCCCCTACACACCCTTAATTTTGCCCTTATCCTTGCACAGACACTCACTGGGTTGGTCAGGATGGAAATTCCATGGCCAGACGGTCCACATGTGACGATTTTCTGGTCAAACCTCAAATGCCTCCCTCTCCGTTCCCGCCACGAGACCGCATCCGGAATGGTTCCCTGCGGAATCAACTGTGAGTTCAATATCGAGGTCGCACGAGACGATGCCTCCATCATTGCAACAGACTATGATGGTCCGCGCAGAGATATTGGATACACTATCGAAGTCAACGATATCGACGTCACTAGGAGAAACTGGGGTTTCGTTCCAACTCTTGCACATGTTATCCAGTCGCCGAAATCTAAATTCGAGCAGATTAGAGAGTCCATTCAACAATCTGAGACTTTCAAGAACCTCGACGGGATGCTTAAGCAGTCTAAGGTGTCGATTCAACACTCGAAGACCGTTAAGAATATCAATAAGATTCTTCAACAATCTAAGGAGAAGGTTGATGAGCTCTTCCAAGAGCCAAAGCAGAATCTTGACGACATGTTAAGTCGGTTACGAAACACAATTACCAAAGTCAGTCTTCGGAAGACGAGCTATGGCAACATTCGCGAGGTTTCGAAGCCAATTACGCAAACTCCTCGAAGTGATCGCACCGATAATCATGGAGTGTCTTCTCCGTCCAGAATGAAGAGGCAAGCATCGATGTTCTTGACAACTACCAAGTCAATTTCCAACAACCTTCGCAATTTTATCAGCAATAGATTTCCACGACCCGCAACCCCTGATCCCGTGTACTATCCTATCGTCACGTACGACATGCCGGAAGAACAAACGGAAGGCATCTCTCGTTGGGTCAATAACGCACACGAAGGTGAAGAAGACCCGACCAACCGAGATCTCTTCAAAGTCATCACCACTGCGCAACTTCTCAAGATGAAGGGCGCTGATATGGACACAATTGAACGTCTCCGCCACTACCGTGTTCCCCCTTCCACTCCCGTCCCTCAAGAGAATCGTGAAGCACTTGCAGCTGCACTTGAGACCGATAGAGAGGAACAACTTGATGGAGAGGAGCCATATCTCGAGGAGCTCGAGGAAGAGTATGAAATCCCGCCCAAGCGCAAGGACTTAATTAAGTATCTCGGCCTTGAATCGAATAGTCTTCATATCATGAAGGATCCCACCTATGCGTACGACGACCCTGCCAATCTCTCCGACTACTACAAGATTTCAGTCAACTGCTCTGACGAGGATTTGCTGGAAGAACTCGAGGATCTGAAGATTCCTAGATGGGAGGGACCCGAGGCTGACCCAGACTACAACCCGCGCGACTATGACCGCCCTGCCCGAACGGATTGGATGCAACCCCCTCGAACTCACAAGCCATCCCACAGCATCATCCTCTGGCTTTGGAGCCGAGGTCACAGCCACCACAAGATCGTACAGACGATTCAACTCCTGGATCCGTCTTTCCTCCGTGACTTCTCTGGTCACATCTGGAAGGGCTTATTCATTCCGGAGTACACTGAGATGACCGACGGGATTATCGAAAAGTTGCGCGTGCTGGCTCCCGCCCCATTGCACGAATGGGAGGTTCCAGGAGCATTGGATAGGCATGGCAAGGAATTCTCCGATACTTACAAGGATCTGAGAAACCAACAGTGCATTGATAATCTCATGAAATTCACTGAAAGGGTTATCACAAACCACTTCTTTTACCGCATTCGCAGGGGCTATATCTCGTATGGCGACATCAACATTCAACATGCTGGGACTACCAAGTGATGGACCAGATCTCTTGGGCGCTGAACGTGCTGTATCTGGCTTTGGAGGTGAAGTTGCTTGGCCTGTCTTTGGATGGTGCGAGCTTGGTTGGGGATATGGAGCTTGGATGACGGCGGATGCGACAGACCGCAACTTTGCGCAACTTGGAGAGTTTTCTTCCGGTATTGCCAGACGCTTGGTTGGAGCATCGTGTTGGATTCGATTTCCTTTTTCTTTGTTGCCTTGCGGCGGAGTTCATGGACGACTGATAATTATGAAGAGCGCGGTGATACCCCGGATGTTCTCTTTTCATTTGATTTCGACGGAGTTCATTGCTGATTCATTCCGAACCCTGCGTTGATACCCCAGATAATTTCTTTTCTCTTCTTCTTAGCAACGGAAATGATTGATGGCTGATGATTATGGAAAGTGCGTTGATACCCCGCTGGCATTGGCATTTGACTTCATGTACCCCAATTGGGACCTGCACTACTAGGTGCCACATTAATTTTCCTTTCCAAAAAGCAAGCACTTCTACATCAAGATGGTGCTCTTCCTATTCAAAGCTGGCAGCAAACTATGAGGACGGGTGGAATGTTTGTAGCCAGTCGGCACCATAGCGAAAATAAAATCATAACACAAAAAAGATTCACATAAGCATTGAGATGTAAAGCAATGGCAAAAGGATGCCATTGAAGGGTTCTGGTTGCTAGTTTACATGATGGTGCAAAATGAGTGTGTTGATCCCTCCTGTTGATCAGGTATCGTACATTTCAATTCTCTCCTTCCAATGCAATGCGAAGCAAGGCGTATGTGGGGGGCCAATGTCAGGAACTCCTATCGCTCCCATTCCTGATGTCTTGCCAATCATTCGACCTCCGTCCATAGTGCCAATTACTTCCTATCAGACCAATCCTCCTTGGGTTTGATGACGACGTTCATGGTGGGCAGTCCATGCATTCTCTCCATCAAAGCAAGAGTACTCTTGCAGTTCTCCCAATCGACCCTGACTCCTCCCATACCAGGTTCGGTGACAGAATTGTCCCAAGCACCTGGCTCCAAGATAGCATTGATCGCATGTACCTCGTGCTCGTTGGACCAATAAACACCCAGGTGGAAGTTACCGGCAAGTTGAGCCTTTCTGTGTCTCTCCTCGCTTTCGCGGATGTGCATCTTGAGCTTTTCCTCGAGGTCACCATAGGTCGAGTCGAGCTTGATCCGCAAAGCCTCCTGGCCGCCGGAGATTGGAAATTCATCACCGATCTTGTTCCAAAGCTTGACATAAATATCAACCTCGTCCAGCTTCGGCTTGGCAGGGTTGGCAGGATTCTGAGTGAGTTGAGGTCTATCGGCACTGGCGGGTTGGATAATGGGGTTTTGGGCATCTCCAGGGATCGCACTGTTTGTAGCAGCGCCTCCATCACGGTTTGTAGTAGCTTTTGCAGCAGGTTTTGCAGAAGCTGCCGCGCAGATCGTAGCCCAACTTTTACCCGTGAGTCCGGGATATGCTTGATAAACCAACTGCATGTCACGGTCGAGGCTCTCGAGGCTCTCGAGGGGGTCTTTCTCGCTGGGGATCTCCTCTTCCTCGGGGCCCATTTCGCTATGATTGTTCTCCTCGTCCTCGTTGTCCATGTTGGGCTTCTTTCGAGGTGTATCGTTTCGGCGGGGTAGAGCGTTGGAAGCCTTACGGCTCTCTCCAAGGGGGGCCATGATATCGTACCCGAAGAGGGAAGAGGGAAGAGCTCCCGTGGTTGTGGTTGTGATTTGTGTTTCTCTGATATGAGGATTGGAAGATGCTCTGAGTGTTGTGTGCTGAGCTGATGATCGATCTGGGAGGCGAGAAGCCTTCATTATATCCTCAATTCCGTCCCACAAATCTTCCGAGAGCCAGGTAGCCATAATCTACAAATAAAGCCGCACGACATGCCTTCTTTGATGGGATTTTGTTTTCTGTGCAGGGAGGCGGAAGACGCTTCTTCATATTCAAAGGTGGTCAGGACACAGAGGTAAAAGGGTGGACCGAACCATGCTTATTCTCAGCTTTCAGGAGTAGATGAGAGCAATGCTGATTGCTTTCCACAGCACTGATAAAATTCATACATTAGTTTGGTGAGCTTACACCACTTCTTTGGGGTATCAATCTCCAGCAATCTCCTGCAATGCCCATGCATGCCCTCTGCCATTATGCTCAGTCGTAGCCATCGTACCCACTGTCATATCGTCCCATCTCTCTTTGAGTGCTGACCCATTCTTCACTCTGTAAGCCGTTTTGCTTTGCTCTTTTGAGCTTGGCTACATCTTTGTGCCAGTCACAAGCGTATTCGCATTCTGGGATGTCCTTTTCTCCAAAGTATCTGGAATGGTAAGCAAACGTATACCACATTCAAGCCAGAGAAAGAAGAAGAAAGGACTATTTCTCCACCAAAAGGGAAAACGGAAGCTTGCCTGCATATCATTCGATGTCGACATGTCTCCACATCCTCGCAGTACGCTACCAAAGCATTCAGGCTCTTTACTCTCGCTTCAAGATTCGATTTTTCTTTGCTGTCCTTGCTCATCCGATTGTATGCCCGGTCCCGGTCTTCCCGGCTGTAGTACATTATGCAGATACTAGCTTTGCCGTCCCGACCTGCTCGTCCGGCTTCTTGGTAGAAGCCCTCAAACGATTTTGGCAATTGCCAATGAACCACAAAACGAACGTCCTCTTTATCGATACCCATGCCGAATGCCGTGGTTGCCACTATCACGTCGTAGCCTTTGTCGTTATTTACCCATCGCTGCAAAGTTTCGTTCTTCTCATTGTTGGGGAGACCTGCATGATAAGGCTTAGCACCAATGCCGCAGTGGCGGAGGCGGGCTGCTAGAGTCTCGCAGTCTTGTCGAAAAATAGTGTAGATGATCCCAGACACGTTGTCTAGCCGTTTCCCCTCCTTTTCAAGTTCGGCTCGCCGCGCCATATTTTCTGAACGGCGCCTGTGAGCCCCTTGCAACCAGCCCAGAAAGTCGTCAAAGTGGTCCTCTTCATCGCTCTTGAATCTTACTTCATAGTGAAGGTTCTTTCGGCTTGTGGACATAGTGAAGACCTTCAACTTGGTAGGCGACAATCCTAAAATATTGATACAATCGTTCCGAACCTGCTCTGTTGCCGTTGCAGTAAGGCAGATGACAGGAACCTCTGGAAAGTTGTCTCTGAACCACCGCAGTTCTTTGAAGGAAGGGCGGAAGTCATGGCCCCATTCTGATATGCAATGAGCCTCGTCAACCGCAATCCTTGCCAATTCCTTTTGCTCGTACACAACTTTCAGGTGCTTTCGAAAGCCTTCTGAAGCACACTGCTCTGGCGTGACATAGAGAAGCCGGGTAAGTGGGTGGCCGGTTGCCAGATCTTGAAGCAGACGTTGTTTTTCTTCATATGGCGTATTTCCGTTGATAGTGCCAGCTGCAATGTCGGCAACTCGCAGAGCATTTACTTGGTCCGTCTTAGAAATCAATTAGCAATCATTCTCGTCATCCATTGTTTCCGGGCTCTCATAGGCTGCATACCATCAAAGCTAGAAGTGGAGATATGACGATAGTGACTTGAAGAGGTTAGATAAGCCATCGAAAAATGAGGTCGAAAGGAAGCTCACTGCCATGGTCTATGACTGCAGGTAATTGGAAACACAAGCTTTTGCCAAAGCCTGTAGCTGCTTGGACGAAGACATCGTCTCCCGCCAGAGCTGCAACGATAACATCCCGCTGAAGAGGTCTGTAGAGATTATCAGCATTGAAAATTGCAAAAGTCAATCAATTTACCTGAAAGAGGTCCTCTTGAATTTGCGACGGAGTGTGAAGTCAATGTCAACACAAGAATTCGACCTCCGAAGAGGCATGGTGACACGTGACCTTGATCTGGATTTGATGTTCTGGTCGAGGATGACAATCAGGCACGAACGCTGCCTCATCTGTCGTTTGACTTGATTTCATTCTCAAGCAAGGATCTGAAGATTTTGGAATCAAATCACAGGTAACTCGTTCTTTCCTTGCCAGGTGTGTTTGTCAGGAGGAAGGGGTCAGGTGGGTGACGCGACTCGACGCGAAAAGGGAATCGCTACGGGGACCAATGCCGGCTAGGAGCGCGTAACCGGGAAGATCTCTTGCTCAGGTCCATCGTCTCTTCTCAAAATTAACACACATTTCGTTGAAGTACTGTGCTACGAGTGAAGTCACCCGATTCTCCCCTACCCTTTTTACATTATAGCTGGCCATCAGTATGGTAGAAAATATGTACCTGGTTGAGTCTTGAATTCGTATCTTCCATCCGTTAGATTCTTCAAGTATGGATTCGCTCTCATTCCACGTGCCCCATGAGCTTCAGATCTCAGGATCGCGATGAATCGTTCCAAACGATTTGCTTTACAGCCTCTAAAGCATACTTGTTGAATCAAGAAGCTCAGATCGTTCATATTCCTATTCAGTCAACATGAAAAGGGTCACTGCTCAGAAGGACTGGCTGCATGTAACGTTATGTGCCAGTTACAATACGCAACGCACAACAATCGTGTCAAGGCACACTTACATACGCAGGCGAGCGGCGTTAAAAACCGTCGATCTCGCCAAAGTAAAGAACAACAAAATCACTACACTTTGAAAATTGCGCATTGCCACACTACTAGGTTCGAATAATATGAATTAAAGTATGTGTTATAGAGAAGAAGCCAAACTGTCCGCCCCTGTATTTTGGCAGTTTTAATCTTTAGAATACTTTTAATACGATATTTTAAAGGTCCTCGCTTAGGAAAATGGACGATTTTCAACACCGCACCGCCTTCGTATTACGGACGTATCGTTTGATGCCTACGGTCAGCATTTGCCAGGGGGTGTTTGGAACCATACTGAATCGTACCGGTGAGCAAGTATAAGTACTTGAAAATTCTCCAGCTTAGCATTGGAACAGATCAAGGGTTCATAATTGCTTGTCATCATCCCAAGCGACTGCATAATACAACTTTCTATAGATTTGAAACAATGGCATCCACTCCTGTGATTCAAGTACTTTCAAAGAACAATTACGAGGACCAATATCTTGTCTCGCTTCCCAATGCTTACCCCCTTCCGCCCTTGGGCCCGTCGTCGATTCGAATCAAGTCAAACATTTTGTCCCTGACCACCAACAATTGCTCGTATGCACGGGATGGACATCTGCTCGGCTGGTGGGATGTGCATCCACTTCCGCCCTCCACCCCAGCTCGATATTCAGATCCAACTAAGTTTGGTCGCATCTCAGCTTGGGGATACGCAGAAGTAATTGAGAGCAATGTTTCCGGTCTTCAAATTGGAACACAGTTCTATGGATATCTCCCAATTGGCACACTACCGTTGGACATGGAGGTCAAGCTCAACAATGTCCCAGGGCAATTCCTTGAGGTCAGCAAGTACCGAGAGAAACAGCTACCTATTTACAATCGATACTTTTCTTACCTACCAACTTCCAAAGAACTTGAAGATAAGGAAAGCCTGGGTTACGATTCCCTAATGTTGGTGCTGTTTCAGACGGGTTACATGATAAATCGCTACGTCTTCGCATGGGAACCCTCTGAGCTTGTGCAGCCCAGTGGAGATCTAAGAGATGGTTGGACAGTTCAGCACGGAGCACTCAGAGAAAAGTCGATTGTTCTCGTTTTTTCAGCAAGTGGCAAAACAGCATTGGGACTAGCGTACTGCCTAAAGCATGGTCGTCCTGCTGGAGAAAAGCCTCGAATGGTGATCGGCGTAGGCTCTAACAAGTCCAAGCCTTTCACTGAAGGCACAGGTCTCTACGACAAAGTTCTCACATACGATGCCGATTCCGGTGACCTTGGACAACATCTCGGCTTGAAACCAGATAACAAGATCGCTGTGATTGACTTTGGATCAAGAGATGCAGCTGGTGACAGGTGGGCAGTGAAGCTACGGAAGACCTACAACGATGTTGTCCAGCTCCAAGTTGCAGGAGAATTCAAGACCCAGACACCGGAAGAGGCAACAGCAGGATTTCTTGCAAGGATGAAAAAGGTGGAAGGATACAAAGCACTCATTAATGCATGCGCGTTGAGGACACAGGCCATGGACAAGACTGGCGAGCGGAAGTATTATGAAGATTTCATGAAGGTGTGGGATTCAGTTAAAAAGGGGGGCTATATAAATGGTATGCGATTGGTCTGGGGAGAAGGAATGGAGGATCTTGGAAGAGGATGGGAGAAGCTTTCCAAGGGGGAAGCCAGCCCTGACGAAGGATTGGTATTCTCGCTGGTTGAGAATCCAACCGGCAAGCTCTGAGGTAGTTGTGCGTCGTCACCGCAATACTTCTTCTGACTCAGGCCATCTAGGCGCTTGGAAACATTGACTGCAGAAATGTAACGTAATTCTGAGATTTCTTTGGCAATAAATTTGAGCTGAGTCCTCTCTCTTGCATGTGTTGACGCCACGCAGCCTCTGCCAGGATGCGGTGAGCCAACCTGTTGTGTGACAAGGTATTTGCAGCATTTAGAAGAGTTTTTTCGTCACTGTTCTATGCTAATATGGCGATGACGGGTGAACTGTCACCACAATCGTGCGAGGGGAACTTTCTAGAGACAAGACCGATATGGACCCTGGAATACTGTAACAAAGGATGGGTATTCAAACATGAAAATGGGAGGGATGTGAAGACTTAGATCCTCAGTGCCACAGCGTGCATTCAGCACTCTGTCGATGAACCTGCAAACACTGAAGACAGACACTGGTTGTCCCAGGCCCCTATATAGCTTTTCTGCTGGCTTGTGACTGTTAGTCCCGTCCACTTCGGTATTCCATACCGAGTTACAGTCCCAGGTGCTGCACCTGCATGTCCTTCCGCCCTAGATTTACTCTCCTTGAGATCAATCTTCTGACGATACCCAAAATCGGCGGTGCCTGGGCTTGAGTTTGGTGGTGTCGGTGTCTCGACGCTGATTGGCCCATTCATCGTTAGCGAACCCCGCCCTGTTGTTCCTGCATTTTGTGGCCGTTGAGTCGTGACGCTAAGGCGAAGGCTAACTGCACAGTATGCAATCTGAGCTGATCTGTTACTCCGTACTCGTTGCGATATCGCGACCTTCACCCCTCAAGATCAGACTGATCCTTGAGCTTGCGCCCGGCGACGGTGCAACATACAACACTCAGCGATGCACTCGCTGTCCTCTGGCTGCACCCAAACCCAACTTCACTGTCGCGACACCTCGCCCTGACCGAGCGCCAATCTATCGACAAGTGCTCCTTTTCGTATCGAGCGGGTTGAAACATTGACTGCCCCAACTCGCAAGCCAGCACAACTTCACTCAACTCGAGGTCCACCAGCAAACCGTTGCAATGGAGCGACCATCTGGTCCGCTGGGAACGGCCACCCAGTCGACTGGCCGGCCGCTGGACAGCAATGGTTTCCCAAGGCCACCTCCCCTGAACACTGTTCGAAGGCTCCCGAATGCCACCACCGTACGACATGCAGCATCAAACTCTTCGCTATCCTCGCAGATCCCTATCTCTGCGGCGCAGGTGGTAGCACTTGCCCGCGAAGCAATGAAGAATGCCCTCGATGAGAACCAGACGAAAGCTGCCGAGGCCAGCGGTGTGAGTAATGAGCTGAAGCCAGGCGTGACTATCGACTTGAGCCACAAGCAAATCCAGAGGTTCCCGGAGGAAGTCGTTGATATAATAAAAAATGAACTTGAAAGGTATCCTCTAGCTTGTCCCACCTCTGTCCTCGATGCAAGGGATTCAGCTGACTCTTTTATAGACTTGCGCTGTCACACAACCTAATATCCACATTCCCCTCCAGATTCGCGGAATGTACCTCCTTAAGATACCTAAACGTTCGCAACAACGTCATCCGCGAATTCCCTCAATCTGTAAGTAGCATTGTGGTCGAAGATTGAGAGTGTGCGGAAAATTGACCCCTGCCGCAGATATGCCAGCTGACCTCCCTCGAAATTCTCGATCTCAAAGGGAATAAGCTTAAGATCTTGCCTCCCGAACTGATCAAATTGGCTTCACTCAAAGTCCTGTCTGTCCAGAAAAACCGAATAGAGACACTGCCTCTCTGCCTGGCGGATATGGCCTCTCTCCAAGTACTAAAGTTGGATGGCAACCCTGTTCGGTTCCCTCCCAAGGAAATCCTTCAACCTCAAGCATCGAGCCCCCCGAACGGCGGATTACAAGAGAACGAGATAGATGAGATTTCGGTTACATCCCAGATTAAGAGATACCTGAGACAAAAAGCTATATTCGATCGTTCAGAGACTGAGTCTGGCGGTGAAGAATCTAGCGAGGGTACCGAGACTCCTCGGCCCATGAAGCGGGTTATGAGTGGCAGATTTCCGATCAAAGTCAATGGGGCTGAGGTCCCTGATCTGCGATCACCGGCACTTCCACGACCACCTCCAATTCCCTCGCGTTCTCACTATAGAGGCCTCTCTCAGCAAAATGCAGCTCTTCGACGGCCGGGCGTCATGCCTCTCACCATCAACAACGCGAATGAACGGCTTCGGAGTAACAGCGAGTCTTTATTGCAAGCGAACCGAGATCGCTCTGCTGACCGCTCGAGACGAATGGGTATAGTCTCAAAGAAGTCGGCAGAACTAGATACTGTTGAAGAAGCAAAAACCAATCGATATAGCCATTACAGAGGTCTCAGTCATGGATCCGCCATGCAGGCCGGTACCAATGGCACAAATGGCACCAATGGAACTATTAACTCCAGGAGTCCTGCTAGTCCAGCAGACTCGGCAGCTCAAAGAGCAACCTATGTGCGACGTCTGTCGAGCCTTCCCGAACGCAAGCGAGAATCCCTATCACCTGATCCTGTTGTTGAAGCAGCGAAGGGAATATTGTATGCATTATTTCAGGTTCACCCCTTAATTCAAAGCCTCCTGGGTGTAGCTCGGGATGGCACAAACAAACGAACCAGCCTCGAGAGGGTCTTCTACAATGCTACAACACACGTCGAGGAGCTTGATCGGCATATCCAGAATTACATTACATACTCGGAGGAAGATGAAGAGGTATCGCCTCGCTCGAATGAGAATGTTCGTCGAGCAACTTTGACCTGTGTCAGTGCTTACATGCACGTCTGTGGTCTTCTCTCAAGAAACGTCGAAACCTTACTCGAAAATGGAGACCCTCGCTATATTCGTACGTTGTTACTTCTCGTTTATGGCACAACAGCGGAAGTGCGGAATGCTGGCTCGAGTGTCTTTTTAGAGGAGAGTAGGGAGACATCAAGAGCATTGGAATCGGTTGATGAAAACGCCAGGTTCCAGCCACGAGACAAATCCATCACCCCAACCCGTGAGAGGCCAGGCACAGGTTCGAGGATCAGGAGTGCTACGGTCGTTCAACATCCCAGCAACCTTCAAATAACCACAAATGCCCCACCTCCTTTCATGAACGGTGCCTTGCGGTCTGCAACTATGACAAGTGCCACTCCGCGGTCTGGAGAGTCATTTGCATCATCAGCTAGCAGCAAAACGAGCGGAGACTTCACTGAAGAAGATAGAATCTTTGAGAAGATCTTCTTGCGCCTGCAACAGTCTTCTGAGATGGCTCTCAAGACACTTCCAAGCGTCAGCAGTAATTTCTTTACGGCGATGAAGATCAACAGTCAACAGTCAAATCCGGATCAGCCTAAACAATTCTGGCAGGTGCTGATCCAGAAGTGTTCCATCTCATTACAAAACGCGGAAGCCCTGAAAGCTCGACTGTCAACGATCAAGCTCAAAGAACCCGGAATCAGAACCCAAGGAGCATTCTGGGAACTTTGCAATGCTTTTATTCATGTAATTTGATCAATGTCTTCCTCTTGAGCATGAAGCTAATTTTAGTAGGCGTACACCGAACTGGTCTTCAAAGTCAAGGAGGCCAAGAGTTTAACCGCACTTTTCCCAATAGATGTGATTATGCTTCTCCGGCCTCTCCAGAAGGCTGTCAAGGAGACGAGTCAGCTCATTCAGACTTCACCATGGTCCTACATGGCTGCCCTCCCTCAATCAAACAATGGCGTCAATGGTCCTTACGGAGTCCAATCGCCGGCTGTCCAAATGGCACTGCCAATGACTCCTCAGAGTGCCGCACTTGGCCCTGCTGTTCAAGCCACTGTTCCTTCAACGCCACAAAGCGCAACTTTCAATGGCATGTTCAGCGGCAATGTCTTCGAACGGGCCGATGCCTTGATGTCGATGAATGGCTCCTCGGTTGCCTCCTCACGAGCTGGAACGATGACCTCATCAATGGGATCGAATGATGGTTCAATGACTCCTGCCTCGATGCTGAGCCCTATGAACTCATTCGGATCAAGATACAATAGTGGAAAGGTCACCTTCTGAAATCCACGTGCACCATTTTCCTTCGCTCCTGCATTTTTTGGTGTTTTAGTATATGTATGTTTGTCTGTAGCGAGAGGGATGGACCAAAAGGTTTTCTATTATGGAGTCCAAGGCGTTCGGGGGTTCGAGGCATTGCGTTTGGCGTTGGGATAAGCGCTTTTCCTGTTATGTAGGATTATCAGACGAAGATGGATGATGGAAGGTGTGCCGCTGGGCACCCAGGCCGCCATGCAAGATGGGGAAGGAATAATGATAATATGGGCGTTCTTTATGAGGAACGAAAATAGATTCATTTCAAGAGGTTATAATGTTAAAAATGGTACTTCGTGCAAAAATCGAAGATGACTATCAGATCGACGCCGTGATGTCAAGTAAAGTTACGTTAGGCAAGAGGACGACTTGCTTGGGTTGAGACTCGAGAGTGTGTGCCCTCGAGGCGGCTGATAGACGGTTAGCTTCCAATCTGCACAATACGAACGCCAACTGAGTATCCCGCCCATATCACAAAAACAAAAAATAAAAATAAAATAAAAATACATCCTTTAGGTTAGAATGCTCTAACCCTGGTGAGCCCAGCTCATTTTCTACTCCTCTCATCTTCCCTTATCACAAGTTCAAAAGCTTCCTTCCTGTCCATTATCAACTCGGTTGCCTCCCTTTGACAAACACTACAAGTACCAGCTTCATGGCTTCTCTTACGAGCATGCTTGAGCATCAACAACATCAACATTCAATCACACATTTTGCATGCGAGGGTGAATTCGCAGTCTACTCAAAACATGTTTTGCATTCACATTCCTATTTCAATTTCTTTTTCCAACTTCGCTCCCACAACGGACCAGAAACCGCGCCACTCAAGAGGGTTCTTTTTCCCGACTTGTGAAAGTCATCTCTCGTCTATAAAAGCGCTATACAATACAAACAAGCCAAAAAGCCGCCCCAAACATGAAAAAAAAAGTCAATGCATCCAATCCGATAAACCCCCCAATCTCTAATAAAAACACCCAGGGCAAAATTCCAAATGGGTTTGAAAGCAGGGCCCAACCATTTTTTTCGTTGTTTCCGCAATGCAAAAGCCCCGCTCGCGCACGCAGAAAGAAAAAGCATGTAAAATCTATATTACACCAGAAAGTAGTCGACTCCGGGCGCTGGGTATCAAAGGTAAAGTCTGGGTGGGCCTTGCTTGAATGCTGATTCGATCCGTAACAAAAGAAATCCTCAAATATGCAATTCTGATAAAAAGGAAATACGAGCCGTGGAAAGGGCAAGGTGTGTGACGATTCTTCTTCTTCGACACGTTCACAATTGTGGCTGCCATTGAGCGATGGCATTCTGAACTCCGTATCAAGACTTATAGCCCAATTTGTATGGCTGGTCTGATACACCATCAAAGGCTGACCGAGCAAAATAATATCTGCTGATTTGTTCTCCCCGGAACCTCGAATCGACTTTGTTCGACTCGAGTATGCTGAAGCCCCTCATCTCTATGAACCGCTCAAGGCTTGTTCTTTGCTCGTTCTGGTTGAGCCTCGGGGTCTTCCTCTACATCAGGATCGACAAGGTATGCCAACGGAGCCCAAACCCTCCAGTGTAGGATCCCGATGTGTGAAATTCTCGTAGCAATCTCGGTGATCTCCTCCTTGACTCCATTTACCTGAAGAACAGCGGTTCCAGGTAGAGTTCTCGGGGTGGTAGCTCCTTCGAAAATCTGCAGGCTAGTGAGGGGCGTGTAAGTCTCGATGAGCTTCTGCAAAATAGGGGCGAGTTGACCAAGAACACGTGCTTCTGCTTCCTGGTAAACTCTAGACCGAGAGTTCGAGAGGTGGAAGGCCAGGTGAGATTCGAATTGTGGGAGATGGGACAGAGGTGTTGTCGTCGAGCGGAGGATTTGAAGGCCCAAAGCTGGTGCAAGAGCGGCCCATTTGTCATTGGTTGTCGAGGATGAAAGTATGTCAAGAAGAGATGTTCGGACTTGGGGAGCAGAATCGGTGAAAGGTTGAGACAGGGAGAACGCGGTAGGAGGAGAGGTGTCTGGCGTAGAAGCGGTGGATGAGGGCGACGATCGCGGACTTGAAGTCGCTGATGAGACAATATGGCTTTCTTCAACCCTTGGAACCCAGACTTGTCTACCACCCGGGGTGCGAATGAATTGGCCTCGTTCTTGGGAGAGATGCTTTGATTGGGAAGCGGAAAAGTGGCTTGGTTCAGGGAGTGTAGCTAAAGATAAAATTGGGTCATCAGCAGGTGATGCTGGCCTAGAAGTGACCAGAGATGATGTCGTTGGGGTGTCATCTAGTATGCTGTAAAGACTCTCCTGTAACCTGCACTGCGTATCTAAGTTTCGGAAAAGGTACATGCAGACTTCGAGGTTGATCAAATCTAACATATCTGAACGAAGCTTAATCAGGCGCTCTTCGTCGAACAGAAATGTGTGTGGCACCATCTCAGAAGATTTTGACGGGAGGATAAGATAGACGAGTGCTTTGATGAAATCCCACGTGTTTCCTTGAGTATGGACTGTGCCCTCTATCGATAAGATGTCGGGCAAGCTGCTAGCTCGACGGAACCATGCGTGAGCTCCTGCAATGTCAACTCTTCCGAGAGCGATTTTTTTCATAAAAAATTTCTGCTCAAAATGAACGGTGTCCTCGATTAAAAGAGGTCGTAGACACCGTATCTGATGATTGGCCACGTCCTGATTATGAGTTAGTACCGAGGAAGGCTCTCTTTCAATAGTAAACTTACAAGTTTCATTGCTTCTAATACTCCAAGCAAGTTTTGCATGCCAGCAACCAGTAGTTGCACGTCCCCATTTCGATCACCATTACTGAGTTGGGTCACCATTTCGTCGACCCAGTTATCACGCATTGGTGCGCAATGGCATTTGAGGAGTTGGGATAGCCACAGAGCCAGCTTCTCGAGATCAGCTACTCCTTTTCGAAATTGCTGCATCAGCAATTCAACATTGAATGTATCTTCAACGGATGCGCGGTCTCGTTGGGGAACGAGAGTTTCCAGGATCCCTCGAATTGCTTTCAGTGTGGAAGGTAAGCACCATTCCCCATCAATTACAAGCTCCTTTTCGAATTGATCTCTGTTCATGATATAGCTTCGAAGCTGCGCTTTCATTGTGTTCCAGAAGTCATTTGCCCGTTGTGTTTTCCTTCGACCCTTTTCGCCGTCAAGATTCGGTCTAAAGTGTAAATCTGGGTCGAAGTTGATATCGTGCCGTAGCTTTGGATTATTGACAATCTTGTTGACATCGAGTTCGCTGAGGGTTGTTTTCGTCACTGGGGGCTCCACTGCAGGACTGTGCTCCCTTGTGCTCGAGCTTACAGACCTGTCCGCCGTATTCGAGTTGAAGTTATGATTCCGTGGGCCGGAAATACCACCTCCAGACTTGTTCTTGTGTGGGTCGAGGCCATACTCCATACCCTCAATATTTTGGGTATCTGCTACCTGCTGCGTCCTCGCCAACGCTCCTCCATCGTTGTTCGAAGGGCTCGGATGCCCATTCGTCGTTGCGAGGCTGTTCGACCGATCCCTCTTGCTGGCGTCCGCCATGGTGATTACCCTCCCAGCCCAGCTGTGGACCCCTTTCACCACGAAATCTCGTGTTCAGTTCGTTTGGGTGGCTGTGCGAGCCAATACCCAGAAAATAGGTGCTGATCGCTTCGACAGCGCAAATGAGTGTATCTACCAGCCATTGATATCAGCATCCGACGGTTCAACGAGGGTATATCTTAGGGCAAACAAGGAGCGGAGCCTGTGTGATCTCGATGGTCCTCGTGGGTGGGAGAAGCGCGGGTAGGTACAGATTGTACGACTTCGTTCTTCGACCTTGAAAGACCGTCTCGAGGCACGCACGGCTCTTTTCGCCAATGGTCAAAGGGTTTAAGTGTTTGCACTTCTGCAAAGCGGACGCGCACATACCTGATTCTGTGCTTCGTGATAGGTAGCTATTCTTTTTCTATTCAATAGCCAAGGTTTTGTCTATGGACGATCTACAACCAATTGAAATGACTGGAAGGGCCGAGTGTCGCCACCCACGATGTGGAAATGAAAACAAGAGCCGCCGCAAAGGTTGGGAAATGAAGGAGAGGTGACGAAAGCAGTATTAAAGGCAGGGCGTTCGAAATATGCGCAGATAGGGAAGTGTATTTACAAAAAGGGTAGCGAGACGAGACAGGAGGACAGGAACGGAATGGAAGGAGCGCAGGGCGGCTGAACCGCAATCCAAAATGACTGGGAGCAGTCGCAAGTAATGCTCGAGAAAGGGCAAGGTGGTGTCCAAAATTTATATTACATTTGCGAGGAGACACGGGCCACAAACCGTCATGGGAGCGAAGATTCGGGGAGGAGGGGGGAGGGCCAGGGCTTGCCAACAAGATAGGGGGTCAGCGAGAGGAAGCGTGTCCAAAACAAATTAAAAGAGACTGGCCAAAGGCAGGGCTCGGCGAGGATGATGTGCTTTGTGTGCGCAGCGATCCAGCGCTGCGGATGAGGCCATCCAGACTATTAAATAGTGCGCGAGTGGCTGCCAGGTGGGAGGGAGGGATGGGAGATTGGGTTGGGATTGGGGATCGTGCCCTTGCAATCGTCATTATTGTCGCGGACTCACTTTCTCCTCGCCTCCACCTCTTCCTCTCGCTCGCTCTCTCTCCGTGGCCTCCAGCTCACCTCAGCAAAAGATTCCAGTCTTCCAGAAGAAACGCCGGGTGCATCGCGGCCTGCATATGCAGCAGAGCCACTCTTCTCGTAACGGCTGTCGCCTCGTCGCCATCATGGCTTCATCCAATGCTTGCGTGGTCAGGCCACGGCAAGGCCGGGGCAGCACGAAAGAGGCCGGACGACAACGGACGTTGAGTCAGCCAGCATGAGCCAGCATGAGCCAGCATGAGCAAGCATCAGCGTTCAACGTTGAACGCGAGCATGAAGCATGAAGCATGAAGCATGAAGCATGAGCCATGAGCCATCCTTGATCTCTTGATTCTCGATTCTCGATTCCTCACTCCACGATCGATGTCCTGTCCCTGATACGGTTTCCTTGGCTCTATCCTTGCCGGCATGCATCCCCTTCCCACATCGAGGGCAGTGGCAGTGCGCCCAGCTCGCTCGCTACCGACAAATATGCTGCTGCTGCATGGCCACCCTGGCTGGCCCCCCTGGTCCCTGGCTGTTTACCGTCGCCTGTTGCCCGGCTGAGACCGCGGACCGCAGCCCCTCAACGTGCGGGCAATATCTGCAATCCTTGAATCCTGGACTCAACAAATGCAGCCTCGAAATCACATCGTCCTGCCAGGTTTTTGGTGCACATATAAATATAAATATAAAGATCTAAGATACCCCCCCCCCCGCTCTCGAGTTGTCTCCTCTGAGCCAGAGAAAATCGAAGGCTTCCCGATCTGCGCCAAGGCAACGGACAACAACACTTCACCTCGCACCGAGCCAACTCTCCCTCTGGCCGTGCAGTCTGCATCTACACGTCCTCTCTGCAAGCACCCTCCGAATCCCGGCTCGATCGCGCTTTCTCGCCAGCACACTGTGGCCGGGCGTACTCGTGCCATATTGCTTCTCAATGTTGAACCTACCTGCACACCCTCAGGAAAGGGTGATATCTCGAATGGGGTAAGTGGCGTGTCTAACCCACGCCCCCAAGGACGCCATGCACAACCTAGTTTTCCGAAATCTCATTCATCCCGCGGGTCTTAAACATTGGTTTTTGCACAGAATCGAAGCCCTCGACGCCCATCCTGGGACCTTTTGAGGGTGCTACTCCGGAAGTCCGTACTGTATCACTGCAGACTGTCAAACGACCCCCTCACCTCCCACGGACGGCTGGCCATTGGCACCCACGAAACGGTCTGTCGCATCCAGGCGCCCGACTTGTGTCCCTCACCTCCGTCGGTGGAAGGGAGCCGCAAAGCGCAAACGGACTTTGTTTGATCACATTCTCGGATTGTATCGCTCTCGAGCGCGCTGGATTTGGAACATTCTGAGTTGTAATTTCTTAAGCGCGGCATTTGGATTGGTTCTAGATCCTCATTTGACATTTCACAATATTTGTTCTGAAACCAATGAAGGGGCTCAAGCGAGCAATCTTCATCACATCGCGAAATTGAACCGTAGTGAGTCGTCAGGTCGCCTCACTTTTCTGTTTGAGTCGAAATGAATAGGTACTTTCCATGCGAAACACGTGACATAAGTTTGAATTTAACCATCCCATGTACTTGTAGACATGGATCGGGTGGCAGTGCACAAAAGGTTCAGAACTGCAAGGGCCTTGCCTCAGATGCCGATCGCTTTGAAGTATCAGAGCCGAGCACAAAAGGTCGCTTTGCATTGCGCAAAACTTGGAACTTTGCCATGATCTGCATCAAGCGAGGATCCCCCTTTTTCTCAGGAGCCAACCGAATCAGCCTTATTCAAGCCTCACCCGAATGCGATCGTCCTTTACTTCGTCTTATCGTCAAGTATCCCGATTTCTCCAATCGATTGTTCAATGGCTACGAGATTACGAGTGCTCGGATGTCAAGTTCCGAGTCAGAATAAAAGGGGCTCGCTCACGGAGCCGCTCCGAGGCCCCAGCGTGCCAGACGAGCCGAGCGGTTAAACTTCTCGGGCGCAAGAGATTCAATATGTGCAAGATCGACGAGTCAGGATGCTTAATGGGCCCGGTTTCGCTGCTTCAAATTAGCTAGCGCTGACTAAATCCGGAGAGAAGACGCCTTGATGTGAACATGGACGATCTCCCGCGCGGTAGACCATTCGGTAAGTGACTGACCAGTGTTGACTTCACGACTATGTATGTCTCTAGTATTTTTAATTATGAGGCTGTCTCTTGACTGAATGTGCAGTGGCAATATTGGGAAGCTACTGCACCCTCAACGCCTCAACAACCAACCTTTGGATTTGCTTGTTGCACTATTACTCGGCTGCTCTACAACGGATCGGCGGCATCAGATGCCAGTCATGAGCTACAACCTTGCCATATCGCCTCACTCCAAACGTTTGCCTTTCTTCCAGGCCAGCTGGGACACTTCCAGGAAGAACCCTTCCGTGCAAAATGCAGAAGCCTCAACTTTTTCGTACGTTTGGAGACTTCTAGACACCGAGTATCTATCGCAGCCTGTTGGATTATGTCCAGGTGATCAGATGATGATCAATATCTTCTTGTCCGGAGGAACTGCGGCTTCAAGAGTCGGAGATGGTTGTCTCGATTGTTTTGCCTAGATTACCTTCAGAATGACATCCCTTGATTTCTGCAAGTGTGGATGCAATGACTTCTCCTTGGCTTCGAGCAGGATATCGATACGTAACAAAGTCAAGTGTAGGCTTTGAACAAGCAAATCGAGGGTCAGGAGGTCTCCATACCGAGCAAAGTTCACCAAAACATGTTTCAACCCCACGATTTCAAAGCTTCCGGTTTTCAAATTTCTCGTAAGTGGTTATTGAATTATAAATCACGAGGTAATCTTTCTATCGGGAGGAGATGCTCCAACTCCGCTCTATCCGATACCAAAGACTAAGTCTTATGACCGACATCCAAAACGCCCTCAAAACACCTTACAAATGCCTCATACGACAATTCCCTTACAAGGCTGAATTGTGTTTCAGCCCAGCGAAAAATTTCCTTTGCCCTCACGCGGTAGCGTTACCCCGCGGAGGAAAATCACGCAATTCGACCTCCACGCGCGCTCCCGCCCCCTGTTCTTCCACTTCCTCCTCATCCAAATCCGCTCCCCCACCCAACATCGCCATCTCCTCCTCTCCCCCACCATTTCCCGCCTCCTCATCCCTCCCCCTAACACCGGCATTCGTCTCCCCCGCTTGCCCCTTCTTCACAGCAACAAACACCGCACTCCCGAGAATCAATCCACTTCCCCCTAAACTCCACCACCCCGGACTCTGCCCAAAAACAACCTTGTCCAGCGCCAGCGCAAACAACATGTTCGTATAAATCATATTCGTCGCGCGCGCACCATTTCCTCTCCCGCCTACCGCCAGGCCTCGCGTCAGTAAATACTGCATGATAAACCCACAGCTGCCCAGGAACAGGATGAGGAACCATTGGCGCGGGCCGTTGGGCAGCGCGAAGGAGAGCGAGTCGGAGAGCTGCAGGGGCTTCGAGAGGGAGAGGACGGCGCCGGAGACGATGGTGCAGAAGATGGAGAAGTAGTTCACGGAAACGAGGGGGTGCGCTTGGTTGCCTATCCAGCGGATGGAGGTGAATGCTCCTGCTGCGCCTAGAACCCCGACCATGGCTACTGCGACGGCGGAGAGGCGTTGTCCTGAAGTTGGGACGGGGAAGGAGGAGTCGTAGGCTACTTCTCCTTCTACTGCGATTGTTGAGTTGGAGGGGAGGGGAAGGGAGGAGGAATGAGAGAAGAAGGATGTAGGGCGCGCGATGAGAACCACGCCAATGAGCGAGATCAGGGAGGCGTATTGTGCTGATTTGGGGAAGGGCTCGCGCAGGAAGAGGTAGCAGCCGTAGCTTGCCACAGACGGAGCCAGGAACGTGAGAACGACTGCGTCGGCCACGGGGAGGTACTGCAGCGAGTCTGAAAATATCGTATCAGCCTTTTCCCCTTTCAAGTCTCGGGTCTCCCGGGAATGGGGACGGGAAGAGAGACGGCTTTGGCTTACAATACATCCCATAAATCCCAAAGAATCCCGAGAACGCCCTCGCAACAAGCAGCCGCCTCAGTCCTTTCGCACCCAACGGGAAATCAGGGACCCGAGCCCACCACATATACACCGTACACAATATCGTCGTTAACCCTTGTCTCACGAATAGGAGTTGGATGGGCCGCATGCCGTCGCCTTCTAGCTCTAGGAGGCGGGCTGCTACGTTCATGGAAGCGCCGAAGAGCTGGGAGAAGGTTACGTAGAAGAGGCCTTGGTTTTGGTGCCAAAAGGAGTTGAGGGTTTGCTTGGTGCGGGAGAGGAAGGTTGTTGGTTTGGAGGAGAGGGAGGGGGTGTATGGGTAGGGGGATACACTTCGAGGACGACCCATCGAGGAGATGGTGCTTATCGATAACCTTCTAAAGGACTCGGGGTCGAGGAGGGAGTTGTCCCCTGCTTTGCGGGTTGTGCTTCCATTTAGGGCGAGATCGAGGTTAGAGGGGGTGTTGTGGAGGATGTCTTCTTCGTCATCGAAGGTATGCTTGGAGGTTGGTGTTTGGGGCAGCGGGGAGTATGGTGACATAGTTGCTTGGATTCATTGCAAGCAAGAGTATGTATGTAGTCACAGATAGATGAGAATAGCTAACAAGACATATAACAATATGAGACGGAAGTCTTGAGAGAACAAAAGAGGGGATAGTGGTGCAGCCTGATTCAGGTACGTAACATTCAGTCTGCAGTCTCTGCAGAAAGCGGAGGTAGCAGGCAAAACGTACGGTGGCCCGCCTATTGAAATACAGACTGCAAGATTCAGGTCCAGAATAGTGGGATGTCCGGGAGCAAGCAAGTCTTGCCCGCAGTGGGGCACTTGACCCTTAGTCAAGACCTAAAGACGACGTCCCATTCATCGATGACGCTGGCCGGCCATGTCAAAGTGGCGTGCCGCCCGAAATCCTTCGGATCCGTTACAGACACAAATATGGAACCGAATAGAGAAACGGATAAGTCACGGGCCTTGCCTCGTTGTCTTTGTGTTACAGTTTTTTGAAACGCTGGACCAATTGTTGATTATGGAGAGAGAGTTGGAGGGCTGAAGGGGCTGAAGGATTGCGTTGGCACATGGCCTTCAGTGAAAGTGTGGACTTTGGCTGCAGGGTCTGGATGCATGACGGGGTTCCTCATAGGTGGGGATAGAGGGGAAGGCTTACCGATTGGGTGAGGGCACAGCTCCGTTTTCGGGGTTAAAGATGTCGTCTGCTCGTAGGAAAATTCGAGATCGAGATGTTTGAACAGTTTCGGTTGTCGGTGAGTAGGGTCAATGGCAGAGAGCGCTTGGGGGACGTGGATCCGCTGCCCCAGGATGTCACGTCAAACCTGGGGGTCTCCTTCGGTCGGGAAATATTTTCTGAATTCATCGAATTTTGTGATGAATGCTGCCTACGCTGGGTATCAAAGCAAATTTCCCATGCCCTAACGCCTCCATAATGCTTATACCTCTCAATACGCCTTGAAATGTAACACGCTCTTTGTGCCCAATATAGTGCCGTCCCATAATCTCCTTCATCGCCGGATTTCGGAAATCGAATTATGATGGGTAGCTCTAGGAAATGCTGAGATCCGTCGTCTGGGTCCTATGTATGGTAATCCAACGCGGTGATCACCTACGTAGACCGGCTCCGTGTCCACCTTTGCCAAAGCTCTTGCCCAGCTTGCCACCCACATTCATATCAACATCATCATCAGCTTCATTCAACTCCTCCTCCATCGCCTTCACGGCCGATTTCGCAAGCTTGTCATCATCAGGATTCACAATCTTTCTCGTTGAATCAATATCCTTCTTCTTCTCCAACATCTCCTCAATCCTGCCCAGATAGATCGGATTCTTCCGGCACGCAAATCTGATGTCGTCGAGCTTGATCTTTTGACGGCCGGCGAGACTTGCGGATCTGTGGGCTTCGAAGCAGAGTTCGGTGATGAAGTCGGTGATTAGCTCATCGAGGACTTTTTTGGTGCCGTCGAGGGACTGGGAGACATCGCCGTGAGCGAAGAGGAAGTGCTGGACTGGAGAGTATTAGACTTGGAAAGCAAGAGAGAGCAGATAATTTACGCTCTAGATCTGTGAAGTTCTGCTGCCCTCGATTCTTTCCGACTCGCGCTCTGGGCTCCATGGCGGTTGTGTTGATGCGCTGGGTATGATGGAAGGTGAATTCAAGAAGATGAGGTAGTAGTCTGGTCACGCAGGCCAAGGCCAGCGTGTGCTGAAAATGTGAAATAGGGTAAATCAGCCAAGTAAGGGCTTGAGATCGCGCCGCTCAAATGTTGAAGTGTGACAATGTCCCAGATGTAGTTGTAGATTTGTGGTACCTGAAATGTCTCTGGGGAGCTTTCCGGACATTGACGGCAAAACCTCGGCTCGGAGACACTTTCTTCCCTTGAGCACTAGCAAGGCGGCCGCGACTTTCTAGATGTCAATCTGGTAACTCGACCTTGACAGCTTTCACTTTGGCATTATTCTATTCTGTGGTCAACGACCAGAAAGCAAACATGGTGTGTAATAGCCGGGACAAATCCAGCGATGATCCTCCTGGAAAGCTAACTTTCATGTAGTCTGCACTCTTCAACTTCCAGTCGGCCCTGATGGTGCTGCTTCTCCTCATCTGCACCAGCGCATACTGCCATCAACTCTTCCCTGCGTTTATGGACCGAAAAAAGGGCTCGTACGTGATGACAACTTTACTATGAAGTCTTGGTGATGATTGCTGATGATTGCAGACCGATGTGGGGTATCTTGTGGAAATGCGCGAGGATAGGGGAACGATTGAGTCTATACATAAGTGTTTGTTGTGTGATATTTGCTGTAAGTTTTACTTCATGTCTTACCTTGGATTCTCAAAGGGCTGATTAGTGAAGGTCCGGTTGTTCATTGGCGCATAAGGAAATGATTTCGAGCGGGAGTTCAGGGCATTGGAATTTTATACCACACTTTACAAGGCAAACGGTGAAGCAAGAGCACGGAAGGGCGTACTGATACGGAATGCATTAAGAAGTGCGCACTTAATGCACATATAAAACATCAAAAACATCAAATCTTTTGGTATCAATCGCTGAACGCCAACGCAATGCTGAATGCAAATGAGATCTCACTCATGAAGGCTCGTCCTGGCACTCTCGTTCTCTCCCCAGATATCCCTGCTCTCTTGCTCCACTGCCTTCATAGCATTAGCTACTTCCTCCAACTTGGCAACGACATCCAACACCCCCTCATTAACCCTCTGGAAATACCTATCATTAGCTTCTCTCCTTTTCCTGGCCAGAATAATATCAGCCTCTGTCTCCTTCTCCAGCTCACTCCCAAGTCTCTCAGCCACTCCAACAGGAGCACCGCTACTCCCCGGCCTCCCGCTCCCACTAGGAACCGTACTCCCCACCGTATCCAAGACGCTCTTCCCACCCTCACTCCCCAATGGCATCGCCTTCTCCACACTCAACCCTTTGCTCTCCTTATCCGCATTCTCAACCGCATCATCCGCCTCACTCCTCGCCCAGGCCTGCGCCAATTCAATCTGCGCAGCCCGTAGCCCCTCCAACGCCTTCCCATGATCCGGACCAAACACATGCGTCCCATTCACAGCACTGAGCTCCACCTCCTCCAGTGTGCTCTGCATCTCCGCCCACAACGCATCCGTTCTATCGGCTTGCTTCTTCCCTTCTGAATCCTGCTGCTGTCGGGGGAGTGCGGTTCTGGGAAGAGAGGATCCGGGAGCTGCATCTGCAGGGCCATCGCGCTGGGCTAGACGCTGGGAGCGTTGGCGGATGAGAGGTGCTCTTGTGGGGTTTAGGTTGGAGGGGTTAGGAGGAGGGGGAGCCGGAACTACGCCTGGGAGGGAGACGTGAGAGGCATTTTGAGAGGGAGGACCGAGGAATAGGGACGGCGGCGGCTCGCGAAGTTGTTTGGCTTTTGTTTTCGGCGAGGAAGACATGATAACATGGCTTTCTTACAGGGAGACGCGAAATGCGAAATGCATTGACTTCACGATAGGCTTCTTAACCTCCATCGGCGAAACGAAATTCCGGTGTCATGTGATGTCCTCGCTTAAGCCCGCACCACTTGGAGGAAACTCCAAAATTCGTGCCGATTTCTCCCACCTCGACGACAACGCCAACTTCAAACCTTTCAGCACCCATATCGCCATAAACCGGTATGCCGCCCCCTCGCCCCTCAATTCCATCCAAATATCCTCTCTAACGTGACATTTGGCAGCAATCATGGGTAAAGGAAAGCCCCGTGGACTCAACGCCGCCCGCAAGCTGCAAAACCACCGTCGCGAGCAGCGCTGGGCCGATCTCTCGTACAAGAAGCGGGCGCTGGGAACGGCATTCAAGTCTTCACCCTTCGGAGGCTCATCTCACGCCAAGGGAATAGTTCTTGAGAAGGTCGGTGTCGAGGCCAAGCAGCCCAATTCTGCGATTCGGAAGTGTGTGCGTGTGCAATTGATTAAGAATGGAAAGAAGGTTACTGCTTTCGGTGAGTTTGGGCACAAAATTTTTCCCAGGATATTAAGAATGGATTGGGAATTTTGGGAGCTGAGGATGAAATGGGGATGGATGAGGACAATGGCTGATGAGATATAGTTCCCAACGATGGTTGTCTCAACTTCGTAGACGAGAACGACGAGGTCCTGCTCGCTGGATTCGGTCGTAAGGGCAAGGCGAAGGGTGATATCCCCGGTGTTCGATTCAAGGTCGTCAAGGTCTCTGGTGTTGGTCTGTCTGCGCTGTGGAAGGAGAAGAAGGAGAAGCCTAGATCGTAGAGGACAACGGCATGGGGCAGATGGATTGAGATTTGGGGGCACACGGGAATGGTGTTACATTTGCAGGGTGCATGGCTCGTCAGATAAGGGTCTAGCATTTTCGAAATGATCGTGGAATAAGAACATTGGTCATTGCCTACGAAAGGGTGCTTGTTTCGCGAAGTGCTGATAGTGACGGGAGTTGATATGGCCCGATGCTCGGTTGTGCACTATCTTCCTTCAAATCGATCATTTTGTCTGAACGGGCATATTTTGGAGGAGTCTCCGCCTGTGGGATGTCAAGGGAAGACTATTCGTTCCTAGAATCTTTTTGCCCATGTCCCAAGCCCATTACCCCAGAAAGACATTACTGCACGCACATTCTACATTGGAAAGCCCTTACGCAAAACGTCCAAAGTTTCGGTGTCCTTGTAGTCTTCTCATTTCCCCTTCAATTATGTACGGATGATAAATCTATATCAGAGGATACTCTCTGCTGAAATGAATATACATGTTTCCCTCCACATGCTACCCCACCAAATATCTCTTTACATGGTTCTAGAGAATGACAAGAAAATTAACAAGCCTTCTATGTATTCGTTACACCCATCAACTTCCCTCCCCCTGGATAAGTTGCTGCTTTGGATTCCCAGGACCTCTCCCCAGAGCCACCTTTGGAGTCGTAACTCCTTGCACCAACATCCCATACGGCACCGCATAAAGCGGATATCCGTAATTCCCAATCTCCATACCCACAACATTCTCCTTATCCCTCACAATCGTCCCGTTCACAGCTTCCACACTCCTATAATACAGCTCAGTATCTGTGACGACGTTGCTGGTATCGATCCCGCTGAAGGTGAAGTCCTGGGCGGTGCTTCCGTACGTAAAACTGACATTCGCGCTCGGGCTGGCAAAGTAGTACGCAGAGCCATTTTGCATCGTTCTGAGCGAGGTGCCCGAGAAGCCCGAGACGAGCGGGGCGCCGCGGTCGATATGCTGGAAAGGCTGCAGACCGGTGGGGAAGACAGGCGTGCCTTGAACGTCTAGATTTAGACCACGAATGAGCGTTGCTTGAAGGGTGAAGTTGCCGCTGGGTTCCACGAAGTAGCTCGAGTTAGCCCACAAGGGGTATGAATAGGAGGCCTTGTAGAAGGTCCCTCCTTGGGATTGGTCAACGCCCATGGTGTTTTGCTGGTTCGTTTGCACGGCGCCGGCGTCTGTGTATTGGCCCCAATTTGTCACGGTGAGGTTTTGCGTCCAGGAGACGAGGCGAGGTGGACCGTGTTGAGTTTGGACGTAAGATGAGATAGAAAGGTACCGGTTCACGTTGGTTGTGTAAGTGAGAGTCTGGTTGGCACCGGTGGCGTTCTGCGTGTAGGACTGGGAGAGGCTGATCAGGGGCGCTGGTTCGTAAACGTTGGGTTTGTATCCCGTGGTGATGGAGTGCTCTCCGTCGAGCCAAAGGAAGATCTTTCCCGTGACGTACCAGCTGCTGCCGACGGTTGGTGTGAGATAGCCACTCCTCTTTCCATCGTCAATGATACCTGCTACTCGGATCTCAAAAGTGTGTTGCTTTCCATCAGAGAGAAGCGGGAGCCAGGGCGTGATGTCAATCTCGTGTTCTCTCAGGTCGAAAGCATCGATACCGACAATGGGTCGCCACAATCCAGGCACTACTCCACCAGTGAAAATGACTGGGAATGGCCATTGTACTCCAGCAAGTTGTCCATCGATCAATACCTGCACTTCACGGAACGGAGAGTAGCCGTAAAGAGTGCCATCGTAGGGAACGAACGTGTTGGTATTCGATTGCAAGACATTGCTCCACCAGAATTCCTCCGTAGATTGTCCGCAAGCAGATACTGCGAAGACTGCACGGTTGGCATTCCGGGGAAAGCTTATAGTATTGCTTGCATTGAGGCTTGGCAACACGAAGACACTTGCTGCGTTTACGGAGCCTTGCCTTGCTGAGATCGGAAGAATCAGATCCGCAGTGTCGACTGTCTCTTGAGCAGTGAAAAATGTGGCTGTCAGTGTGGTGTTAAAAGCGCCAGTATAAGTGGCGTCAATGAGATTTCCAAGGTCAAAAATCAACTTCTGGGGTGATTCCCAGAAGTACATGAACTCGGTCATGTCCTTGATGTATTCCCAGCGGATACCACTAGCTGTTGGTTCAGCGGTGGAAGTACGCCACACTTCAGTGTCATTGAAATACATCAACGCCAATCTGTCAAATTGACGACCTTTGGAGGTTACTGTAAAATTCATTGTGACCCTGTTGAACTTGCATTTAGGTGGTGTGTAGGCTCCTATCAATAATGTCAGGCAGGTCAAATAAACAATATGGCACCACTAACCAACAAATGGGAGCCCATAGCTGAACGCAAAGGTGTGCTGCATCAATAGAACTTGACAGAAACTGGTGGCATTCGTTTGAGCAACTACTGTGGTATTTTCTGATCCATTGGCCTGAGTGGTCTCGGCTGTTGCTCCAGAGGGAGTATATACTGGTTGGTAGACTTGGAAATCCACGGTGACGCCCGAAGTCGAAGTTGAGACTGCATCTTTGACAAGACGAAAAGTTGAAGACACCAGATTTTTGTGCGGTGGACTTTTGGATGGCAAGTAATCGTGGAGCATCCAGACCAGAGCAATACACAACGCCGCAACGACAGTAAACAAGATCTTAGAAATGCAATCACAAGCAAAGTATCTTCGATAAGAAGCTGGCCTCTTCTCTGTAGTAGTTAGAAGCCGTTCCTTTTCCGCTCCCATATCCATGGAGCCAGCGGTTGTTACGTCCTCGACGTCTTCAACGTCCAAGAATTTAGATTCGTCAAACTTGTGGTCGTTTGGTGGAGGCATCGTGGGAATCCTGAGGCGTTATTGCTTGTAGTGTTCGAGATGAACAGAGACACTGGCGCAGCTCGTGCTGCGATTACTTTCCAAGTACTTGCACAGGGTTACTGTCCGTTTTGAAGTTCCAGATCATCCCAATATCGTTTTCGCGCTGCGGCGGCCAATTGCTGCCCTACAAACCGGTCCTGGAAATAATTGAATACAGCGAATTCGTCTCGTGTCATCACATAGGACGTTGGGCGGGCCTCAATCTTCTTCCATATGTCCGTCAGTGCGGTTTCTAGAAGGCTTATAACTGTGGGATCTCGCGCGCCCTCAGGGCTGTCCCTCGCAATTTCAAGTGCTTGTGCAACAGTGGTGATCGCCGGGGATGGCTGCGTTCTTGTACCCCTATTGCTGACACCCATACTTATTGAAGATAAGGATAAAGTAGAGTGACTAGGGATGAATATAGTGTTGATATCGTTAAAGTTCAAGGGAATCGAAACGGGAAGGTCTGAAATATAGTTGAAATGCATTGCCGGGAAGGGGTATTTAAAGAAGCGGTCAATATATGACCGAGTAAGGAATAATAAGCAGCAGACGAGCAGGGAAGGGATGGCAAAGGCCGAGCTGAATGGTGGTTGTGTGCCCTGGACGAGACGGCTGCAGCAGATAATATAACTGCACCTGGGAGGAACGCCTCATATTTGTTTCTTTCTTCGCAAGAGATGAAAGATCGCCACACGAACCCACAGACAACGGAGAAAAGCCCAGACTTACCGGGTCAGCTAACTACTGGGTTGTATGCACCCGTGTCTAAGTGGCAACAGTGGCCTCGCTCGATGACGATAGCCGCGCCGGGAAGGGGCCTTGAGACTTCGGGAATAGGGCGACGACGCACGACCTTCCTGAAGTGTGGAGCAAACAGATGCAACGCTGCACTTAGGATCAAACGCTCTGTGGAAGCTGCTGCTTTCTGAGTGGGCGTTATGGGAAAGTCAGGGGTCGAGCATATGGGGCAGCTACCATACCTGGGTGATGGCTTCGGCGATAGCCTGGCCAAGAAGGGGGGGCAGTATCAGAGTCAACTGCAAAAGTGGTCTTCGGGACGTCAGCGCTCAGGCCCGTATCCGTCCCCGATCCAAACGAAGTTATCGGCACAGTGTTGTCCCTCGACATCGACATCGACAGAGCATGAATAAGGGACGTCAGGAGGTGGCCCGCTAGCGAGGCTGGCCAAGCCAAGCCTTTGGAGCGCTACTGCAGGCAGCGGAGGCCCCGTACCAGGCGCCAAATCGCATCTCAAGGCGCCTGAAGTCAATGCAGATCAGGCTGAAGGAGGAGCCCAACCCACTGGTTAGGGGCATCAGCAGCACCTGCAGGCCCGGAGGCCGCTGTCTTTCACGGTCCACTGTCTGCAGCCGTCGCGCTTCACTCGCTGTGGCTAGTGTGCGCCGCTGCAAGGACATAAGTCAGTGTTCAGACGGACTCTCCTCGGCAAGATCCACCATCCACAAACATCCACGCCGCCTCCTCCTCCTCCACTAAACAGAGTTCCGACACGCATCTTCCGCGGCTGTCATGCAATCCCTCTGACTTTGCAAAAGCTGGAGGCTGAAGCTCAATTCTTTGGCAGCGGGCTGGTCGGCAGTGGGTGTCTGGCCTCCGAAGTCTCTCTCTTCGCGGCTCAATTATCCCAGACGTCCCTCCAATCTTGTCTTTAGCCGCGATCCAGCATGCCGGGAATGCCTCTGTTTAGCATAATTCAGCTTCCACATACAGTGTGCTCCACCTCGTGAGATCGACTACTGGCCTACGGCGTGCCCAAGTTCGAAACCTGCGATCCAAGCACAACTGTTCTTCTGCCGCATTCGTCCGCACCCGCGCCGCGCTTGTCTGACGCTACGATCCCTTGCCTACTTCTCTACTGTAGCCTGCACACCTGCAATATCGTGGACCTTTGCTGCGACCATCAAGGCCTCGAATGTCCGGGGAATTTAGGATCTACATGCGCCACAAGCCTCCATATCTTTGCTTTGCTGTACCCCACCTCCCATCATCTTTCTGGGACAACACGAAGTTCTTCAAGGAAAAGAAACTTCCATCCTGCCACTTCTCCACCAGACCACTTTTCGGGAAATTTTGTCATCGGCGTCCAATGTCTGGCGATTATTGCCTCGAAAGAAGTATTCTAGAAGTAGTTGTTATAGCGGTTCTTTAAAAGGCTTCCCGGCGATGCTCTCCCAAGTAATTCTCCGATGCTCCGCTATGTATGACCAATAAGCTACACCTATTCCCAAAATCGACATACCTCCGCGTCCAAGCATCCAAATGCTCAGTTGTTTGTTTGACCAGCAAGACGGAAACCTCGGGTATGCTGTATCAATTTCCGCCCGATGTGCGTCTCAGATCGCCGGCGATGAACTATCTTCATACCGACCCAGGCAGCAGTCCTCGGTCAGATAGGTTGACCTCGTTCATCCGCAGCTAGAGGGATGCAACCCGGCATTGAGCACACCGAATATTATGCGAGTCCAAGGCTACCGATGTTGCAAATCACTCGGAGCTGAATATCAAGAGAGCCCGCCACCGATCAAGGATGCGTTTGAAAATCCTCATAAAGGAGCTTGTGCGGGAAGTATCTTTCGGTTTTGATAATGCCAAGAGAACCACCGTCCTCTTGCCTGACTTGACAAATCGAGAATCAAGTTGAATCATGAGATTAATTAGACCCAGAACCTGGCAAGCAAGTGGAACGACTTTGCCTCCCGGGGAGGGATTGGGGCGATTAAAGTCAAATTAAATTAAATGATCACAAAGCAATATGTTCTCAGAGGGAAGGTCCGAAGGCCCTGTGGATGAAAACATCAGGCACGATTCAGAAAGGCTCCAAAAATAGGTCATACAGCGGACTGAAATGACTCGACATCCGGGAACCGCTCCTTTCTCGGTTTAAGGTTGCTTATCGGCTGAAGTTAAAACTGCATTGTTTTGCTTCTTAGTCAAAAGTCAAAATTAGAGGCCAGTGCCTTCCCGAGTAGCAGGTCCGAGTCAGGAGTTCAAGATATTGAGTGTGACTTGAAAACGGATTTACTCAGTTGATCGTCCAACATTGTCTTTAACTTGTACCTTCCCTGCCCACGACAAATGGAGGTTTCTGGCAGGTGTCGTCTCAGTCACGTGATTTATGGCATCAACCGTTTCCTGGACTTGACAAAAATGAGTTCTTTGCGGTTCATGTAACTAAAACTGCCTTTGTCGTTGGATATCGCAGTGGTATTCTTCTGGTGAAAGAGTTTTTGATCTCTTTGGGGTTTCCCTCAATGACTTCATTTCTGAACCACGAAGGTGACGGGCATTGAAAATCGTCCATTTGCAGAGTGAGCGCAAGAACACTAAAATTGCCTTGTGCGGAAAGTCGCATTAATCCCCAAAGCAACACCCAAAATTTTCTATAAGAGTGTTATATATAATACAAAAATAGCACATTAATCTTTTGCAAGATTTTTATAACGATTAAATTTGGGGAGAAGTTGCGAGACATTTATAACCGTGCAGCCCCTTGACTTCCCAAATCCTCGCTTAGCGAGTTGAACGGATTTTAATGCTCGCCGCCTTCGTACACGGCGCCAGCCCCAAATTACAGTCTTCAAGGATTTGCCCACCTAGGACAGCATAATACTAGTTTAAAATGGTATAACTCTTCTAATAAGGCTAGAAAATAGAATCTTGGCTCAAAAGATTGAAGCCATTTTGAGAAGATCTTGGTTGTGCCGGCCAATGCAGCAGCGTACCAGATTTGAATATGAACCAGAACGCTGCACGTCGAGTTCGTAGCTTTACAATTTTAAGCGATAGGAAATTCGAAATGCGTCTTGGGAATTTGGTATGGACGAGGACTCGACTTGCTCTTGCATGACTATGATCATTCTGCAATGGAAAGCCAAAGCGCTTTCAGGTGGTTTTTATATCTGGTTTTTATATCTGCAGTCTAACTGCAAGTCGACTACAACCTTTCGATTCAGTTTGGTTTAAGGCTCTTCCCCGCTTTAGCTTGTTGGTCCAGAATTATTCTTAGTATATTGTTCTTTCAAAACTGACTGACTAGGCCGACTTTTTTGCCTTGGGCTTCGTCATAGTATCTTGTTGTATCAAAACGGACTGGCCAGGTTGGTAAGATTACTTCGTCCAATTCTTTTCCTGACTGCCCCTCTCAATTTCAATAGGTACTTTGTTCTCACTAAATTTCTTTCTCACTACAAAGAATTTCAACCACGATCAGTCTATTGTTTTCGCGAACTCTTTATCTTCAAGCACAATATCTTTGTTCTCCCTACCTACTTCATCAATCAAGCAACCCCTCACGGACGCCAAGACATTCTTCCCAAAGTACTTCGCCATATTCGATTCCTGAGGAATTGTATTACATCATGCATTTCCGAAACGAAGTTGGTTTTCTTCTCCTCGGTGTCAGTACCCTCCTGCCCTTGGTGGCAGCTGGTCCTGGTGGCTATGTGACCCTCATCAATGCGTCGCCGTACGACTGGAAATTAACATACTCCCACTCTTATCAGATGGACTGGCAGCCGGCAGCACTCATCCCAGCCGGGGAGAGCCACGAGCAGTACCTTGAGTGGTGGTACCATCGAGGAGACATCGGTGATTGTGCAGCAGAGGCAACCTACGAACTAGTGGGAAGCCCTAGAAAAGAAGCCTTCCAACTGAAGGCAACACAATCGGCAGGGAAGGATCTCCAGATTCAATATCTAGACAATCTCTCTTCTCTTAACAATCCGGAAAACTCGCTCATCCACCTTGGCTTTGAGCATGATGGAGGTGTGTCTTTCATCCTCTCCGGAGATGGAACTAAACCATATGTCTCGTCCAATCCTCCACCCGGTTGGATGCAGGCTACCCTTTCGGCGATCGGACCAAAGACATTGAGAGAGATTTCACTTCCCGCTAGCCACGACGCTGGGATGTCCGAGGTCACCCAAGGTTGGGGCGGGATAAAACACAATACGCAAACGCAGTCGAAACCCATAGGCGGGCAACTGATAGACGGCGCGAGGTGGTTCGACATTCGACCAGTTCATTCAAATGGCGGCTTCCACACCGGACATTTCAGCGAAACTACGAATAACTGGTTTCTGAAACTGATCGGTGCTGATGTTGTCGGCGCCAAGGGTCGTAAGATCGCGGACATTGTTGCTGATATCAATAGCTTCACATCCAAACATGAGGGCGAGCTCATTATCCTCGACTTGAGCCACGAAATGGGTGACGTTAAGTACTGGACAACCGAGTGGAAACTCTCAGTAGAAAAGTGGGAGTATTTGTATGAAGCATTCGCCGAGATCAACGACCTCTGGACGGTGGGCAACCCCCCTCAGGACTACACCTCTGTCCCCCTCTCGACCTTCATCCAACCTGGCTCCAAATCCGCTGTCTTAGTCCGAATTCCTGGTCACGCCCCCCTCCCACGCCAAACAATCAGCGAGTACAAAGTCATCCCACTTTCGGCCTTCGTCCAAGATTACCGTCTCCCTTTCGAAGGCTCCTACTCCGACACTGATAACCCGGACCACCTGGCCACCGACCAAGTTTCTAAGCTGCACAGCATGCGCGTTGCAAGCCAATCCATGATGCAACGCAGTACCTGGACCATCACTGTCGGCCTCGCGAAGAACCTCGATATTGCCAACAAGGAAAACAGCATCATTGGGCAAGCGGTGCTCGCGCACCGCAAGCTATTCTCAACTTTGTGGCCCGCAATGAGCAAGACTTCGTACCCGAATTTGATCGAGGTGGATGATATCAATAGCCAGGTCACGGCGTTGTGTATGGGCATCAATGATCGCTTTGCTTCGAGTAATCCGAAGGTGAAGGCGAGACAACTTCAAGAAAGGCAGCTATCTTCAACGGGCACTATTGAGCCTATTGCAAACCTTACGACGGCTTCAAGCACATTGCCTCCACGACCAACGCTCACTCCTGCTCCTTCTCCTTCGACAATCAGAATTAAGAGTCGCCCATTTGCGATGCTTAGGTGAGCTCGTATTACCTATCTTACTGAGGTAATTACGGATTCGAGAGAAATACAGAGGAAGTGCATCGTCATCTTTACACCTAAAAATTAAGCGAGGCCCGAGGGCATTCGCTTACAGAGTCGCTCAAGTCTGTCCTCTGACAAGTCGAGGACAATCACAAGTCGAATCGGGTTGCAACATTATATAAATTTCTTTTGGGAAATACCGAGTTCCGGGTAGTCATTTGCCATGTTATGGATTCTTGGTTTATGGTTTTTAGGCCGGAGAATTTGCAGTGGTACGCATAAACAAAAAAAATGGTTTGCTTGGGTCATATTGTATAATCAGTAGCTTGATTTGGAATTACTCAATGGATACTAAGATCCCCATAAATGTCTGAAATGTGACTTCTTGTTGTTGCATAGTAAGGTTGGTGATGCGATGTTTCTCACCACTCGTTCATGAACCATTCCCTAATAAATTTTGCAATAATGCTAACATTTCACCCAATATGTTGTATAGCGCCTCGAATAACCATTTGACAGACAGCAGCCTCCGAATCTCATTACAACCTCTTGCGCGCCAGCCTACTCTCCCGGTGGACAAAAAAAGCGGCGCTCAATTTGAATGTCCTAAGTCAAATAGGAGCATTTGATTAGAGTGGAGAGGAGCCAGAATCAATTTTCTGGAATTTCCGAGATGTTTACAGGGAGTAGACTTTCGATGTACAATATCGCATGCGTATATTCAGAGAGGTAATACTTGCAATGTCCAGCTTTGACTTGGGACATTGAAAGTGGGTGCTGCTTTCCCCCGCATGCCACTGCGGCCAAACACATGCGCGGCAAGCTCATTGCAGACCGCCTTTGAAATTCTGCCGCAAAGCTCCACTTCCGAACGACATCCTTCACCACCACTCAACTCCTCACCACCAGCACCCCTCACAATGGCAGCCAAAGCAGCTATTTCAGGAGCAGCAGCTACCCAAATGCTCTTCCTCCTCCGCTTTATCCAACAGGGTGCTCTAGTACTGGTCGGGTTCGTCGCGTGTTACTTCGTGTACTGGCATAATTCCCTCCGAGATCCCGTTCCGCTGCCGCTCATTGGATTGATCACCGCCGTTCGTACCCCTATCCCTCCCTTTCTCCAATATTGAGATGTATACTAATGACCGATTCAGTGTACACTATCCTACCTCGAATGCGGCATCTCCTCCGCGCTCTCCCTCGCCCAAGCTAGCGGCAACGCCAAGTCAACGCCTAACTACACCTTGCTGCTTAAAACCAGCACGCCGTGCTCCCTTTCTCTAGCCACCAGCTATTATGCGCTTCGTCAAATGCCATTTGTAAGAGAGTGGTGTGAAGGCGATAATTGGTTCAGACCGAGTAGAGAGAGTAACGGGTACACGCTGGCACCTGCGGGCATAGAGGAGCATCAGTGTGCGCTTACTTGTGTGCTGATTGGGGCGGGGATGGCTGCGGTAGTGGTGAGTGTAGTGATTTCAGTGGTGGCGGGGATGGGGGTGGTTATGGAACTGAGGGGGATGGGGTTGGGGTTGGGGTTTGGAATGGGGAGGAGGAGGGGTGGGTATGCAGCTTTGGATCCGTATGAAATCGGGGATGATTATGATGGGAGTACTGTTTGTTCTGTTGAGGAGGTTGAATAAGGTGCAAGGAGATAGATTGCCGGTTTGGGAATTAGAAGGGGTTGATATATATAAGTTCAGCTGTGGACATTATTAATAGATGTTGGTTAAGGTGAAGTTATACAATCAGATAATGGATCTGAGACCTTCTACAGCAGAGTGCATTTTGCAATACGGTACCTCTTACAACAGAAAAGCCTTTCTGGCTAGAAGCGAATTCTTCAGATGCACACCAGAATAAAGAACCCTCTGGTTTAGGAGAGGGGTGTTCTCCCTTGCGTCAGTATCTTGACTGACCCTATTGATATAAGCCTGTCAAGTAGGTGTGCGGTGTGCAGAAAAGTAGATTATAGAACGAAATCAGCCGAAACTGAAAGTGATGTTGGTACATAGGTGAAGAATGAAGTAAGCCTAAAGCTCGAAGCTTGGCTCTTCCTTTTGAGGGGAGGCGCCCCCATTGGCCAGTGCAAAGATATCACCGAAAAGGCCGATATGCAACGAAACTTTAAAAAAGAAGTAGGGGAGCTGTCATTGGCCGAGCGTAATGCAACAAAACTCTTTGAATCGAGCTAAACAGGGGCAGAGAGCTGTGAGTGGCCGGGACGAAGTGCAACGAAATCTAGTAAAGAGCCGTGGATTTGAAAGGATGATCTCATTGACTACTGCGTCTTGCAACGAAACGTTTGTATTACCCTTTGGATGGCAGAGGAGAGGTCAAAGTTGCCGGATTGGGACGTACGTCTTGCAACGAAACTCTTTGAGTCGAGCTAAATAAGGGACTAAGAGGAGCAGGGTGTTGCCATTGGCTGGTGCGTAGTGCAACGAATATGTTTGAGTTGAGGGTGAATAGAAGATGAAGGCAAAAACAGGAAAGTATCTAGGTGGGACAGTTCTCAAAGGTGAGAATCGGGATAACTCACTACCTCCAACAGAATTCGGGATAAGTTCAGGATTCCTTAAGCCGATGGAGTACGATGTGCAACGAAAAATTGAATATTGAACTAGAAAGTGGACTAACTTGTCATTGGCAAGTAGAATTCATTGAGAATGCACGATGTGCAACCAAGACTTTGAGGATAATAGAGGTAAAATCAGCTAAGCGGCCAGAAGGGTGAGCAATTCAATAGAACCAGGCATTTCAAGCAATGTTTAAAGCTTTGGAACCTTTAAATACAGCAAAATATCACACATCGCTTTGACATAACAGCACTTGCTTTTCAACATATCACACCCACCCACCATCATTCTTAATCCAAGGCATGGACAACCTCAACAGCTTCCCAAAATCCGGCGTCCCCAACCCCGTCACCGCATCCCATCCAACACTTGCGTTCCAGCCCGCTCCAGGCAACACAGGACTCCCATTCTGCTTCCTATGAAAATTGCCATACCCATTACACCCAGTACTCCTCCCTTTCGTAATATCATTCAGTCCCCACCTGCCAACACCATACAACCACGGATTCAGAAACCCCAACGTCGGCAACCCACTGTCAATCCGGGCTGAATTCAGCAGCGCAATAATCGCATTAAAGGTAGGAGCAGCACAACTAGTTCCCATGTAACTCTTATCAAACCCCAGATCAATAACCCTATAATTCAACGCCTGCGCCGCCACATCCGGGAATGCTCTCCCTCTCCTATTATACCACCCTTCATTCTTATCCCCTACCTTCCTAAGGTATTCATCGACGGCCCAGGCTTGGTACGCTGGTCGGGGCCAGATGTTGGAGAAGCCGCCGGAGGAGAAGGAGACTGCTACTTCTGGTTCGACTTGAGCCGTTCCGCCGACGGCTGTTACCCAGGGACAAGCGGCGGGAAAGGTGGGCTGGAATTTTGTGCGATTGTGCCCGTCGTTTGAGATACAGAAATCCCCTGGCCCGGAATCGCCTGAGGAGAATAGGATGGACTTTCCTCGTGCTCCGAGCTGAGCGAAGAGGTTACAGACTTGTGTTGCGTAGGAGATGGGGATCTCTTGCTCGCTCTCGCCGTAGGAGATAGAGATTGAGTTGGGGATGTCGCTGTTGTCCAACTTTGTGAGAGCGAGGAGGAAGTCGAGGTAGGGTTCGTTGGTGTTGTCTACTTGGGTCGGGGAGTCGCCGTCTGGGATGAGGAGGCCGCGCCCCCCGGTTGAGAATTCGGTTACGGGGGTTGGGTAGGAGACTGACAGGATGTATTGGTTGTCAAGGTTTGCCTCGCCGGAGTCGTTGGTCGAAGTTTGGTCGTTGAGGCCGCCGTGATATTGGGTGACTGTGAACTGTTACTCCTTTAGTGAAGTCGTTTTGTGTGGGAAGGGGGGGCTCACGTTTTGATCAACAGCGTATGGAGCATACACCTTCTCAAATGTAGCGAGGTCATCGTATCTCGCATATTGCTCCAAGAACGAGGCATAGCCAACCGTATTCCCGTTATCCGGATCCGCGTCGTAGTGCACATTGTACAGGTTCAGGAGACACTCAGGGGTAATAGTTTTGTTGCACGTAATGTTGACTTCAGTGGCAGCTCCTCCCCACCACTTAGACTGACCGTCTGATTTGACACCTTCATCGGCAATTCTCGCCATGGAGGACAGTGGCTGCAATCCCCCGAACCGGGTGGTGGGTTGTACGAAGTTGATGTGCTCTCGGATTTCGTCCGGGACGGAGTATTGACGTGTTCGGAGAACCTGCTGCTTGGTGTCCCTGCTTTGGTACCAGCCGAACTCAGTGCTGAGCATTCCGTTCGCAGTATAGACGTCTGTTGAAAATAAAAGGTAGTCACCCTCGTCCTTGGCTGCCGTGATGTTGTTGTCAGATAGCCAATTATATGCTGCGCTTGAAGTTTCTTTGGTAGGCTGGAGGAGGCTTCGAAGCTCGTGGCCTTCGTAATGCATTCCATAATTCGGATGCTCTGGAGTCGATATTTCCAGTAGCTTGTCATAGAAGTGGTCTATATTTTGCTGCTTGAGAGACAGACGGAGCTTGATGGGCTCGTTTCCATCAGCTGTGCGAACGAAGCTCCATCCGCGAGGAAGTTCGCGGATTGATTCGAAGACTTTGCTGGTGGGAGTAGCTTGTGTGAAAATCAAGAAAAAGAGGCATTGGAAGCCCAATTGAAGGGCAAACATCTTGTTCGCTGAAGGGAAAAGCAACGATGACGGGAGTTCCGAGAAACCTGGGACGAAATGGGATATTTATTTTCCCATACTGACCTCCGAGACATCATGCTTTTGCGGGGTTGTTGATAGCCATCTCGGCATGTATCACCAACACAATGCCGTGAGATATAATGACTGTCAGGTGCCCAGTTGTCGTGCTCGAGCGAGCTGACCATGGTTGCCGAGGAGCCGAATGTGTGTGGTACTCTCGTGCATGAGTAGTGTCTTATCGTCACTGGAGTAGCTCTCAGGCTCCAATTAAGAACCTCAAACTTTCCAGGTCAATCTATGGATAATAAAAGTAAATGTGCCTTAACCTCCATTTTTATGATTAAGTGTTTTACAATTTATTGTTCCCCGTCGGAGCAATATATCCTGGAGGCTAAAAGCTCTGAATGGCAGGATTGGTTGTACGAGCAGCCGGCCTAATTACGGCCAAGCCGGTAAAATAGCCCTCCCTGCTTCTGGAACTTCAAACTTCAAAAGTGGTAAATTATCCAGGCTCGATGATGAAAGGATGTTGATGCAAGGCGGTGAGGGAAGTGGGAGTTCGCAGCCTCGTGTGACCCCAACGCCATTGAACAAATGAACTTGATGCTAGGAGTAACGGGACTTACTTTCCTTGAAAGCCTCGAGTAACTTAGGTTTCCATGATTAAGATGATATTTCAAACATTACTCATATACAAATCTAAATGTGTACTGTACAAACATTTTATGTCCCGCTCTCCCCAAACGCCATGCCAATGTGTATCTAACCATCTATGCTCCTTGAATCGTTTCCAAATCATATCTCATGACAGATCGCGAACATAGCAAGAATATCTCTTCATCACAATAGTAACAAACTAACACCAACCAAACAAATCGCCAACAACATGGTGCTCCGCCCAATGACCTCATGGAGACCTGACGCAGCGCTGACTGCCTTCCCACAACAAACCCTGTTATACGTGACATTGTTGTATTTCGCAGCTACTTCGAACACTGATCCATTTCCAACGTTGTAGTAATCAACGTTCAAGAACTTCGGTGGATAGTTCCACGTATCATTGCATTGCTGTGTGCTGAGCCCGAGGCTTCCAAATTCAGTTCCGTTATCGTTAGTGATATTCAATAGTGGAATGTTTGGTACGAGGAGACTATTTCCAAGGATGTTGATATTGTAGTTCAGGTTGTGGTTTGTCATGTAGAGGCGGAATGGGGCGTCTTTTGGCAGAAGCGCCGGGGGTCGTTGGATCGTACAGGGGAAGGAGCGGTTCGTGGGGTCGAAAGGCGTTTCCCACATTTGTGAGAACTCATCGAGGATATAAGGAACAGCCGTCTGATTTGCCTCGTAATCCATAAAGAAGATGACTCGTTTACCAGTCAGAATCATAGAGCCCAAAGTTGGCCAGTCGGTAATAGCCATTGGAATTTTTGGTGGTTGATATGCGTACTGGACTAATCCGGTCTGTTCGAGGAAAGGAACGTATTTCGTGACGGGACTGTAATCTCCGTTTCCAAGAAGAATGGTCAAAACGTCGTAGGGGTGAGTGCTGACCCAGTCGTAGACTTTACCAAGGTAGTCCGTGATCGGGCCTGCATCAAGGATATCGCAGGAGGAATGGCAGAAATGTGGTATGCTGCCATTGAAATGCACTTGACCTTGGAGAAGACGAATGCCGTCGTTTAGTTGGGTTGTGACGTCCAAAGCTTGATTGGAAGCTGCATTCCCAGTCTTCACAAATGGTGAGTTGTGGGCTGCAACCTCGGTGATGTTGCCATATGGTCGAGAGCAGAATTCGGGGTAGTTATTACAAGGGGTGGTATTCGTAGGTTCGGCGGAAGAGGAGGTGGAAGTAGATGTTGAATTGGCTGTCCCATTGAGAGCTGTGGTGGTGTGAGGACGCCCTGAAAGGATGACTTGAGAGTCTGTAGTTTGGGTTGAAGCCCTTGAATGAGTAGCATTGCCGGTAATCACACTCCCAATTCCAAATATTGTCATCGTCCCCAGAGTAGTAGTTCGTGTCGTGGATCCGCTGGTAATTGTTGAGACAACAACAGATGTACTAATTGCTGAAGAGGTTGTTGTAGTAGGTACTGTAAGAGTAGAAGCATATGAGAGGTATGATCCCGTTGGTGTCGTGTCCGTTGCTCCAGTCAGGGTAATAACACTCTGACTCGAATCTTGTGCATTCGCTGCAACGGCAAAGAGGCAGCCAAGTGTGAGGAGACTTGAACTGAGCATGATTGCGGTGTTGACTTCCGTGCTTCGGTGTTGAGAGCACTCCAACAGCCAGCAGCTCAAGCGAATGTATACGGGCGGTACGGCTTGGAGGTACGTATAAAAGGGGATGGGGTCATTGAAAAGATTCGCAGAGTCGAGCTTGGGCGACGCCAATATGATCCTGGCTAATGCTTAGTCCAGCTCGTAAGGATATCGGCAACAATTTAACAGCCGTCGTCCCAAAAAAAAAGTGGACGTTTTGTCAATGACGTCGAGCGCATGGGCAAAATCGGAGCTATTTCGAGGATCAATGCCACTAGAAGAGGGCTTAACTTTGTTCCTCCAGCCCCTCCAGATCCAGAACCATGGGTCAAGAGTAGCCCAAGAAGACAACACACCAAAAAAAATCGAGACAGAAATCTTGACAAATGCTGAGATGCCAACGCTTGTCGGCGACTCAGCTTCTCGAGTGAGGTCGTCATTTGTGAGGCTGAGTCGACCAATCCAGCAGTGCGAGAAAGACATTTGGAAACAGCCTTGCAGAAAGTGTTGAGAAGTGTGCCGATGATCCACTAATCGCGCAGCAACAGACTCGTAAGTGAACGTCTCAGGGATGTTTCCACCAGTCTCTGAAGATGAGGTTGGATCTTTTTCGGATCACCACAGGGAATATACGGGTGGATGATTTTCGGGAGGTCAGTGGCTTCAGCGGGTGGCAAGCATTGGCTCAAAGCCCTGCAGCCCCCGGCAGTGGCGCGGCACGCTGGAGCACCGCCCGAGTGTGGCGTTCTTCCAGTGAAGAACCGCTAAGCGAGGCCCCTTTTCCAGAAAATGGGGAGGAATAACTGCTGTCCAAAGCTATCAAGTTGCAAGATACAAAAAGGTAGTCGTCGCACAGCCATATTCGGTTATATTGAAGCTTTTGATGGAAGTCCGGAATGCGCGCTGAGTGGAGCAAACGCACCAGTGGCTGGAAGTCTCCTCCCCTGGCACACTAAAACATCGAAATCCCGCGTCGAAGTGGGCCCAACGGGATCGAGACGCTTACGAAGTACGCGCAAGGGGGCTGCGGTCCCTGGTCCATCGATGATGTCGTTGTACCTCTTCAAACGCCCTAACCCGGCTGCTGTTGATATACACGACTTTTCCTCTTCCTTGGACTGTGCTTGCCGTCGTCGGATTTTTGATATTTCTCACCACTTTCGTTTACCGTGACCATTGGCTGCAAGCCAAGTATCCAAACATGGCCCTCCCGACATTCAGATCACTTGCTGCCCGGAGACAAAGGAAGAAAGAGGAGCAACCAACAGGAGTAACTGGTGCAGAAAATAATTCAGAACGAACCCTGACACCAAATGGAACATATATACCCGGCATTAACGTCAAACTCGCAACCAAAACAAGAAAAAACTGGATTCTCCTCTCCAGCCACTTCTTCTTCATCTCCGTCATATTCCTAATTCTCGTACACCCCCCTCCACCCCAAATCCAAACACAGCTAACAAGGAACCCCAGGTCGAGATCGGGAATATCAATGATAAGGCGGTAATCCGCAATACCTATTTCTTCACTCTCAACCTCACGAACATTATTCCTTCCTCAGCAGGAGACATCACGCTCGTCAACTCCCTTGCGCGCTCACTGGGCCTGCACGACTTCTACCAAGTCGGCCTCTGGAACTTCTGCGAAGGCTACAACGACGAAGGGATAACGTACTGCTCGCCCACACAAACCCTGTACTGGTTCAACCCCATCGAGATCCTGCTCAACGAACTGCTGGCCGGCGCTACCATCGCTTTACCAGCTGAGATCAACAACATTTTGAACCTGATCAAGATTGCGAGCCATCTTATGTTTGGCTTCTTCTTGACTGGCGTGTGTATGAATTTCGTCAATATCTTTCTGGCTCCGATTGTACTGTATTCGAGATGGTGGTCCTTCCCCTTCGCCATCTGGACGTTCATCTCCGCTTTGCTCACTACTGCTGCCACCGTTATCGCAACGGTTATGTTCGTTATCTTCAAGAACGTCATTACAAGTCAACAGGGCTTGAACATCGGTGCGGGGCTTGGGACGCAGATGTTTGTGTTCATGTGGATCGCTACAGCGTTCAGCATTTTTGCGTGGCTGATTCATGTGAGCTTGGCGTGCTGTTGTGCGAGTCGCAGGGATGTGAAGACGGGAAGGAGAAAAGGGAGGAAGAGTGCATATGGCGATGTGGGGAGTGACGAAAAGAAGAGGCCGGTTGCTGGCGGGAGACGATGGGCGAAGATGCCGAGATTTGGGAGAGGGTGACTGCTGGGCAGGCGGTTTAGGGGGTGAGGTTATGGTATGAGGTTGTGGTATGAGGTGAGGTGGAATGTGTGTATGATGATTTGTAAAATAGAATTGGGTGTGGCGTGCATGGAAGGCGTTTTGAGATGGAGGTTATCTTTGAGCATTTGAGCGGTAGTTAAGAGGGGGAAATGCGTCAATGTTTGATGTGTATATGTTTGAAACAAGGAACCGATCAAAACACCCATATTTCTTGTCACATCGATTCCCGTATGGACGTACTTCACCCCATATTTCCCACTGCAGGTGGAGGGTAGAGTGGTGGGTAAGTTGGGATATACGGATCCTGCCTCCTCAGGTGAAGTCAAATCCAAACTCACTGCGAGAGCCAAATGGCTGGTGATGGTCAATGTAGATCTCCCTCTAATTCCTAATTGATCAGGGCACCATGGAGTCATTTATCGAACATTTGTCTCGCATAATGTTCTCCAGCTTCGACTTCCTTTCTTCATCTCTTCCAGAGCCTCGAAAACATCACAATGCCCACTTCCTGCAGCCCAATCTAATGGCATGAGGGCCTTGCCATCCTGTTGCTCCAATTTTGCTTTGTGATGAAGCAACAGCTTAGTTATTTCCAGATGTCCATTTCTCGCTGCTCGATGCAGAGCTGACCACCCGTCCCACTCAACTGCGTTTGGATCCGTTCCTGCATCAAGAAGTAGCTTGGCGCAGGATACACTACCCATTTCTGCAGCCCAGATCAAAGGAGTGTCTTCGGATACGCAGACTGTGTGGACGGACTTTGGGTCTTCTGAAATATAAAGCTCGACGAGCCAAGGGAGATTGAAATAAGATGCGAGATGGATTGGCGAACTCCCCATGGGAGGATATGGATTGCCTTGGTAAACGATGAAATATGTAAGTCTCATGATACCATCTCGACTTAACTGAGAAGCTAGAAGCTGCCGAACCATATCAGAAAGGGATGAGGAAGGCATTCCTATGGCGCGAAGATGGAAAGCCCAGCTCTCGATTGCGTAACAGAGTAAAGGATGTAGACTAAGAAAGTCTTCTATTTTGCGTTGATAGTCTAAGGCGGTACCGATATCATTTATCTCCACGACATGGAACAGATCCTCGAATGTTCCGTCCCGGAGTAGGTATTGTACGCATACTTCCGCCAGTTGCCTGTTGGCTGTTATCGAAGTCATTCCTATATCTTCTGTCTCACGAAGAGTAACTTTCCCCGCAAATCGCTTTAGGAAATCCCGTGTTGTTTGGTGAAGCAGGTTGATCTCTCCTCGAGTGCCGTTAAAGCGAATGAGTGAACCACAGAGTAATTTCAGGTCACCCTCAAAGTCATGCCAAGGCATAATTCTTGTTTCTGAACATAAAGCACACTCCAATTCCGCTAATATGAGGCCGCGTCTCCCGTAGAGTAGCCAACGAATGATCCGCCACATGTCACCCCTTCGAGATGGCGCAACGTTTTGAAGGATACCTTCGTAGGTATGAACGAGTGTGAGCGGTATTCGTGATAACTTGGAAGCAATCGCTTCATCACTGAGGCGTTCGTCACGGCGTGACAGATCGTCCAGGACTAGTACAACCCAGAGAAACATACCGTGTGCGTTGTCCTCTAGGAAGCGACTAATGCTGTGCGTAACTTCGGGATTGAGATGGCGTCGATATGATAAATCTTTTGTCCGAGAATGTATTAACTTACACATATCCTTTGCTGTATCGAATTTGGTCATCTCGAGAGTTGGGAAGTTTGAAAGGCGGTCGCAAACGTTCTCATCTGGCCTGCTGGTAACGAGAACCTTCAGGGTTGGACGTGAGTTCTTGGGGAGTTTCCAAAGATCTCCATGATCCATCAGTCCCTGTACCCAATCAAGTATCATCTGCTTAGAGTCGTCGTCGCATTCATCGATTGCGTCCAGAATGATATAAACCTTCGATCCAACGCCCATTTGATCCAGGATATCATCAACGACATCTTGCAACTTTTCACAAGACCATTCAAGGCTAACTTTCATAGACAAGAAATGATAATGGCGTAAGATTGTATCGAATAGACTTGGAAGTTGCTGAACTAATTGTGTAATGACAGTTCTCAGAGCTGCAGAAGCTGCTCCTTCGACTTCTTGATTCGATCTACGAAAGAAGTGGTATAGGAGGACAGGGTTGACGCCAGATTTGTCGGCCGACTCTCCGAGATTCGTTTCGTCCGCCAGGATGCGTTGGGAGACATGAGCGGCCAAAGTCGTTTTTCCAAATCCGGGGTTCGCTGTGATTAATAGCAAACTGGATTCTTCCGACTCGTGCCAGGAAACGTATTTGGGATTGGCAAAGATCCAGCTGCCTGCATGTCTGGAATGTCTCAGTGTCTGAGATAGAAACGTGCCTTGAACCTTTGCAGCGAGGTTTGTTAGGCATGCATCCGATTTCACTTGTGACAAAACATTGGGCTCTCTTGCACTGATATTTTGGATAGCTGTTCGAATGAGCGGCAATTCGTTGTTGACAGTCTGTGAGACAGCCTCAAGGCTTCCGTGAATTTCATCAAGGCGTGTGTCAATGCCGCATAACAGAGTTCTGCAAAGGTATCAGCCTCATGATCTTCAGCACTCGAGCACATACGAATCAATTTGTGTAATGCACAGAATGAGAGAGGTTTTCCCTTCCTCCAACCTCTGTAACATGCCAATAAACTTCTTCTCCATAAGTAAACCACCGATGGTATTACTCCATTTCTTGAACTTGAAATCTTTTGTCTCAGTCACGAGATCTTGAATCCGAGCTCTCAGACCCTCGCTTTCCCTCAAGCAGGTGCTTAGAATTGTTTCAACCTCTGGTGTCTGGAGCTGCGGCTGACTTTCAATCTGCCTCGATATCTCTATCAGTGTCCGGACTTGATCCAGTCGAGCTTGCATAACTCCTGGTGCACCGCGGATCGAATTGAAGAGGCTGGTGAGAGAAGTTACAAGGGAAAGGCTGAGTTGAGCGACTTGTACCACGCTGGCGGCAACGCCAAGAATCTCCAGGCCGGACATTGTATGGTTCGCGGAACTGCTGGCAAGTCGAGCATTGAGTATAAATGAAGAATGACTCAAACGTCATGTTGCTTATCTGGAAGAGCCTGTCTATGTGGTCGGGCGAGACCATGAAGCGCCATCAGGCAGGAGCGAGGCTGTGTGCAAGGACGTTCCTACTGAGAAGCACAGCCTCCAATGAGAGGTCGATATTCACAGATCTCGCATTCTGCTGCAATTTGAAGTCACTTGACGCCAGCCTGAGAGATTAATCGTGTGCTGAAGTGTGGAAATGAGCGCGAGCTGAGGGTAAAAGCATTTGAGGTGAGGTGAGGTCCCACGTCCCTTGGTAAGTTATTAGGATGACGTTCCCAGCCACGGACTCCGGTTCCCAGTTTGCAAGTCGTTGAGATGACTGAGAGATCTTTGGGACATTGACGTGCCCTCGGTTTTTTTTGCCCTTCTTGGACCGCTCGGCGCCGGCCTTCCGTTCTAGACGAGACTAGCGCCAAGGAAAATCCGGGGGAACCTGGTTCCGTCATGCACCTGCTCCTCCCTCTCCTGTAGAGAAGGAGAGGCTTCTCTTTCTGAGCGCTGAAGCTGAACTATTTCCCCGTAATATTATTCCTCTTTTGAGTTCTTTTTAATGCATTTTACAGCTATTACCCTAGTAAAATTATACCTTGAGAGTAACCCTGGATCAGTGAGACAGATGCTGCTTTAATACTCTGCTAGGCTGGCGCAGATCAGTTAATCACGTTCTACAGCAAATTCTAGAGAGCTTTCCAGGATTGAAAAGTCAAACGGCGTGAAAGTCATAAAAAACGCTAGGCCAAGAATACATCTTTTCTAGGGTAATAGCTGTATGATTGCACCTTACGGAAGTGTGCTGATCTGCCGGCGGACCTCCCGCTCTTGGCTTTGCGATCAGTGTCACAGCATCGCCTTTCTGCGACTTCTTGAATTCCCATACAAACAACTGCCCAATGAGCGGTGAATTAAAGATCACCTTATTTTCAGGTACAGTACACGGACCCCCAGAACTTAACGGCCCACAACCTTGAACTAAAAACCTTCTTATGCGCTGTCACCGCCACGCCTTTCTCTCGCCCTCAACCTTTCTCTCTTCCTCAGTCTTTCTCTCCCCCTCAACCCACATCTACCCAAGGTAGACATCTCCAATCATGATCCACGGCCTTTCTAAGACACAGCGTCTGTCCGTCGCAATTGGGGTCTCCTCTATCTTCTTCGCTGCTGAGATTTCAGGTTCGGAAAATCCGATCGAAAAAGTGAGCTCGTCGCGTGACTGATTCATGCCCAGTTGGATTTTACACCCACTCTCTTGCGCTGGTCGCTGATGCTTTCCACAATGTATGTTCTATCCGATGAGCTTACCAAAATTGGGGGCTAACGCTCTTATAACAGCTAAATGATTTGGTGGGATTTATTGTAGCTTTTGCTGCATTCAAGGTACTTGCGACGGAGATTCGCCACCCGATTCACCAACTAATGGGTTTCCTCGCAGATTTCAGAACGAGAGAACTCTCCAGATGCACTTTCGTTTGGCTGGCAAAGAGCTTCACTTCTGGGTGCTTTCTTCAACGGCACTTTCCTGTTGGCGCTCGGTGTGAGCATCTTCTTGCAGTCGGTTGAGCGATTCGTCTCACTGCAACGCACGACTCCCACCACATTTGGAGAACCTGCCTAACATCGCCCAGGAGTACAGAACCCAATGCTCATTATGATCATGGGCTGCGTTGGTCTTGTATTGAATATCATCAGTGTCATATTCCTTCATGGTACGTCATGCTCGCAATTGACATTGGGGAAAAAAAAGTAAAATTAATTGCTCCCAGAACACGACGATCACGAGGTTGCGCATGGCAGTCTTGACGAGCTTGCTGCTGATCATGCCAGTGAAACCTATATGCTCCAGGAAGTCAGTAACACTGCACTCAATTGTCAAGACAACACTTACAAATATTAGACTACAAACCCTCATGCCGAACATCGGCATAAAGTAGACATTTCAAAGTCTAATGGCCACAGCCATGACCTCGGTATGATGGCTGTACTGATGCACATCGCTGGAGATGCTATCAACAATATCGGGGTTATTATTGCCGCTGCTGTGATCTGGAAGGCAAATTATGACAGAAGATTCTACGCCGATCCCGCCGTCAGCATGGGTATCGCCATTATGATCACACTTTCAGGATTACCAGTTGGTAAGCCTCCATTATCCATGGAACATTGAATTCTGTTGCTGAGGCCTCAAAACAGTCAAGAGAAGTGGCCAGATTCTCCTAGAGAGTGTTCCACTCGGCGTCAGTGTCGAAGATGTGAAGCACGACCTCGAAAAAGTCAGTCCTCTTCATCCCAATACACACAATCAAGCTAACAATTCCAGGTCAGCGGTTCCCTCTCCATTCACGAGCTCCATATCTGGCGCCTCTCCCAGCACAAGGCTCTCGCCTCAGTCCATGTTTTCACAACCGACGACTCCCTCGGCAACTTCATGGTCCGCGCCAAACTCATCAATGAATGTCTTCACGCCTATGGCATTCATTCCTCCACTCTACAGCCCGAATTAGTCACCTCAATTAAAGAAGCAGGACACGAAGTAGCAGAAGAGGCAGTAAGACGACGAAATGTGGTGAAGAATGAGTGTCAGATCAGTTGTGGAACGCTCTGTGAGAACTTGACTTGCTGTGGAAGAGAGAGGCTCGAGGCTGTTACGAGAGCGGTGTCTGTACCACGCCTTCATACATGAGAAGATGATTTGATGCCGAGATGAATGAACGCCACTGAACGATACACGAATTTGATGCTATTTCAGAACGGGCATGGCATCAATGATCTGGCCCTCTCCCAATTGGAAAGGAACCAATTCGTGTACATAGACTAGAGCATAAGCGACATCGCAAAAGCTTCCGTGAAGCATATTTCCTCTTGTTCAGATTCCTTAACGTGAGTACAGTCCCCGCTTATTCTCAGGCCGATGTTATCGCTATGATGCCATTTACCTGTATATACTAAAATAAACCCTTTCCCTTCCGACCAACAAACGGTGTTTGCTTGTAAGTTTAAACACCTTCCACCGCAAAGTCGCTAAATGCCCCCGCCCCTCTCCCCCAACCGAAAAGTAGTTAAAACTTCCACCTTTGGAATGATGTAGAGGATAAACTAGCTAAATTGGGTTTAAGCTTTAGTTAATATGCTGTTTTACGGATCCCAAAACTCAGTTCGTCTAGTTTCCTCTCCTGTCCCCCCTTCCCCACAACTATAGCGGGGTTAGCTTGGCAGCAGAGTTTTGCGGATTTTTATCTTGTTTTTTTTTATTTTAAAAGAGGTGGTGAGTTAATGGAACAAGCGACCTCTGCAAAAGGGTCCTCTCCTGGTAAGGCACCAGAGTTTTGCCGTTTTACTCTGAGAAATTGAGCTGGCTGCTAGGATTTTATTTTCGAGTTCTCACTCTCCTATACAAGAAACGAGAAAGGAATTCCCGAGTCACACACTCTTAAGAAATATGACAAAAATTTGTTACTCGAATAAGGCGAACATATCACTGTTGAATCTTTTTGGCAATAATGATTAGATAAATATAGATATAATAGACACACTACGAGAAGCACCAGCTTTTCATCGACATGATCCTTTTAACTCCAACCTCCCCGACCATTTCCAGGCCTCAATCTCGGATCATCAGGCCTCCCCAAAAGCCTTCTCAACCGCCTTCGCAAATTCCCCTAAACTCCCAAACGTAGCCGCCAAGTCCACTTGCCCCTCCACATCCTCCAAACGACTCCCCATCAACGCTTCCTCTCCCCCGGGCATCCTCCGAATCCAAACACTCGGCCTCAGTCCAAACCTTTTTGCCGGCACATGATCATGGTACAGACTCTGCGCAACCTTCAAGATCTCCCCCTTGCTCACCCAAAACTCCTTTTCCGCATGATCTGCCAAATAAGCAAAGTTCTGGAGATCAGGTTTGTAGGACCCAATGTCTTCTGCCGTGTAGATTGCATCGAACTTCACGCCTGACAAAGGACCGGAAAGCGTACGCGAGAATGAGGCCTTGTCGACGTTGGAGAGAACGACGAGCTTGTAGTGTTTTGCTAGAGATTGCATAGCGGCAACGGTGTCAGGGAATGGCGGCCAGGTGCCGATGGTCATCCCGAAGGAGTGAGCTTCTTCTTCAGTGATGGGGATCGAGAGGGAGGCGGCGAGCTGGATGTAGATTTTTGTGAGGATGTTGGGGTAGGTGAGGGTAGGTTCGGCTTTTTGGATGGACTGCTCCAACTTGGCGTATTCTGTGAGTAGGAAATGGCGTATTTGAGGGGCAGTGTTGGTTGAGGGGTAGTGAGGGGAGGATGGTGGGAGACGAGAAAGGAGGGGGAGGAGGGAGGTGTAGATTCCGGTCTCCCAGTCTATGAGAGTGCCGTAGATATCAAAGCTGAGCAGCTTGTAGGAAGTTGGATCGAAAGCCATTGTTAGAGGGTTAGAGTGAGGTACTTTGAGTTTTGGAGTGGTAGCCACGAAGACGAAATGGAGGAATCGGTAAACGAAAACGCTTTCTGGGCTTCTGCAGATGCGAACCTTGCAAATTATGTTTCTAAGAATGGGTCAAGGGGTTTATGTAGTGTTCTTGAATAACGACTCCAGAACTCGGCTTTTCTCGTCCTGGCCTGCATGGCGGTTTGTACTATAGATGTCTTATTAGGGCGTGCTGCTCGGCTTTAAGTGGGGTGAGGTCACGTGAGTTCGGTTTAAAGGTTAAATTTACTTTCAGAGATGTTCTGATTCGATGTCAATGAGCAGCTGCGGTTTCTGCCTAGCTATGATACCAACTCGTCACGATTTTTATATTTTTATATTTTTTTTGTGGCTGTCACGAGCACTAAGAAACATATGAGTGAGAGAGAATGCCATCAATTAAAGCCTATTTGCATCTCCGATCCGCACAGCATCAAGCTCTGCGCATTATGCACTGAATGGCCCCGAATTTTTCAATAGAAAGAGAACCGTCATATCCATCGTATCGTCATAAGCAGGAGTCCGCTCCACTCTCTCCCTTTCCTCAGAAATCGCCAACTACGTACCACCGCTATCCTAACAACAAGAGCCGCTGTCTATATGCCTCGAAATAGACACAAGAAGTATAACGCCCCCAATCCACCGGATTATGTGATGTGAAATGCGAGATGGCCAACCTGCGGCCATCAAGCATGGAGAATGGCCCCGTATCGTGAGATAAACGCCAATATTCTAGGTAATTTTTCAGAATGTTTCCGACTCGCCGGAGTGATTACTGGCTATTGTGCCGAATGTATCTGCGAACAAGATTAGTTTTGGTTACTTCCGCGAACGGATTTGAGTCATACCTCTATTTTTGTTACGCCTCACTGTTCCATCATCTCTATTCAGTTCCCCGCTCTTAGACGAACTCATGCTTCTGGGTCCTGTTGGCTTTCTCACTGGGACACCTCCTAGTGTTCCCGATAGCTTTCTTGCTGCTGATCTTGGCGAACCGCCTTGCGCGTAAGGGTGATCATCCACGTTGAGATGCTCATTGCTCAGGGGACTTGGCTTCGTCAATTTTCCTGTCCGGATCTTTGGTGGTAGCTGGGGTGCAATAGGCTCTTTTGGTGGTCGTTGGGGAGCTTGATTTGATGCCGAGTAGGCGCCATCGGAAATGGGGGACATGTTACCAGTGTTATTGGTGCCGCCACTGTAACGATTGGTCTGCTGAGGTGGAAGGCGGTTTAAGCTTGTCTGAGAACCCCAATCGACAGACTTCGGAGACATAGGCGAATCGAAGTTCACTGCTTGCGACTCGAGAGCTGTCTGATACCGGTGAGTAGGTCCAGGTCGTGGCTGTGGGTGTTGCAAATTCAACGAGTTGCGGTGGGCCTTGTACTTTGGATCTTCGGGTGGCAGTAGAGACACAGGAGGCTCATTCTCATTATATTGCTGGATCTGTTCTTGCGAGAAACCTGAATGGAGTTTGTCGTCTCCATAGAGTTCATGATCTGGGTAATTTCCGAGGTCAGAGCCAGACCTTGATGGCGGCTCTGCGAATTGCTCATCACCTTTCCGCCCACTACCGCGACCGCTGTTTCTGAAACCTCGGAACACAGTCGATGCAGTCGTCTCGGACCATCGAGAAACCTTGGGAATCCAGCCAGACGAGCTGCTTGACTTATGCTTTTTGCTCTTGTCGGTCCTTGGCGTATTCTCATTGCTGAGAGAAGCTGGAGCAATATATTGCTGAGGTGGTGTTCCAAGTGGTGCAGATCCTCCTCGAGCGACCTCTCTGGTTGGCGTGAGTAAATTCTCGTTCTGCTCGAATTGGCTGCTGAGGACAGCTTGCTCATGTGGATCCAGTTCTTCCTCGTCGCCTTCGGGAACAGTACTGATACGGTGATCCGAGAACTTGCGGCTGTCAAACCCTCTTTGGCCGCTTGCGCCCCGAGACAATGGGAGCGACAAATGTCCAGATTGACTAGCATGGCTTGCAGTTGATGTTCCAGCATGTCCCTCTGGTTCGTAGCCACGATCATGTTCGTAATTTCCTTCTTGCTGCAGATCCTCATAGGATTCAGCTGCATGACTGCCAGGCTTGAGACCCTGGGCAACCTTCAGTCCCTCAACTTCTCCTAGTAATTGCACTAGCATCTCCTCAATCTTCCCAAGATCATTCGAGCTCTTCATGCTTAACCCCTTCAGAGCCCTTCTGAACACGTTCCTTTTCTTGGTAGGAAGATCCTCATACATCTCGTCTTGAGAGCCCTGTCGAATAGATCGTGGACCGCTCTGCGGTAGTGGTCTTGGGCCGTTTATTGCCTTTTGGACAGACTTGTCGGTATTGCCTTGAACCTCGGTGATGATCACATCTTCCGTATCGGCTAAAAGACGCTTCATGTCCTCGAAGGAGTTTCGCATCTCAGCAGCTGCTCGAACGAGAGTGACCAGGATTTCCGTGTCACGGGCGCTTCGTTGAGCATCGCGAACAGTGAGATGGTCCATGAGAGCAACAATATCCTTCGATTGGATGCGATCAATGCCCTGTCCCGTTGCACTATCGTAAATTGGTGAGCCCATGCCATGGGACATCCCGCTAAGATGCCGAGAGTGCTTTGGAGTGTAGAAGGGATTGTCACCGGCCAAAGCATCAGCTGCACCTCCAATATCTTCATCGAGGAAACCGACTCCTTTGATTCTCGGCTCGGGAGTGATACCTCCTGGGGAGCGAGCATTCGGGGCAGAGGAGATGTAACCTTCATCCTTTGGCAATGCGACTGGGCTTCCGGCTCGGTAATCTAGCTTGCTGGGAACATTGCCTTGACCTTGGCCCGGGAATCGGATTCCAGCCTCGCTAAGAAGATCACGGTCAAGCCCGCCGCCAATAGCAGCGATTGGACTTGTTCCTTCGTAGGGGTTGGTAATGAGGGTGTCGCGTTTTCGTTCACCTGAGGTTCTTTGCCAATCTTCGTCATGATCCTGGCTGGCTTCCCGATTGTGGCCAGCAATTGCTGCAGCCCCACCAGCGCCGATTGTTGCACCAACGAGAGCAGCCTCCGCGGCTTTAAGGTTGGCGTCAGACTTCTGTTCCCGGCTTGCTGAACCTGCTTCAAACTGTGGCTGTGGAGGCGTTGGTTTGCCCGGCCAATGATCTCTATTTGACTCTGTTACTCCTCCGATAGGTCCTTGAATGATCGAAGGGTTTGTCGTCACGTCAGATTCTCCATCACCATACCCTATTTCGGGCATTGGGTTTTGCAAATCTGGAAGTCCACTGGACGTAAACTTCAGCTGCTCATGACTTGCAGCTTCGCTAAGTGGCGCGTCAATACTATGACGTGGAGATGGTATTTGACCTTGTCCCTCCAACGCACGTTCCTTGAAAGACTTCTGCAATGGAGCCCCAGTGTCTTCGTGTCTCTCCGGGTACCGGATTTGATCTGCAGCCGACTTCTTCTGCCTGCCATTTATAACCGCGGCCGCGGCTCCGGCTGCGATGCCAGCCAACGCGGCCTTTTCAGCCATGTGGGTGTTCTTCTGTCTAGGCATTGCAACTTTACGCCCCTGTTCGTCGATTTCATACTCTTCAGTGTATTTGGTGGGGCTGTTTCGCCGGCTTGAACTGCCTCCAGACTCATCATATCTGAGAGCCCTTGAGCCATCGTGCTTCGTGGGACTGTTCCCTTGGCTCGTGAAGTGCCGCTCCGAGCCATCCTCGTAGGAAGCATACGATCCTCTACGGTCGTATTGGCCGTTATTTCCGGAGTAGCCAGAGTCACCTGTGAGCTCAGACTCGTTGACGAGAGATGCGACAGCTGACTCAACAGCAATTGGCGTGTGGACAAAATCCGGGTTCGCTCCAAGGCCTCGAACATTTTGACCAGTCGTTACCCGATCCAGATGAGGAGCATCCATGCTGTCGTCGGTGTAATTCGTCATGTGCTTATAGTCGATTCGAGGGTCAGAGCTGTGGTAGCTTTCTGAATCAAGCTCGCGGTTACGATCATTCTCTCTGTGTTGCTCTTCCCAATACTCTCCATCTTGGGTGATTTCTGAATCGGTAAGCCCACCTTGTCGAACTTCAGGGAAGTCGTGGTGATTACCATGAACATTTCCTACCGAATCGAGAGATCTGATTGATCGTCCAGACTGGTGTTGCTGCCCCGATTTGTTCATTGACGAATACGAGCCGGTGCTGTGGGTGAGTCTAGAGTCTCTTAGTTGTTGATCGGGATCGCCTTCGGTATAACCAGAGACACTCTGTATTGGGCTGAGTCCACGTCTCTCCTGAGCATAAGGAACATATCGAAGAGGCGGTGGAACTTCCTGGTGATAGTAGCCGTGGGTATCTTCTAAAAGTTCTGGATCATCGTGTTCTTCATCAACATGTGCATGATCATGGTGTATTGCTGCCAACCCAGCACCTGCGGCAGCACCAGCGAGACCCGCTGCCAATGCGTGAGAGTGGCCATCGCCATGTTGCTCTTCCTCGACGTAGGAGTCTTCGTGTTCTTGCTCCGGGGAACCATGCATGAGAACTTTTCGTCCAGGTTCATCCAGCACATATTCATCGGAGAGTTGCTGGTCGCTGGGTTGGCTGTGAAGACTTAGGTCTCCACGTGAATAGTTCGAGTGCTGTGTTCCAAGGCCTTGCTGTAAAGCAACAGGAGTACGAGTGGGCGTTCTTGAGGAAGGCGAACCAACACCTCTAGGAACCTCTCGAATTGGTGTCACTCTTTCCTGACTCGCTGAATGAGGACGCTCAGTTGCTGCTGAAAGGATAGAGCTTCTGGTGATTTCTGAGGCGTTGATGTCGCTCATCAGTGGCATGGGAGGCACTGTCTCATGCTCTCTCTCCTCATAATCCTCAACGAGACTGTCACTCCTGCTCCGACTCTTAGTCCTCCTCCTCCTGCGCTCCTTTTGCCCGTCAAGAGAATCTTGAGAGTGATTTTTGTGCAATGCTGCAGCGGTCAGTGCTCCGAGGCCCGCACCGACAGCTGCTGCTTCGAGACCTCGATGCTGATCGCTGCTTCCCTTCTTTCGTACCCGGTGGCCGTCCTGAACCACAGTATCTTCAGAAGTTTCTCGCTCAAAGCTTCCAGGAGAGTCTTCCAATTGTACACGATCCACATTTCTGTCCTTCCGAATCTTCCCGCTCTTTCCAGAAAGTATTTCCGTATCATTGAGAACGACCTTTGGCTTGCCTGAACTATCCGTGCCACTTCCACGATCGGATAACCTTCTTCCGCCTGAGCTCTCCCTAGAGTCTCTTGAAACACCACTCCCCGAAGTGATGGAGCCACGGCGATCTCGGTCCCGATCACGTTGCGCGTGTTTGCTTTGCTCTCTCTTCAGAGCTGTCAATTCAGGCAGAATCAGTCGTCTGATGGCATCTTCAACTGTCTCAAGAAGTTTTGGATTGTTGATCGAGGACTTCGAGGTGCCAGACCGGAACGAATAAGCATCGCCAGATTTCCCACTCAGATGAGAATTAGTTGCCACTGAATCGACACCAGATACTATTGATTCCTCATGGTGGCCTCGACTTGATCTCCGTCGCGGGGATTTGAGACTTTCACTATGATGTTCGCCGCTCACACTTCGACTCCGACTACTGTGTTTACGCCGGCGCTCTGATGACTTCTCTCCCTTAACTTTTTCAGCTGCTTTTTGTGCTACAATCCGTTCTCGACTGAGGCTTCGACTTCGTCGACGGGACGGTGTTCTCAATTTATCTACTACTGCACCAGCAACTAATCCAGTAGCTGCGCCGGCAGCCAACGCCTCGCCTCGTGTCAAGCTCCGGCTGCGCTTTCGTTCCGGTGATCTGGTCTTGCCGTCGAGAAAACTGTCGGCAGGCATTGAAGAAATATCCGATGCATTCTGTTGTACATATCTTGTGGAGCTGTCTTCACCAGTCGGGATCAGAGGACTTCCATGTCGCCTTGGCATTATCTCCACTTCAATCGGATGCCCTCCTCGAGATGTGACGTTGGACTCTTCGGTGGCTGAACGGTAAGAGAGCACACTGTTGTCATCGCCCTCAGCCTCAGGTGATTTGTCGTCCTTAACGTTGGGGGACAGCTGGATACGTTTTGTGTATGAGGGTCTTCGGGTGCCTTTTCGTTCAGTAATCTGTATATGGTCGTTCGAGGATCGGCTTCGGCTTTTCGAAGATGGTGTGACCTTGACTCTGACAGATGGCCTCCGAGACTCAGCCTGACTGCCCTTCCCGCCCTCGAAGTATTCGATCAGCAATGATGTTTGTGACTTGTTGTTCGAAGTGAGGTTGCCGTGACCATCCTTATCACTCCTCTTGCGCCGTGTAGCTATCGTGACCGGGCTTCCGTCCTCTGGCAGACTGTAACTGCTCTTCTCTGTGCCGGTGACTTTGGACCCAAAGTCGGTGCCTCCGGTAGTGCTATCAGTTTCGGTCGGCGCAGGCAAAGGAGGGCCTCTTTTCGACTCGACACCCATTGTGGCAACTCAAAAGTCAACCAAGAAGTGGTAGGAATGCATAGAGGTAATCTGGTTGCTGCTGCGGGTGTGATGGTACAGAGTTCGGAGGAGGCTGGTGAGAGCTCGAAGGCGGCCGAGTCGCTGGGATTCGCCCAGCTGAAAGATGCTACCGGGGTCGTACAGGTTACGAAAAATAAGGATTACAAAGATGAGAACCGCATCAGAGACGCCAGCAACTGGATGGTCGTGGTTGAAGGTGAGCTGTGACAATAGAACCGTTGTTATGAGTAAGAAGGACTGGGGGGGCAGTGCCAACGCATGCTGTGTTGATCGAGGCAGGGTAGGGCTCGCTTCGCCAATCAAAATAAAAAGCTCGGACGGGGACGGGCTGTCCATGTGCTATTTTTGCTGTGGGACTTCAAGCTCGTCCTGGATTACGAAGGTGCGGCATCAGATTTCGAATGTGATGCTCGCAACAAACGGTTTTCTACAGATCACCACGTCTCTCAGACATGATCATTGTTTTGGGCCTCTGGCTCTGACAACCGCTCTCAGCTCTACCTCAGCCTGCTCACATCTTACGAGCGCTGCGCTGCTTCGTGGCAGTCCAGAGGCAAAGTTATTCGCCTCTCAAACTCGTTGGACCAATGAGTTTGTCAGGTGTCTCCCTCGACTGCGGTTCGCTGCATGCTAACTGCGCTCCTGCATGAAGCGGTTTGAGCCAAACTTGTGATCACATTGCTTGGGAAGTATCCCATTCGAGGACGAACGTGGACTCGATCACACCGCAAACTGCTCTGGCCTCGGGTTGTATTACGAAGTCCTGAATACCGAAATATGAGATCGAGGAGATGCTTATTTGAACTATTACGGCAGATCCCAGGGGTCAGCCGCGCACCAAACCCTGATGAGCTTGGCTTGGGGAGCTTCCGAAGGTGTGCCAATTTTGGATCCGTTGGCACGGAGACATAGAATTTTGAAGCCTTGAAGGGCATTGCATCATGACATGACAGCAAATGGAGAAGTTCTGATCAGTGTGCTTTTGGGATGTCTCTAAGTGAAATGTCTATTCATTCAAATTAGCCTCACTGGAGTTGAGTCCCCTTAAGGAATGTCTTTCAGACCTCGGCAAGGGAGGATAACTTTCACAATTTTTCATAAATACGACGATAAGAACGTCGCGGGGCTCTGCTACCTCCAGTCCGAGCCCTTCTCAGTTGACTTGAACGGTCAGATCCAACTTCACAAGCCGGTCACCGTCTGAATTCCCGAGGTCACGCAATCCAATCCCTGTGCTCTGGCAGTCCAGTACACAGCCTCGGTGTCAGCTCACATGTACAGCCTGAATGTGCCCAGCTATCAGGGTTTCATAACCTCTCAGCCGCATGGTGACACGCACAAATGGATTCGCACAAATCAAAATTCAACAGAAGTAGGAGGCCCAAATTCAACGATTCACTGTTGTTATCGACTCCTTTAAGAGGAGGTTCTCCCTCTCAATGCGTATGCCCCAGGGTATTTTTTCCTTCCTCAAAAGAACAATGCAGGACTTTTTCCCATTCCTGAGCTCAAACTCCAACTCCAAAAGAGTAAATCCCAAGTTCATTTCTTCCTTCGCACCTCGGGAGCAGCAATCATGATCGGGAGACTGTCAAAAACAACCTCATTGTCCTCGTAGTGAACAACGAATCCACCACCCAAAATCCTTCTAAGTGCCTGGAGTCTGTGTAGCTTCCACCACTTGTCTATCTTCATGATGCCAGTCTTGTGAATGCGGACTGTTAGTCTGGACCCATATCTAAGGCCGGTCTCTTGATCAATAGCTTTTTGATACCTTGGTCCCCGTGTTGGGTATTCTATAGTGTTCAAGATATCGGCAAAGTTTGTGTGAAGTGTCTTTCGGTCCTTCTTGGTGATTCGTTTTGAAGACTCTGTTGCGAGTTGAGCTAGCGTCTGTTCGAGCTGGTGCTTTTGTCGATAAACCTCGTAACGTTTGACGTGGCTCTTGTCTATGGCGAATCCTTCTTCGTCCTCTTCGTCACTGCCGCTGGCTGGTCCATCTTCTTCTTCCCGCTCGGTGTAGCTCTTCTCGTACAGTAAAGCAATATTCTCTCCAGCTGCAACTTGGACAGAAACATCGCTACTCTCAAGCTGCTCTACAAAAGCGTCCATAGCCATTTCGGTCTTGTCTTCCAGGTCGTCTATTGATGTGGCCAAAAATCCCCAAGCTTCACAAGCTGCTGCAACCACTTCGCCACTGTCAGCAGCGCCTGCAGACTCGCCATCCGACTCAACAATTTCCAGCAAGTCATCCATGATCTCTTCGATGGCAGTATCCGCTGCGCCCCCGTAGATTGCTGCCGCGCTGAGCGTGTGAATGGCCACAGCTTTCACACTGCGGTATTCCGAGTCGGTGTATGTGCGTTTCAGTGTCTGGAATATGGCATCGTAGATTGTCTCCGAGGGTGTTGTAATGAGGGTGAGTGCGATCGCTGCGTGTGGTCAGCACGAGCTTCTAGGAAATAGTATTTGACAAACCTCGTAAAGCAAGGCAAGTCTCCTTTTCAGTATTCTCTGCCTTGATGCTCTTCAGGAACGCGGGAAGCAGCTCTGACACCTTGTGCTGAATATCCTCGAATGCATAATGGCTCATAAGAATGTGGACATATTGCGCCAAGGTCGTTTCTCTGCCCTGGACGCTGCTTCGTTTCCTGTCTATGATTTCCTCCATACGATCTGCTAGTTCTTGCTTCCACGACTCTGAAGCATCCTCAGGCACGTCCAAAGCCAGCATATCATCTATTGAATTGATGCTATTGAGATCAGAGTCAGTGTTTGTGTCTCTGGCACTCCCTCACGATGTCCGCATACCTCCAGTTTGTGCTATCACTCAAATCTCCTTCTTCATCGTCGGATCCATGTCGGGATCCTGCCTGGGAGGTGGTGCGCGAGTTCGCGGCGGAAGAGGTTCGCGACGATCGTGATTTTGCTTTCTTCGAGACCGTCTTGCCGCTCTCAAGAGCCTGGCGTCGTAAATCGTGCATTTTGCTGGCTTGTTCGAGTCGTAACAGATGTACAAAGCAGGTGGAACAAGCTGGTCGCCACTGAATGCGCGCAATTCGTGGTTGTGGTCCTTTGTTCGGGATCGAAAAAAAAGCCGTGGATTTGTTTGTGCTATCGCAGAGCTCGAGGATACGGAACTTGAGCTTCTATTTGTATTAATTCCTCCATGTATGAGTCACAATAATAATAAGACGGAGTGCGAGTGATTAAGACCATGGGGCCAGAACAATAGGAAGTGCATGCAATTGTGGGAAGAGCACGATCTGGAGCTAAGAAATCATGCGTGTTCGGTTACGGCTGATAAGGACGGGACCGAGCTGGCATAAATCCACACCTGACTTCGGACTTAAAGTGCTACAGCAATCTATTTCTAACCCGAGGAAGAATATACTGGCCACGCAATAATCAAGGGTTTAATTCACTGTTGACAAATTCCTCATCGTTCTTTAAAAATTGGGCCGGATGAATTAGTAAATTTCCAAAGATAAATACCTAGTGTCTCTAGGGTTCTGCGCTAGGCAGCTTATCGAAGGCAGCAGCGAGGTTGCAACACCCCGCCCGGCTTCTACCGTACTTCGTACCATCGCCGACTTCAAGAGCAATCATCTTCGACGACAACCTTCGGACATCTTCGCCTTGCACCTGCCCCGCCGAGAGGATATTGCTCGAGACTCTTCCTCGTCCACATCCTCGAGGCCGAGTTTCCCCCCGTTGCCAAACATTGCCAGGCCGTGTTTCACGTCTAATCCCGATTGCATTCACCTTCACCAGATTGCATCGACCCCACCACGTCGACCACCTTTCTCATCGACCAAGCCCGTCCCAACACCCGAAACCTCTCAACTTCTACACTGGGTTCTCTGCGGATAGCTAACCATCAAGATGAACAACGAAGGTACGCGGACTCTCTTCCTATGTGCAAGTGCTGCTACGAGGCTGTCAGCCGATGGCGACGACTTTGGTCATGAGAGCCCGGCAGCCTGACTCCAACATCTGCCAGAGATTTTCTGAAGTTTCAGTGATCACCCTCGTCTTGTTGCTTGTTGTCGCGAGCTCTAGCATCTTTCCAGCCCTTACACTAAACTACCCGACGTTCGATCCAAGGTACTGACCAGACACAGTCAGAATCACACTGAAAGCCGTGACGAGCAATGTCTCCCCCGCGGAGCGAATTATCACCCTCAATCCCGACCGACCCACCATACCCGTCGGCCGAGCCTCGAAAAGCATTAGCAAAGGACTTCTGGGTGCGGTGGACAATGCGTGGTTTGACAGCCCGGTCATGTCTCGCGATCACGCCGAGATTACCATTGATGCGGAGGAAAAGGTATGTTCAAGCAAATCAATTCTTGACCACCAAGGCTGACATGTCGTAGAATATCACAATCCAGGATATCGGATCGATGCATGGGACGTATCTCAACGGTGTCGAGTTGCCACGCAAGGCTCCCATGGCCATCGATGACGGTGACGTCCTCGTATTTGGTGCTGAAGTCCGCCGTGGACCCGAGATATTCCCGGCTTGTAAATTTCAAGTCAACTATCAGTTTGTTCCTTACAAGTAAGCAGCGATTCCTTACTCCAAACCCTTAATTGCAAGCTGACACACTTTCCCGCCAGATCTAGAAATACGTTCACCTTCCCGGATTCATCCGATGTCGAAGACGAAGAAGAAGTTTATGATGAGTTCAGCGAGGGCGACATGGGAGAACGTGAGCAGACTTCCAGCGAGGACGATGCGTCGATCGAGTCACCGCTTGCGAAGGTATCGGCGGCCATTGATCCCATCGATCTCACCGGAGATGAATCGCCCCGTGTTTTCCCTTCCAACAGAATAGACCTCACTGGTGAGAGTGCCTTTGAGCAGGGCTTGATGGACATGATGGACGGCCGTCCGGCTGACATCCCCCAAGATGCGGGTCCAGTTAGCATTGGAGTGTATGCTGGAAATACTCCTATTTTGGTGGACAGTGAGGATGAAGATGCACACTTCTCGATGGATTCCGATGATCAGTCTGAAATGGTCGGGGATGAAATATATTCGGAGGATGACAGTCAAGATGGAGCTGAAGGTTCAGAGCCGTCTGACGAAGAAGAAACAGATGACGCTGAGGACTCCGACATGGAAGATATTCCGGAGTCATCTGCTATGGAACCAATGGAGCCGTCGCCAATCAACAACAATATTCGCTTTGCTCTTGCTACGCATGACAATTCGACAGTCCGTCTTTCAGACATTCGAACTCGAATGGAGGAACCCGAGGATCTCGCAGACAACGACGAGGAGAGCGACCTGGGTCTCGAGGAGGCTGGAAAGGCTGGCCTCAGAGCGCTATTCGAAGACGGCCTTCTCCGCCATAACTATGATGACCCATACCCTATTCTTCCTGGCGAGGCCATGAGTGAGCTTGGAACAGGCGGCGCTTTCCCTGCTGAGATCCCGAACCATATTTCATTTGCATCCACTACCTCTAAGCAAACTTCCCAAGATAATACTTCGGGCCTGGGTCAGAATACAAGCGAGTATATGAGATTTGAAGCTGCACAGAGCACCCTCCAACACGAACTTAAGTTATCAAACCCGTTTACCCGGCAGCCAAGTCCATCAGATGCAGCTATGGTGAAAGGCCGTAAGCCAGCTCCAGAGTCCACTCACATCAGGGTCTGCGACCTAGGAGAGTTCGGCAGATCTGCAGCACAAACATTAGGCGAAAAGACTGGCAAAGGTGATTTCTTCGAGGCGAGAGAGGTCAACAAAGCGAAGTTTAGCGCCAGCAACAAATCTGGACAAGCCTCTGGCTTGACTGGAATGACCGCCCCTATCTTTGCAGGAAATTGTGAAGGAAATCGATTACCGCTGACTACAGCGGCTCCGAATCCTTTCGAACGAAGAGTATTTGGAGCTTCACAGTCATCGAAACCATCTTCCGGTTCGCCCTTTGGCTTTGGTGAATCATACTATCCCGTCACTTCCCACGAGGCCAGCTCGGCAGTAAATAAGCTTTCCCCAGCGGACATGCCTTGTAAGACTATTATCCATGGTTTCCAAGACTCGTTGCTGACAGCTTCAGATTTCCCGACCCGTGAACAGTGCTCCTTCCTCGATAACCCTGCTCATGGTCCAGTTATGGACAGGGCTCCCAGCCCAGAGCCTTACATGACCAGTGCGGTAAATTTCAATGCTGCAACACACAAACCCCGCTCTGGACTTGGTATTAATGATATCATCAACAATGCGTCAACGACGACACAGAGTCTCAAGCGCAAATCTGATGAGATTTCCGATGCTACCGACGCCGAGCTTAGAATGTGGGCACAGTCCTCGACAGCCTCGAATGATGACGTGAAGGGCTCTGCAAACGTCGCCGAATCGGAAGAACAAACTGCGCTTTCCAGTCCGATGGCAGGGGTCGTACCTACTGTGTCTAATGCTCCTGCTCCTCGACCAACGAAGAAATTCAAGAAGCTTTTGGAGAATGTTGGTTACGCAGCCCTCGGAGGTGTTGCTGTTGGTGCCAGTCTGTTCTCGGTCTTGGTTGCTACAGCTCCAGACTTTTTGTGAGAGTAGACAAGGGCGCGTCAGGTGTTTACATGCCGGAATTTCTTATCAATGCCTCTTCGGAGTGTTTCTCATGGTTAGGGGGATGGATCTAGGGATCGGGAGTACTCATTGGCAAATGGTATTAGGTCAGTTTGGTCAACATGTTTCCTTCTTGCATTCCGGCGCTATCAAGGACGGCGTTGAAGGCTTTGTGGAACGGCGGCGTATGTTCTCGTTTCGCTGTCTCTCTTAGGCTTTAGTTACAGGAATTGAACATTTTCATAAATTGTTTCGCTGCCTTTTGTCAGAAAATCAAGCCACCCTTACCATAGGAGCAAAGCCCACAAGCCAAACGCATAATGCATCTCTTCCTTCAAGGCAAAATCCAATTGCGTGCTCTTGAAGATAGTGTGGTCCTGTGGATTGCTTAGGCAACGCTCTAAATATAATCAAGTCCAAGTAGGTTTGAAAGAGTAGATCATAATGTTGCCGATGTGACTGTTGAGATATGCCCTAAGTCGCTGGACAAGCTGGGCCGTCTTGCCGGCGTTCCACAATAAGCTTCAGGCAGCAGTTGGCCGTCCTCAGCCCCAGCGAGGTCTCAGATTACACTTGTTATGTTCATTTATGTTCCCCGAGGCCATTCCATGTGGTTGCCGTCCCACTCTGAAGCATGTCTTCATTGTGGCGTACGCTCGCAGGACCCTGAGTGAATTGTACTGTACCTTACTGCTGTCTGCAAGCCCAGGGCCTCGAGGGCCTCGAGGGAAATGAGCGATCAGAATTTCGGCGCATCTGCTTGCTTCTTTGGTTAGGCAGCAACTCCATTCGGGCAGGCCCATAACTGTGACGTGTAATCTATCAACTTTCGTTTTGCTGTAAAGAATACACGCGAGTGAATGTGGAGGCCGGTGAAACTCCATGAAGCGACTAGAAGCCGTCTGGAACGTGGGAGCTCTCATGGCGCGAGGTGAGGGCATTCTCTCTCTTATCTCGATCCCGATCGTCTTGAGTTGGCTGTGCTTTTGTGAACAAAGAAAGGCTATTTTTGAAGGGCGTACAAAGCTTGTGTCTTCGGTCCAAGCGGGCGGCGCAGTGAATTGGCTCAAGAGATGCGCAAGTTGCCCGCCTTTGACTATGGATGGCCACTTCAAGTTGGAGAAATGCTTTCAGACCGGGCTGCCCGACGAGAACAACGATCGGCGCGATTTTCATACCGTGGCAGCCGGCTCTTCACGATCCCGGAATGCCTCACGATTTCTTGAGGTGTGGGAGAGTTGCCAATGGTGCTGAGCGCTTCCCACAAAAAGGAAGTAGTCTTGCTACACAACATAATAGCCGAGAGCCAACCTGCAAGTAACCTCCCTGCCACAATGCTGACCATTCATAAGGCTTCTGTCCCAGACCTCTCGCGTCTGTGATTGACACCTTACCATGACATTGGATCAAACGGTACAGCCTGCCATACGACCATTTTTACACGATCGAGTTCGGAGGTATGGCTGATCACGGCAGCTAGAGCGGACCGTTGTCACCCTATAATGGCATTCATCATGATTCGTATCTTCTTTGAGATCACAATAGTGAAACACCTTTTCCGTTCCCTAGTCTGCATACCTGGCCTCACCTTCCATGAATAGATACCGGGATGCAGACGGGAGGCTTGCAGAACGCTCCTCTTGGCCAATATTAAGTCCTGGCTGACCGAAGCCATCGCAATGGCGGCATTCGGCCGGCCAAGCCCGGTTCTTGCACTCTTATGTTCCGTTCAGTCGGGTGGGTGCCAGAGCAATGGGAGAGTCGTGGTGCCACGCGATCTCTGTTTCTCTATCAGCAGACCACTGTGCAATATCAGCGCCTGCATCAATAGCTGTCGGCCCTCCAATCGGCCATAAAGCGGTGTGAAAGTTTTTGCCAAAGCTTCCTTCGCTCCGTCGAAGTGAAGTTGCCCAACGATGATGTTCACAATTTGGGCACATCTTTGATTCAACCCGAGATGCGAGGTTAGGTCTTGGTTACGAGTGTGCCAGGGCACAAGATGAAGTATAAGAAGGGGGTCCTTCCGCCTTGATGAAGAGATATTTCAGGCATCAGACACAAAATCAGTGCAGTCATTCTCGAGTCCCCAGCTTCTACACCACCATCTTCAAACTCTTCTTAAGCGGCCAATCAAGCCTCCGCCATCTTTAAGCAGAGCCTGTATTGCACCCCATCCTTCGCCACTCTACATAAAATACAACGAAGCCGTTTCCATTGCAATGGCTCATAGTTACTCCTCTAACGCACAACCATTTTGCCCACAAGATTGCAGCAACACTATTCACTGCACTACCTGTCGAGATTGTGGTGGGAACCCTCGTTCGTAAGTCTTCCGTTCGTATGAACAACTTCTTCATATCCATCCACTGCGATTTTGAAGATAGTGACAAATTCTCGTCCCGCAGAGTCAAGGAATGCAAGCCGTGCAACGGGAGTGGAACAATCCCCAGTCCATGCCCATATCTTAATCACGCTTCTGGAGTTGTTGCCTCGTCTAACAGCCCTGCGCGTGGCGGCAGTACTGGCTATAGCAATGGTGGAGGCTGGCAAGGTCAGGGACAGCAGGGCTACGGTAGTCTTGCTAGGCATTAGGTGGAGTGTCACGGCCTACAGCGATCTGATTTGTTGTCTTTTCCTTCTCGGGATTGTGTGGGGTTTCGTGGAAAGGGAGGTCGATATTCAGAGCCTGGGATATAAACTTTTTCTTGCTCTTGTTCGTGACCTATTTTCGAGTTTACATTGTACACGTGTTTTCAGATCTGGTATCAGGCTTGCTAGAGCTCAATGATGTCGGGACCGTTGAGCAGAGATGATGCGTCATGGGCCCAGACGGGTATGGTTGAGTTGTACCTGCAGGCGGGATGAAGTTATCTAAGGTCGATCGCTGGTCGTGTATCTGTATCACTTATCATCACTGACCTGAATTGGACTTTATCAATATCCTTCACGAATTCCATGAATGCCACTGTGTGCTCACCTTGGGTCCTTATTCTTGGAACACAATACATGCACGTGCAGAGCGGAGAGCATGTAGAGAGGGACAGCATGCGGCTGGCCAGGTGGCACGACTCGGGATGCGTTCGATTGGGGTTGTTTTTCTGGGGAGATGGGATGCCATTGGGAGAAGACATCGGAATCTTTGAACGGAGGCATCTCCGGCACATGCCATTGATCCTATCTCTTTTCGTGACACCATGCGCTGTAACTTGAATAGTAAATCCAAACTCTCCTCTTTCTTACTGCCGTGCTGGCCCTATGTTGCCTTGATTTGCAACACGTATAACTTCATAAAGTTCCACGACGTAGCCGTTTATGTCAACGGTAGCGAGGGCTACTCACGGACTGAAGATTCACGATTTCATTTCTTTCTTTGATGTGATTTGTGTTCTGCCTCATTGGCTTGACTTCTCTTCTATGGCTGTCCAGCCGACACCCCTTTGAGGGGTTCTCTGCTGTGACACGTGAGACGTATGATCTGGCTGGCACATCTACCACTCAAAAAAGAGCTGATTCTTCTTTTTCTCTATCAAGATATGGGTCAGCCCAGGTGATATGCCTCGTCCCAGCAGGGTTATCCTGCGAATGCTGTACTCCGTGGGGGAAGGTTACAATCCGTATTCCTCCATTTCCGTTCATGGGATTCCCCTTCAATAATGATCTTGTGTCCGAAATCAACAGAGGATGCCGTGGGGGTTCCTCTTTTCTCTTATGAAAAGAATGAAGTCATGTGGACTCTCGGTATGACTTTGGTGATACGGTGAGAAAGCTGACTCGAAGCGTTTGAGGTTGAGTGGTTGACTATAAGGCTCTGATCATCAATTGCATCCAAGAGTTGGCCGAAGGTGTGACAAAGCGCGGAATCAAAGGAGGGATGGATTTAAAAGGTCCACGTATTTCATTCTTCGGCGTGCCGACTGGGCAATCATGAAATTTCGGACAAATGGCATAGCGGGCTATCCGAGAAGCAAGTAAGTTAGAAATGAAGGAGATGGGGTAAGCATGGCGCTTGAATTTCTTTAGACTTCCGATCGCCAACCGAATCACAAGATCTTTGGCCTTATCCAGGACGTTGACCTGTTGTGTATGTAGTATGATCCCCAAGATGGCTGGCCAGCGCAACTATGCACTGCCGGTTGTCAAGACCGGAGATCTGCGAGAAATCCCTCTTCGTGCAATGCACATCATCAACGTAGCGTTCAGCCGTGGCGAAGCCTTCGGAAGTTCTCTAATCTCCGCGGAAGATCACGGACACCGCACTGAAGAATGAACGTTCTGCATGAAGCTCACACCGCTGGTGTATTTGGCGACTTGGAATCTCCGGTGGTGAATATGAGAATCAAAGCAGTGAAAGATGCAGTGACTGACCAGTTCCAACTGGTTCTTGTGTAACTCTTTTCTGCAGGAATGTCAAACCCAGCCAGGTTCTCCGGTGTGCGCGACAATTGACATTTGAACTCACGATTGGAAGGAGAAATGATCATCGACAACCTATTGCTCAGTCGAGCAGCATGGCTGGTACGAAAAAGTCGAGTGTCAGCCTTCAGGACTTCCCAGATGTGTTACGTTGTATCAGGCAGCAATTTGGGCTTTTCTTGGTAGGTGTCGTCTTTTCGATCAAGGGAGAGAATGCCTGCTCGGTGAGCTGGCCGACGGTAATCCCGTTACCTACTTGCAAGATGAAAAATATATCAGATTCCCTCACCAGTGGCTTAGTCATATGAGCGATGCCTGCGTTGTGGCAACATAGTAGGGGCGATGGTTTCCCACCAAGAGCAGCCCCTATCCATTAAGCGAGTGTATCAGGTGAAAAGACTACTGGACCGGATCAGTGTGAACATGCTAGAATGGCTACTTCCACTGGACCACCGCGACTTCCAGTAATCGTTTGTGATATCATGCTGATGGGATTATGGCCCTTGACCATCACCAAACCATCAATGACGGCCCCTTTCCGTATCAAAGATAGCATGCCGAGCTCTGGCACCTTGCCGTAAATCTTAAAATTATTGAATCCACCTTGAACAACTCACCCGCAGGTTGAGATCGTTGTTGGTGGGTTCTGCTGTACTCTGCACAGGGCAGAAGCAAGTCACTCGTCTGAAAGTGAAGATCGTCGGTGACCACAACTGATCGAAGTTACTGGATAAATGCATAATCTGTGGCGGGAATCGAGACATGCATAAGATATCCAAAAGAAAGCTTGGTCGTCACGATCCATGTACTGATGATACGTGCTCTGTCGATGGGATCCCGGATTCGGGCCTTTGAGAGGTGGCAGATTTGGGGCGAACTAGTTTCTTCTGCAAGGGGACAAAGAGCCGCTGATCGGAATTATTCATCCATCAGTCCAAGCCATGCGAATCGGATGAATATATCTGTGCTGCGCGGAGATCATACTATCTTCTGGTACTCACAGGCCCTGACTTGAATTGCACTCCTTGAACTAAGCGAAAAATATGGGTATCTCCGGCCACCCTACTTCTTCCCCAAACTTCTTCAGTATACACACAGGAATTTGCACTTGCACTTTCCAATGTAGTATTCAGTCCCCTCCGTTCGAGTTCCTCATGCAACGCACTCTTATTGTCATATGTGTGGCCGGTCTCTCCGCTGAAACAGCCCAACTTCTTGAAAAAGAGTTGGACAACATGACAACATGCCGAGCTTCTCTCATGAGGTGGTGCTTGAATGTGAAGGCCGAATCGACTACGTTGAACTTGGGTCTTCATTGCCCGCCTCGAGTCTTTATCATATCAGCTTTTCCATATTTGATGGCAATATTGGAGACATGTAACTACCTCGTTTCTGATGATTTCTAGGCTATGTATTCTTGAAGGCCATCTAGTATCGGAATTAGCTACGTTATGAAGGTTCCTAGAGAAATTCTCCAAAGGCGATTCTCTTTTATCTGCCTTTCACATCGAAAAATTTCAATGTTTTGACGATCGCGCGCAGGACCTTATGCAAACACCCTCACAGCACAAATCCTGGGCACCGTGACAGAGAAGGCTTCTTCGAAATTATTCCCCAGCCACGGTCCAAATCATATCCACCTCTAGTCCACTCACTGGCGGGATCCAGCTCATCATGCGGATGGTCGTTGACTTACTATACCAGAGGAAGCTCAAAATGCTTGCCAGGGAGGCAAGTGCTCTGTACATGGTGAAGTTGCTTGAATGGCTTTGGGAGATATGCAATGGAAGGGGTTTCCAGCTCTCAACCAGAGGTGGTGGCTATTCTGAGTTCGTTGAAAACTGGAGGAAGTCTCACATGTTTGACCAAACGGCATGGCAAGACGTCAAGGCTGGACTTACCATGAAGAGCGCGGCTACGCTCCCCTGCTGGTAACAACTACGCCAAATGTGGCTGGTGACAACAGTAACACGAGTTTCTCGTGGTCTTCATGCACAGCCTGTGTGTTATGTCTCAGAGCTAAGAACAGAGACGGACTCGCCGACAGGAAGTCTACAGGTCAATGTTTCATTAAGGGGTCGAAGTCGACTTGTGACCACTTCTTCGGATATTTGAGAAACCGTCCACTGATAAGTAATGAGGAGCGTTTCCCTAAAGAATCGGTTGTGCCTGTTCAAGAGCCTGGGGTAAACAACCGTGGATATTCTCAGTATGAAAATGGGTCTGTTTTCTGAGAAGGCACTGCAATAATCTGCGGTAATATTTTTTTGTCTAGATGGGAAAAAAAACCCCTAAAATTATCGAATTTCTCAAGTGCGGGGACATATCCATATAACCTCCCAGGCTTGAGCGGTTCTCCACGGTTTCAATCTAAATTAGTACTCATCTTTGGGGTATAAATTTACTGGAGCTGGTACAGTAGAACCATGTTGATTTTTCTGAATTTTGTAAAGGACGCTCCAAATTCGTGTGAGGGGGATCTGGAGGCTGACTCCTTACCGCCGACTCATGACTTGTGATATCTTCACCTAGCCTGTCGAGTTCAGCTCAAGCCAGTGCACAGCCATGTGACCTTCTACGATGCGCTGCGAAGCCGTTGGCGTTGTTCTCGGTGTGCAAAAGCGCGGTATGTAGTACATCTCATGACCACGTTTCTCCTGCCAAGATTATGGGAGGGCTCGTCTCAAAAGTCTCTTGCCGCTGTCGTTGCCATGCACCTATATCGACAAAATGCGGGGAAACAGGCCCCCAGGACCAAAAGAGATTCATTTAGTCCTATTTTGGTATAAAAAATGGCAACTCCAGGAGCTCGCCGACTAGTAGCACAGGCGGGTAGATGCGAATTGGGCTTTGCTCGGCTACTCAGTCTTCTGGAAGGCGGAGAAATTTGCTCCAGAATTACGTCAACGCTCTGCAAAGTTCTATCAAGGACTTGCGGCTACCTGCGGATTTTACTTGATCAAGTCAAGTCACCCGGTACCTGAACATCCGAGTATTTGGTGAAACTCAAAGTTTTTCGGTGGGCCAAAATGTGGAGATTGTGGAGAATATTGCGTTTCTGAGATCACGATGGCTGAAGAGAAACACCTCTGGCCTCACAGCATCTAGAAATTGCTTTTGTACGATTTGAAATCCGGCTGGAATCCAGAATGTACCTTGCGTGATCAATGCCATGGAAGCTAAGTCAAATGATGTCTTCCAGTGCCCTGAGCACGTTTGCCACATGATGGGCTCTGATTCAGCAATGCAAAGCTCTCACCGGAGGGAAGGGCGAGATTGCGAAGCGTTGCGAACACGCCAGAACCGCTGACAAAATCTCACGATGCTGCACAGCAAATCCAGTCCTGGAGTTTCCTGGGGGTAATGACAATTGAATTTGCGCTTGAATTTGCCTGCGTGGCCTCGCTGTTACGAAATCGATCCGCTTGGCCCACCACTCACAGCCCGCCCAACCAGGCACGGTCTGCTTTAGCCCCTGAACGTCAATCAACGCCTCCTCTCGTCTTTCAGCTAACGGCAAGGCGGCTTCCATTAACTGCAAAGCTCGAAACATCGTGATGAGAAGCCTGCAAGACTTTTTCCTGATGACTCGACGAAGTGGGAGCTGAGCTCAGGTATAAAGGACTGCCCCATCATCTTGCTATACAAGGAAGCTTCCCCTACTCACCATCAAGCAATAACTCTACAGCTTAGCACCTACCTTTGGCCAAATCTACCTCCCTTCATACGTCTATTGATCGCCATCACTGAGCATATACCCTCGAATACTATTACATCAACCTGCTTGCCACATCCGAACAAACCACAACCACAATGCCATCCCAATACTCGATCACCGAGCCTCACCCACACACAGGCAAATACGTCCACTCCGGCCGTGGCGGTGCAGGAAACACCTTCAAAGCCCCTAAGACCAGCAGCGGTACCTCTGCACGCGGTCCAGCCTCTCTTCTCGAGACCGGACTCCCAAAGTCGACCTCCAGGTTCTCCAGCGGACGTGGTGGGGCAGGAAACATTCACGAGCCCAGCGAGCGAGCAATCTTCTCCTTCGATGAAGAGCTAGAGCGTCAATCTACCCGAGAGAGGAGATTGAAGGAGTCAGGCGTATGGCACGTTGGCCGAGGGGGAGCAGGCAACTATGCTGTCGCTCGTGCCGGCTCCGGACGCAAGGACTCGACCTCCTCAGCGGGCAGCGATGCCAGCTCCAGAAGTGGATTCTTTGGTCGTTTGAGCCACACTTTTGAGCGCCAGCATTAAGTGCTCTGATCCTTTTCCCATCTACATATCTTCCGTTCAGCGACACGGCGTCTTCTCATGGCTTTCGTATCATCCCGGCATAATGAGCCTGCATTGTTTTCAGCGGGTTGGTGCTTTTCCCCGCCTCTCTTTACGATGACGGCTCTTCTCTCCTCTTTTGTCACGGCGCAACGAAATTCAGAAAAAAGCGGCATGCATAAACGGCGTTGGTTTACAAGTATTACTATGGAATGGGAAAAGCTTGGGACCTCAAGGCAATACTGGCTGGCAGACTCCAGGTTTCTTGGCTTGGTGATTTTTTATGGATCTCTTCCTTTGTCAGCGGCGACACAGCGACAGTGATGGAAATACCCCAAGATCTTTTTGTATATACCCGGCATTTTGTCATTGTTTTTGTATTTTCTGGTGAGGTTTTACTTCAAGCTGGGTTAAGGTGTCAAAGAGGATGGGCAGTCACACATAGCGAGTTAAAGAAGAATAAAGACCCAAATCTACAGTACACATTTTATAGAGCTTTTCCGTCTCAGCTCTGACTGCGTTGCACGAAGAATTTTCTCAACGTGGAATGCCAAAAGTCCCTCGGCTATCCAGGGCGGAATAGAAGAAGAATTGTTTTAAGGCAGTGACATGTCACCCAATTCCTACAACGTGCTGTGTTCCCAACACCAGCCTTCTTCCTCCTGACACGACAACACTCGGGCAACAGCCCCTCGCCCTGCCCGCCCGACCAATAAACAGTGACAGCAATCATCTTATTTCAACTCCTGCACCATGTGTCGAAACCCAAGGCTAACAATGCACTCTGCAGCTTTCTTTTCGTAGCCTTCCATCCACGATGCCGTAACAAAAATGCAGGATTTGGCCCCGGAAATGCGGGGGAGGGGGTTGTGTAACGTAATGATTTGCGGTGTGTGCAGAGGTGGCGTGGTGCCAGATTGGGATGGGGTTCTTGGCATGGTTGAGAGGAGGGTTCAAGTTCCACCGTTCCAGGCGTGCTGTTGTTCCCAGGGGAATGGAGAAGAGAACTCGTGATAGCACGTCATGTGATGCTTCGAGGGAAGGAGGGGCAGAACTGATGTCAAAGAAATCTAGAGGAAGAAAAACTGGCCGAAATTACTTTCACTGTGGATTGGAAACAAGAATCGTTTATGACCATAAGTTGATGAAGGATTGAATCTCTAGGGCGTGACAATGGCTCTCATGTGATGAGCGGATGAGGTGAGAGCTTCGGCGTACCCAGCAAATACTTGAGATTTGTCAAAAAACTTAATAATGAAGCACAGTCTTCTATTGCTAAAACGTCTTCTCTGAAGCATCTCGGACAAAGAAAATTTGTGTAGACATCAAGGAGAACTGTTGAGGTTGTGATGAGCATACGTGCATTCCCTGGAAAAGAGGACCACTTGCATATTTTCGCCGGAGTGACGAAGTTACGAGTCTTGCTCATTGCTGCACTTGCATCTCGTTCCAGCCTTTGACATTTTCAGTCAGAATCAAGGATCAAGACTCATCGCGGAGGAAGAGGAAGGAGTTGAAGGTTGCAGATCCCAAAAAGGCTAGAACGCGAGAGCTACCCCTGTCGCGTACATTTTGGCGAACCCCAAATTGGACGCGCTTTAAGATCCAGGAGACGAAAATCACGACCACGCTCATCTCGCCCACGACCCTATTCTGCCAAATTCGAAGGCATAAACTATTTCTCCTTCTTCAGACCACGCCTAAACGCTGGTTTTCCCCACACTCCGTTCTACCTAACGCGCCGTGAGCCCCAGGCTCCCCAACATTATGGCCGACAACCTCCACAATGCCCCCATAGTCCTGGACAACGGCTCAGGCACAATCCGCGCCGGCTTCGCAGGCGACGACCTCCCCAAATGTTACTTCCCTTCTTTTGTCGGGCGGCCGAAACATCTCAGAGTGCTAGCTGGCGCATTAGAAGGAGATGTGTTTATTGGACAGAGGGCGCAGGAGTTGAGGGGCCTGTTGAAGATCAGATATCCGTTGGAGCATGGCATTGTGACGGATTGGGATGATATGGAGAGGATTTGGGAGTGGGTGTATGGGGAGGGACTGAAAACTTTGAGTGAAGAGGTGAGCATACCTCCAGCACGAGTTAGGGGAATTGAGCTTATCGAGAGCTTGATTTTAAACCCAGGAGATCAAGAGACCAGATTGCTAACGGAAAGTGCAGCATCCTGTCTTATTAACAGAACCGCCTCTCAATCCTCGAAGTAACCGCGATACTGCTGCCCAAATCCTCTTCGAAACCTTTAACGTCCCCGCACTCTATACATCCATTCAAGCCGTTCTCTCACTGTATGCCTCTGGCCGAACTACTGGTATAGTTCTGGATGCAGGAGATGGCGTATCACACGCTGTACCGGTATACGAAGGATTTGCAATGCCGAGCTCAATACGGAGGATAGATGTAGCTGGGCGAGACGTCACAGAGTACATGCAGCTATTATTACGGAAATCAGGATACGTTTTCCACACGAGTGCCGAGAAAGAGGTAGTGAGGATGATTAAGGAGAAAGTCAGCTACGTGGCAGCGGACCCGAAGAGGGAAGAGAAGGAATGGTCTGGTGCGAAAGTTGGAGATGGCAAGGTGGTGGAGTATGCCCTGCCTGATGGGAATAAGATCAAGGTAAGCCTAGGCTGCATTGTTTAAAGGTCTTCTGCTAACAAGAAACAGATTGGCGCAGAGCGTTTCCGCGCCCCTGAAATCCTGTTCGATCCCGAGATCATAGGCCTCGAATACCCCGGCATCCACCAAATTGTCGTGGACGCCATAAACCGCACGGATCTCGACCTGCGGAAATCTCTATTCGGGAATATTGTCTTGTCTGGAGGAAGTACATTGACGAAGGGCTTTGGTGACAGGTTACTGCATGAGGTGCAGAAGTTAGCGGTGAAGGATATGAGGATCAAGATTTTTGCGCCGCCGGAAAGGAAATATTCCACCTGGATTGGAGGTAGTATTTTGGCGGGACTGAGTACTTTCAGAAAGGTATGTGGTGTGTTGGAGGTGATTTGAATGCAGAGAGCTAATTTGATTTTAGATGTGGGTCAGCATCGATGACTGGCACGAAAATCCGGATATCATCCACACGAAATTCACATAATCCTTGAATACCTGCCCTCTCTTCTTCTAAAACTTCCTTCATCCCGAATAGCATACCATCAGACTAGCAGGCTCTTACGACGTGGCATACCAGGGGTAGAGCCGGTCTTTTGGAAGTGGACCTTGAACCAGCTGCAGACTGAAACTACAGGTCGACAATCCATCTGCGATGGCCATCGTTCCTTTGAATGAGGAACAAATTGCGCCTACTAGCGACTCCCAAGCATTTGAGCGCTGTCCCGTTGATATAGATATGTATTTCAAGGGCGAGGGCCAGGAAATGGGCGTTCAGGGAGGATCTCGTAATGTGTAAAATTGTAAAGAAGTGTGTCCGAGAAGATGCTAGATCAATGATACCCAGTCAGTCACTCAAAGGAGAAGGAAGCAACAGGTTATGTGACATGCACTCGTGATTTCCGATTCATAAACCCTCTCCATATAAAAACAATGCTGTATGCACCCCAAAATGCCAAATGCACACGCCATCCCTCTCGTCCCCCGACCCCAACTGAAAAGTTGATGCGAAAAAAAGGGGGGGATCATAGTCATCACCTCCCAGCCCAACCCATCCATCCCACCCTCAAGCCCAAAGCAGACCATGACAACAACCCAAACGCCAACAATATGCACCAATCTACCCCATAAACGCCATATTCCAAAATCAGATGCTCCTCCTATCACTATCATACTGCTGCAGAGGCCGAAGCCTCAACCTCCTCAGCCTTCCTCGCCACGACCTCGTACCACATCCCATGACTCTCTCTATCGCACAAGCCGACCTTCCTGATTTCCTCTACTATTGCTCCAACTTTATGCACGAACTCAGGTAATCCGAGAGTTGCAAGGCTCTCGCTTGCCGTACTGGCGCTCTTGACTTTCTCCTTCTCCGTCGCGGCGGCTAAACGGCCGAGAATGTGGCCCCGGAGTCTCGTCATCAGGAGTCTCATGACGGGGTCTCGGAGTTCGGTCACTGCTGGAGCAGAAGATGGAGAGGCAGTTGGTGATGGCGAGATGGAGATCGCTGCAGCGGCGGACACGATCCGAGCAACGAGTTCTCTGATGTGGTTTTTCGTCGCTACTGGCATTGAGCGTGAAGACTCGAGAGCGGCTTGAATGCCTTGTGATGCTTGCTCTGGTCCTTTGGCGTTTTCCAGTACGGAGAAAATGCGGGTTGCCTCTGTCTTCCATTGGCTGCGGACGTCTCTCTTGAGGAGATTCTTGCATTGAAGAAGGATTGCTCCTGAAGTGATGATTCGTAGGACGTCAGCTCGGATGCGAGTTATGCGTTTGGTGTCGAGCTGCAATGTCTCAGGGATGGGGATTGAGGCGTCCAGAGACGTGAAGATATCGGTTAGCATTTGAGCGTATATCTTCTCGGGCGTAGGTCGACTTCGTGGTAAGTCGACATTCTCAGGATCCCGTCTGGCTTTCTCAGCCAGAACTTTCGTTCTTGCTTCTCCCCATGCAGCCTCTGCTGCTGAGAGTTTGCCTGACGTTTCTTCCATCAACTCGGCGAATCGTGATGTCTCATATTGGCCAGCATTCTTGACCAATTCAGGAGCTGCTTGCATCAACATGAAATTTGCGTAATCGAGTTGCATGAGGTCAATCCCGTGCATCAAAGCGGTCAATCGATCGACCACATCCCCCGTTTGCATCTTCTTCTCCACGATGTCTTTAATTTCCTCATCTCTGAAGGGCGCACAGAGGCGAGGAAGGAGGCTGGCCATGAAAGAGAAGAATTTCTCATATGAGAAAGAGCCACCGTGGAGCTCTCTTGCAACAATCTCGCTGTCGAGAGCCTCACCAACGAGTTTATGCATCGAATTGCCCTCTTTGAGAAGCTGCTGGAGTCTGACTCTGATATTCTCGGCCATGGCAAGGACCCAAGCATCGCTGTTCCCTGCCGCAAGCTCTTGCCGCATCACGTCGAAGATAGCGTGCATGGTAGAGGTTCTTTCTTCAAGAGCATCCTCTTCAATGCGATATTCTCGATTGATAGCCACCTCGTGAGTGAGAACCCGATTTTCCGGAAGTATCGGCCTGAAAAGCCGTAGCTGATCGGCTTTCGACTGTCGATGTCTAGGTGGTGTCGAGGGAGGCGTCAACGTCTGCAAGTGAGATGTAACTAATTTCTCGGCTGCAGATAGCTCGTCAATGTTAGGTTGACTGGGCGCAGGAGAATCTGCTGCTCGAGGTCGTGAGTCGCCTGTAGGCTTCTTTGCTGCTCTAGCCTTTCGTGCTTCCCGGATAGCGTTCGTAATCAGTTTCTTGCCTTGGACGGCACCAGCAAGTCTCTTGATTCTGACCATCAATTTGAGCTGGTTTTCTCGGATGCCATCGCGGTATGATTCGGTGACCGCTTCCTCGGTACTATCCTTGACTGACTGCCATATGGAATCCAACTCAACGAATTGTAACACCATCATGTCGATGAGAGTAGAGGAATCTCGAGCCTTCCAAGCAATGAAAGCATTAAAGAAAGAAGCGTACACCTCTGACAGTGTAGACAACTGTGCTGGAGGAGGCGTATAGTTGTTCGCAGCGTTCAACCGTGACAAGACATTCTCAAAAGAAATGAGCAAATCTCGGGCCTTGGCTACAAGGTCCTGCAACTGCGGATTAGCCAGATCATCTCTTCTCATCGGTAACGCTCCCACCTGCTCCTGCTGGCCATTGTCGCCAATGTCGCCTTTACCGCTAAGGACTTGAGTCGGATGACCCAGGATAAGAAAAGCGCTCAGGAAAGTCCGGACCGCAGTCATCTCATTGACCGAGCCAGTTTCCCCTTCCTTCAATCCACAAATCCTCAGTATCTGCGCAGTGCCCACTAAGACTTTCTCCTGCGCTAGTAAATCGACTACTTTCTCAAATGAGGTTTCTCGAACGCTGTCAATCGTAAGACCTAATGCTGCGAAGTGCTTTACCGCCTTCAATCTTTGATGTACCCTCCATTTCTGTTGTATCCTGGCAGCGGCCGTGGCTTCGCTGATGGTTTCACGGACGGTTGGTAGTGGCGACGTGCTCTTCCTTGGGTGGCTGAGAGAACGCCCTCTCTTACCATTACCTCTATTCAGAATCTCTTCTCGTCTTCTCTCGGCCTCGGCAAGCCTCTCTTCCATTTCTCGCCTTAGCTTCTTGCCCTCAGCCTCTCTCTTCTCCTTCATGCTCTCCGCAATGCCCTTGGCTCTCTTCACCTCTTCCGCACATGCTGCCACGATCTCGGCAAGATTCTTCTCCCGTGCTTGCTGTGCAGCTAGAGCCCTCTCCTCGCTGTTTGTTGTGCTCCTAGGCGCCGCCTTTGCCAATGCAGCTCTCAAGCGCACTTTCTCCGCGTGAGCAGCTCTATCTGCCAATCTTGCCTTTCGATCTTCGATGATGGAGGCGCGGCGCAAGTGTTGCGCGATATAATTGCTCTGCGGTCCGCCATGGCGACTTGAGGCATGCGACTGATGGGAATGTGCAGAGGATACGGAATTGCGGCGGGAGGACGCGGCAGAGGACTTACGGCGGTTTGTTGAAGGTCGATAAAAGCGTGCTGCGATCCGAGGAGGCGGAGTGTGTATCCTGTTATCGTTTGACTCCTCGGTGATGAGGTCGAGATCTGTGTCTCCTGGCATATCGGCGGGGTGGCCTGTTGATTCGGCCAGGTTGCGATCTGGGTCACTCAAATCCTGCGAAGCGCGACGCATCTTTAATGGTGGTGATGGGGCGTGAATTGGTGAGTTGAACTGAGACAAAGAAGTCCGGGAACGGGTATGCTGAATGCAGGCGTCGGGTAACGAGCTGTTATGTGAGTGTTTCGATTCGAAGTGAATGAAGGTATTGTCTGTCTGTCGCAGAAAGAAGAATGACGAATGGCAAAGTGGGGTTCTGGAAAAGGAAGCGTTGGATCAAAACCCTGGTCTAGTCCCCAAACAGTATACAGAGAAGGGAATGAGTCGAACAACAGGCAAAGCCTAAAGGCAGAAAAGGAGGAGGTTGGAGTTTGGGTTCGATGTCGTCAAGTGTAGGGCTCAGTCGTGACGCTTGCGGGATGTCAGCGGCTAGGCCGGAACCGGTTTCCAGCCACACCAGGATTACAGAGCAGAAAACCCACATGACAGAAGCAACCAGAATCATTATATATTTATTTTTCCAGCTCCTGATCCCTTAATCACCTGAGCTCAAACAGGCGCAGCGTGACAATCGCATCCATAATTCGACGCTGAAACTTACATATGATACTAATGCGACTCTGACTGTCTTGTTTTTGTTGCACACGATGGTGTTGACCGCCTGCCACATGCAGAAGATTTTCGCGGATCATCCGAACTAGAGAAGTTCCTGACACCAATGACAAGTCGGAGATAGAATCAACCTCACAATTACGAAATCCTATAGCAAGACAAGAAGTTTAGCTAGAGCTTTAATTTTGGCGTTCCAATCTCCCATTAACTCAGCAGTCCGTGAACTTTGCAGAGTAAGTGACCAAAGCTCGATCACATGAAGACATGCTGAGCTTCTGTAATTGGAAAGGGTAAAAAGGACGTACCTATATAAGGTTTCCATTCCTACATGTTGGGGCCCTTAACAGGCTCGAACGAGCTTACGTAATTACACGCGTGCTTGATTACGTACAAAAGCATAATCTGGAATCACATCCTCCCCTACTTAAAAACGAACTTGCCCCTGAAATTCGTGCAATAAAAGAAAATGCAAAGCCTCAAGCTTGCTCAAGCTTCCCAATAGCTCCCTTTCATCCCAAAGTTATTTCGTCCGAGGAGGTATTTCTTGCTGTTATCCCTTTACCATAGACTAGATCAGATAAAAAGGATCCATTTTCGTTCGAGGAGGTATTTCTTGCTGTTATCCCTTCTCTAAAGACTAGATCAGATAAAAAGGATCTCTGAAAACTCCGGAGTAGAGTTCTAGTACAAGATCTCAGCTAAAACTGAGCCTTTTTATGGCATTGCTACCATATGTGATTGGAAAGGGTAAAAAGGACGTAAGGTTTCCATTCCTACACGTTCGGGCCCTTTAGGCTCGAACTAGCTTACGTGATTCCATGTGTGCTTGATTACATACGTACAAAAGCGTGATCTAGAATCACACTTCGAATGTCCAAAAGATACCGGTACAATCGTAGTGAAAGAGCCAAGGAAATTCTGGAAGAGCAGCGAGTGCTGTTTAATCACTTCGCCATTATGAAAAATAGTTCGAGATGTCGAGCTCATCCGATATCATATCACATCAAGCTCATGATACTCTGGCACGTTGAGTCCTTTGCCAACTTTGAGATAAGTCTTATATACAAGAAGATAACACAACCACATCTCATCGCATTCATCAGAAGAAGCCTCTTGTCGGGTATAGTGTTCGTTGCATCTGTACAATACAGAAACAGAACAGAAAGACACGCCTGTGCTTCCATTCATGCCTCCAGTTCCCCATTTTTCATCTTAGAACGCCATTCCCAAACCGGTTGGTGATGCGTCGCTTGTCGGTTGTTGTGTTTGTTGTTGACAGATGAACAGATAAATAGAAAGCTGCATACATACTTAATTTCATGTACATAGCAAACTCTCTAGATATCGATTCCATCTACGCAAAATGCCAAAGGTAAGGCACCAAAAAAGTCTAAAGGAACAAGAAGAAGGCAAAGATTTGTTTTGTTCCATCTCCCCACTCGTCGTCCCCCGTTTCCCCAATCATGGCAAACGAAGGGTTTAGTAGCTATCAGTAGCCTTCGTAATCGGCGCAGTACCAGTCATTTTCGCCTTGGAAATGAATCCTGAGGATGGGAAGATGCTGCTGCACTTCTTCTTGGTAACTGTCTGGGTTCCATTACCGTATGGGGATCCAGTGGACATTGGGACGGGAACAACAGTGGCAGTAGAAAGAACCACGACAGGGCCGGGGTTTGAGGGGGAAGCAACTACGTTCACGTTGGCACCGGAGGCGGCAGCACCTGAGTTCTGAGTTGCGGCGACCGGTGAAGCCGTCTCGGTCTGGACGATTTAGTATCGGTTCCAGAAGTTGGAGGAAAGACTTACCACAGTAATGGTCAGCGCAGCTTGGGTGACTGTAACTGTAACTGGAGCGCAAACTGCTCCAGAGCTACCTGCTACGTCTCCAGAATTTGCTTCAGTAGATCCGGCCGGATATCCAGTGGCGACTTGGGAGACAGTGATGTATTTGGTGGACGTTGAGAACTGGGTCAACGTGGTGGTGCTGCTAAAGATCGAGTCAATACTTTGCGTTTTCTCATTGTCTTAAGTGTTTGTCCTTACTCAGTGGGCGAAACCGCATTGTTATTGTTCCCACCTTCTCCAGACGTACCAGAGGACTCACTGCCAGAAGCGGCCGGGGTGGCGTAGACAGTGGCGGTTTGAGTCTTTGCGATGGCTAAGAGACCGAGAAGTCAGCTCCTTTGTAATAGGACAATTAAAGACCCGTGATGAATAGAGCTTACTGGTTGTAACAACGGTGGTGGATGTGCCGGATCCAAGCGTGTAAGTCAAAGTCACAGGGATTTCCGTGGCTGAAGATGTGAGGACAGTGCCGTTCAAAGCAGAAGCTGTAGGCGTGGAAGCGACACCAACTCCTGTGCCTAGCGACGTTGGTACGGTGGCGTTAGAAGAAGGAGTTGTTACGACACCTGCCACTCCGTTTGTGGAAGAAGTGCTTGGTGAAGATAGAGGTGCTGAACCCGAGGCACTTGTGTATGATGCCAAGATTGCTGAGCTTGCGGACGCGGCTTCGGTAACAGGGCAGACGGTCTGTAGACTATTAGGAGTGTGCCACAAATATTCAATGATATACATGCCGTATCCACTGTAATGGTATCTGTGACCACCATCACATTTGTGGCCTCTGAATGGCCTGCTGGGCAGTTTGTGATGGTGGCCGCACAGCTTGTAATTGTGTGGGTGACCTCGGCATAGACAGTCAACGTTGTTTGAGCACCAGCATCAGTGGTCGAAGAGTTCCCTTGACGGCGAGGGTGGAAGTGTTGAGCCGCATGCTGGTGAGCGGTGGCCAAGGCCGCGAAGAGGGCCACAGACAAGGTGGTGAACTGCATTTTGGATATGGTGATCGATTCAAAGGATGAGGTGTTGGCGGTTTGAAGTTATTCTCTCTTTCAACGCTCCTAAGCAATCAATGCTTTCCCAATCCTATAACAATAGTCTTCAATGAGTGTCGTCCTCGTTGTATGGTCGTTGGGGCCGTGGTGACGAGAATCTCGAGAATATGCACAGTGAAAATGAGCGAAAGTCGATTTCGCAGTAGAATCTCTCAGGAAAGAAGGACTGAAGGTTGGAAAAGAGAAAGAAACTCTAAGCAGAAAACGACTGTAAAGAGCGTAGTTATCAAGATAGATCTTGGTGGAGAGAAGAAGAGGAGAGAGGGAATTCAAGGGATACGGCAGACAGAAGAGGTGTGCGGATTACGAATGAGCAAGGGTCAAGGAGCTAAATCAGGACCCGCGCAGGCGCCGCCAGCGGCCAGGGCATGGGCATGGGCATGGCATGGCACGACACTTCCATGATGCAGGCACAGGAGAGGAGCGCGGAGCGCGGAGCTCAAGACTCGCCAGACCTGGTGGACCTGGTGTTTGGGTCAACGGAGAGAGGCTGTGGGCGCAAGAGGCGATCGAGAGGCGCGGGAGGTGGCTTCCCTTGTCGAGCTAACAGGCTGATTAGGGGGCTCGCTTAACGCGCCGGGGGCTTCGGGACAGCTGATTGGCGTTTCGGCTTGCAGATGGCCCGCCAACGGGCGTGTGTTTCTGTGTGGTGGTCGGCGGTGGATCGTCAGGTACCTGGACCATTTTGTTCCAACCACAACTGGTTGGCCAAGTCGTGAAACACCATCGGACGAACCGATGAACCGCGCCAGCGACTGGGAGACACCCGCGAGAACACAGCCAGCGACGGCGCAGAGGGGAGAGTTGGACGAAGAATCAGAAACACAAACATCTCGAGCTCCGTTGTCTCGTGGACCGACTCCCGCAAGTCTCGGTGAGATGGAGCTCTCCAGAAAGCATCCCGAATTCGTTGCCCCTGATCTACTATTGAGATCAACAGGCCCGCTGGCGATGATGACGACCCGGAAATTATCCCACAGTCGAGAGGCCGGGACTGAGACCAAGCCTGCCAGATCTCCACGCCTCAACCAAGTGTGATTCGGTGCACCACCACGCCAACTATCCAGGTGCATAACTGGTCTGCACTCGACAAGTGATCAGCTTTCCCCTGGACCGTTACTTCTGGCTCGGCGCCTTCCGCCCGGCACTCGATTTAGAACAATCGATCATACCTCGTAACTACAAGTTAAAACCTCGAAAACTTCGATATTTGTTTCTTTCAGCTGTCTCTCCTCAAGACCTTGAACTTCAAGATTCCTGGTTCGGTTCCTGGGTCACATCGTGATGACCCCCCAGGCCTCTCTGACCACTGACTGGTCAATCCGTCCGAAAAGTGTGGATTTTTGCAGCCGCACAGAGGCATCCTGAAACGGGGCTTCTGCACGACGTGAGAACTTTTCATTGGCAGGCCACGACAGCCACAGTGCCAAGTATCTGAACCCCTGGATGACCTCAACCTTGGAGTCCGGTTTGCATTCCAGCTCACGGAAGCTTGCACTGTCAGGTAGCTCTCATGATGCTATTCCCGTCATCTGAGAGCGTTGCTGAACATCGCACCGCATGATTGTGGGATTGTGGCCCGAACATCGATGTATCCCGAAAGGTCAGGAATTTCGGGTTGACGGGTTGTCATCACAACCATCCCACTCGAATGAGACTCGACATGGATACGAGAACTCTCACCCCACACACCTCTTTCTCATCCTCGCAAGTACCCCGCGCTTCCGTTCTGCATGAACTCAATTTCAAGGCGCAGCCTTCTGAAATCGGCCGAGCTCCATAGATATTCCAATTAGGGTTGCCGAGAGTTTCATCTGACAAGCCCTTCTGATCCCTCATCGGAGATATCCTTTAGCCTTGCTTGGCGCCTTGCTTGGCGCCTCGGTTTGGAGACACGTCCTTCCAGAAGGTTAGCCAGGCTAGGGCTCAACCCTCCGCGATACCTCAAATAACTCGGGAATGATGTCATCAGATTAATTAAGAGGAGCGGACCAGACACCAGAAAGCGAACGAATTCCCTTCCTGGACGAGCGCGATATTTACTTCTGAACTGAAACCCTCATGGTATGTATTGAAAATCAAACAATTTCACTCCAGAATCATTCTGGCTCGCGATCAGGGAAAGCGTCCCATCAAGCGAGTAGTTCCATCGAAGGGCAACGCCTCGTAAATAGGTTCAGAAGCAAACTTCCTCTTTTCTTGTTATTGCTCAGTTCACATCGTTTCTGTGCCTTCAAATGTCTCCATGTTCGACTTTTACTTTCGTTTCCATTGATGCGACTTCATTTGCTCTGCGAGTTTGTCTTTTCCCAGCTTGTAACCTTCAACAGCTTCACCGCTTCTTCTGATCTCATTTCCCCCCGACTTTGTTCCTGTTTTCACTCTTGCTCGCCAAGCCAAATCTGAACAATCTGCATCTCCTGCTCCAGCTCAATCTGTGTTTCATGCGTCCATCTCTGAGGCTTCCCGCTTTCCAACTCCGCAATGTCCGTTTTGCATCAGCTTGTTTGAAGTGCCGCATGTTACGACGGAATTCCAGCACTGAATTGGTCTCGTTGTTCTGCTGAGAAAAAAGATCAGCTCTGAGTGACACCTCTGGTGCATGTCTGCAAGTGGAAAACTCTACCAACCAAGTACTCATTTATTCTCAACATGCCATTCAACCTCCGCGCATCCATTGATCAATGAGGAAATCGACCAAGAAAGAGTGCTTCGCATCTCGTATGTGGAGGGTCTCTTCGGTCTCAACCTGAGGTCAATTCTGTTGTCTGCACCCTCGTCTTATCTACTCAATGGCGTCAGCTTCTGAAAGACATAACAGCATGCACCGACAGTAATTGGATTTCAAAATCAGAGTTTGCCGGTTTAAACACCGTGTTTAGAATTTCATAAGGGATAACTGGGCGGTTTCATCATTTGGGACAAATTGGGGCACAAAAAGTAAGAAAAGACTTCCTGGTCTATGCCTACGCACCAGGGCGTATTCGCTCTGCGGATAACAAAACTTGATCGATGATGAAAACGACCAACAAGGGACGATTCGGTATCTCGGATAGGGATCGTCTCTTCAGTCACCACAATTCTGAGGTCTGTCCGAGAAGCTTCTCCTGTACACTGTCCCTGTCTTTTCAAAGCGTCAGCATCTGAAATTCAACATAGGTGTGTATGGAGTGAGATTTGGATCTGAAAATCAGAGTATGGCAGTACAACATAGTTCTTAGCACTTCATCATGTCGGTTGGCCATTTCATCACCTAGGGCAGTTGTGACCCGGAAAGAAAAGGAAAGATTGCCTGGTTTGCTTACCTACGCTACTCAATTGACTCCACGTCGCTCTTCGGGCATGCATACATTACAACAAGCCTCGGCCGATGATGAACTGGACCCAGAAGTTACTACTCGGTATCTCGTATGCAGAGCGTCTCTTCGGTCGTAAGCTGAGGCCAATTCGGAGAGTTCGAACAACACAACTACTGTCCATTTAAGGCGTCAGCTTCTGAAAGACAATAAGAGAATGTACCCTGGGATTAAACTTGGAATCAGACATGTCCTATGTGACGGCATATAATAATTGTTCCATTGGAACTGTGCAAGCAGGCTGCGCAAGGTTCATCATTTGTATTTTTGGAATACAGTGGGGGAAAGAAGTAACTTTCCTGGTCTAGTGTCTATGCAATGGATCCTTAACCGGCCTCAGCGGGTTTGCGTACAGAACGACAACCCTTGATCGATGATGAGATTGACCCAGAGGAGAGTATGCGGTATCTCGTATGCGGATTCTCTTCGTCGCAATCCGAGGTCAATCGTCGGCGTTCAAAAGATAATTCCTATGTCTTTAAAGCGTCAGTACTTGAATGAAACCAACAGCATGTATCAGTGAACTGGTCTTGAGATCAGACTTGTTCCAGCAGGACGGCAACAAAATATCACCACAAGCAGGCGCGTGGCTTATTGTGTCCATCACCAAATCGAGACACGGAGAGGGAGACAAATACATTTCCCAGCTTGCTTGTCTACGCAGGACAGCCCATTGGTAGTTCATTTGGGTTGCGCATAGTTGATCGACGATGTTGTTCGAGAGAGAACAGTCCCAAGGTCGCGATGCATTCCGTGTTGAGGACGGCTCTTGCTCGGTGTTCTGAGATCAACTCGAAAGAACCATCTAGCGATCGATGATGAGTTACCAGTGAGTGCTGTAGATGCGCAGCTGATTGAGGATCATTGAGTGTCGTGTTCCATTCGTCGTGCAGCCTGCGCGAGTGGAGTCAGGAACTCTTCGCAAGACTACATCATTGAGTAAGGTCTTACCAACTGCTGAACGATTTCAGTGGAGTATCGGTGTGGTGCCTGTCAGTTGCAGGCACGATTTAATTATACAGCAGCATCGCAGATGGAGTGAGTGCTGCGGGAGGTGACTGTTGATGCAGAGGAGAAGATGCACAAAGGGGAAGATGGCTCTGTTCTGCTAGCTCTGTTTACGTTTACAATATGGCAAGTGCGATTATGGTTTCCGAAAAGCCATCATCACAGTGTTGGTAGTTACTTCCATCATTTGCTCAATATGCTTCCTGTCTTCTGGTGGTTGCCGAAAACTCTAATCCCCTTGGAGGCAGACATCGCGAAATACTCACATCTTGTGGAGTGTTTCACTGGCGCAGCTCAGACAAACCACTGGCGAGATTTCAATTGGAAATAGAACTGTACACCGAATCGCTGCCGTCGTCTATTGGGGCTCGAGTCTGAGGCGCCCCACTCGGCCTATATTCTTTTGCTGCAATCTCGGAAGACAACATTCTAGAAAACGGGCACCCCAACCTACCCTACTACTGTTCGTTGGGTAAGTATTAATCTCATATTCGGCTTCTATCTCCAAATCTGTTACAAACTACAATCAGGGAGAATGGTCTTCTGCGTCCAGAAAAGACTCAGGTCTCCGCTTATTATCTCTTCTGCAATTCACACTACTCACTTACAACTTGAACACGATGAAGAGGAAATGGTAGAGAGGGTCGCACATTAGCAAATCCGTACTGGGGTGCTAAATATCCCCAACCTCCCTCAAGATTCCAAGTTATGAGGTTTACCTAAGGTGAAACTCGAAAGGTTTCCATCTCAATTTTAGCTGGAGATTGTGTTGGACGTGGCACTCAATGTTCGAAAGATCAATGTGTTTTGACTAAGATTTCTCCAATGAATAGTATCCATGAATTTATCTGACTTTCCATCGCAAGTGGATTTCGGCTTTCGAGTTTTTTTTGCACATTGCTTCAATGTGTGACAAGCTCTGGGACATTGAGAATCAAGTTTTCATCTCAGATTAATATCAACCACCTTACCTGGCTTGTCTAATCCTGTGAACCACCGTTTCTGGAACTTTGCCACACAACTCAAAACCAGAACTATTCCTTAGATACTAACCCATCGCTTCTAGAGTACTGGCGCAAGGTTTGTGTGCAATCTGATGTTTGCATGGAAGTACGGTCTGTTAAGATACTCATGTGGTGGTGTTCTGTTAGCTGGGAATCTTCCTCTAATGTTGGTGGTGGAAAATTGGTGGTGGAAATCTCGTCATATTGGTGTATAAACCAAATTCAAAGCTTAGCACTTTACAGTCTCCTGAAATGCTGAAGTGGATTACATGACTCGAACCTTCGCTTAGAAAGGGGCCGCGATTGGAGTCAGGTGCTGGCATCGCACGTGATTTGCCCAACCTCCACCTTCATTATCACTATCACCACCAACCTCCCGCCTCGTAGACCTGTTCCCATATGGGCACCATCATTTACTTCAACAGTTCAAGCGATTGGAAGTCTCTTTTTTCTCATCAAGTCCATTTCCTATGCATTGTCGCTCGGAAACGTTCCGAGAGGGATTGACCGTCGACAGCCGAAGGCGTTGTTTGATGCAGCCTGCCCAACTGGATCCCGATCTCTACGGACTGTTTCTCCTCTCCCGAGATCTCTCCAAGATCTGACCTCAAGGTCAGCCATCTCACATCACCACCACAGAAGTCGTCGCAGCGAGGTTGGCGACAGTCCACTCAGAGAAGCTTTTACGAAGTCTCGCTTCAGCGAGAGCGAGGTTCATCCCGGGGAGAACCTTAAATGCCCTCGTATACCCATCGGAAAAAGAACCATTTTCGCGTTTCAACACTACACATTCGCATACCGTCTCATCCCATTCCCATTTGACATCTCCATTGACGTCATCTTTCCATATTTATTCCTGTTTCAAAGTCCGTGCCTACCTCGACTACACTTTGGAAGTTGTCTAGACTTCAGGATGGCATCGTGTCCCAGGTTACACGTTGACCTGCATTGATTTGCACCAGGGTAGTACCCTGGACCACGACGTTGGGCTCCATCATACCAGCCATTGATGCTCACAATTCCGATATTTTGCTTTTCGTTCCATATAATACATCTAATATTTTCAGGCATTGTTATGCATCCCATCCTAGGTGAGGTGAAATGGAGGAGGCTCGTGGCACGTCGGTGGCTGGACGTGAGTTCACTTTACCAAAGAGAGAAAACTACGAGCGGCCGGAACGTTCGTGATGAGATGACGAAGGTGGTTTATGGCTAGGAAGTGCAGATGAAACGGCTATAATACCTTCCAAGATATCCCATCTTCTGTATCTCTCAACTCGCAGCAATCAATCAACCCTACCTTCAGACACACCTTATCGTCCCAAGTCGGACATATTCATCGACCATCACGGAGAAAGCACTAAGGAGACGTCCATCCAACACTTGGATCCCTGAACAGCTCCCACCCCCCGAATTCTAAGTCGAAATGCAGGGAGACGGGCCCAGCGAGCTGCCTCTGCACTATGGCAGCAAGACCTCAGATGGAGAACTCATTAAGCGTCCCAATTCTCCAATACTCCCGAACTCCCCCGGTCGTTCCTACCAACCCTCTAAGCGCCTTGCATACTCGCCGGAACGCACACCCATTGACCTTCCATACTCTTCTGGCAACCCCGAAGACTTTCGAGGAGCAGGGCTTAGACGCAGACCCAGCCAAAATCCTACTCGACGACACTCCGGAGGAGATTACGACCTTCCTCGACCCAGTGTCTCAGTAGACGGTGGTTCTCGACGGCCATTGAGATCCAGAGATGATGGGTACTACCGTGATGAGGAACGTGGATGGTCACGACGAGACGAGTACGCTCCTCACCCTGATTCTCAGGAACGATCCCGGCCACCACGGACTTACCGCAACATTGAAGGCTGGGAAAGAGGGCCATCGTCAGCTTCGAAGGCTTACTTCGAGGAGTCAAGATATGACCGTGACCTTGAAAGAGGCAGAGAGGATTCGTTTGCAGAGAAGAAGCGGATCAGCGATGAAGACAGTGTCGATGGTTACAACTATGATGCCCACAGAGGCGGGCAGGCCAGAGGCACAATTGACTTCAAGAGTCTGAGTCCAGAAGAGAGAACCGAAGTCCTGAGGCTTCCATGGACACAGTGGATGAACAGTGGCGTCAAGAATCGTAAGTCTCATTCCGTCTTTCAAAGGTTCTCTTGCTAATAGAGACGAGATTTCGTCGCAACAATTGGAGAGTTCGTTGGCACGACTATGTTTCTTTTCTTTGCCTTTGCAGGCACCCAAGTCGCAAACATCCAATCTGCCGCTTCCGACTCCTCCTCAAACACGAGCAACACAACATCAGGAGCAGCAACAGGCTTCAACGTCTCCGTTTACCTCTACATCTCGGTCATTTTTGGCTTCTCCCTGATGGTGAACGTATGGATCTTCTTCCGTATCTCAGGAGGCTTGTTCAATCCCGCCGTCACACTCGGAATGGTGCTCGTCGGTGCACTTCCAATTGTCAGAGCGATTTGTCTTTTCGTTGCCCAAATTGCTGGCAGTATAGCCGCCTCTGGCATGGTTATTGGCCTGTTCCCTGCCAAGTTCAATGTTAGGACGACGCTCGCCGGAGGTACCAGTTTGGTGCAGGGAGTGTTCATCGAGGCAATCTTGACCGCTGAACTCGTCTTCACCATTTTTATGCTTGCAAAGGAGAAGCACAAAGCTACATTCATCGCGCCAGTCGGCATTGGACTTGCTCTATTCATCGCTGAAATGGTTGGTGTCTTTTATACTGGCGGTTCACTCAATCCAGCAAGAAGTTTCGGTCCTTGTGTTGTGACCGGCATCTTCGATCATGACCATTGGATCTACTGTAAGTCGCACTCTGCCACGCATCCATAACGCTTACTGATTTCTTCCTAGGGGTCGGACCAATTCTCGGGTCGCTCATCGCTGTCTTCTTCTACAAGTTCATCAAGATGCTTGAGTATGAGATGGCAAATCCAGGACAAGATGGCGATGACAAGAATGATCCAACCAAGAGCGAGCAAAAGCGAGCTGAGTTGGTCGAGAGACGACAGGCAAGAGCCACTCGACGGCCTGGAAGCCGACACTCCCGCTAAATGTCATGGGATGGAAGTCAGACTGCAACCTATGTTTAATGGGTTATATTAATGATTGTGAATGACTCTGTTGGTCTGCTATTATTTCAATTTGGAGTTTACTGTCGCTACAATCCCTTTTATACCGCCGCTGATGCAATAATGAAAATACACCCATCCTCATTACTATTAATTCCCATTACCCCGCTGTGATGATGCCACCCAAAAGCAGCCAAGTCCTTTTCCTGTATGACACCTCTCACAGAATTCCAGGAATAATTGCCTTCCTATTCCCAACCTTCTCCTTCCCAAATCTCTCAATGTACCACTGCTTCCCCGAGACTGCTCTCGGCAGCATGGCTGTAATCTCATTGACCAGAAAATTCCTGGCAGGGACACAGCCCCAGCCCCCAACAATCCAGAAACCTCCCCACTCAATCCACTCACACAAATAATGCGGATACAGAATCCAAGTGAACAGCCCGTTCTGCGGAATCATGTAAACCTTATCCACGCCCTTCTCACCGCTCTTTCCTTTCCCCGTACTACTGTCCGCTTCCGCAGCCCTCTTCTTCTGATTCCGTGCGGCCGCTCGGCGAATCTCTCGCAGCTCGTCATCGTGGTAGATGTTAGTGAGGAGTCCGAGAGCCCAGATCATTATACCGAATACTATGCGCCCGCCAGCTTTGAAGTTTGCTTCTTTCTGCCACTCTGCACGGGTTGTGGGGCCGTAGCCTCCGAGCCAGCAGCCGATGGAGGTGCCATTTGAGAGTTGGAACGTGAGGGCGAAGAGCCAAACGAGAGGGTGGATAGGGGACATCGAGGGGTTGAGGAAGGGTGTCATGATAGCGCGGTAGATGTAGTGGATTACCTGCAGATTTCATGAGCACTGCAACATATCTATGACCGAGAAAACGTACGAAGAGAGCTCCCATAACCTTATTCTCCCAAGGGAGTGACGCGATGCCTTGTTCTGCTGGTAGCGTGTTCATGATGTAGAGAAGAGTGAGAAAACCTGGCGCCTCCATTGTGAGCCACGCGATTTTGCCCGGGATATTGAATCGACTATTTGAAGATGTCTTGCCAGCTCCATACCAGGAGATGGCCCACTGTAAGCTTGCCAACTGTCGTTGTCAGTTACTGATCGCACTGAAAAGGGGAGTTTCATACCACTGGGAAGAATTGAAACAGGTATACAACCCACTCCCAGTTCTCTCTTGACGGAGGCATATAATTCTTGATGAGCGCCATGTTGATGATTTCTGTGAGTGCAGCCTGCTCGAAAGCAGGCGAAGATTTTATGGGAGTGTTGTTTTGTTTTTTTTTAAATTGCGGCGCGTAATTGCCTCAATGAGGTCACCAGTTGAAGCCAAGGCCAGTTTTCGTCTGTGCAACGTCGCCCTTTTCAGCCTTGCATACGACCCGCCTTTCCAGCCCAGCCTCGTCTTATCCTTATCCCGATTGGTATTTCAACGTCAATCCATCTTCTCAAACATCTACAACCCTTGGAACAGTTTCTTCAATTGTCAAAATGCCACAGTACCTGGGCGATTAAGTTGAAACTCATACTCTAGTCCTTCATGAACACATTAGTTCATCTGTCTCCTCCAACTTCAACTCTCATTGAGATCTCCCCATCCCAACAATGACCACGCCCTCCCCCTCCACCGACCCAATGCTCCGCACAGCACTCCAAACCTACCACTCAGCCCTGCATACCTTCGCCTCCTCCCCATCCAATTTCCAAATCCTCAAATCTCTCCGCTCCTCCCGGGTCCCGCCCCCAAAAACCCTCTACATCCTCGACAGTTCCTTCAACCCACCCACTCTCGCGCACCTGCGAATAGCCAAGGCTGCCCTCCTCTCAGACCCAATCGCCGCACCCACACCAAGACGCCTTCTCCTCCTCCTAGCCACCCAAAATGCAGATAAAGCCCCCAAACCGGCTGCTTTCGAACAACGACTCGTTATGATGGAGATCTTTGCCTCCTCACTCATATCAGAAACGGAGCAGGAAGTAGAAGGACTCGGCATCGACATCGGCGTGACGAACCTCCCTTATTTTGCAGATAAGGCGAAATCGATAGAACAGTCGGGGTTGTATCCGGTTTCAACGCAACAAGTTCATCTCCTGGGCTATGATACGTTGACTCGTTTGCTGTCGACGAAGTACTATCCCCCAACGCATACGCTTCAGCCTCTTCATCCTTTTTTGGAGAAACATCGGTTACTGGTTACATATCGTGCGGATGATGACTGGGGAACGCGAGGCGAGCAAGACGAGTATTTGAAGGATATTGAAGTAGGGAAGCGGGATGGGGATGGGGCTAATAAAGAATGGGTTAGTGAGGGGAGGATTAGGATGGTTGAAGGGAGGAAGGAAGGGGAAGAAATAATCAGTAGTACGAGGGTGAGGGAGGCGGCTAAGAAGGGTGAGAGGGAGGCTTTGGAGAGGTTGGTAACGAAGGGGGTAGGAGATTGGGTTTTGGTGGAAAGTTTGTATTTGGATGATTGAATTGTTTGGGACCTATCTAAGTTCTCTTCATGAAAAGAAACAGTAAGAAGAAGTTAAACCATACCGATGTCATTGAATGATGATTCTCTGACCTTTCCACCACCAGAGGGACGGATAATCATTAAGGAAATTACATCCATAACGATTGCTAACGCTGTCCGAGCTTCTAGATACTCGAACCCCTAAGAGGACTAAACAATACCCAAGAATAACCTACTTTCGTCTTCCCCAAGCATCATCAGCTGCTTTCAACACTCTCTCCCTCTCGACCTTCTCCAAAACCTCCAACTCTGAACAATGATCATCTGTGCTTCTCCTCACAAACACCGACCCAAAACTCATGTTCCTGTTCCTCCGTTCAGACTTATAACCCTCCCAGTCTCTTCCGGACCAAGTCCGAGACTTATCCTTCTTCGAACCCATCTTGGGCAACATCTCCTCTAGCATGTCCGCGTCCACGTCCTCGAATGAATCAACAAGGCAATCGTCGTAGAACTTTGGATCCGCAATACTGAGCATCGACTCGTTCATTTCCCCTCCGATTCCCAAGTCCATACTTCCATCAACATCGGCCTTCAGAAGCTTCAATTGTCTCTCCCTCTCCTTAAACTCCACCTCGGCTTCCTCCGGATTCTGTGCAGCAGTAATCATCGGAAGAGGCAAGACTTCCAGCTCAGGGTATTCCAGTTCTCCAGCCATACTAAGACTGCCTCTTCGGCCCTTGGATGAACTCTGCTGCTGAACCTGTGTATCCGTTCTATACACTTCTTGATCAATCTTTTCCTTGACCTTATCCAGGACCCCCTTCTTCCTCTTCAGATACTCAAGTTCTGTGTGATGGCCATCATCCTCGTGCGCAAGGCACCAAACAATCTCTCCATCCTTTCTGCCCAGATTCGCGAAGTCTTTCGCTTCAACGCGGTCAACTACTGAAGCGCTGGAAAGGCGCTCACTCCGATTGTGACTAGGAAATCTTGACCAACTAGCGGGATATCTGTGGTCGGGACCCGTTGGCTTGCTCTTTTTGACGATATTTTTACTTTTTGCTTTGGCTCTTGCCGCAGAAGCCTCCATCTCCGCTTCCCAGGAATCCATAACCAATTCCTTCACGGCAACACGTTCTTCAAATTTTTTCTTGTATTCCTCTGCTGCACTCTCGTGGTCGTTGAGATCAACCTTCTTCTTACCCCTTCTCATACTGATGAGTCCTTCAAATGCACCTTTAGGGCGTTCTTGCTCTTCTTCGACGGCACTCTTCTTCCTGCCCTGGCTACTCCTTCTTCGTGGAATAAAAAGTTTACCTCTCACTTCGTTTGCTTTAGCATCTCCCTTATTTTTGACAGCTTTCCCCCACAAGCCTACGGCGTCATCGTCTAGAGGAGAAAGAGGGCTCGCTCCTGGGGAACGCAATACTTCTGGTTGAAAGTCTGGGACCGGAACGCTAAGCAACTCTTCCATGTTTTTCTCCGCTCCATCATAGCTTCGAATCGCGAGTCTAGCTAATTTTGTGAAAGCGGACGACTTGCGCGATTGAGGTTGCATGACCGGCGGCGGTTCAAAGTCGAACTCTTCTCGAAACTTGCTGGAGACTGGCGTGCTGGGAACACGTCGAGCCTCTGAGGAGGCGAACCTGGTTTCAATAATGCTCAACTCAGCTTCCATACGTCGGAAAGAGTCCGTCTCAGAAAAGACTACAGAGTTATCATCCATTGTTGGACGGTGGGCATATCTCGCCAGAGGAAGCCCAAGACTACTTGAAGAGATATCTCCAGTCGAGGCGTTCTCCGAAGCGTCCAACACCGGAGAGGCTCTTAGATCTAGCCATTGGGTGTAAGTGTTATGAGATCAAGAACAGGCGGGAGAAATATCGTGCTTACCTTTGGAATCGTCAACATCCGCCTTGTTTCGACCACCTTGCAAGAAAGACGGAATGCCGAATCCTGAGCTTTCCCGCGAAGGTTGAAGACTATGGCCAGCAGATAGGTACACAGATGATGTGTTGCCTCGAGCGACTTGGCCCCACGACTGAGGGATTCTTTTACTCAAAGGAATCGAATCGGAGGTGTTCTGCATATAGCGTGCCCTCTCAGCACGCATTATACTGGAAGCATCGCCGTTACTAGATACGCCACGTTCGTGAGAGCCCAAGCTTGATAGCTGCGGTGATGAAGAGCTCTGAACTCGTGATGCAAGTCGTTGTGATATCCTCATCTCGTGGAGGTGGATTGCAGCTGAATCATCGCCCACGCCGTCAACACCCCCGAAGTCATCACTTGTCGAGCATGTGTGAGCGTGAGAAGTAATAGATTTCTGATTGGTGTTATCTTCTGAAGCTGCGATCACTTGTGAAGAAGTCCTGAGGCCTTTATCATGAAGATATCTGACTGGTTGAGCAGAGTCTTTCAGTCTCTCGATGCTCAGGGTAATTGGTACTGCATGTTCTTGGCTTAACTTGCGCAGATGCTCACCGCGTTGGCCTGATGCAAATGACAATCTCCAAGACGATTTGGTTGGCTCCGTGATACTTGGTAATCGAGTAGGTTGCAATAATGGCGACGGGGGCATTGGCGGGAGAGAGCTCCGTTTCCGAGATGGAATGTATACACGGGTTTCAGATTCCCCGCTGCCCGGAGTATGTAGAACAGGTGAACTGTGTCTTCGAGATAATGTTCCCGTGGAGTTCACCAAGGTTTCGCTCGAAGCGAGAGGGTGGGTTATTCGATTTTCATCTTGAAGTGACTTCAGATATTCCCGCAGAGGGTCGTATCCCCTGGGAAACGTCAGTACGTGATTCCGCCAAGCATTCCGATCTTCTTTGCAACTTACTTATCAAGGGGAGAAAGGTATGGTAAGGGAATTGCTGGGTATGGCAGATCAGGCGGTGTCAAAGCCGGGAGGGGAATATAATCCCCTGGAATCCAGGATCGTGGACTCTTCCTGTCAGAAGTAGTTTGCCCACACACCAAAGATGAGATAGACTTCGCATCATCATCGTACACTCCTTCATTGCTCAGTTCCTCCCGAATTCTCCGCTCTCTGATTCTTCTCAACTCTGCTCGACGGTCAATCTCTTCTTCACTTGTGCCAACACTGGATCTCGAATGCCGCTTCGACAATGCTGAGTCTCTCGAAAGGTGCTTTTTTAATCGCTTGGTAACACTTTTCAGTGTGCTAGAGCTCTTCTTGCCCTTGATTGTCATAAACTTCATCTCGATATCCGAATCTGACTTGTCTCCTTCAAGGATTGCCGCGAGCTTGCCCTTCCCCTTGTTTGGTGTAACTTGCGGGGCCTCTTCAGGAAGTGCCGTAATAGCGTCTTCTTCAAAGATAGCTCGTATTTGTGCTGCGTCTGCCGTAGTCCAAGATGGGATTTGTTCGTTGGATGCTCTCTTCCCTGAATTAACTGGCGAGCGCGCAGGTCGAGGAGCGAGGCCATCCGGTGACGGTGGATCTCGACCCATGCAGCAGTTTGAAACTTTGATTTTGGTGGGAGACATCTTGAAGCGGGATAGAATATGAGCGGATGAAATATGACAAGACGAATGATTGAAGTGACAAAGGATTCAAACGTGAGGGAGTCGCGAGATACTCACGCGAAATGGCTTTGACATTGAGGCAGGGAGGAAGGCACGATATGATAAGGTTGGAAGGTGCGCCTTCTCAACCGCATCTTTCTAGAAACATGATACAGATAAATCTCAAACAAACAGGCAAACAGTAAACCAAAGGCATAATTTGAAAGACAATTCACCTCGCCCTCGTCTCAAAAGAATAAATGGCGGACTGCTTGGACTGAGAAGGATTCGTAGTGATTTCAGATTCCTGTTGTATCGAACATATAGTATAGATGTTTCAAAGAGCGCTGCCGCTATTGCCGTCTCCATGCCTTTGCCTCTTGCTGTCTAGGTTTGGAGAAAGCTCTGAAATGGCTGATGCTGTCTTGATGCTGAAGCTGAACATCCTCCGTGTTTAGTAGATTCTTCGAGTACAGATACGAAAGCTCGATGTATTGACTACTCTGGACTATCCAATTTTGACGAAGCGAAACGGCAAGCAGCGGAGTTACCATCCTAGTGAGATCACCGAGAAATAGGGTGGTGAGGCTAAACTCGGTGGGCTCAAACGTGGTTTTCACCTCCTAAAAGCGAGAGGTCGGCATGGGCGGCCTTGATACATAAGCTTTTTGCAGTCGCCAAAAGACAATGCGTGTTTAGTTTGGAACTCAACCATCCACTAAGTATTATGCAGGCACCTTGCTAGCTGGCTCAAACTCTCTAGGGATGAGGAGTTAGCTTGTCTCGAGGCAAAGGATGTAGCAGGCACAAGCCTGAGAAACTTTTGCCTTTTGTTTTTTTAAAGAAATTGGGCTCCTAGTATACCTCTTCCTCTTCTAATCAAGTCGCGTTGTAATATTTTTACAATTTTTGGAGTATACGCGGCTCGCTTAGCGAGGTGAGGAACCCCTATTCCTCCAGAAGCACTATCGCTTCACACCAATTCATGACTCGTATATCTACAACTGTTGCTATTTCGTGTTGAATTCGTTCTGATTTTAAGCTCCTTCCTATGTATACAGATGTTAGTCACTCCTACGCCGCCTTGGTCGACTTCACCTCCTAAAGCAAGCTCCGAGTCTAACATCTCCTTAATTGACCAACTCTACAAACCGTCCCTGCCAACCACTGAAAAAGGACCTTCTATCCATTGCCCTGTACCCCACGGCAACCCCTTCTTCGTTCCGCCAGGAGGAGGGGTTTTCACCCTTCTGCTACACGTAAGGGACTTCGTTCTCCTCTCACTTTGAGTTCCCAGGTCTACACAGGTTTCCTCTTGCGACACCTCAAAGCAACTTCTCCGAGAATTCATATCCTCCAGACGTCTCGATCAGATACAACGCTAGCCCTGCTTCATTTCCTCCTCCACCACGTCCAGCTCCTAGGACTCTTTCATGTCCTCGCCTCCCACTCAGAGGTTCCCACATCAGTTCCAGTGAATTTTGAGGCTGGGACACCTCCTCCTCCAAGTCCTGTCTACCCTCATTACCCATGATTACCATTTACGTCGAACTTAGCGCAAATTCTGTTGCTTGGAAATATCTTTATACGCAAAGTTCGCTTGGAGTTCTTTCATCACTGTCGTCTTTCCATTCATTGATGCCAATGCTAGAGAGAGCTGGGCCTATCCAAGCAACACGGCCATCCTTGGACCCTCGGGACCGCACCTCCCCGGTGAGCTAGATGATTTATATCAACTTTACTTGTAGGAATATCTCGAATAAGATATTGCCCTCTCCCCAACGATGCCAGCAACTGATTTTGCTCTTTATCATGGGAATCCGGCTTTTAAACGGAATGCAAAGATGCAAATCCTAACTTGACAACCAAACCAACTCTTGAAGCGGGAGCCGATCTGGTCTCCACTCTTCCCTTCAAGGTTACCTCCAGGAGAGTCCTCTACCAACAGATATCCAAGCCGGATCTGGCCGATATTGGAGGAATTTCACCTTCATCCCTGTGGATCTGTTGACTGTTTCACCGGTGCCTCATACCACCAAGTCTCCCACCGCAGATATCGCTTCAAGAAGTGAACTGTTTGCGCGGAAGACCATTCGGCAAACAACCCCCCTTTTGGAGTTTCGAAAGTTGGATCAGCTGCATCATGTGACGTAATGCCATCGACAGAGAGGCGTGAAAAGTTGAAACCGAAGAAAGTGGACCTGGTGGACCTGACTTCTGAAAGTTCAAAGATAGCGCCTGAAAAATGACTTGCACTTTTTTTCCTCGGAAGAAACTTCTGTTTAATAACCGGTATCACATACGCTTTCCATCGGCTCGTTGACTCAGTTGAGGTCTCAAGGGGTGGGCCGACGTTGTTCCGGAGAAATGAACTTTCGTTTCCTTCCTGTCGTGACTTTCACGACGGCGCTCCCGCTTGACACTTTGCATCAGTCAACCCCGCCCGTACCTGACAACTCCGACTAAGAAGGACCTGACGTGCACTACCCGAGACACGTCGCGCTTTACGTACTTGGATTCCTGATTGGCACCGATGATACGGCTTAAGTGGAAGCGCCGTGCGACGGTGCAAACCGCTATGTGTCATGTCACGGCCATGGGCAGCAAAAGCTCCTTCCTATTCCACTCCGCGCCTGTGCAGAAGTGATCACCCGTGAGGCACGGAGGCAGCTTCCTCCTTGCGCGGCTATGACATGGGAGGTTTTCCCAATCTCCCTGGCAAATGTTTTGCGGCATGGGATGGGGCGTTGCGGCGGTTCCGGACAATTCTAGTATGGATGGAACCTTCCTTCCCCAAGATCAAACGGGACGGCTGAGGCACCATGTCAGTCAGGGTCCCTCGGGAATGTCTGCATGCAAGGACCCCGTGCATTTCCCATTTCCCAGCCAAGTTGAAAGTGGAAATGTTCTAGAAGGACGCCACGCTGGCACTCACCTTCTTCCGAGCTTCTAGCCTGATTCCTTCCTGGGCCTGGTGCGGGTCCGTGTGGGTCCCGTGTGGGTCGATGGCTGACCGACCTTGCGTGCTTGGACGGGAACGGCACCCCTGGCTTGTGGATCCCAAAAAGTCATGCCACCTTTGCCACCACTCATGCCACCAATTTGGATGACACGCTGGCGGTGAAGCAGGATGAGGTAAGGTTGGGCCTTTTGGGCCCTGTGGAAACATTTGCGGATTTCTGGAATATTGGATGGAATATTCTTTGACGCCTCCCTCGCTGCTCGGTGCTCACGAGGTTCGCCGCGTAGCAGGCTTGAGCCTTGAGTTTGCCCTCTCGCCACCGCTGATCTCGTTGCCCGGGAGAGGGATGCACAGATTCGAAACGTCTGACTGAGACTGAGGGGAGCCGCGCGCAAAGCAGCACCATCGAGGGCCCAGAGCCATGGTGGGGTGCAGTCATCCTCCGTGAGCTCCGGGAGGCACAGAAACATGAGAAGTCACTAATCGACGACCTGCTCACCCGCGCGGGAGAAGCTTTTCTGCCAGTCAGGCTATGACATTTCAACGCTCCACGCGTCCCTCACTTCATGATTACTTCGGAAAGTCACAAAAGTCACAAAAACACAAAATCGAAGGGTCAGATCGACCATTTTACTTCCGAAACCTTATCAGAGTTTCCTAATCTTACGTGCAAGGACATGGCCTGGCGGCTTGACACAACCTCGGCCGGGGATACTGTGGTATCACGATTGTCGAGTTCCTCATTCGCGCGACCGATGCAAGGCTTGCAAGCCCCTGGGAAAATTGCCCGACAGCCAATGCTTGTCGCTTCGCGTGGTTCCCCTCGTGACCTGTCTGATGGGAAAGGGGACAAGGGCGGCGGCACACACGGCATCCAAAAGTTTGAACCAAGAAAGGGGGGATCCATCGAAGCACGATCCTGTCAGCATCGTAAGTTGCTGTTGCAGCAGGTACAGCTGAATCTCTGGGTCAGATTCTTATGGATGTCAACTTTTCGGCCCCCGAAGCGAGAGATATCCATCTCACCCTGTGGTTGGGAAGATCTCGTAAGTTGCGGATTAAGTTCTGGAGCGTAGAGAGGGGCCATAATAGTATGATGCTTAATGTGGCCTGTCAGGTTGAACCCTCTTCACGACGACAATAGCAGCAACCGTGGAACCTTGAGAAAATAAGCTTCGCGCTCTCCTGATGGTTGATGGGCCTGTCATTGGTTTTATAATCAACTCCGGGATTTTTATAACCCGTGAGCTGCACAGTGCTGCAGTCAGCACGATAGTGAGGAAAATCAGAGAGCCTCCTCCCTTTCTAGGGGTCACGACCTGGTGGCTTGACCACGGCATAGGCTGATCTACAGTGATATATCCGGAAACAGCACCTTCTAACAGTGGTGTAGCTCTGAACAGTGAGCTGGTCGCCGGCTAACACAACGCATGGAGTTGGGGAGACAGAAAGGAAAAGGGGTCAATCAGAAGCGTTGGATGAATGTCACGCATGAGGATCGACGAAAGGTGCCGAAAATTGAAGCTGCGATATGATGCCACAAACGTCGAGTGCCGTGATCTCAACAGGTAGAGGACGCCAGTCGCGATAACTGGGGATGAGGCACAATAAACCGGGAACCAGTGGTTGGATCGCCAGAACGATAGATAGCTTGAGGCTTTTGATGCTCTCGGCACTTGGTTTGACAACACACGAGTGGCGACGGCAGATGTGCAAAGTGGGCTGCGTTGATGAGGGGTTGTTGGTGCTAAACCACGATCTTCAGCGAGTAATAAGATAGTCCTAGACGTCTGAAGAGATCATCATCCATGATCCATCAGCTGTCTGCCGTCAGTGCCGTGACAGCAATTCAGCGCGAAAAAGCTTGGTGGGGGCTGTATGGAGAGCCAGCACCAGATCTCGATATTGCAATATCGCACGGAAGATTGAAGCCGGATGGCCAGGAGAACAGACAAAAGACGTCACGGCAGTAGAATGTCCAGAGATAACGGGGTGGATGAAGGTGAGGCTTTGGCTCTGATGGGTTTCTGATCTGCTAGAACATGACTATATTGCGCTGTTCATCACATAGACGGGGGCATTCCATTTCATGCACTCACCTCCTGGTGGTAACTGAGTCACGTTTTCTGGAAATCTTCGCACGGGGTGTTCGCCAAAGAGGCCCTTGTGCTGGCATCGCTGGTTTTCCTGCCTACGTTCTCGCTCCTCTGAGAGTCTGAGACTCTGAGTCCTCTCTCTCTCTCTCTCTCTCATCAGCAAGTGCTGATGGTCCTCGGCCTCACCTCCGTGCCTCCTTCTGTATTTGCTCTTTCAGACGTCGTCTGGCGGCTGGTTGGTGCAGTAACATCGGCCATATATTGGTCCGGGGCACTCGAGGGAAGGGCGCAAATGCAGAAAACAGGCGTGCCAACTGCCAAGCGCTGGTAAGGCCGTGGTTCCCTGGCCGCACTGTGAGACCTTCTGGGAAGCCCCTGTCCATGCCCCACATCTCTCGCCGCCTTGACGATGGTGAGCTTGGTGAAGTGTGTGTTCGCCCAAGGGGGGCAGCAGCTGGCTGGCAGCGCACCAATGGGCCGCCAGCAGCTCTGGCAATCTCGGAATGCGGGTCAGAATGCGGGTCTGGGTGGCCCAATGGGTGGCCCAATGGCAGGCGCCGCTCATGATGCAAAGGCTTCTATCGAAGGAGTGGATTTGCTTCCATCAGGGGACAGGGATGGGGCCTTGGGCAGGGGGCACGGGGCGCGGGCAATGGAGTGGAGTGGGGAGGAGTGGGCGAACGGGAGAGGAGGGTTCGAGAGGCCGGGAAAGCCACAAACGAGCTAGTCCAGCTCCAGCATTCTAGCGTGCTTCTTCTGCAGTTCGCTCGTCTCCCGTCTCAGATGCAGCCCGTCGCATTATTCGCTGCTGCTCTCGCTGCCCTCGCTGCCCTCGCTGCCCTCGCCATCGTGCAGTGCAGTGTGCAGTGCAGTCCGTCACTCCGACTGCCCCAGTCTGGAGTCCAGCGCCGTCTACTGTGTACAACCCCCTCCCTCCCTCTGAGCTTCCTCTCCGCGGACTGCTACGTACCACGGAAAATGGCCGTTGCTGCTCCTCCTCCTCCTTAGATCGACTCTGCGCTGCCTCCACCGCAAAGCAAAGCAAGCTCTGGTGTCGTCAGGGTGCGGTGCTCCATGTTCTAGCGCAGCGCTGGTGGCCAGGAAAACCAGTCCGTCGTATCAACTGGGCAGGGCGTCGCCTGCACTCGTGAAGGCGCGCTCCACCTCTGTCCATCATGCCAATCCTCAGGTCCACTTCGCTCCCATTGCACTTGCCACTGACTCTGCACTGCAACTGCGACTGCCAGCGCCCGAGATAATACTCCTGCACCTACTTGCAAATCATCGAGCTTCCGAGGTGTGGCTGCCACACCTGCTGTTCACTCGCCCACTCCGAAACTCCTTTGTCCTCGAAAAAGGAACTCCACAAAAGCCACTCACGAGACGACGAACAACCAGCTCTCACGCAAAACCTCCGTCCACGATTATTCATACTCAGAACACCCGCTCCCTCCAAGAACCTTCCGAGAGCCGACCATCGCCATTGGCCTCAATCACCTCTGAACGACTCACTAGACTCCGCACCCAAGCCTGCACTGCCTTTCACACCAGCACCTCGAACCACACCCAGTAACACCACGCTCGACGTCACAACGCCACCCTCTAATTCTATCACTCGAGAGCACCGATACTACGGACTCTCCAGTGCGTTCGATAGCCTCTCCTTGGATTGATTCATCTTTCCTTTCCTCGAGATACCCGAAGTTCTGTCGTCAGACTTCAGTCGTTCTTTGAAAGCGTCCAGTTTCAGTGGCAGACCACTCTGCGACTCTCAGCCTGGTTTGCACTCAGAAGGTTGCACCGTAATACATCGACTCCGCCCAATTTCCAAGAGAGTGAACACGCTGCTGAATCACTCTGTCTCGCCAATGCACGGCGACTTTCCCTGACTTGATTGCAGATTCCCTCGCTCGCAGGCGTCAGTTCCGGAAGAATTTCAACAGACATCGAGACCTGTCGATACCCGTTTGTGTTCGGCCACACATCAGAATTATTGGAGGTTTGGCCTGGCGACTCGGCATAGGACGGATACCTGCATACAACGACGTTACGACCTTCTTCTTTGTCACTTCGCGCGTTTACAAGTGGGGGTTAACGGACGACGTTGCTCGGGAGCAAACAGCGAGATTTCTTCTTGACGATTTCCCTGTACAAGTAGCCAGTCTTTCGAATGCTCTCGACACGATAATATTCGGTTCCTTTCTCTTGGCGACGGGTTTCAAACGCACTCCCACGAGACTTGTATTTTGAAGGACTCAACGATCCGTTTCAGGCGGCGGAACAAGAGGACGCACTGCCAGTGTGCCCATGAAATACCTACGAAGAGCAATGCGAAGGTCGAAAATTCGAAAACCGCCCTCGTTGCACGTACACATATCATCGAGAGAAACATCACCCCGTTGCTCATCCGTCCTCTCGGACTGGGACGCGGACGACGAAGGCTTCATGTCTTCAGGAGATTTCTCGTCATCGAGGCCTTTGAGTCTATCGATACCCACCGGGCCGTACTGCCCCCGACGGCCAACTTTACAAGAGGTGTTGTCAAACACAGCACCACCGCCATGGACGATCAGTGCCTTCACGGCCTACCTTTCACAGAACCATTGTTTGGAGACACTGGAGTTCACGATAGAGGCCGACAGATACACCAAGCAATACCGAGATATGGTACAAAAAGATCCCATCACTTCCTTGTCTCCCCAGACACCGGACTTTGGAAGCGTCCGAAGTTTATGGCAGAAATTGCTAGATAACTACGTCACCCCGAACGCACCTCGAGAAGTGAACTTACCTTCAGATATCCGGGACCACCTGTTATCACTACCTTACACCGATCTACCCCCAGATCCTATCGCGCTTGAGCCCGCAGTCAAGATCGTTTACGAGTTGATGGATGAATCAGTCCTTGTCCCTTTCCTCAACTTCGTCGCTCCATCACGTGGCGCAGAAACCGTCAGCAGCCCTTGGACTTCGAATGAATCTATGCCAGATACGTATCTGAGTGGCTCATTGGACGAAAGGTCAATGTCTCCAGCAAAGCTACGGCGTCAGCGAGATGGAAGCCCTCCGTCAAGCGGGACGGGGGCCGATGCTCTTTCCCAATCCTACAGCGGCCCTTCAACTCGGCCATCTCGTCAATCCAACTTCACCAGCGCTCTAGGGCTGTCGCGCCTCTCGGCAAATATCTCTGGGTCTTCTGGAATATCGTCAGGTGAGGGAGTAGAGAGTATGACAGACGACAGTACCGATTCTCCATCCCCCTCTGGCTCTGCTCTGGAGCCTATGACGCCTCCCAACACGCCTCCCACCTCAAACGCAGGATTTGCGGACGTCTCACCCGGAACGAGCCCGCAAGCCAGCCACAGTGGTTGGAAGAAGATGGGCGACAAGTTACGATGGAAGAAGGGTCGATCAGGCCATGGCTCAGGATCTAGTACGAATAGTTTGCAGCATCCTATGAGTCGGGAAGGAAGTGCGGAACCTGGTTTATGAGGGCGACAGGTCACGTCGTCACCGAATGACATTTTTTCTATTATCCCCATTCCAGTTATAGCTCCTATGGAACATCCTGTCGCAGGATATTCAAGCCATCGACAAGATCACAAGAAGACTGCTTTTGTGCACGGTGGAACCAGTTTGAGGCTTAGTGACAGTGATAAAGGGGGATCATCTGTTTTAGAAGCCCATCCTGGATCGCCAGTCGAAATCACCGGACGTCGGCCATTCCTACCGATGTCAGCCACAGCACAACGTCTCTATCATGGGAGCGACGAAGAACTCTTGAAATTTGAGAGAACGAAATTGGGGAAAATAGAAGAAGGTGTCACGAAGGATGGCGTGGCCGCAAAAGGAATATCCTCTGTCGGAAACAGAGGCGCAAATAGCGAAAACGATAGCGCGAAGTTGCCCGCGAAGAGGATGCAGGTAGCAGGCCCCCAGCCATTCTACATTCCTGCAAAAGTGCCAGAGGATGAAGAAATCCCAGAGGTACCGACACCTACGGTGTCTACGGTGCCTCCAGTGTCTACTCCAGGTTCGGTAACTGGGGACGACAAGAGCATCGTTGATACGTCTCTGGAAAGCACTGCTATGGATTTCGATTTCGAGACGGACAACGGAGTATGGATTTCCGCCCATCCTATTGCCCACGAATCTCGAGCCAGCCTTTCAACCACCACAACTGCGCCTAGCACTCTCATGGATGATCGATACAGTCAATACAGTCATGCAGCGTTGACGCTCGACACCAGCGTGGCAAGTTCCGCAGTAAGCATGATGTCCTCCACAGGAAGCATTCAGTCTGCCTCGACGGCTACCTCTTCAGACATTTATGGCTGGGAAGAAGAGCTGGACCGCAAAGTCAGCCTCGAATCGGGCAACTGGGGCTACGTTCATAGAATACCGCAGGGCGGGCGGATGGTGGTTGGACCTCGAGGTCGAGGAGGCGTGCAAGATTATCGGTCCGGAGTGCCGGATAGGAAGAGAAAAAGTTTGCTTTACAGGGTTCTGAACCTGTCCGGCTCGCGGAAAGCATCGGTGGAAGATGTTTCCATTTCCGGAGCTATCTGTCCCCAAAATGATTGTCCGACTACTTCTGCTTGAGCGTTTCTTTTTTTGGCATTGCTGGCGTTGGGATACCTTCACAAAGAGATTTTTTTTGGTCAATCACCACCTGTTCATTCGTACATATTGCGTCTCGGGACGGGTATGTTTGGTTTTTACAAGAATTCATTTTACGAAACGGGATTCGGGCAAAGGGGAGCATGCATCAACCATCCAAAAGGGGAAAATGGAGAGGACATCTGCTTTATTTGTTGATTCTGCTTGTTTGGCGCTCGGGGGACTCGAGATTCGAAAACCTTGTTCTTTGGAACGAGAGACTTGGGGCAGAGGAAAGGCCTTATTATAAACATCGGTCGGCGTTGGGATGATCGTGATGGAATTCTAAAGCGTGATGGGTTTGAAGGTGCATTGCATGCGTGTGTGTGTGTGTGAGTGGCTGTTGATATGTGGTGGCTTGATCAAGCGTGATCGGAGCCGGATAGGATACCCTCAAGAATACAGTATAATACTAAGTGCCTGCTAAGCTCTCGTTCCTGCATATGTTTTGCAACGTGTGATGTGGCAGTGAGGCGTAGTTGGCTCGGTGCCAAGTGTGTTATATCAACCTGCGTGGGCTTGATGCGCTGTGTCCATTTCGGCCAGGGTTCTAGGGGAGAGTCGTTCCCCTAGTTACCTCAGAAAGCAGCCACCCGAGCAGCGGCGTGCAACAAAATGTCTTGCAAACAAAGCTTTCGGCGGATCAGTTGTGGCCACCACAAGGTTATTTGACCGAATTACCCTTCGTTGCAAGGGGATGCTTGTTGGGGGGAAATACATTTACCGCTACTATGCGAGGAAGACGTTTATATGTGTTCCCCTTCAAAGACAATGCTGGATTTTCCTATCTAAATGCCCCCGATTCTGATGCCATGAAAGCGCCGGTCGCTATGCTTGAAATGTCTTACAATAATCCCTGCTAGATTCATATGATCTCACTCATGATGCAGGACCTCCTTCCGTAAATGGAACGGTGGGCTCTGGCTTCAGGGCTTCAATAGCCCACGCCCGCACAACGCCATCGTCGCCTGTTGTTACGATCATCTCCTCTCCATCCTCTGCCTTCGCGGAATCAAATCTCGTGCACCATGTGACATGATTTATTTCATAAGGTCCATGGCCGCCTGCTAGAATCCCCACGATGACCCACTCCCGCTCGATCTCCCCGCCTACCTTCGTCCTGCCTTTGGTTGTTTCTTCGTAGATGACTATCTTTCCGTCGCCTCCTGTTGACACTACTCGGCCACTCTTCTTGCTCCAGCTCGTAGAGTAGATTGGCAAGTCATGCGCTTTCGGTAGCGTGGCTGTACATTCCCATGTCTCGTTGGAAGGCGGAGGTCGCATCGTTGAAGGGATTCCTGAGTTGAAATAAGAAGGTTTGTTTGGCTGAGGAGGCGGAGGTACTTTGGTCCAGACTCGGATTGTACAGTCCGCTGAAGAAGATATCAGGCGAGGTATTCCCGGGCTGTAGTCTTTTTCTGTCGAAGTAGACTCGAGTTTTTCCGCCTCCGAATCAAACATCTTCTGGCTGACTTCCGGCTCCCAATCCAAGCTCCAAACAGTGCCTTCATGGCCTTCTAGTAAAGCAATGCAGCTCCATTCTCCCTCGTCATCGCCCTTGAAAAATCGTATCGTATCATCGTAAGATCCGCTCGCCAGAACCTCTCCATTGCCATCATCCTTGCGCCAAGAAACACACTTTACATCTGCTGTGTGCTCCTGCAGCACTGCAATAGTCTCGAACTCATCATCACCCTCATCCCCGATCTCTTCCCAGATCCATATACTCTTGTCCCTCGAGCAACTCGCTAGCCATTGCCCCGAGGGCGAGTATGCAACGTTCTTGACCTCCGAATCATGACCCTCCAGGACAATTGCAAATTCCCAATCATCATCATTGTCCGAATCATCGTTCTGTATCCTCGGCGCCGGCTTGGCTGCCCCATCGCTCGTGATCTCGACTTCAGTAACATCGTCGTCTCCCGTGTTTTCGGTATGTGTTTCCTTTTCCTCGACATCTGCGAATCTCTCTTCCCGCCGCCTCCAAATGCCCATCGTCGCGTCGAAACTCCCTGTCGCAAGACACAACGTCCCCGTATTCTTGACCGTAGGTTTCCATGCCACCGATCGTACGGACCGCAAATGCCCCCCCTCAAGCGTCGAGTGTAGAGCAAAGTTCCGCAAGGAGTAGACGCGCACCGTCTTATCGGAGGTGGCGGTTGCAATGAGGGGCAAGCCATTGGGATTCGGGATCGAGACCCAAGCTCTCGAAGCAGCCGCGGGCTTGAATTCAGCGAGTGGGAGGATGCGCAGGTGCGTGGGAGAAGCCATGTTAGTTAGTCGTCGATGAACCTGCTGGTGTGCTGGATACACGAGGGAATAGCGATTTTGTTGATGTGGTGGAGGGGCAGATTTCTTTTTTGGTCAGGGTCCTGGTCCTGATAAGATTGGCCGAGATTGCGTGCACGGACCCAAGCTTGTATTTAGAAGGGGGGACGACCCGACGACGTCCATGCATCATCTTCTTTAGGCTTCAGAGAACCAGGGTTCTTCCCCTGCGGGAGGAACCGCGGTGGTACTCCATTGGAGGGTCCTCCCTCGAACCCAGCGTGGGAAGATGACGAGAGAAACCCCTCACCAGCCCGCTTGAGGATTGGGTCCCGAATATGGGAATCCAGTGTTAGGCCTTTGAACCGTTTCTGTACGAACTGCTTTTCGGATTTATATAGCCTTTTGCAAAGTTGCAAAGGGAAGGCTTTCTTGTCATTTTCATCATCCACCGCATTCTTCCACTCTTCGATCTTCATTCATATTCAAGAAAAGCACACCATGGGTCGACCACAATTCTTTTCCCCCGAGGGAATAGCACGAACAATCGCCGAAGCTGAAGCTGAAGCAAGCATTTCCGCTCCAAGATCGCAAACCGCTCGACGGAATTCCCTTCATGAGGAGGCAGAAAGGCTGCTCCCTCAAGCTCGATCTGAGGTGCAGCAGAACCAAACCAGCAACACTGGCAATGCTTTAGCACGGATGCGGAGAGAGCCTGGAGCACAACCCGAGCCCCAGTTGCCAAGTGCGGGGGGTTTTGCTGAATTGTCGCGCTTTTTAGAACGTCCCGAGGAATCTCAGGAAGACGGCTTACTATCGTCGAGACCAGGCCGTAGAGCCCCCTCACACACGCCTTCTGCATCGACCGTCAGTCGCCATGTTCAATCATCTACCGGACCGGAGAGCGCCACTACATATTGGCAGCGCCCACAATATGCCCACGCTTTGCCATCGTTCGGCCCAACACGACGACCTGTTGAAGAAGACATTCCTGTGGACGTTCTGGTGCATTACTTTAGAAGCAGTGCGAGACGATGTCCCCGTGTTCGGCACCAAGAGAACGGAAATTCAACCTTACACCTCCGGACCTCTCAACTGAGGGAAAGCCTCCGAGCCACTGGCTATAGATAGTGGGAATAACAATAAAGTTCCACAGCCACACCAACAGCAACGACAGCTGCCCAACCAGCCAATCCACAATCCGGCCATGCGGTGACCTACTCCGCTGAAAGAAAACTGCCTATACTACCAGCCGTTGCTCCAATCAACTTGAACAATGTGTCGACGCCGCAAATACCATTTGCCTCCGTGGAACTCTACCCAGTCGGCGAGAATAGAAGGTATGGATCATCGCCCTTCCCCCCGCACCCCCGCACCCGCCCGCCCTCTTGATCGATATTATCAACAGTCGCTAACGCATCCCATAGGCCACAAGAGATATCGCCATTCAGCAACCACCAGGACTCATCCGCAGATCAATGATAGAACACATCGAGGACATCCGGCGTCACCGCTTACCAAGGTACTACGAGCTCTTGAACCAATATACCCAAAGCCTTTGGCACTGGTGCGTGTTCATCAACAACAGCTTGTTTGTCACAAACCTCAGCCAAAGCCCCCAAAATCCAGCCGCCGAGCAAGCAGACAAGCAAAACCTACCCATGCTATTATGCCACATCAGAGAACACATCCGCTCTCGCAATGCCCTCGCAATCGCCGCCGCAGCTCGAGAGGGGGGAATTTATCTCAGGTAATGGACTGACAACAACATTCTTCGCCCATATTACAAAGTTCACCGAAGGCTCGAGGATATTTCCATGGCAAGAGAGTTGGGTGCACTGCTGTTGCAAGAGGGGATGGAGGAGGAGATGGTGGTTTGGGGGCGAGCCATGGGGCTACATACTCGTCTGCACGACCTGGCGCTCATTGGGGTCCCGATAAAAAACGACGAGGTTTGACTTGAGAGTGAGAGTCTCCCGAGTCTCGAGTCAGATGAGAGCCGCGACGAAGGTATGGCGCCGGACCTACTGACGTTGTTATCACACGAATACATGGGGCTCCCTTTCTATTAAATTTCTCTTAAGAATGTTCCTAGATCTAGGCTAGGCGCCGGTCGGCAGTTTAGTTACATTATATATGGCATACAGAAGTTAGTGTAACGAGTCGTTGTAGTGTGTTAAAGAGTCTGGTTGAGCATTGTGTATGTGGGTAAGATTGTATCCCAATGGATGCCCAAGAGTAGTTTTTTGGCCGAAACCTTCATTAGAGATTGTTGGAGCCCAAATCGGCACAGCCGTACTCGCTACGGTTTCCAGCCTTCATCTAATTCAACAATCTCGTTTAGATTGTCTTCACTTGGGTGACTTCAGACAGAGGTTTGAGCATTTCATGTTCATCAAGGATTTTGAGGTATGGACAGGTCGCCCTACCTTGCCTCCACCAGACGAGAATACGTGGCGAGCCCATTTCCATGCATGAGCAAGTCATACCTGTTCTACGTATCCCAATCTATCCAAACACAAAGAATCAATCCTATGCTCTCCTATCCACATTTAACGTTTCGTAATGGTAATGGTGAACATCTCGTCAATGTAGGTTTGGGTATCCTCTTCCTTCGGCTTCTTCTCAACAACCCCATTTCGTGTCTTTTGCCCACCTTGGCTAAGCTCGAACCCAGTACCCCGCTCTCCCTGGTTTCTAGATATTCGTGGGCTGGTTGAGCTGATTTTCTTACCTCCAGCTCCTCCTGCATAGTTAACAATGCCCAAGGTGGGCTCGTCATCGTGAGAATTCGCGTCCACAAGGTTTGTCTCTGATGATTTCTCAACCCTGGCCCGGGAATGACGACGCTGCGAAGCCACAGTAGCCCTCCTGTCGCCAGCCTTTTCTCCCTCAATTTTGTTTGTTTGCCCATTGTTAAATGGATCAGGAGCAAACGCGGGACTGGCCTTCGCGTCAAGATCTTCAAGATCCAACACGTTTGCAAATTCTCGATGCACTTCTCGTGCGAAGACGTCATGGGCGGCGGCATTTTTGTGGAGCTGCTGTTGCATTTTGAAGAAGTTCAAGGGAATATACATCAGTTTTCTTCCGGGTGCTCGGCTATGGATCGGTACAACGATTCGAAATGTGATGAACGTAGCAACGCCGGGAGGTGAGTCTTGGGAAACTCCTCGACAAGGTGCCCGTATTGGATCCGCAATCAGCTTGGCATCGTCAAAGATAGGATTCTCACTCTCCTCCTTGATTGCCTCGATAGTATCGAAAAGTTGTTTTGCGAAGTGTTTTTCTTTCTCGGAGGGGCTGCGCCTCAAGGCTTCGACCAGTTTCTTCATGATCGCTGCCATGGTCATGGAATCCATAGTTTTCAAGTATTCGAGCTGAAAATCGTTGAGGTCGTCAAAGGAAAATTGCATAGTCGGCAGCTGGTTTTTAGCATCCTTCCGAGCAAGCACATCAAAGCCATGGCGGCCAGCACCGAGAGAGGCGCGAATAGCGAAGATGGCCAGGTGCACACCCGGATCAAACATTCGTTCCTCTGCTACATACTCACGCATGATCTCAAATCGCTGAGAGAGTAGCTTCGGACCCACTTTCAAAGTCGTAGCCAAAAATGGGATTACGTTTGATGGTTCGGCAAAACAATATCCAGCAGTCTGCAGATGTTCGGCATCGCGTCTGTTGACGATTCTGAGGAGGAAGAGTAGTTTTCCATTGCCGCCAGATAAACCTTCAAGATCAAGATCTGAATGCGTGTCTTTCTTCTTTTCCTTCATTGCCTGTTGACCGGTGACGGTGATTTCATCATAGAGAATACCCATTTTGTCGAGTGGCTCATGCAGATCATGCGCGAGATCATCGGCCGCAACGCAGAAAAGTTCTCGAAATATTAAGGAGTAGTCTTCAATTGGTGTACCATGGTCGTTCACGAGATTGCTCTCAAACTTGGATCCCAGACGGCGTTTCAGACCAGCACTATGAACATGGTTGCGCATGCCAGGAAGCAGCTTCGCAACGCCGTTCCAGTTGCGGGTTATTCTGAACATCCAAAGGAAGACGGGATGAGAGACGCTAAATGTATCGTCGAGGGACTGCCATGGTATTAGCTTGAGCTCAAGAGGATGAAACTTTACGAACCCGCTCAACCCATGCGTCCGCGATTTTCCTATTTGGCAGGTAGCCCTCAGACGTGACCAGTATCCTGTCCTCGTAGTCGAAAATTGCGGTAGCAAGCACGACCTGCTGAGCCCTCTTTGCCAATTTTGCCAGGCGCCACTGCGCAAGCAACATAGTGAGGACGAGGACTATGCAGCAGCATATAGACTGAGGGTGTTAGAAAAACCTATGGACAAGGTTGAGTTGACTAACCAAAACAAGGACTATAATAACTGTAAGAGCCCTGGAGATGCTGTTCATCGGGCTTGCGTCCATCTTTTTCAATCGATACTGCGTCCCAACTGAGGCAAGCCAATGTATCCCAGAGACCGCACCCGCGAGGACAACAGCACAAATAGGTCTCCTCCACCACCTTGTGTCCCATGCTGGGCGGAACAGAAAGAACATGCAAAGTGCTGTAATACTGGCTACCACCGCAATTGTGATAGCTTCAATCACAAAGGGAACTGGGTAGACACAATCATAATTCGCAATGCCAGCTTGACCCAGATAATGCATCCCGCACACGGCAAACCCAGTTAATGCCCCCCCTAGCACAACTCTCGTAGTGTTCATGGTAGCGTTAGACCCAACGGATGCGAAAACTATGAAAAGCACGGCAACCGGCACGAAGAGAGAAATCACTGTATAGCCGGCACTGTAGACGATCTGTAGCTGGGGTCGCTCATCACCAAGAACAATAGCTCGGTTTCCAATATAGTGCATAGACCAAATGGCAATTCCGCCTATCGAAAACGAGGAACCAGCGAGAAGAAACCTATGAATATGTGAGATAATTTAGTAGCGTGTCTTGTACCTCTTACCAGTTATAATACCCTCTCATAGCCGTCCTTCGGCTGATGAGCTCCAATGCTGTCCATGCCCCAATAAAACTAACCAAGAATGATAGAACAACATATCCATGGATGAACGATCTCGGAATTATTTTCCCTTGCATGTCTGCAATATTTTGTATCGATATTCCAGTTGTCGAGTTCGTCGAATTTGACATGGCTGCTGAGCTGTTTGAATGCCACCTTACAAGAGCTGGAAACAGACACGAGTCGCATGTGGTGGTAGACAACGCTTAGAAAGTTGCTGAAAAAGGCATTCGAACGCCAAATTGGAGCAGAATATGAGGTCCTCAAGGGCCCTACAACTTGTCCGCGAGTTGGCCCATAAAGTAGCAAGCCTCAGATGCGTGGGGCCAGGAATCTGAGTCTGCACCAGACCAGGATCCTCCCCCTGTCCAATCGGCAAAAGAAGGCTTCAAACCTCAGCAGGGAGTGACGTGTGTCGCGCGGAGGCTGGGGGCATAGGATGTGGTTCGTGATCGTAGGCGGGCTGTTGAGCCCACCACAGCAGCCGGTTCTGCTTTGGGGGTGGCGGTATGGCAGTAGGAGACGCTATCGGACCTATCAAACTCGTGAGATCGGCAACAGGAACGGGAGCCGTTGGCAGAGGCAGTGAGGATCCCTCGTAGGGAGCTGGAGCCCGTCCGAGTTCGCGACTAAGTTTGTGTTTGCATCCTCTTGGCAATCTGCAGAAGGACGAAATGATAATATAACAGGCGATGAAACGACAGACAGGAGAGGTAGGTTCAATTAAGAAGGAGAAGATACGATTGCTGTTTCAAGGAGACTTAAGAAGGCCATCGTCGCGAGAGAAAAACTCGACGCCAGCCCAGCGTTGACAAACGTTGTTGGCAGGAGCGATCAGAGAGGCACTTGACTCCCCGCCATGGGCCAACGGAAAGGGAGCAAGTCTGACTCGACAGATCGTCAATTCGAAACGAGGAAGAAGCATCAGTCGCACGCATGTCTATCACATCAATTCGCAACATCTGATCTCCCCCCACAGAACTCGCGGTGCTAAAAAGTGGCCTTTACCATTTAGCACGACTGCATGGTGCATTTTGGGACCGCAGTGCTTTCTCGGATGAACGACATGCCTCGAGTGGGGAAGCAAGGATACTGTGCTTTGTTTTCGGCCTGCCTGCCCCTCGGTCGAAAATCCCACTTTATAGGGGCAGGCTTCTTTCATCGTCCAGGAGTCAAGACTGTTACGCGCTTCTGTTGATGGCCACGGAGATCCTGTATGGCATGGCTTGATGGGAGAGACCGGACGTGCTGTGAGCTCGATTGCTGTTGTGTCGTCAATTTAGGGACAAAAATCTGCACAGGGAGGCCTCGCTTCGGCATCGCCACAAGCCACAGCCTTTGGCGAAAATCTCTCGGCAATAGTGAAAAGGGGGACGTGCTGAGTCACTAGAAACCAAGCGCATCAGTCAAAGCTTGAATGGGGCAGGCAGAACAATGATTCTACTCGACTACTTGGGTTATATTGGATTCCGAATTTCTTCGGCTCTGGTCATACGCACAAAACATTGTTCCTCGAAAGAAAGCGAACAGCTAGATGAAGTTCAAGGGATGGAAAAGCAGATAATGGCACACGGTCGGCGGCAAAATCTGAAATCTCTGCGTAAAGACTTGATTCAACTTTATTACAAGAGCAGCTCCCTCATACACTTTCGGAGAACTGTCCTCACCAGTTCAGGTTCAAATGCCCTTTCTGATGTTTGCGGGATTCCCAGCAGATCAAGCATTTTTTACTCGAGCAATGATCCTACTACAATTCAACAGAGGCCACTTTGTGAATCATACAAGTGTGTATACAACGAGATTCATCTCTGACATATGCATATGAACTTCTCTTCGTCCCTATTCCTTAACCTCCTTGCAAAACTTCTTAGGTCCCTCCTCACTGCCGCCAACATCGCCAGACTCTCGAAGTCTCTTAAACCCCGATGACATCAAGCCCTTGACTTTTGGTTTGTTGTCAGATTGCACTTCAGGCTTTGGAGATACCTGAGGTTGGATATCAGGTCTTGGGAAAGCATGTGACAGCAACTCCAGAGGACTCCGGGGCTTCGAAGCCTGCCCAAAGATCACTGGAGAAGTTGCTTTTGTTGATGAGCCTAGTGCTGTAATTGGGTAACGAAATGGCGTCGTCAGCCGACTGATTCCAGCGCCGAAGCTGGTCTGGCTATTCGGTGGTGAGGGAAACGCAGGTGCTGCAACTGTGGCAGATACTGCAGGCCTCAATTGTTCCACTTCGCACCAGATATCCTTGACTGTGGTACTGGGACGCGCCTCAGCTGCCTTCTCCACAATGCTCAGCTTGGCGTTTGCTCTCTTCAGTTGATCTTCCATCTTGCTGAGTCTTGACTGCTCTTCTCCTGAGACGTCCGCATTTGCTTTTTCTGTATTCGATTCTTCTTCGGCTGAAAATTTCTTTCCCTCAAATTTAGCTCTGATAGCGGTCGCGATCTTTGCTTTCTCATCGTTAAGCTGCTTGTTCAGATGAATTTTGAAGACAGCGACCGCAATAGGATTCGATTTGAGCATTTCTCTAATCTCAGCCTGGGAAAGCTGCTTCTTCGCTTCCTCAACCTGTTTCACCAGGGTTTCTTTGAAGATCGCCTTGGCTGTAGGATTTGACATGAACATTTCCCGGATTTCAGTATCAGAAAGCAGCTTCTTTGCCTCCTCAACCTGTTTCGCTAAATTTGCTTTGAAGATAGCGATTGCGCTCGGATTCCACTTGAGCAACTCTTGTACCTCATCGTCGGATAGCTGCCTCTTCGCTGCCTCCACTCTGAATTGAAACTGAGCATCCAGCTTCGCCGCCTCTTCCGCCTTCGCAGCAGCCAAACTCTCCTTCATTTTAACCACGACGGTGGGGTTTTCCAAGAATTCTGCAATTTGGCGCGCGGAAAGGTCTCTCAATCTTTCCTTTTGCAATGCTTCTTTTGCTACCGCCAGCTTCTGATTCAGCTGATCCCTCATATTTTCTGATATAGCCTGCAGCGTCTCCTCCATCTGGGCTTGAAGTCTCTGCTGTAGTTCTGTCTCGTCTCGAACTACATTTTCCTTCAACCTCTTCAGCTCTATCTCTGCCTTTTCGAGCTTGTCTTGTAGCTGCTGGACCGTAAAAGTGTTGATAATGCCTTTCGTGATAGCAGGAAGAACAACTCTTGGCTTCGGAGCAGATTCGTCGTCCAGGATGTATTCGTAGTGCCCGCTCTCGACTTCCTTCCATTCTTCCAAGAAAGTCGACGTTGACGTGGGTAATGGCTTCTCTGTTGGCTCCATCTTCATGACTGCGTCTCCGAAGAATGACACGTTCGTCGTAGACCTTGAGTCCTCTTGTCGTTCTGTCGCCACTTTCACTGTCTGATATGGATGTATATTTCCCGTTTGAAGGTAATCCGCGAGACGACGCTCCTCGAAAAGCCTAAATATCGAGCGTGAGCGGAGCTCTAATAGACCGGTAGAGATTCTTTCATAGAATCTCTTTAACCCCCCATGTATGGCTCGTTTCAACCATCGGCTGGAAAAAAACTCCTTGGGTACCCAAGCAAGGCAACTCTGGCGGATCTATAGTGACTGCCTTGTACGTACCGAGTGAGGAAAGATGCGTCGCGAATCGCTGCAGTGTCTTGAAGAATAAGAAGCTGTGGCTAGCTCTCTACAACCAAATATTTTATCTCCAAATCGTGGTCACCTTCAAATCTGGAAAGTAAACAAACGCGTCTAAAGCCAACGATGGACCCGACAACTCGAAGAAAACAGAATCTGGTCAAGCTGGATGTCGAGATTTGATATCGAGACGCGGCGTGCACAACATGCGGGTGTTTGGAGGAGTTCAGAGAAGGTGGCGTTGGAAGAATTTGGCATCAATGAGGAGCTTTTCTTCTCGTGGGCACACTATCTAAGAAGGTGAATTATCAACAACCTATCTGCCCAACTCGATAGTTCGCAATAATTCTCTTTTCACAACCTAAAGGTAATGTTTTCTACACGTAAATGATTTGGAAATATACATCCCTACTCCTTATACTCATATATCATAGTACCAAGACCAATACAGATACAATTTTCCGATACTCTTAACCCCATGTCTTGATTTTCTTCATGCTGCCCTCTAGATCAAAAGCTTTATGCATATCAAAGCTATTCCATAGCAAATGCGGTTCGTGTCCCCACCCCCTCTTCATGCACTCAAACTCAGCTTTGTTGAAATAGTCTTCCAAGATAGGACGATACTCTGGATGCGCACACTTTGCGATGATCACCTTAGCCCTCTCCTTTGGACTCAACCCTCTGACATCCGCGAGGCCCTGTTCCGTAACGATCACATCAAGGTCGTGTTCCGTTTGATCGACGTGTGTGCACATGGGGACGATACAACTCACCCCATGAGGATCCGTTTTCGATGGCCGCGTGGAAGGTGTGTGCATAATACTGTACTTCGCAGATCGAAGGAAATCAGCAGAGCCACCGATACCGTTCAGCATGCGGGACCCCATCACGCAAGTGCTGTTTGCGTGGGCGTAGATGTCGACTTCTACGGGAGTGTTCATTCCAATAACGCCTAGTCTCCGAATGATTTCTGGTGAGTTGGAAACTTGCTGGGACCTGAGCAGGAGCTTGTTGTGGTATTGCTCCCATCCATCGTAGAAACGCTTGAACCCGTCCGGTGAGAAACGGATGGAGGTTGCTGTTGCGAAGTCGAGACGGCCAGAGTCGAATAGATCTAAGAAAGTATCTTGCAAGACCTACAAGCTTTTAGTAAAAGCACCAGGGGTTTGGACTCTAGAACCAAAAGTACCTCAGTCCACACTTTCAGATGCTCAAATTTCGATTCTGCAAGACCACCAATAACAGCATTTGCAATATTTCCAATCCCAGATTGAAGAGGGAGGAGATTCTTTGGCAAACGATCGTGACTGACTTCGTGCTCAAGGAATTCAATCAAGTGCCGAGCAATAGCTCGAGAAGTTTCATCTGCTGGAGAGTTGGCTGTTGTCTGGTCTTGGTAATCAGATTCAACAATTGCTACAATTTTCTCGCTATCAACTGGAATGTAAGTTGTGCCAATACGGTCTTCAGGGGCCATAATCAGATATGGTTTTCGATATGGAGGAAGCTGGGTCATCGTAATATCGTGAAGGCCTCTCATGTCAGGAATTGCTGTGTTGACTTCTACAATAATCTAGGAAGCTATTGTCAGCATTCAGTTGAAGGCCAGAAGAAGGTACCAAAGCCAACCTTGTCTGCCATCTGTATCAGTTCTGGTGAGGCTCCGACAGATGCACCTGGAATTATTCCTCCATCCTCTGTAATAGCTGAAGCCTCTACAACCACGACATCTAGTTTTTTGGTCGGCCGATCCTTGGTGTAGAAACCCTGATTATGGATGAGCTTTGCAGGGTCTATTCCATATCGTGAATTACTCACGTAAACCAGATCAACTGGAAACATAGACAAATGTTTATCAAAAAATTTGATATTGCCATTGTTGATTCCCTTCGCGATAGCCTTCCCCACTTGGTGCGGTGCCCTCCTCTCAATCATATTTAATTCTGCAAAAATATTCTCCGTATCCGCCCCGGAACTTGCACCCACAAATAGAGAATATTTGAGTTTGCCCTGCAAGTTATTCTTTTTGACATGGTCTGCGAGCATGGTTGGGATCTTCCTGTTGAACAATCATTAGCATCTTCCTCCAAGTACTAAAGAGTCCGAAGGATCCGGTGAGCGCTCAATTGAACGCGAATTAAATAATTTAAATGCGTACTTTGGATACCCAACGCCTGTGAAGCCGCTCCAGCCAATATAGGCTCCATTCGGAAATAATGGGATCAAATCCTCAGGACGGGCAAGCTTCTTAAGCAACGAGGGTCGTGCAACGCGGGACTTCAGAGCTGCTGAAGCTGTGAGAGCTGCGGAAGATGCCATACTGAGGATGCTCAACTGCGGAGGTTCGATTGCAGCACGGCCGAGCCAAAAGACGAGCCGTGAGGCAAGAAAGAAGGGAAAAATTTACATCGTATGATGTTGGAGAAGGCTCGAGGTCAATAAGTATTGAAGGGTCCGGGAGAATCTCGGCAACCACCAAGAGTGCCCCGCTATTTCGTCACCAGGGACCTTCGGCCCCTCTGAGAGCTTCGCCGTGATCGCTGCACTTCGGCAACTCCTGGCAATGCTGTCAAACGCCATTCGCCAATTTGGATAGCTTCAATCATAGCTGTGAAAGCGAGTGAGGCATGGGTAGATACTAACTGCTTCCAGACTTGAAGTTTCTTGTGTGAAAATTTGATCGGGTCCTGGAACTTTTGTCCAACGGGCTGCCAGACTTAGAAAATGACATCGTTCTTTTCATTTCTTAAGACCGTCTATCTACTTCCTCTGTTCCATTTCTGGTCTCGCAGGCGCAGAGGCAGGCGCAGGAGTTGCTGCTTCCCGCGCCATTCTCATCTCACTCTGACTTAGTCTCAAGTCCTCACTATAATCTCCAAAGGCCTCCACGAGCTGGTTGAGCCCACTCCTCAATGCAACCAATATAGTATCAGTTTCCGGACTCTCCTGCTTCTTCTCAATATCAGTCCAATGAACACCGATACTCTTCTTGAAGCCGTCAAGCTTCGTGACAGTGGTCGTAAACGTGCGGATGATCAGCTTAACATCTCTCTGAACGTTTCCAAACTTGTCTTCCTTGAGACTGCATACTGCGAATCTGGTCAAGGCATCAACAGCATCAACTATGACCCCAACATCCCCGTAAGGCTGACCGAGTACAATGGCTGCCAACTTTCTTCTGTATTCCTGTCGAAAGGGCTTTCCTGAGCCAGTTTGCAGAAACCAACTGATCAAATCTTTGAAGAGACCCACAAACCCCTGAGAGGCCAAAGCCTCCTTCTGTTCTTGGGTGAGAATAACTCCCTCCGCTCTCTCGAGGAGTTTCCGAGTTTTTGGTGAAAGGGCGCCCGGTGGTGACTGGCCATGGTCCTTCGCGAACTTGCCGACGGCTTCAATACGGACACCTACCGACCCATGCTTAGGTGGCTGACTAAAGATGTCACCTGGTTGCTTGAGGCCATCTTTCAAAGGTTGACCTAATCGAGGCAGTGTTGAATTAGCATCTGGCTTCTGTGTTGTAACAAGTTTTGCTGTGACCACTTGTGGTGCTTGATACGCGGCGATTCGACTGTCAATACCGGTGATGACTTCAAGGCATATTCCTAGAACTTGCGACCAGGTAGACCCCCCTTTCCGGTCGATATCTTCAAAGATAGCCTTGCGTCGGCCCTCGAAGCGCTCCGCAATGTAAACAAGCTCCCAGAAGGCGAAAGCCTAGAGATACACATCAGCCCTGATAGTAGCGAACAATGGAATATGCCATCTCAGTACTTACCCTCGTTTGTAGCTTCTTGCCCCTCAAGCCAGTTAACAAACTTCCATTTGGATCTCGTGATTCGTACGTGATAGGCCTTCCATTCTTGAGTGGCTCTTGCGCCACATACGCAGTAAAAGCTGCATTTGCTAATTCCCACAGCAAAGTTAAGAGGAAGCCTGCGACGGCGGTGTGTACAAGGACGCTCCAGTGAAAAGGCCGGGTGGAAGGAAGCGAATTGGACTTAGGAAGAGTCCAGAATATCTTTGCCCAACCGCGTGTGAAACCCCACGCAAATCGTCGAACCGAGTATGGGTATATTCCGAAATCGATGGAATACATGAAAGGAGCGAGCGCTGCAAGAGCCGTGGCACGTTTTGCGGAGCTCAAGACTAAAAAGGGGAATTTCTTCTTGAGCTTCTGGGTAGGGGGAACAACCAAAGGCGATTTCGGATCAGAGGAGGCTTCCACGCCCGTTTTCGAAACCGGCATATCGAGTCGGTCATAATCGTAGAAAAGATGGACGCCTGCCTGGACCAAGGCAACGAAGAAGAGGAAGCTCGTCAGATAGATCGGTCTTTCGTTCAGCGCCGTGCGATCGGTTTTCGGTATGAGTTTGATCCTATTCAGATCTGCACGATTCGGTGCTGACCAGATGAAGATCTCACTGAAGAGATAGGCCGAAAGACAGTACCACCCTATAGTCTGCAAAACATCATATCTGAGGGCGTATGTTCGAAACGTGTACCATGCCGAGTACGATGTCCGTATGCCCACGTGTAGCTGAGCGACTCTTAAAACAAACACCATGAATGCGGGGATGAACAGAAGCCCGGTCCGAATGCCAGCTCGTCCAAATGGGAGCCACGACCAGATCACTACAAGTTACGTTAGCTATAACAAGAGAGTATGCTCAGGAGACCTACAAGAATTCCATTCTCCAATGAAGACAGACTCTAAATAACAAAGGCCAAGAAGGATCACCGTTGCCGTCGCAAACCTCCTGTGCAAGGCAGGCGTAAGAAAGTCCTTGTAGGGACGAATTCGAGGTGCTGGCGGCATCGTGGGAAGCTCTGGGCAACTGTAAAGACTGTAAGGGAGCGGTTGATTCCAAGCTATAGCATTGGCGTTTTCATATCATCGTGGTGGCTTGAACGAAGTAGAAATTTGGCGTGTGTTGACTTTAGCAACCAAAATAAATGCTAGGGAGCTTGGACGGGCTGGACGCGAAGAACGCCAAGGCGCTAAAACTGGTGCAGCCCGCAAGGCAGTACGTCAACTTCGGTCGCCATTGCAATCACCAGGCATCGACTTGTACATAACATAGAGCTTCACCCTCACTTCGACCCCGACATTTCATCGTTTGCTCCCACAGTAAAGATGTCATTCGATCAATTATCGTCGCTGGAATCCCAGCCCACCACTATGCGAAGGCAGGATGACCCGCAGTACTCGGACGATCCAGAGTTCCAGCGCCTGTCACAGCAGCTTATGACCAAGCTCTTCACCTTGACCGGCAATATCTCGCGGTTGTCGAACGAGATCGCATTGCTGGGCACAAAGAGGGATACCGAGCGGGTGCGGGAGAGAGTTCACAACCTACTAGAAGAATCGAAAGATGCTTTCAAGGAGGTTGGTGAGGGGGTCAAGAAGATACAATCATGGGAGGACGTCAGCGTAAGCTTGCGACGACTTTGAATATTCGATATTAAATGCTAACTTCTTGAAAGCCATCTCAGAAATATACCCAACAGAAGCTTGCCCGCGAGTTCCAGAACAACCTGCAAGAATTCCAATCAGTGCAACGCCAAGCTCTCGAGAAGCAAAGGTCATCTGCATCGGCTGCTCGAACGGCACTTGAGGAACAACAGTCGCCTGGGGCAGAGGAAAGCAATACGTATGGGCAACAGCAGTCGCAAGAGCAGCTTCGACTTGCCTCGCAGGACGAGGTGGACTTTCAAGACTCCCTGATTGTAGAGCGTGAGGCTGAGATCCGAAACATCGAGCAAGGCGTGACCGAGCTGAACGAGCTCTTCCGAGATGTCGCACACATAGTCAACGAACAAGGAGAGCTTCTTGACAATATCCATGAGAACGTGGAGAATACACGAACGGATACTAGAGGGGCGGACCTAGAACTGAGGAGCGCGGCGAGATACCAGAGGCAAGCAAGATCAAAAGCATGCTGCTTGTTGTTGATCTTGGCAGTCATCTTGACCGTCATTATTCTAGCTGCAACTTTGGGGTAGAGCATTCACAACGAAGTCATGACTATGAAGACGAGAGCGTGTACAGTATTGTTCTTACGAGGCGTTGAGCATTGCACATGGCCTTTGATTCAAGTGTTATTCATCTTTTACACTACGACGGTCCATTAAGAATATTTGGTGGAGGTTTCTAGGTTCGTTTTGTACGGCTCTAGCAGGAACTAATTATGAAGACTTCAAACTTCTTATTGGGGTTTTCAGAATTGGGCCTATAAGTTGATAACTTGAAAGGAGCTTCAGGGAATCCGTGATATACCATATTCAGATCTTATGTACTTGAGGTTCAACAGAGCGTCGGTCCATAGTAAAGTATCCTTTGACTCGGTTCTGGTGATAATTCAAACGAAGGCATTGACCAGGTTCTTCAGCACTATTACTTATAGAGATTCTGGCGGAGAAATCCACAATAACCTGTATTAACAAACCACTCCTCGTCAAGGTTTCGATAAGGACCGCAACGTAGACTTTGTCAAATAGCCGATTCTTGAATTTTTGAAAAGGGGGCCTCGTGACATCACCCACCAGGCCTGGGTTTCAATTGCCGAACGCGTTGGAGATCGCGTCTCTTAAGGACAAGTTCTTTCCGAATAAACCTCTCACGAAGGGCTTGCCAACCCAACTCTCACCATGGGCTCCACACTGGATACAAAAAGTCTTGACAAGGCCTTTGAAGGTCGCCCAGATCTTCAAGCAGCGATTCGAAAGGCTGCCGCGGGTTAGTTTCAATCTCGATGCTCCTCCGAATCCTTGAGATTTTGGCGCACCATTATTCTGGACGTAGACAAAGAACGGAAATATTATCAGATTGTATCAAGAGCTGATCTCATTTTTAAAGGCGGACCTCATTATATCGAACTCTTCAATCAAATATCCCTTCACGTCTCCAGCCTCATCCCCCCTTCTAGCTTGGAGCCTGCATCGAAAAAACGACGACTAGATGAAGAGCTCACAAGTAGGCCAGCCTCAAATGGCACGAATGGAAACACAAAATCTGCTCCGTCTGCGACTGGGGCCGGCGCAGCGTCTGGCAACGATCCTGTCTTGCTCGAAATTAAGGATATATCTCTCGTCATTCCACAAAGAAAGAAGTACACACTCTGCTTCACGTCGTCGCATCTCTATGCACGTCTTCCGGATTCCAAAGAACCTATTGCAGGAATAAGCTACGCGTGGAGTGATATTGGTATATTTATTGTTCGCTGCCTTGGAAAGCTGTACTAACAGAGCTTCAAGACTATGCCTTTTGCCTCCCTGTTCCAGAAAAGACGCAAAAGCAATACAACTACATCCTCTTTCCCAAAAACTCCATAATCACACCTACGCGCCCTGCAGCCGGCTCCTCTCCAACCCCTGAACCCATCGTCTTCACAATTCCCGACAGCGCCCCAAAACCGGACACGATTAGCGGTCTTGAGGCGGTTGCCGCAGCTGCAGTATCTGATGATTTCAAGACGCTCCTGGACTGGCAGATAACTGCCCGACTAAGAGCTGCTGGGAAGAGTAATTTGAAAATTGTGGAAGCAGATGTTAAGCTTTTTGCTTCAGAGCAAAAGCAGGCACATAGACCTGGAGAGAAGGCAGTTTTCGTCAAGGCATTCAGAGGATCGAAGGATGGATATCTGTTCTTCTTGCCAAATGGCATATTGTGGGGATTCAAGAAGCCGATGATGTTCTTGCCACATGAACGAATTGCCGCTGTATCGTACACGAGTGTTTTGCAGAGGACTTTCAACCTTTCCGTAGAGGTGGATATGAGTGTTGCTGGTGGAGAGGAAGCTAAGGAAGAGTTCGAACTCTCCATGCTGGATCAAGAGGACTTTGGGGGAATCGACGGGTTTGTGAAGAGGCATGGGCTTCAAGATAAGAGTATGGCTGAGCAAAGGAAGGCCAAGAGGCTAAATGTTAATGTGGTGAAAGATGAGGATGGGAATGTCATTGGTAATGCTGAGGCTGGAGAGTTGGAGAAAGCTGCTATTGAGGCCGAGCAAGAAGCTATGGATCTTGAGGATGAAGAAGAGGAAGACTACGAGCCTGGGAGTGAGGGCGAGAGTGAAGGTTCTGGTAGTAGCAGCGAAGATGAAGACGAAGACGACGACGAAGACGGAGAAGGCGGGGGCGAGGACAGTGGAGAGGAAGAAGACGAGTTGTGATCTTGAGTCTATGGGAATGTATCTCCAGACAGCGTCCCCTGAGTCTGATGACCTAGGAAAGGTGCTCTAGTCTACGCCAGACGACTGCTTCATCCTTACAAGAGAGTAGATTGATGACATTCAATAGGAATAGATAACACATGGTTGCCGACTTACAAACTTGCGAACTGAAACTTGTCAGGTGATAGTTCTTCCCTTTCAATCCAGCCATGCCTACTCGCATCATCTAACCAGCTAATTTTGGAAACGTATTCGTTTGTTCCATGGATGAAGCAGAATTTCATCTGTCGGCTCAAAATAGATAACTCTCAAGGCTCTTGGTCTTCGCTGTCACCTGACGTCTGGATTGGGTTGACAGGAGAATCTCCTATCGTCTTCACTTGAATATGATAGGCCACCTTCTCAGAGGCTTCATATTTCCCAAATGGGTCGACCGGGGATCTGCCAAGTGCAAGTTGGCCATTCTTTCCGATAGTTATAATGCTCCCTCTTACCCGGTCCTATGCCGATCTTGAACGTGCAATTGTCCTCTAAGTATCGGCGCATTTGCCCCATTGCATACACCCCTTCCTTTCCATTCGCAATCCGTAATGGAAGATTGGGCATTCGGTCCCCAAGCGAGCGACCTTGACCTCCTTGGCCAAGACTTTCTTGACCTGCCATCTCAGCCTCTGGAGAGTTACACCTTCAACCATGCCGCAGACCAATACATGAACCAAGCCCATGACTTGTATCACTTTCAGGGATCTTGTTTGCATGTCTCCGACAGGAAACGACTCAGAAGTTGATGCACCACATACTAAACGGAATCGTACTGGATCCGAGACCTCCCAACTGCTCAAAGGCTTTGCGTCCACTGCTGCTTCCGACTCAACTGCTCTACTTGAAGGCCAGCCAGGGACTTTGTTCGTAAAACTTCTCAAACGAGAAGTTCGAGGACTGCTTCTCCGAGCTCGCCCTAGCCCAAGCAAGAGATTAGGTAACAAGACGCAGGAAATGTTTCTCCGTTGACGAAGGAAAGAAGTGGACCACGTTCGCAAGGCAGGAGCTTGCATTCGATGCCAACTTACGAAGACAGTAGTAAGCATAGGGGAGGTATTGAGGAATTTGAATAGTAAATACTGACGTGAACGAAACAGTGCAAGCCAGAGTTCCCGTGTGCAGGTTGCATCAAGGCTTGTCAAGATGCGGCCTTGAGCAGAATGTTTTGTACTCGACAAAAATCAACTGATGTTCGGTTCACAGCTGGTAAATGTCATCTCTGAGGACTGAGAGCAGGATTTAATTTGAAACAAACTTATGGGAACAACAAGAAGACGTAACTTGGCTTCAGGAAGAGGTTCATGCTCTTCATGGGCGCAGGAAATCTCTGAGTGTCTCACTCACCACTTTCTGCGACGCAAACTCGTTGGTCTTCAACATCGACGCAGGCTCCCAGCTCCGGGCATCGGTTGGGCACGATGGACCATTGTCGGTTGCCAGCCCTCTTGAAATTGTGGCACAGGACTTCGATCCAAGATCTGGGAGGGAATATCGACATATTTCAACAAGCAACTCATGTGCAGATTGACAAAGAACCACAACTCCTAAATGCTATGCCCTTCCCGGCGACGCTTTTCCCAGTCTAGAGATACTCGAAGCCTGGGCGCTGGAGACAGCTCGAAACCATCCACGCGCCTTTTTCAGACGACTGCGTGCTCCATCTCTTGGTCTTGCTCGTAGATACTGCAAATGCAAGCAGCCACTGCCCATAGTAAGTTCTTTCTTCCCTCAATAGGCTACCTTTTCTTTAATGCGTGATCTTCAACTGGCGTACGTTTTGTCACTTTCCTAATAGGGCCACTGCTGCAGAATTTGATGCGGAAAGCCATTCGCATGACTTGCCTTCATGGGATACCTCCCCAGGCCCCGTGATTCCAGTCAGCATTCTCACCAGTACGCATCCAACGCAGTATATAGACAAATCGGGGCCAATTGCTGCCCGCGGAATTGTGGAGGGCAAAGTTAAAATCTTGTCGCTCCTGCAGAAGCACGTCTTTGAGAAGAAAGGGCCTAGTAGAGGTAATATGCTACCAATCTGGACTTGTATGTGGATTTTGATTTTGAATTACCGAGAGTCTTTGTTTTATTACGATAACAGTGGAAGAGAGACCGAACTTTACTAGCTTGCACAGCACATGTACAATATGCTCGTATCGTTATACTCCCGCCTCTTCCGACCGTCCTCTCCTCTGTAGCTCAATTGGCTCCGGGACGACGTCTATGAACTGTTTGGAAGGGACTGGAGAATAATCGAAGCTGTGGGCACTCTGAAAACCGAAATAGGCCACTGTGGTATGTCCAACATCCATCCTAAAGACAAGGGAGCTAATTTTGAACAGCCAATGGCGAAACCTCCGCCGACATGAACTTTGAGACTCGAGGTTCTCTTCTCCGGACCCTAAAATTCGACCCGGAAAAGAAATTGGGAAAGAAGCTCACAGAGAAGCCTATCCTCCAGGATCCCGAGATGGGAATTCATCTCGCGAGCACTGGATCCAATTATTCCGTAGCTGAAGAGGATCTTGTGCTTCCGAAGTTAATTTGTGGACTTGAACAAGGAAACCGACCGTCCGCTATTAAAGAAACAACATCACTCGGTGCAAACGGCTGGGCCAGGTGGCCTCCTCTCTACTCGCATCGAGAGTATGTTTAGAGAAAGTTCAGTTCGAACGTAATTATGGGGTTCTAATCCGATTCTTGACGGGTATTTCGGTGGTCGTCCGTCTCAAGGTTGAGTACGATGCTTGTAAATTCTCATGATGGTTATGAAGGAACGGTATATCTGTCGTGAATATTAATATCAAAGTATTCGGATTCGCTTGAACTTCTTCACCTTGGCGATGTCAGTTCACCAAGGCACTTTGGCAAACCGCACATATATCGCGATCCAGCAAGCGTGAAAAACTGGAATTTTGGAATGAGGCGCCACCTCATGGTTCTCATCTTCAAAACATTACGAATGACAAATTCCTCGTCGCAGCATTATCGACCGTCAGAATTGTTCTAAGTCTTGTGTTTATTCTTCTTGGCTTCTCTGCTTGCCTGTATCACGCAATGTCCACCATTCTTGTGAATAAAGTCGTCCCCATCACCAAAGACTGCGCTCTCCCATACGAAGCCTATGAGGCTCGAAGGTAATAGCCGCCATTGCACACAAAAGAAAAATTTGGGTGCCTACTACCCAACGCCATTCTTCTTTCTATCCACCCATCTCCATCTCCATCTCCATATAATACACACCCTTTGAGCCGTCCAAGAGATGCGCCCGCTTTGTATCTGTTTCCGTCTATGCTTTTCCTGAGCATTTCACCCACCCAGTCTAGACCCAAGTCCCGAATCCGGATCCATACACAATATAATGTAAACTTTAAAAATAAACAATAGTTTTGACGAAGAAGGAAAAACGCGTTGTGCGGAAGGAGCGTAGCTTGCTAAGGAGCGTGGGTATCTGGTAACAACAAACAGTCGCGGCCGTCAGGTAATCGTAAGGTGTTGTTACAACAACAGAAGTCATCAACAAAAGAAGTGTAAAGCAGGTCGGCCGTGAGGCATGCTGATCTATGGGCGCAATCCGACGGGGAATTTCTCGGCAATGAATTTGAAGAATTTGGCTTTCTTGCTGGGAGTGCGTTGGAGCTGAGCGGTAACTTGTACCATTGGTCCAACGATGTCCTCATCTCCCAACTGAGGAAATTTGCCTTCGCTTCGAGGATCGTTGAGAGAAGGGATTTTGGTCATGATGTTGTTGCTGTTGGAGTCCCCGAAGGTCGTGTGCTTCAGGGTTGCAAACGCAGCGCTTCCACTGTCGACTGTTCGACTAATAGTGATTTCATTATTCTTTCTCCAAGTCGTATCGATCGACGCCCATTTTTCCTCGGTAAGTTTGTACGTCTTCGAAGTAACACCATAGTGCTCCCCGGTTCGTACAAGATGCTTAGTGTAATTACATCGTGCCAAATCCCAATTTGCACGTAATTGACGGCATGCCTCGAGATCAAAGCTTTCAGGCGTGTAAGGTTCGGGATAGATGGTGAAGTTGGCGTGTCCAAGATCGTTTGCCCAAACATCGTTGGGGTCCGCAATGAGGATAGGTGGAATCTCAGAGGATGGAACAAGATGACCAGGCCGGTTCATTATAGTATTTCGATGGAACGAGGAGATTGACGGTTTGGTACTAAGCGGCGGTGAGGGCATTCCGGGCAACTGAGGTGTTGTGACCGCATCTATCGGCGTCACTGTACCTGAAAAGGGATCGCTAGACTCTGCTACTGAAGGTGATTGTAAAGGCGATTGCATGGAGACTTGTTTGGTGTTGGCTGATGCATCCATCATCAATGGAGGGAGAAGCGGCGTTGTCGCGAAGCCCTCCTCACGCTCTCCACTGTCATGGTTGGCTTTCTCAATGTCGATTGCGGTGGTCGACGAAGTTGCTTCCGCTTTATCAAATATACTTCTTGTGGGGGTTGGTGGAAGCTGAGAATCAAAAGTCTTGTCCAATGCTTGCCCCGCTGAGTTCGAGATTGAGGAGGATCGACTGGACGCGTCTCGGGACGCAACAATATCTCGTTGCGCGTCGGCGGTCATCAACGCAGCGCTCACACCTTTCCTTAGTCGCCATTTTCGCGAAAACGAGGGGAACCTTGTCCCAAACCGTGAAGCGAGTCCTGTTAAGGGCGATTCAACAGCCCTTCGTTTTCGATGTCGCGGACTTGATGCGAATTCTCCATCACTAAAAAAACCGTCTGCTAAGTCGTAATCGAACTCTTGCCGTGTAGACAGCTGTACGGAGCTCTGCGCCATTGGAGATTCTTTGTGCAAGCAGTGCTGGTCATCACCTGTTATTATTATTGCAGGCATTAGCTATACGTTCCGCAATTTTGCTTCAGACCCCGCACCGGGCAGTACTTACACAGACATTCATAGAGCTCGTCAGTGTCATCAAACATATCGAAATCCTCGTCGCGTTCCTGCGGTTCTTCCTGAACATCGGGGAGTGATCGTTTGCTAGTCTTGGAGACAATAAATATAGGAGAAGATGGGCTGTCCACCACGGAGGTGTGGTATGACGATTCGAGCGAAGAAGCCGAGCTTGGGTATCGCAAGTGCCCGCGAGCGGAAAATGTGGGCGTTACAGGCGAGGGGATGTCTGAAGCGGAGGAGTTCAGGGTGTAAGTCGATGCAGAAAGATCCATCTCCGATTCAGCCATGCTCTCCCTTTTCCTTCGTTCCTCCACCAATTGTGGGAGTAAAAGTGGCTTGAGTTTGGGAGACATGGTGCTGTGCTCAGTCGAGTTGCGCAATTGTGTTGTGTTTGGTGCGAGGAAGACCGCGAGTTTATAGAGCGGTGGACAACATCGCGTCGTATTGCTTGGGAACAAGTTGATGCTGGATGGAGGGGAGCAGCTCGGGCAGATTCATACGTGGCGGAGCTCTGCTGGAAAGGGGTTTCGACGTCGAAAGAACCACGTAGGTCGGAGTTTACTGGTTTGTGAAGCTTGTTGTGATGCTGCGAGTACTTTTTTTTCACGCCAATCAGTCTCTGCTCGCTTGGGTGCAGCGTGGGGGGGTCCCCGTGACAGGACCTGGATTCGGAGACGAGACGAGTACCACTTACAAGATCGGATGAAGTGTTCGATGCAGCGCTGGACGAATGAGTGAAGAATCAATGGGCTCATGCGACGCAGACGGAATCGAGAATGGCAGATGGGCTGGCAGCGCGTCGAGTTGGGGGGGGGTAGGGCAGCAGGGCAGGCAGAGGTCGACGCAGGTGGGCTTGGGCGAGGTGGTGGATTTATGTTGATGGCCCTGGGTGCCAGATGGCGGCGCTGGGGCTGCTGGACCGTTGAAATGTTTTGGCGGGTGCTGGGGAGCGCAGCAAATGTGGGCGGATGAGCGCGCTCTGCCGCTGCTGGGACTGGGAGCAGCCGGCGACCGGCGACTGCGCCAGGACAGGCTTTGCGCTCAGAGTCACGGGCTTTAGCTTTGGCTTCACAGGCACAACAAGTTCACAGCTGCCGCTTCTCAATCAAGCTCTCGCCCATTCGGAAGAGGCACAGCGACGTCTAGCCCCCAAAAGAGGCATAGGCCTGCTGGCAGGGCCAAGTAGCCAAGGTCAACACCCACGCTCTGGACCTCGGAGCAGTAAGCAGTGAGCAGTGAGCAGTGACAGTGAGCACTGAGCATCCGCGGCCGTCTTCCAACTCCCACACTTCCACGAGGGCGCCATTATTGTGGGAGACTGGAGGCTGGGACCCATGAAGACCGTTCGTTTTTGGCGCAACTTGCTTCCTCCCCTGCTCCGCCCCAATCGCCCCCCCAGCCGAGGAGCCGGGATGCCCTCGAGGAGCTTGGAAGAAGCTCCAGGGACCAGAAGCAGGCCCAGCACATCGGGAAACAGGGTTCCATTATTGGATAGCGTGGAAAATAGTCTTTACACGCAGGGGTCGTGGGGATGGTCCGTGGACCATATCCGGCCGTTGATGGCTGAATTCTCTGCGAGCCTAGCGCCTAAAGTAGCTTCCCTTGCAAGTTGCCATGCTGTGCGATGATGCCGACGCCGTCGCAGTGAGGGCTGACAGGAGTCGTGATTCGTGACAACTGAAGAACGCACTGGACACGGGTTCGCCCAAGTCCCCAAGTCACAGCCCGGAGAAGAGGAGCCCCCCCCCCGGAGAGCGAGAAGGTTGCGCTCTTCCAAAGTCGGTCTATGGAGCCAGCGCGGAGACGTGTTGGCAGCGCACATCGGAAGGGCTGCTCCCCGTGACAAACGGAACCAGAGTCAGTGACAAGCAACAGGCACACGAATCCGAATGCACGGCGTGCGCTAGGAATTTGAGGGTTTGGGTCTTGTGAGACATGCCCATCGGGTACCTGCGCCTACTTTGGATCCCGCTGACCATTCTCTGGCCCCCAAGAACATGGCCGCTCTCTTCTCTGGCTGTTCCAACTTCCAACTTCCAATTCTTCTCAGATCCCACGGACGTTGTCAAAGCGATCGATCCCTCCCGCACGCCTCCCGCCCGGCCTCGTCACATCTCACGATTATCAGAGCGATGTGATTGTGGGAGAGCGAGGAGAGATCGGTGCAGCAGCGCATGACTTCATCGCACATCGGAGTGATGGGACAGAGGGTGTGGTGGGAGAGCTTGACCACACCCTCTCCATTTGGTGAAGACGTTGCGGTCCTGCGGAACCTGCAGCTATCCCACCGCGGTGACGTCTTATTGGCTGTACCGGTTTGTCCAACGCCCGAATCCGGAAACCACACAGTACTTGATGCCAGGGCCAGGACCAGGGACCAGCAGGGACACGACAGAACTCTCTGCCTTGCGTGAGCTCCACGCTCCACGGTCCACCAACAGCCTGCGCTGACTGGCCTGACTCGCAGCACAAATCGCCCAAAGGAGAAAAACCCCTCTCCCGCGTACCGAGCTCTGCTCGGCCGTTGAGGAGGCGTCTTGGTGATGATAACAACACATTTTTGTCGGTCCAACTTTCGCTATCTCGTCGGAATTGGAATCATGCGATCACGTCAAGGGCGGAATAGACGCAGTAGCCTTTCACGAGTAGTGTGTCTGGGGCCGACGGAGGACTCTTGTATCTGCAAAGCAGAAGGCGTGAAGATGTAAACACTCCGTTAAAACATAATTCCCGACTGTGAAATTCTTCTTGTCTATCACACTGATACTCCGCGACGATAATAGTTCGTGGCGGATCACGGGGTCTAGAACAATGGGGTGGGGAAAAACTCCCACCTTTGTTTGAAGTGCGGGATCCAGAAGACCAAAGTGATGCGAAAACTTTTGTCATGAGGAATCCGCCGATCGTGTGACGTTTGAATTCCACATTCGCGGGAACCTGACTCCCTGAGATTTTGGCATGTTATTCAGGCTCAGCTTGAAGTCGACATTATTCCCTTGTCAATCAATGCAGACTCATGGGATTCAGATGTGCAGTTGGATTTCGAGCTGCGTAGGACCAAGCCTCGGGGATACTATTGAATGTCATCTTTGCAGTCCCGGACGGTCTCCACAACAGCGTGCCGTCTGGCATCTGCGCGTGCAAGCCTGTCGATGATGGCGAGATGTGTTCCTGACGGCAGGGGAAGTGGTGATGCAGCCGCATCGCTTCTTAACGAGTAACCCAACAAAGTTCGTGGAGGAACAGCCCCACAATTCCATTCGGACTTTGTTAACAAAATGCTGAAAAAGGTAGACTGTCCCGCTTTACGAGGACACGTTACGCGCCTTGTAAATTTTTCTCCAGGCTTGGCTCTGATGGAGATGGATAATATCCGCGATTGATTATTGAACCCTATAAATCACAGCGTGCAGCCAACGGCGTCCATACAAGTCATCAATTCCTGTCGTGATCTTCAGGTCCAGTGTCGAGCCCATATTTGACGTTCCGCTTCGGATCCATCAAACTGCATGCATCATGATCGATCAGCTCGACAACTATATTGATTGCATGTGACAGACATACCCTGAAAGCCACTTCCGTGATATCCTGGAATCCCTCCTTCAGTTCTGGTCTTTTGAATCGCGAGTTGAAGCCCCTGAACGCCATGCCGGGAAGAATGGTGCGTTTTTCAGGGTTCATCTGTAACACGGATTAGAACAACGAACTTCACATGCCATATTGCACCGATGCATGCAATGACATTCGTTGAGGTGAGTTACAAAATTGGTTGAGAAGAGGAGATCACATACGTCGTTATTCAAAGCTCGTACAACGTCGTTGTGCTCGCAGAGTTCTGGACTTGCCGTGAACAGGACACAGCGAATGGGAACGGAGTGGCTGGCAGCGAGTTCCACCCATTTGCTTCGCACCTCCGGATCGGCATTCGTGTTGTCTAGGAGGTGATTGTCAGAGCATGTGCCGTGAAAAGATTTATTGAGGAGGCGGAGATGAACGTACCTACTGCTACTGACCTGCCTTCGCCTAGGTAATTCCCAGCAACCTTGATACATTTTTCTCGCTATTCGAATGTTAAACTGGCTCTCAAATTTTGGACTTGTTACCAACCGTTTTTAGGAGATCTTGATTGATCCTTGCATATCCGAGAGGCTCCAGTTGTTTCCAGTAGAAGGTTGATTTGCCCGCCGCTGGACTGCCACAAAAGAGGACAATATCAAGGTTGTTCTTCTTAACAAAAGGTCTAGGTACTAACAAGAGTCATTCGTCGATCGTTAGATGATGGATGAGTGTCCGTACCTTCAGTTGTAGAACTTAGGAGATACTCCGAATGCTGGAACGATCGGGTGAATTGCCGGGGTGCGTCTGCGAGAAAATACTCCTCCGGGGTATGAAATTTGATGCCGACATTCTCAGCAAAATTCCTATGTCGACTTAGCATTGTGTAGGTATTACTCGGCCTCGGGGTTGTAACCTGTCTGAACATGAAAAGTCTTTAGGCCTCCCCTCACTCGCGTTGCGACCACCCGCGTCACCAACGAAGACAGAGTTCTCGAGATCTATGCCACCAAGAACACGAATATCATAGTCTTCTAGAAGTTCTGACCACATTCCCGTTCTTGGCTTCCGATACATATCTTTCTCCATAGCTGCGTAGATGCTGATAGGGATATCTAGCTGGCTGAAAACCGCCGATACCTTGGACTTGAACGACACGAGTTTGGATTTCGGGGCCTTCGTATCCGATTTTAGTGAAATACCACCCTGATTGCTGATCACGACCACTCTGTAGCTATGTCTATATTAGTGCTCGGCGTTTGGCGGTAAGTTTTCAGGAATTTGACATACTCATCTTCTAAATACAACTTCCTCAGTGTACTAGGCACCGTAGGATGCCACCATTTCCAGTCCTGCGCATCTGAGGCGAACTTCTTTCCGGACGAGGTCTGAATGAGGGTAGAGTCCTTCATTATTCTATCAGCACCAGTCACGGGGCAGTGGGAATGTTCCCGATCACTTACGAAGTCAAACGCAGCAACCTTTCGTCTCTTTGTTTCGGTGCCGTCATCGTTTAAAGCAGAATTTGACTCGCTAATTGGAGTGTATTTGCCAACGAGGAGGGTACTGGGCGTGTCATCATTCGGTGCTCGTTCCTGCCATACGATCCTCTCCGGGGGCTTCTGTGAAGTTGGGGTAAAGAAAGAGGCGACAGCCGTTTCTGCCAGGGTTTTAGTGGGCTGTTCTTAGGCTTTTGAAGGTGTACGCACGTGTTGTAGTTGACAGGACCTTACGGCGAATTGGAGGAGGGGAGACTGGCGCATTAGGATCAAGCTTGCGCTTAGATGGTTTTGAAGACGACGCCATTCTGAGTAGGAGGCTTCGAAGCTTTGAGGGAAAGAGTACAGCCAGGGTTGTGTTGTGGAAAGATCAGAAATGATGTCCACCGGGTTGACATTGGACGCGTGAGGTTACATTTCAGGCAGTGAACCGATTCGCGCGCTCACGTGCTTCTTCCGAAGGCAGGCCTTCAGGAATGCTCGGAGCTTTATTTGAACAAACAAGATTCAGCTTAAGGCCTGTGAAGAAATGATCACTGTTTGCATATAGTCTATCGAAAGGATATATTTGCTAGCCAAATCGATTTTACCTTGGTAGAACAACAACCACACTGACATCTCGACCTGTTAAGTGAGATAGTTGCTCTCATGGTATGCTACATTATATATCTACATAGGTTCTCCAAGAACCCAGTCCCGGCGCGTCTGCGCTGTATCCGCACTCTGAAGAATCTGACGCAAATTTGACATTATGAAACTCATATCTTCTTCCCCTGGTTTCCACTTCCTTTTCAACTCGTCCCAAGCAACAAGGGTTCTTGACTTTCCCGAGCACTTCGCAAAAGCCCTGAGCGCCCAAGTAGCCATCCATTTCGAAAGATAAATGCCTTCAACTCCGTCATCCAATGCTTCAAGCAAGGATCTCCACACACTTTCGAGCCGTTTTTCAGTCCAGTGAGTATAGCGGACACCCCCATGCAATGCAAATCCTTTCAGCAGCGCGTTAAATAAAGCGCCGTGTACCGGCAAATGGAACCATTTCATTTCCTCCAAGAACTTTGCCGTTTTGTCCAATTCTCCAGCTTCGACAGCGAAGTAGTTGACTAGAATTCGAAAGGTATCTAGATCCGGGGCGATAATGGAACGACTTTGAAGCTCTTGCTTCATGTTTGGATTCGTCTTTGCGATAAGGGCCCATTCCTTCAGTATTTGAGTGATATGGCGACGGTCCCTGAAGCGTCTAGGCTGCAGCTTCGATCCTGACCGCTCCAAATAGGCTTTTTTCATTCTTTCGTAAACATTTTCCGCCGCAGTTGGCTCATGAGCTCGAATCAAAGCAGATATCATGGCATTCAAAACCACAGTGTCCACCATTTCACCAGCTTCAACAAGCGCTTTGTAGGCTGCCCGAGCACCATCGCCATTCTTTTGGAGTCCGTAGTAGAAAATCATACTAACGTGGTGGTACCTATTGAACTCGAAGCCGCGCGCTTCCATCTCTTTATAGATCATTTCAGCCAGGACAAACTTGCCAGCCTTGCAGGCAACATCAAATAGAACATTGAATGTAGCATCACTTCCTCGCACTCCTGCTACGTGCTCCATCTCCCTCCACATGTGGAGGGCAGCCTCTACTTCGACCTCTGTTGACCTCGGAACATAACGGGCAACGAATGAAACAGCACTGGTCCACTCTGCAGAACTCAATGGTATGGCGGATCCCTTCATATCATCGACAACAGAGAGATAGCGGAGCATCGAGTGCTCATCTTTGCGTTCCATAATTGATAAATGCCGAAGCATTTTATGCCGTATTCTAGACTCAAGATACGGGGCTCGAGGTTCAGGAAGAGCTCTGTAAAGCTGATAGATCTCTTGTGGATCTTTCGAATAGTCCTGTAAGGCTAGCATGAGAGCCTGAAGTTTGATCTTTGTAGATTCATCTGCAGGCCATGCATGATGGGGAGGTGGCCATTCGTCTTCAGGCTTGTCGGAAACTGTAAGATGCGGTCCATCGCTTGGCTGATAGAGTTTTGGAAGATCAATCAAAGGTAGTTGATCTGTGTAGGAATTTCCGCTGTATTGATCCACCAGTTCCAGGAGCTCCTCTCGAGTACGATTCTCAGGAAAATTGAATTCTTGTACAGGGTTGGGTTCGCCATGCTTGTATCGAAGGAAATCTAGACTGGATCTTTGCCGTATCTTCGTCGACAGATAAGGCCTCTGTAGTGCTAAATGGTCCTGTGTAGACCTTGTGCTGTGTCTGCGACAATTGCCAGCGCTGGCCAGAGAATTGATGAACCATGCTTCCAATCCTATGGTAGTCGACACCATCTGCGCTGTACCTTGGCGGCAGTCTGTTCCCCTGGATAGTGCGTGTGCGTCTCTTTTCAAGCTGACTGCGTATAAGAAAGAGAGCGCCTGTCGTGGAGCTATCTTGGAGAGAAGAAGTCCGCTCGAGTGGTAATGGGTACAAAAGAGGGACATGAGCCGTCTGACATCGTTGACCCGGATGTCACCATCGCTGCAGAGGCATTGAACCCAGAGAATGTATACGATTAAGCTCTGGCAATGTGGAAGTCGTGGTGTGAGGAAGCCTGATTGTTGTTTGAGATTCCCGAAGTCGCGGAACTACTGTAAATTTATTTTCGGCAAGTTCCAGCTTCGACGAACAAGCTCCATTCTCGAAGGCTCCGTGGCAGCTGCAATATTCACGCAGGGTAGTCATTTGGCATGTAAGTAACGGTCAATAAGGCCCCAAAGATATTTAGCTAACGAAAAACTACAGCCACAGGAGAGGAGCAGTGATGAGGGGACTTAATCTGAAGCCCTCACGGGTTTTCCAGACAGCGTCTCTCCTCTTGGAGTCGCAAAGCATAAGTCAAGCGCCGCCATGGTTCAAGACTATCGGATCAATTCCACCAGGAGAGATAATGACTCGAACCCAACCTGTCCAGCATCGGGATTCCAATCGCAAATCTCGAACACGCAAGCCGAGCAAGATGTTTAAACCACAATTGATCGAGTATGAAGAGGATCGATTACGACGGGAATTTTATCGCGATCACCCCTGGGAATTAGCAAGACCGAGGATTGTACTGGAGAACGACGGGAAGGACGCGCAGAAGTGTGATTGGAGCAGGATACAACAACCTGGAAGACCCCTAACTGGTGAGAGGTACGGCCCTTAGATCATTCTTATTTGAGGGCCATCCTAATCTGCTCTCAGTGTCATACAAAGACAGCTTTGGTTACTAAACAACGTGCCTGGTATGAGCAATGCCCAAGCATATGATGTTGCGCGAAGGGAATTTTATGCGTTGAGGCACGAGGAAGAGGTTGAACGGCGGATAGCACGAGAAGAGGCATCGTGGACTGGAGCGTACTTTGGAAAGAGCGCCATAGATGTTGGCATGGAGCTGGAAGACAAAACGTATGAGTCTTGGAAGGCATGGGCCACAAGGGAAGCGGAGGCCATTGACTTGCAGAGGAATGCTGCCTACACTGGCTTAGGAACCGGCAGCGAGGAAGAAGAGGTAGAGACGGAAGTGGACGCTGCCGAAGAGCCAGCACTGCCATGACGCGTTGGCCAAATCATAGAAGAAAAATGTACAACATATTGGGTTGGTAAGGTAGATGGTCTTGTTACGCCGGCGATGGCGAAGTTCAAAGTTCTACACTGGCCACACACACACACACACACACACTTCTCCTGTGGCATTCTATTGGCATAATTGGAAGGGAATGACAAGGGCTAGTTGAATAGAGTTCCTTCAATTACACAGTTAAGTTTTTTGACGATATATTGAAGCTACCGTCTGAAATTGGTATCTAGCAAGCAAATGCAGCATCACAAACGTTACTCGACCAGGAAACCCTTCCACTCGACCTTCCTTCTAGTTCCTGTTCCATTGATCTTCTTTGCCAATGATTCCCACTGCACAAGAAATTTGTCACAGATCCCAGTCCACAAAAGAACTTTCCCACTTAAACTTAGAGTCTTCACTCTCGCCCAGCTCTCGACGTAGATGATTTTCATTTTCTGTGCCGGTGCCACTGCAAACAACTTCAAAATAGTTGCTGCCAAGATTACCATGACAGCTGTAGCCGGTCCATTTGTGATAACAACATCGGGATACTCATAAGGCGTGGTTCTAGATGCTTTGGAAGTCGCATGTAAAGCTTGCAGGCAGCCTATCAAGCACCACAATGAGGAAAAGGGCGTAGTATAGAGAGGTTGGTGTATCTTCCGTGCTCGTGGTACAATCACAAGATCCCATGTTCCTGTCATAGAATGGGCTTCTCCCGCCTTTGTTGGTGCAGAGAACGATTGTACGTGCTTCGACTGAATGATTCTCTCAATTTCCGCAGCTTTGCCAGCAGAGAAGCTATCTCCAGACGATACGATGTATGTTCGATGCGCATATCTCCTTGGATCAATGTCTCGAAGCAGCGACATCATTTCTGCCGTGTGGCCGCCTGATCCAAGGACAACCACCATATGTGAGAGTTTAGTTTTGAGGTGCTTGATGGTGCGTCCATGTCGAAGAGTAGAAGATATGGGTAGGATATAGAGGAGACGAAGCTAAGCATCATGATTAGTAGAGTTTTAGAGACTAGGATTGATAAAGGGAATCGTACAAATGCAGTAGTGATCACGATGAATATTGCTGCAACCATGAGGCGTAAGGCTGATATTGTGGTCATGATAAGGACACGAGGCTGAAGCTCGTCGAGAGTATTTCAAATCTGCAGGAAATTCGGAGCCAAAGGCCAGCACCTGCATATTCAAGCACGCATACTGGAGAGTAGCATCAATGGCAAACGCAGCTGAGCTTGTATGGACCAGTTGGTTGAGAGGAGAAGGTAATGCCAGAAACGTTTGGATCTCGCCTAGCTTTGAAAGGGGTCCAACCATGGCAGGAGGGCAATCAATTTCGGTCAAGACGAGAAAACATCGTGATTAGGCTCATAGTTCACCTCTAAAATCTCTCCGTCCAATTTCGAGTTCGAGTTCGAGGCTTCTGTAGTAAATATGGCATATGGCTTGCTGTACAATGAATCGGACAATGGCTCGGTTTTGAGACGGACAATAGGTAGGGTTATGCATTGTCTTGAATAGGCACGCCTTTTTAAAAGAGGTAACCAATCTCCTTTAACAACCCTCTGTTTCTTTCCCCTCGTTCTCCGTCTCCGAAGTTCCTTTCGCTGTTGTTCTCTGCTTCCACTCCCACTTCCACCGAAGACTCAAAAAATTTAAGACACCCCTGCACCCTCATCGACAGGGGATCAACGATGGCGCAGCGAGGCCAAGTTCTGGCATCAACAACAATCCACCACAACACTTTTTGGCTGTCCAGCAAGACCCAAAGTCATGGACTCATGGCTTCATCGCTGCGTCGGAAGAATCTCGTGTGCTTCTACTGCAACAAGAGATCCGACATCAAATACGATGGCTTTCTTACGCAGTGGGAGTGTACCAAGTGCGACTCCGTAAACTTTCTTGATGAAGTACGTATTCTAAACCTGGGCTGTATATGATGCTAATACCTCGTAGCATGGCGATATCACCGATCCTCCAGTTGCTACAGAGACTGCTGCTCCCATCGACCTGAAGTATACCATACCAAGACCCGATTCTCCTTCCTCTCAAGTCTCCGATTCAATGCTCTTCTGTACAACATGTCTGAAGAATCAACACCTCTACACGGCGTCGCTCGCCCAGTACCATATTGAGACAGACCCGAATCATTCCCAATATAGGGACCTTGAGCGCAAATACTTCGCATATAGAAAGAGCCTGGAAAAGAGATATCCTCAAGTCTGCGAAGACTGCGAGCCACGGGTACTGGAACGGATGCGTGAAGCCGGCCGAACAGCAAAGGCAGATCATCTTCGGAGATTGATGGAAAGATCCAGAGCAAGAAAATCTGCAACGGTCACCCAGCTGTCATTTTCTGGATTCATTAATTCTGCAGGCAAGTGGTTGTCGTATGTGGGACTTCTGGGTCAAATCCTCTGGAACATTATGGCCTTGGTGGCGGTTGCTCAACATGACCACCCTGAGGCTCTCGAAAGTTTACTTCGATCGTCTTTGGTTTCTCCTCTTGAGGGTGCCATCCAAATATCAACATCCAGGGATTGGGCTCGCTTCAGTTTACTCTGCAGCGTCTCCTCTATCTGGTGGAATCCCATGTTCAAGCAAATGAACAGCGGCTTTATGAACCACATCAAGGGCTTTGGTGATTGGTACAAACTCCAGTTCTTGTTAGTCGTGATTCGGTCTCTCTTCTACTACATCATGGGAACAGGCGTATTCGCAAACCCATTCTCTGCCGTCTCAACTGGAGCACATATCTTCTTTCCCTGTTTTGTCACATTGGTACGTGACTTCTTGAACTTACAAACTGCACTTCTAACATCGTTTAGCTAGCTTTTAGGGCAGCTCGGTCTCTGAGAGTTGATATGAGTCCGCTTTGGGCATCTACTCCAGAAAAGCTTCCCAACGTGGGACCCCGATCCGTAAGCCCAAACCAAGGCGTTGACAGCATGGCTGACGCACTGGATCAAATTGCAGCAACTCCATCAAAAAGATCCCGGCAGTCATCACCGCCATCACCTCCTTCGCCTGTGACATACAGACTGCAAGGATATCCGAAGAGGATTCAGTCCCAACTACCTTCCACTAAAATTGTACCAGCTAGCAATCTGCTCCCACCGGGTAGAACAAGTCCCTCCTTACTCGAGATGACGCAAGCAGAATCGGTTCGTTATCTGGCTACTGGAGAAGTACCAGTTCGTCACCAACATCGATATACTGGCAATAGGGTGGATGAAATGGAATGGTCACCTTCCCAAAGCCAATCTCAACACCGTGCATTCAATCCTCCTCGATCACTACAACGTCAGACACAGCTCTTCAACGAGGCACCTACTGGTGACCAATCATCTCCCTTCTGGTATAAAGTCCCGCCAGCGCCTATCGCACCAGCCCAGCGACTGCGGAATCCGCCGAACCAACCAAGGCTGCGTGTATCTTCACAAGAAACTAAAGAGAACTTTTTCAACAACATTACACATAGAAAGTCTATAGAAGGAGCAGAGGTCGACAGGATACCTCTTCTTAAGAATGAAGTGCCGCGCCAGGGTGTTGAGTTCGCACAGCAAAAGTTCTTCCCCCCTCAAGCTCCGAGCGAAGCAGGAAACACGCTAGCGGATCTCTTGACATCTTTCTCTCTGGGAAACTCCGAGACGGAATCACCCTCGCCTGCAGAAGCTGGCTCGACCACCCGTCATACCTGTCAGAGCCTTGCACTATTTCTAGGTCTTTTTTTCTGGAATCACACCCTCTTCAACCTCACTGAGCATTCGAGAAACGTCATGGTGACGGTTATGATTGTTTGTGCTCTCATAGGGATTCGCACAGTATTAGATAACACTACCTTCAGGCGACCGGGAACTAAGATGACGCCGGCGGAGGGAATAGGAGCCTGCCTCGGTGGACTTGAAGCTGCTGCAGCTCTTTATGGATTTTCTGAGATTATTGCTGGAAATGGTGATTGTGAGAATTGTGCCTCGATGGGTACGATATTGACAGGTGGAATGATGGTCCATGAGATTTGGCTTGCGTTCTTTGGTCACTAAATTGTGACATGAGTGGTCAGCACAAGAGGATGAGCCAGGCTTGACGAAACAACACGCTCAAGGTGGTACATAAAACAAAAGAACCTGGCCCACAAGGATTATGGACATTGATGAGAATTGAAACACAAAAGTCTACTACTTGATAGCATTTACAGTAACAAATGTGGTACTTCTTATTGTGGTAAGGGTTATGGGCATGAATGCATGTAGCATTGTACAATGACCGGAGACATAAGCAATTTGGATTGTCAAGGAGAGTCGGCTTCTTGACTATCAAACCTTAAAGTGTGCAAGAATTTCAAACTTCAATAAAAGCTTGTGCCCCGTTTGACCAGACAACCTACTGTAGAGCTCGGCTGTCATTGAGATCAAGGCAAATATTTCGCCACTGCAACAACGACAACACGTTGTCCTCACCAGCCAGATTTCCGCACCGATGAGTGCACATAAATCAGTTTGATTCTCCGACATTTGAAGCAAGGTGAGGAAATGGTGTTAAAGCTTAGTTTGCACGCTAGGGCGCGATCCACGTCCGTGGCCCCGAAAGTTCCATCGTTCCCGTGTTTGGGACCGAAAATGAAGCCACACAGCCAGTTCAGATTCGAATTATAAAGACACTTGCGCCTGCGTGAGATTTATCATTCTTCTCCCTCCCATATCTTGCAAGAGGATTGACTCCTGAATCAAGAAAAGAAGACATCGCCACCATGACTTCTACGCAGAGCAACGGAAGCCAACGCATTTGTCGCGGCCTTCTTTAAGGCTTGGACAAAGAGTCAACTTGAAGGATCCGTCCCTTGAGAAAGCCAATTTCAACGGTCGCAATCATCTCCAGGGTGGCCGTTGGGTCGAAGTAGGGGGCCAGACTTGGAGATTCAAAGGAAAAGGGACTACCGAGATGTCGGAGAAGACGAACACTGTCACGGTTTCGAGGAGGTCAACGAGGCTCTTTGTCGAAGAGCAACAACTTATGGAGGCGGGAATTGCGGGGCAGCTGGGATACGAGTCGAGGTACCCTCCTTGTGATGAGAAAGAAAGAGAGAGACCACAACGAGAAGTTGTGACTTCGTCAAGGAGCATCCAAGTTCTACGAATGCCAGTGGTTGATCTTGGGAAAGTCTTGTGTCCAATATTTCCGACCACCTCGGAGGGCATAGCAAAGCAAGGTACGTTCTCCTGGTGCAGTTGCGCTTAGATTGAGAGCTTTCATGCTCGATCTTTAATGAATCCATCTCTCACCCCTTCCGCGTGGGAAACTCTGTTGATAGTCATACAGTCATAAAGAGCCTTCAAGCCGCCAACGCGTCAACCAAAGCGAAGACCGACTCCCGACCTGTCAACTTTGGCGTTGTTCTTCCTGGGTCGCTGTACCGCTCTTCGTACCCAACCAATGAAGACTATGGATACCTCGACACTCTCGGCTTGAAGACCATTCTGTGAGTGGCCTCCAACCGCTTCAGGAACCTCATATGGAATGTGCTGATCCCATGTAGCTCCCTTGTAAAGAATGATCCTTTCCCGGACCATTTTGCATCGTTCATGCAACGCAATGATATTCGCCGTAAATCCTCCTTCTCTAAAAATACTATTTCCTATAAACCCCATTATGTACTATACTAATTAGAAATTTGTGTATTAGACTGTGTCATTGACATGCAAGGAACGAAAAAGGTCAAGATCCCCGAGGCCATTATGCATTCTATCATGAAGGTCGTTCTGGACGATTCTAATTATCCCTTGTTGATACATTGTAACCATGGAAAGGTATGTGTCTTGCACCTCAATGCCACTTGTTTGTAGCTTATAGTATATAGCATCGGACCGGCTGTGCTGTAGCTGTATTGCGACACGTCACAGGTTGGAATCTCGAGTCAGCCCTGGAGGAGTACAGAGGCTACGCGGAACCCAAAGTTCGAGATTGCGATGTTGAATACATCAAGGAGTATCAAGCATCGACCTTGCGAGGTCTCTTCGCCGACAATACCCACAGATCAGACGATACAGTGCTTCAAGGGCCTAGAATGGCGCAAATGGTCATGTTTACGGTTATGGTTATAATGATCTTGCTGGCCACGGCGTTGTTCTGGTGAGAAAAGTGCCGGGATTTATGGAAATGGAGGCAATAGAGATGGCTTTGGAGTTTGGATGGAATTCTTCAAAACCTGGCATGAATATTGCAGCGACAAATCGAACAGGCATTCCTGCCTCGCAGGCTATTGGTCTCTAGATTTCGTGACCTTGTGGTCGAATATCATACAATTGCTCTCTTCTGAGCTATCGTACAATTCCGCCACTGTTACATTCCAGGAAAAAATTTCAAATGCTATTCTCTCCCTCGTCATTCTTTCTCCGCCCAAATGCGTAAGTAATTCCACCACCAGCGACATTGGCACCAGCAAGCATCATAGCAGCACCCCTAGTCAACCCTCTCGCCCCAAATTTGTTTCCTATGTGCGACCCAAAATTCGCCCCAGCGACCTTCCTCCTCCGCGCAAGCAACAAATACAACCCAGACCAGGCAGCGGTAAGCCCTGCAGAGTCCACGGTGAAATCGGAGAGGTTCAGATAGGTGCTGAAGAGAAGCACGGGTGGAAAGATCATGGGGAGCGGTCGAAAGGGCCTCGCATGGAGCGCTGTTATGAGGGTAGCAAGAAACATTGGAGGCAGGGGGGAGCCTGCTAAGTCAATAAAAGTTTACAGATGTGGAAAGGTATATGAAGGAGATGGGGGTATGAAATATAAGAAACAGGGGTCAACTTACTGCCCCAATCTGTTGCATATGAAATGGCTGTCTTTTTGGCATCTTGGACTGCTTGGTCTTCGGACGGCATGATGTGACAACAGTGCTGGTGGTTCTTGATGCTCTGCGTAGATGCGTACAAGTGCACTATGTTCTGGAGGAGAATTGGCTTGTCCAAATCCCCTTTCAATTCAAATTCGTCATCGATGGAGGTTGAGGATCTCCCATCACGTGCAATGCCAAAGGGAAATAGCCGCTTACCTAATGTTCGGAAGGTGCAGGATCACCAACGCGGACTAAAGGCCTCGCACATAAACAGCAACCTTGAGAGGCCATCCACATGCACCGTGGCCAGAAGACGTCACATTACGGTCCTCATCCCCACTCAAACCCCTCCGGCCTCGACAAACACTCAGCTAACCCAGACTATCCTCTTGACTTGGCAGCCTCACTGATCTCGATTTACAACAACCACCCTGCGGCGCAATGCCCTCAGCAACCGCATCTGGTGCGGATGCGAAGCCCAATGGCACCGCCAAATCGCGGGATCACAATCAGGGAAATCAGGATAGGAAATACACGGTTGAGCAAAAGAGTGCGGTTTTAAGGGTCCGGAGGTGTCCGCCGACCGCGTTTTACGACATCCTGGGACTGGAGGAAGTGAAGACGACTGTCACAGATACGGAGATAAAGAAGGCATACAGGAAATTAAGTCTGCTCACCCATCCCGATAAGAATGGCCACGAGCACGCAGACGAGGCTTTTAAGATGGTGAGCAGGGCTTTCGGAATTCTGGGTGATGCGGAAAAGCGGGCGAAGTTTGACAAGTATGGAGGTGATCCTGATAGTCGATTTGGCGGTGGGGCGCCGCAACAGAGTCCATTCTCTGGATTTGGGGGACGAACGCCCAGCTCGAGAGCTGGAGGGGGAGGTTCGATGTTTGAGGAGGAAATAAGTCCTGAAGAAATGTTCAATAGATTCTTTGGTGGAGGTGGCGGCGGATTTGGCCCCTTCGGTGGTAAGTGACCGTCTAACGGAATCCCGTGAAGTTGGAAGAGAAACTAATGCAATGCGCAGGTGGTGGAGTGTTCGACGCCGGCCCGCAATTTGTCTTCAATCTGGGAGGGGGGCCTGGCATCAGAGTGCACCAGTTTGGTGGAGCAAGACCTCGAAGAAGGCCACGAGATCCAAACGCGCCCCCAGAACCTCCGGCCTCTCTGCAGACAAGGCTCATGGGGTTATTACCCCTGCTGTTCATCTTGATATTGCCCATAATCTCATCGCTCTTCTCTGGATCTGGATCTGCAGCAACTGGTCCCTCGATGCGATTCGACCGTGCTGTTCCACCGCATACCCTTCACCGGCATACCTCGCGATTGAAAGTTGACTACTATATCAACCCTACTGAAGTAGAGAGTTGGTCGGCTTCGCAATTTGCAAAACTCGACCAAAGGGCAGAAATCAACTTCGTGCAGCGCCTGGGTGAAGAATGTCATCAAGAGGAAGTTGCAAAGCAGCAGTTATATAATGAAGCACAAGGGTGGTTTTTCCAAGACCCGGAGAAGATGCAACGGGCCAGAAACATGGAAATGAAGAGCTGCAGGAGACTCGACAGCATGGGGGTTGCTAGAAATAACTATTGAAGGAGCTTGACCATATTTTCGTTGTACATTTTGAGGCCTGTCTATGGTAAGCATGGCGTTTGGGACTGCAGCATTCTGGGGCGAGTTAGTGGATGACCTGGGTTTCCAAGGTTGCATTGTGCCATAATAGACAAATCGTCCTATCGATACCAATGAACCCGTGGCCTTCCTTTTGAATGTACAGATTTAGACTCGAAAACAGCGACTCGGTCTGCGCTTCTCTTGGTGAACTTGGTCTGAACCAGTACTTGTGAACCTTTCATCTGTAGGTAAGAGCACATGGCTTAATTCGTTAGTTGGAGAGCACTCCAGTAAGTACGGAAAGATTCACCTGCCAATGTCCCCTGCATGATCCGGACATTGATATTTCCATCGATCGCCACCACAGAATTTAGTTAAATGCCAATACTTTCACTGCGCTTCCAGAGATTCATGTCCGAGAGAAGCTTCCAAGAGCTTCCTTCAACACCCCCTGCGGCCTACGATTAGCAAACCCTAATCTTATCGCTAAGCAGCCCCAACGTCACGTCAAGAACACGAGGCTGCCACTCCATGCCCTTTGGCTCCTGTCCCCAAACATCTGCTTGACGCACTCATCGCCGTTATGGATAATGACCAGCAGCCTCCGCCGGCGCCCCCAGAAGCTCCAGACAAGGAGAAAATGGACCAGGTTAGATTCAACCCTTTGTTCTTCAACTCGACGTGCCTAACCGTTATGCCTTGCAGATTCGGCGGCGACGACTCGAAAAGCTGTCCGGGGCTTCAGCTCCAAAAAGCACACAGCCGACCCTAGGATCCACAGGGATTTCTTCATCTTCAACTCCACCTATCTCCTCTGAAAACGCTGAGCCTGCGGTGAAACCAAAGATCAACATCACCAAAGCGCCAACTCCCCCCATAGCCCTCTCCAGCAAAGTCAGCCCGGGCACCCAAGACGCAGCGGACCTCCCCACCGTAAGAAAGATACCCGCAGAAGCACAGTTGAAACGATCCAGAGCTAAATCAGACGGGCAGGCTTCCCCGCGACCCAACCCCCCAAAGAAACAGACGCCTGCTTCAGTTGATGAGTTGCTCGAGGCTTATGAGAACAGAACGTTGGGAAGCATCTTCCGCATCACCTTAGACCCAAACCAAACAGTCGATTCTTCAAACCATAAGCTCATATATCTTCCGAATCTACGTCAAGAGTTGGAAGATGAGAAATCTCCTATTATGCTAACCAAAGAAAGGCTGGATTCTGCTATCCTCGAGGCAGCTTCGGCAATCCCGCATAGCAAAGGTGCTTTGGACTACCTGATACCTTGTTGGAAGCGGATAATGAGGACTTTGAAGGGAATTAGGGGGTATGCTAGTGGGAAAGATGCCATTTTAAAAGAAGCTAAACGCCTTTGCATGAGCAACTGCGTGTTTGCTGTGGAAATGCCAGAATTCTTTGGGTCAGTGATCGTTACAATTGCGAAAATATATGGCTAATCCTCTCCAGTCGTGAACCCAACTCAGCATTGGACACCTTGACACCCTACTTATTGTTAGAGCCAGAAGAGGAGAGGGGCATCAGCCCCGACTTCCTGGCTGAAATGGAGGCTCGTTTTGAGGAGGATGAATCCATTAAGCCAATGTTGAGGAAAGCTGTGATTGGCTTGAGCCAGCAACTCGCGACGATGTCAATGAATGACAATTACAAGCCATACGTTCATGTTAGTTGATGTGAACCCCACAGCTGTAACAAGCTAAGCTAATTTGTATCACAGGCAATGAAGGCTTTATCTCAATTTCCGAAGTTTGTCTCAGCCATCGCAGAGGACCCATTATTTCAAATGGCAACCTCTGCACCTGGAATTGAGAAGCACACTATCCTAGGCCCATTCTTTCGCATCTCCCCACTACAAGCAGAAGTCACCAAGGAGTATTTTGCTGCACCGAAGACGATGGACAAACGTAAAGTTCATACCTCTCAAGAAGCGCTGAGACTTACTTTACAGACCCACCAGAGAGATCTCCTTGATATTGTCAATCACTTTGTGCGTAGCAGCCCCGAGTCAAGGAACAAAACTCTTGATTGGTTTGCATATATTGTGAACTCGAACCATAAACGGCGGGCTCTACGGCCCAATCCAGAGGAACTGTCTTCTGACGGTTTTTTGATGAATGTCACAGTGGTCTTAGACGGTCTTTGTGAACCTTTCATGGATGCTACATTCTCAAAGGTCAATCGTATCGATGTTGATTATTTGAGGCGCAATCCACGAGTCGAGATTAAGGATGAAACAAAGCTCAACGCTGACGAGAGTGCCTCGACGGAGTATTATGAGACTGTGGTTTCAGGAACCTCAAATTTCATCTCCGAAGTTTTCTTCTTGACGCTTGCTGCACACCATTATGGAAGCGAGGCTACAAACAGCATGCTCAAGTCTCTGGACAGGGAAATCAAGTATTTAACAGACAAGGCGAAGGAACTGGAGGCAGAGCGCCCCAAATTTGCAGGTGTAAGTTTCTCCTAGCCTTCCATAAGAACTGCGCTAACGTTGTCTAGTCTCCATTCAATATGGCGAGGCTCGAGGAACAATTGAGAAGAGTCAGCGATGCTCTTGAAAAAGCAATGTCGTTCAAATTCGCTGTAGAGGGCGTTTTGTTTGACAAAGTGATGCAGGCGAGGTCACTCAATTTCATGAGAGTCGTAACCGTATGGCTTTTGAGAATTGCTACCCAATCTGACTATACCCCTGACAAGACTATCAAGTAAGCTGGACGGTATCATTGCCTCTTGCTGTTCTAATATATTCCTAGACTCCCTCTTCCAGCACAGCAACCAGATGCCTTTCGATTCTTACCTGAGTACGTCCTGGAAGACATCGTTGGTAACTTCAACTTCATATTTAGGTACATTTCTATGATAATTGCTGTTTTACTCGTCATTGCTAAACTCAAGATAGGTTCCTTCCGGATGTCATGATCTCAGCAGTCGGTGATGAGGTTATTGCGTTGTGTATTACGTTCTTGACCAACTCTGAATACATCAAGAATCCTTATTTGAAGGCCAAGCTTGTATCTCTTTTATTTCACGGAACTTGGCCTATTTACCATCGCACGAAAGGTGTTTTAGGAGATTCTTTGATTGGGACAAAATTCGCGAATGACCATTTGCTCCACGCCCTTATGAAGTTCTATATCGGTAAGGCTCTGAAAACCCTTGAATTCGATACATAATCTTACTGACTGAAACACCAAAGAGGTCGAATCAACAGGAGCACACACCCAGTTCTACGACAAATTCAACATCAGATACGAGATATTCCAGGTCATCAAGTGCATTTGGACAAACACGGTCTACCAAGACCGCTTGACACAGGAAAGCAAGTGAGTTATTTCTAAACTACCAGTCACTACTGAAATACAATGCTGACCCCACAGGACGAACACGGAATTCTTCCTAAGATTTGTTAATCTACTCCTGAACGATGCCACTTATGTTTTGGATGAAGCATTGACGAAGTTCCCGAAAATCCATGACCTTCAAGCTGAATTACGGCCGCCGAATTCCCTTACTGCCGAACAAAGAACAGCAAAAGAAGAAGAACTTGCAACGGCAGAAGGCCAGGCCCAGTCCTACATGCAACTAACAAATGAAACGGTATCGATGATGAAGCTTTTCACCAAGACCCTAAGTGCTTCTTTCACAATGCCCGAAATCGTTGAACGAGTTGCTGCCATGGTCGACTATACTCTTGACACGCTTGTGGGTCCCAAGTCCCTCAATTTGAAGGTTGACGACCCCAAGAAGTATCAATTTGATCCAAAAACCCTGCTGAGTGAATTCATTGAGATCTATCTCAATCTGGGAGTCTCGGAGAGTTTTGTTGAAGCTGTGGCTGGTGACGGGCGATCATACAAGCCGGAAAATTTTGAGCGAGCATCTCGCATTCTAACACGACATGGCCTCAGATCCACTGAAGATATGGCAGCATGGGAAAATCTCAAGGGCCGCTTCAAGACAGCCAAGGAACTGGAAGACCAAAATGAAGAGGACTTGGGAGATATTCCTGATGAGTAAGTTTTGCTTTTTTTTCTATGGTTTTCACTCGGTCGTTCCACCGACACTCAAATAATTGCTCGTCATCGCCATCGAGCCTGGTTGTTTCGAACGTCCTTGGACCCCAAGAGTTCTTGGACTTCTTCAATGTATAGTCCCAGAAGATATTGAAAGCTGACCATTTTCAGGTACTTGGATCCAATCATGGCAACCTTGATGAAGGACCCTGTCATACTACCCGTGAGCAAACAGATAATCGACCGAAGCACTATTCGAAGTCATTTACTCAGTGACCCTCACGATCCATTCAACCGATCGCCATTGAAGATTGAGGATGTCATCGAAAATCCGGAATTGAAGGCGAAAATCGTTGCTTGGAGAGCAGAGATGATGCAGAAGGCCAAGGCTGCACGCGGTGATGATTTGATGGACACTTCGGCTGGTTAGACTGTCATATTGCATTTCACACTGGTTATGAGTTTGGGACTGGCGTTGCTGATGCCTGCATAGCCAACGTGTCTGGAGTTTGCGGCGATTCTGAAATCACTTTCATAGAGCAAAGGTAAATTCAGTATCAACTGGGTTTCCCATTCCTTCGGAAATCCATGTTAAGAACTCCAGCATAAGAAGAAACGTTTATGTCTCTTGAGCAACAGGGCCGCGTGGGAGACTAATCGGCCTCGCCTCGCTAGCCCCTGCCTTCCACTTTCGTTTCCCACGAGTGCTCCCTTCCTCCCTTTCTTGCACTAGTAGCTCAGTGCCTTTCAAGACCTTATCTTGGTTTCCGCCCCCCCCCCTTCGTTTTGCAGTCTCCGGGTTTCAACCTCACGTTCTGCGGAACATCGGACCACTGTCTTTAAAATTCACACTGTTTAAGGACGTTAAAATTCACACTGTCTACGGACATTAAAATTCACCCAAGACGCATCGTCTTTAAATATCCGAGCAGAGCTTAGCATCTCTGTGAACAGCTTGCTGTTAGTTGCTTCCAGACTCCCAGTCCTAAACAATCTCGATGACACTTTTCGACTATGAATTACATGGTGCAGAGTGGATCGGTGCTGCGTATAGAGGGAGATCAGATGCTGTGGAGAGGAGGAGAGCGTTGAGTCGAGGGTCGGTTGAAGCGGCGGCTGTGGCTGGGAGAGTGGACTCTGAATGCAAGAAAAGAACTACAATCAGTGAGTCTCTTGATGGAGTACAGGTTGAAAAGCTGATCTCCCAAGGAGGAGCATTATCATCAACGTCGGCAAGGCGAGCCGGATCGAGACGGTTTGAAAGGGCGATATTTCGCGGAGAACGACTTCAGGCAGATTGAGTGATGGCACGAGATGAACGGATATGGGAAGAGAGACACTGCGGTGGTGGAAGGCAATCGGAAGTTGGGATGTTAGACCGCTATTGAGAGATTAGTGTACTGTGTGGTAGATGGGATCTCATGAAAGTCTTTGGCCTTCGCTGGGTGTGAAAAGAGCTTCTGATCAAGGGTACAGCCAAGCAATGAGCCATTTGTCCGCCTGTTCAATCGAGTTCGTGCATGTTTTACTTTTTATCCGTTGTCTTTCAATGAAGTTCTGACCAAATATGCTCTTGCTCAGCCTGTGTGATATGGCACTTGCTCAGGCTCATCGAAGGCCAACCTAAACAGTGGACATTTGGAAGCTCGGCACTTCTCAAGTTACTTCTGCATCGCCGATCAGTATTTGGAATATTTGGATTCCCTCAAAATGCCTCGAGGACTTAGAGTAGCTGGAAGTTTGGTGTATTTTCAAATCGATTCCTAAATCGGAGGCCAAAAGACCTCGCATATTGTATTCCACATTTCCACTTTCTATGACTGCCTGCCCGCATGTTGGTCCAAAGTACTTCGCAGGATAATTCAGGGGTGTGGAGAAGGTATTAAACGATTCGTCAATCAAAGGTGGGGTTGGGAGGGGGCAGGACCATAACTTCAACGTCAATAGTTATATGCACCGCATCGCACCTCTTTCCAACTCTCCTCATCACGTTTATCTCGTAATTCAGGTTCCTGTTACTTGCAAATACTGAACTGTGTTGACCAATGAATAGCTCCTTATTGTCTTTCTCAACATGGAGGACTTGTCCCAATCGGGCTCGGCCTATGCCAAATCTGAAGGAACAGTGGAAGTAATTCGTTATAATATCTCAATCTATGACATTCCATTTTCTAAACTGCCGGATCCAAAGCGAGTCTGGTTGGGCTCTCCCTCATCGGCTCTTGAAGGCCTTGGTTCGCCCCCTGTCGCATCAGATGAACAGCAACCTGATAGATGCTAGGCCGATTGTCGCTCCTTACCCCAGAAGTCGTCTCAGCGGCCGCTGCTTCTGAGATCAAGACTGGCAGAAGAGTTGGGCTTAACTGGAATATGAAAAAGCTTGAGTATTCGCAGTTTGGCCGTCAGTCCTGTTCGCACAAAGTCATCCCTGTATGGTGTCCTCGAGCTCTTCTTTCCACTCCCTGACGTTCTAGAACTCGCGAGTCACTTCTAGATGTTCCCCAAGTTCTGGGAAAATTACCTGTCCCGTTGATCAATACTGATTCGAAGTTGTGCAGATCCCTGGTCCTGGTGGTATTGGCTTAGGAGCCTGTTTTGACGACGTCTATGAAATGAATCCTCGTAGGTTTGAACGACTTCCCATATGAAGTTTTTTGGTGCTGTTCCCTTTCACAGAGCGTTTGTAAAATCTTGGAGAGCCGCCTGACACAAACGCAGAGCAGAGCAGTCAATGGGATGGATTTCGGCATTACTCACAGCCACTTCATACGAATGAACCTTCCACTTCCAAAGATCGTGTTTACTATGGCGGTACCACTAAAGAGGAGATAATGGACTCCTCAAATCATCGAATTGGTATACAGCATTGGACATCGGAGGGTATTGCTGGTAAGCATCCACACCTTGGTTTTCTAGCAGTGTTAAATTTTCCCTTTCCAAACGAGACAAGTCCACTGAACATTGCTCTGCTCCAAGGTCGTGGTATACTCCTGGACTACCACCGCTGGGCTTCATCACAGTCACCGCCAATAAAATACTCATGCTTCTCAACCCATGCAGTCTCTTTCGAAAGCATTCTCGCCATGTGTAGAGCCGAAAATGTAACCCCTCGCAAGGGAGACATCCTCTTCATCCGCACCGGCATGATGCCAGAATGGGAGACCTTCACCGAACAACAAAAGAAGGAATACGCCGCACAAGAAGAAGCGGAGCATGCAGGCGTAGAAGCATCCATCGAGCTTCTCGAATGGCTCTGGGACAGCGGCATAACCGCCGTTGCTGGAGATGCCATTTCCTGGGAAGTAAGTCGCCACCGCCTAGTTATATCTACTCTTGGCATTGTCTTATGTGGCTGGCTAATATCATATTCCTGGTTAGGTCTTCCCCACGCCAGGCGAAGTTTCAATGCATGAGTATCTGCTAGGTGGATGGGGCATGCCCATTGGTACGTCTCGACTTTCTCAAGTTCCTGTCCCTGCCGCACAGGATTCGCCCGGCGATCGCTAACAGTAACATCCGGAAAGGGGAAGTGTTCGACCTTGAGGCTTTGTCTAAAATTTGCGCGGAGCTCAAGCGCTACTCGTTCTTCTTGACTTCGATACCGTTGAATATGCCAGGAGGCGTGAGCTCGCCACCGAACGCGATGGCAATTTTCTAATCTGGGTCCCATTTTCCACACCTCAACGTGGTAATATGAGACTCGAAGAATAGTTGACCCCAAGACAGAGGGAAATCTTGTTTCAGCCTTACATACTTCAAAGTCCACCGTATCCGAGGAAGGAAGGATTTTGTGAGGTGACTAGTCTGTTTTGTCTCAAATACGCAGGACTGCAGATCCACGACTAGTTTTCTTCCTACAAATGGCTGCCAAGACCAGCCCTTGCGTTCTCTATAAAAAGCATTTGTAAGGCGTATTTACTTTCCGAATTTGGTGAATTATGCGACGTCCATGATGTTGAATGTGAATATCTCGCACTTTGAATCAAAGTTAACGTAAAGATCAACGGATACCGAGGCAACGCTTGAGAACCTCGCCTTGCCTCTTGACTGTGGTTTAGTCAAGAAGATAGATATACGTTGTGGCGACCTACTTGGTAGAAGGGATGAACAATTGTACCATACTCTCACAGAACGTTGGTTTCGGGGGCTACAAGTGCTCATTCTGCGGACCAGCATTTCCCCGAAGTGATGAATGACTGTTCTTTCCAAGCTCCGACTTGACGAGGGAGTTAGTAGGTTCAGCTTTTACATGAAAAACTGGAGTCCTGAAGGAATTTTGAACCCCAAAGCGCCAAATATTCCGGAGGAGCTAAGTGAATAAGCCACACCTTCTCTCGAGCACTAGCTCTCAATCCTTGGTGGTATGCTTTGACGTCACTGGGTAAATAAGTTCCATTCTTGGTAATTCGAGACCGGCAAACATGATCGATCATATCTCGTTATTTTACTTCAAGTTTGATCTGCATAGCTAGCTATATGCTAATGTGCAAATCCGCCCGTAGAAAGTACTAGGCAAATGCAAACCACCAGAGCAGCAATTGCTAGATGAAGCACCACCTGATTAGAGACCATTTCCCTTCACGTGTGCCAATAACCCAAAGCCACAACTGCCCCAGAATACCGCGGAATCATTGCACGCCATCCGACAAATGTTGCGAGGGTAGAACTCCGAAGTTCAGACGCCAATGTAGCGCTGTATGCAACCAACCATCCATCCCCGGTTCGGGGAGGTATATAGAATTTGCGAACAAAGATATGCGCGTGGTGGTCGGCCTCGGGAAGCCGCCATAATTGATGACAATGAATATGCAAGCAATGCATGGAAATAGCGAACCGGGTATCTTTATGCGGCCGTTAATGATTCTTTTCATCCTCCTTTCTTCTTGACGTCTCCGTTTTTCATCCCTAGGTCGAATTTCGTGTTCGTAAAAGAATTTTGCTTCAAAGAAGTTCCATTTCCTCCTCTTCGCTGATTCTCCCCGGTCTTGCCCCACCAGGACTGACTCTTTCCGGTCCTCGAATCACTTCGGGCATTGGCTCATCCTTTTGGCATGCGTTTTCCAGCATGTTCGTCCATTTGCCGCTTGTTCCAGCGTGACTGTGCTTCAGATGCTGCCTGAAATGATCCGCCCGGAAGAATTTCTTGGCATGGTTGCACTCGCCGAATTTGTGCATTTCCTGGAGATGGGCTGTCCGCACTTCCCAGTCTTGATCTGTTGCTATAGCCGTTGGGGGTCCTGTAACGGAGGGGGATGAGATTCCCGAGCGGGGAAAGTCTTCGCCACAAAAGCCGCACGTGTCAGCTTCGTTTGGCCGTGTGGGAGAATTATGAAACGCAGCTGGAAATCCTGAGAGGGCGGCACAAGACCAAGAATGACGGCGAAGATGGAGTGAATTCTGGTGACGCTCCGCTTCATTCTTGTTCTTAAAACGATTGCGGCAATACGCGCATTCATATTGCTTTTCTTGTTCATGAGCACTAGGAGAAATTAGTAGGCAACCTCCTAGATTTTTCAGTGGACTTACTTGAGCTCTTCTTGCGAGTCGAACTTCTTCGGCTTCTTAGGACAACACTCACACATGAACCCCCCCTGTTTCTTGGGAGCACCGTTATGTTTGCCATGGCTCAAGCTGTCGGAAAGTTTACGAGATGTCATAAGTGGCCTCGTCTCTGATATCGTACGGTTGTGATTTGACCTGGAAAGCGTCCCGCGGGGGCTAGGGTTCAAAGATAGAGATGTGACATAAGGGGAGTCGGACATATCTGACGCCCCTGGAGAGAGACCACCCGGGGATAACCTCCCATAGGAATTCAGGCTGGTTATGCTGCTCCCACCGGCGGATAAAGCTGAAACATAGGAACCGCTCCTTGGGGCAGACGCAGTTGACGATACTGATCCTGAATTTGAGTGGAACCGAGGTGCTGGTGAGGTTCGGGATGCAGATTCGCGCCGTCGGTAGAGATCACTTGCGCTGCCAACGGTATGCAACGAAGGGCCTTCATCACCTGGCGGCGATGAAGCGCGCCTTTTCTGACCTGCAGTTGAACCGGGTGAGTAGGCATCTGGGCGAGCTGAATAGTCGTCGAGATGTAAACGTCTTAGACCTGCCTCCTCCATATGAAAATCTACGTCATGGTCTGGAGAAACTCTCTGGTCGTAGCTTTCTCGAGATCTGCTCGTGAAACTGGAGGCGTCGTCGCCAATACTCATTACCGAATTACTTCCAGATCGTTTGATGTAGGGAGCAGGTGACCTGTCAGATTCTGCAGTATCACTTGGCGACCTGCGGTCGAATTGGCTTTGGCCCCCAAACTTAGGGTAGGGATAGGAATGCCCGGGAGAAATAGAGGAAAGCGGGGTATCTGCCCATTGACTTAATGGGCTTTCAGCAAGCCCTGGTCTGCTGGTGATAATCGGCAAGGATAGTGGCTTCATGGCGTTCGGGTATCGATGCTCGAGAGCGATTCGTGATGTCGGAGAAGAATCACTGGCGGATGTGCTAAAAGCAGATCTCGAATATCCTCGCGGGGGTGTGGTATTGTCACTGCCTCTTCGGGGATCTAGCTTTTGCAGTAACGATTTGTCGTATGCTTGGGCATTACTTTGGTATTTCTCGTGAACGGAACTTTGAAAACCAGACCTGGCGGCAGAGGAATCTTGGTATTTGGATCTGCTTGGAACAAGTGTTAGCATTGGGGTTACAAACTAAAGTGAATCCCATAGAAATCGAATGAAAACCGAGAATGGCTCGAGGCCGTCGTACAGGTGGTATAAAGAAGGGGCAACACCCCGTGCCCCATTCACCCTTCGACCAGGCGACAAATATTCCTTGCTATAAGAATGGCAGAACTCACTTGCTAGATCCAATACTTGTTCCAGACAGACTCGCATAGCCTTCATCTATCCGCGGATATGTATTCTCTCGCCCATTCATTGACTTGATTGTCGAGGTAGAGCTTCCACGACGGGAATTGTCCGGTCTCTCGTCCAATGCGCCCTTTCTACTTGCAAAACTGCCATATAAACTCGACCCAGGCTGGACAGATGGCATCGATCTTCTCCAATCGCTTTCCTGAGAAATGGAATTCCCCCATTGCCATGCAATATCCGGTCCATTTCCACCGCCTGCGATGTCTGCGAGATGTCGGGGTGGGGGGAGTGGAGGAGGAACAGGGTCCCGTGAGTTCGGTATTGACATTGGAATGGAGGAGGTCGAAGGAGAGGAAGTCGAATTGTACGAACTCGACGAGCTTGAGGTGCGAAATCGATCAGAGGGGTTAGGGTCGTGGACATAAATCTCGGGCAAGGCCACCGGCCTTGCACCACGGTGTGGGATATCCATGACGAATTTCGATATCTGGGAGCGCCACGAGCTGAAAGAACGAAGTCTAAGGAATGGCGTGGGACCTCCTGCCACTACTTGCTAGAAAGTCTCGGTGCGTTGGTGGCAAAGGTCTTCGGAAAAGCCGACTGGGAAGAATGAATGGAGGCGAACATGAATATCTATTCCACCAACAAAATATATAATAAAGAAAGAAAGAAGTCCTCCGGGATATGCAGAAATCGTTATGTCATCGAAGAATTAGGAGAGGTCGAGGTGCGCCGGAGCCGATATATGAGTGTCTGGGTGAATGAGACCTCAAAGGGTGTAAGATGGTGGAGGTGGAAGAGTGAGCATCGATTCGGACTTTAGATTGAGGATGTCTTGGACTTGGACTTGGAGTTGGCCAGGGACACAGGGCGGCTGACGGGGCGATGTGGGCCAGCTGGACTGGGCTGGCAAGACGGTGTGGATGTAGCGCAGAACCGCCGACGCAGCATCGACATAAAATAGGACTGTACAGTACTTGTGGAGTGACCGGAGGGGGAGGTCGCAGGTTGTAGTCGTAGGTTCGCAGGCGGGCAGGCGTTTCTGGTAGGTGGGAGCGTAGCACGAGCTAGTTATGGGGGCTAAGTGCAAGTCGTGTAGGGGAGGGGGAGGGGAGGGGGAGATGGAGACGGTCTCGGGAATGAGATGGTAGTGCGCCAGGCGGTAGAGGGACCGGGCTGGGCTGGGCTAAGTTCGAATAACGGGCATGAAGAAAGGAACAATAACACAACGGGTTTGGTATGGTGGTGGTGGTGGTGTGTGTGGGTCTGGTATGGGATGATGTATGTATGTATGTACGAAGTATGTGTGTGTGTATGTAAGTATGGGATGGGATGGGATTGGGGATGGGTGCGGTGCGGTCCAACCATCGAAGGCACCCAGGTTGGGGGGCGTGGCTCAACTGGGTAAAGGGCTGTCGTACGTACAGTCCTGTGTACACTAGTAGCAGTCGTAGGGCAGGCTAACCAGCCAGGCTGACCAACGGGCGGACCTGGAACTTGGAAGGGCGAGAGATGTCCGAGGCGCGAATTTGAACGACTCGCTATTTATTAGCTGGCTATGGCAGCAATAATTATAAGTCATAGTCTCTGGGTATGACACTCTGGTTTGCGCAAGTGCGCCCTGGCCTGCCGGTGCTCGCCAGTGGAAGAGATATTGCTGCTGCTCCCAGAATGAAGGGCAGGGCAAGGCAAGGCAGGGCAAGGCAGGGCAGGGCATGTGCTGGGCGTGGAGCCTGGAAGGCTGCTCTGCTGTCAACGGCTCGACGGTAACTGTACGCCAGGGGCGTAGGAGATGAGGGCGGCGGCGGCTTTGAGATGCCTTGAGCAAGGTCTTGAGGGCACAGTGCCGTAGTGGACTGCAACCAGACACGGGGATGGGATGGGAGGAAACAGAAGCAGGCCGTCGCCGTCTCTTGTCTTTCTCAGACGGTGAGGCAGCACGTTGTTCCGCAGCGTGACCCGACACTGCTCCTCCACTTGCCTACACTTCTTTTCCCTCAGTCTTGGTCCTCTCACCGTTCTTACTTTCCCGATGAGCGGTTTTGGCGACAGCTTATGTTAGTTTACGAGCACGCTCTGAGGAGGGGCGACGGCGGCCTTGCTCGTCCTCGTCCTGTCTGACTTTCTCTCCAGTGGGCCAACCCACTCTTCCTGGTCTCTCGTGAGAAAGACGGTCTGATATCATTTCATCATTATGCCTTTTTAGCTAGCAGTGAGCTTGATCTCACCCCTTGGTCCGCTCGTAGGAAGATGGCGGTGATGTGAGCGCGCCGTTCTTGCGCTCTCTTCTGACATGCAGTCCACGACGACCACCCACGCCATGGTTCACTCGCTCAACCGGCCGACCGCATCATCGGCTTCCTGCTTTTGATCCTGCAGTTGCAGTTGCACCTTCTGGGCACGTCTTGAAGACTCGGAAGGTGCTCACAGGTTGCCAAGGCGCCAAATCTTAATACTCATATAGAGTAGCAGTGGGGGATGTTCTTGTAGACGTCTTGCTGCAGCGGGGTTTCGACGTCGACAAGACAGGGAGCAGCCGGCGCGGCAGGGCTCGAGGGGGAGGGAGGAGCCTGGGGGGAGGAGCCTGGGGGGGAGGAGCCCAGGCCCTAGGGCGAGGACCCAGGAGTAGGATAGCCTGGAGGGAACTCAGGAAGGGAGGGCACTGGGCAGGCTGCTGCGGGCAGTGCAGGGATCTGCAAGCGCATATGCGCATGTGCAAGGCCAGGCCAGGTGAGCATGGGTGCCTCCTTCACCGTCGCTCAGGCCTCTTGCCCTCCACCGTGTGTCGCACTGTCGCTGAATCGGTGCTCTATCGTCGCCCATCGATCTCAGGCTCAGCCCTACACGCCGTATCCCTCTTAGCCTAAAGCCATCCCTCGAGCCCACTCCCCCCCCCGTGCAGGGTTCCCGCTGCCGTTGCACTCACTTGCCACTTCTGTTCTTCCGCCCAGCCACCTCTACTACAACCCGTTCTCCAATCCTCCCGCGGGCCCTCCTCTCGTTGGCTGGCCTCGCGCTGTGTACACCGCACGGCTGAACCGTGAAATGAGTGGGCTCGCGTTCATCTTGGAATACGTGTGGCGCCGCGCCGGCTGGACGGTCGGGGACTCGGGGTTGATTGTGACTGTGACCGAACTGAACTTCGTTTTGTCGTAGGGGCAGCTGAACGACGACACCACCAGCGGCTAATTAGTCAATGTCCTCGTGCACCTTGCGTGGCCTCGCCCCTCGGGGTGACATCTTCCTAGACATCTATTCTCGCGCCCACTGAGATCTCTGGGTATGGTCCAGTATTACACAGGAGTCTTGCCTTCCAAAAGAAATCCGAGGTTTGTGAGCTAGATGGGCGAGGAACCACCAGACAAAGGGATTGCTTCAGAACGCCACTCGTAAAAATTACCCGTTCCAGCCACTTGCTGTTTCCCAGCAACTTGCTGGCTGGAATGCGAAGGGATTTGAGTCCGCCAATCATCGAGGGAGAGTAAGTGAACACCCTGGGGTGGCATTCCGCCCTTCTGCAGCCCTTCAGAAATTTTGGGGGTTTGTGCGATGCAGCCAACCCGGAATCGTTTCAAGCTCGTGCTGCGCCACCACCCGTCATGCCAAGACCCCAACCTTTGGATCCACCAGACTTGAAAAACGGGGTTGACGTTACGAATCAATGGCGAATTGTCTGCTGATCGTAGTGATTGGCATCAAGTTGATCCCAAAGCTGCTGTTCGTATGAGGGGACGAGCTTTGATGCTATCACCTCATGAAGAACCTGGGCGCGGATGTATGCGGATTTACACCTTGTATGCTCCTCCGTGAGTTCTATAAGTTTCTACCATACTCAAAAGAGTAGCCACCTACGACATGTGAGGTGTCTCGCTTGAACCTAAAAAGATTAATGTGAGCCTCAGGAGGTGTTGAGGCACAGCCTTTGCACCTTTTGCACTGGAAACCTTATTGGAGACCGGAGCACTTCTTGAGATTGGCAAGGCTTGAGGAAGTGAGGACCTGGCAAAGGCTATGTCGAAGGGGCTCGAGTCAGGTCGTCCTGTCGTCCTGTCGTCTCGACTTGGAACCTTAGTTGGTTTGGTCTAAAGCCCGGCTTTCCGTAGCCAGGAAGCATCATTGGAGCGACTGCAAAGACAAGCTTTCATTTGAAGTTGCCGATCAACAAACATGGAGGCATCGAATGGTCTGAGACCTGACGCACTGGTGTCTCCGTGACACTACCCCCCTTCTTGATTGTGCAAAGATCAGTGACGGGCCGTCTGGTGCCAGCACTGCCGGACGAGATCGTCGATGATGCCGTTTGTGTTCAGTGCCCTCGAACAAGAGGAAAGTTGGGACGTGGGATTGGCTGCCCCGCGCTCGGTAAAATTAAAATCCTGCCTCGAGCCCGCGCATCTGCATGTCAAACGTTCGTGGCTGCAGCTGCTCTGGTCCAATGGTCAGGGTCTTGCAGACCCTGATGTTCCAAATTCATGAAATCACGCTCTCAAGATGCATGGGAGTGCCTGGGCCAAGGCCCAGAGGACCATAACTCTGGCCAGCCCAGGCGAAGGCGAAGGCGAAGGCGACAAGGAGCAGGAGCAGGAGCAGAAGCAGAAGCAGAAGCGACGTCGAACCTGGCGGCTTGCAAACACAACGATCAGATAGTTAATTTGCCTCTGCTCGGGCCATTTGCTGTCCCGATATCTGGGACATATCGGGCATAAGAGCGTTTATAATTTGCATCAGCCCAGCCCTTCGACAGCCGGACGTGATTCGGCATCGTGGGGAAGGGAGAGAGAGGAAAGGAAGGGCAAGGGCAACGTGGAAATGGCTTGGCGCGGAGAGGCCCACCGAATGGACGGGCTCGGGAGGTTGCTTGCATGAGCAGCAACCGGACGCCCCCTGACGACGCGAGGCGAGGCGAGGCGAGGATCTCCATCAGCCCTGAAAAGCGAACGAAGGGAGGAGGCCGGGTCAGCCTCCCGCAGAGAAAACGCCCTGAGCCTCGTGTGTGCTTATTATTCATTCACACAGCGCCCACACTCCTCATTACTCTTCCATATTCAACAAAACCAGACCTCATTGAGGCACGCCTCCTCGCATAATTGCCTTAATGCAGACTCAGCTCCCAGCCATGCATCGCTCCTGGGATTGTGCTCTGAGTGCTTGTGGTCCCCTAAGATTATTTGAAGCCGGGCCGTTCACAGATTGGCCGCCGGCGCGGCACGGGTGGCTTCGATATGAAAATAGAACTTATTGACTGACATCGAATTGCTCCGAGTCCGAGCCTTGCAGCCCTTCCGATCATGGAGCTGATAGACGGGGAAGCGCAGCGTGGACCGTGGACCGTGGACCACTGAATAGTGTTATTTCCAAGAACAAGCTTCTGGGAGGTCAAGTCCTGATCGAGACACTCAGCTGAAGCTTCGGCCCGGAAACGCAGCGCGACCACTCAACCCCCAACCCAATTGCGTGCCCTCTTTTCTGCATGCAGCACATGTGGGGTGGAAGTCGTCTTCCTGCTGTGCACAGCGGTCCACTCTTGCCTGACAGAGCGGAATCTCTCGCTGCATTCCAATCATCAATAGTGCAGTCCAGATGTCGGGAACGAGCTACTGCACAACGGACTGCTTCAAGGTCACAGTGCAGCCTGAAGGATCCCTGAGTGCTGCCTGTGTTGGCATGCCAAGGAGCGGTCGAAATCAGGAAGTAAATGTACCCCTCCTCAGCTGGTGAGGGAGGGGCATCGGCATACTCAGAATGGTACCAAGGTAAATTTACCTTGCGGTTCAGCTCTGCCAGATGGCCCCCAATGTCAATTTGATCGGGTGGTCGGGTCAGCGTCCCAGCACAATGGTAAGATTTAAACGTATCCAATCAATAGCATAGAAGGGACAAGGTTAGGACTCGGTCTTGAAGACTTCAGCTCCCAGAAATGCATGGCGGCTGGAGGGTGGGAGTGGCAGAAGGGACGCGATGATATTTCCGTGCCAACCCACATCGACGTAATGCGCGCAACAGGCAGTTTGGCTTGCAAGGGCGGGCTGTGCCGACTAAGCTCGTCTCTTTGAAGTCTGTAAAGTCCGAGATTCCGAATCCTTTTTGAACAACAAAGGCAAGCCCTCGCAGCGGCAACTAACTGGGCATACAAGGCTGATTGCCAGCCCGCCTGCGAGCAACGGATGACTCTGGGCGGAGGGAATAACGGTTGGGCGACGCACGTGGCTAGATCCCTAAAACCACGCAGTGGGGCGCAGTGGGAAGCAATAATACGGAGGAGAATCTTCTCAAGTCCAAGGAGTTTATGGCTAAGCCAGTTGGAAAGAAGCCGCCGCTGCTGTCAGCGAGCCTTGAGTTAGTTGAGTACAAGGTAAGTTGAGTTACGGACTTAGGGACCTCGCGACGAACGGGCCTATCAAACTGTGCTTCCCGGCGTTCTTGCAGGGCTGCTGCATCCGCTGGCCTAGTTCAGTTTCGTGCAAGTTTGTGGGGCTAAGATACCAGACTGGACGGTCCGTGGACGGAACCAAAAATTCGTTCCATGGACGTTCGAATCCGGATCCATGCAAGGATTAGCCATTTGTGCCTCGTGAGGCTCAGTCAACAGGAGAGCGTGCCGAGGATGTCTGAATAATGCAATAATATGGATGTCATGGACCGGACCCCATTTCTTCCCCTCGGCAAGATAGAACGTCTTGAATCTTGAGGCCCTTGGTGGATCTCCTGGATGGATGAAGAGCGGATCAGAAACGTAAGAAAGACTGGGAAGAACGGCAGGCAGGCACCTTCGATGCAATTCAATGACATCGAATCAAGCCCGATCTGGAGGGGAGCCAGGAGACAGATTCCCCCAGCCACCGCACTCATCAGGCAGATGATATTCGGGGCTGTCTTCATTGGAGTGAGGGGTGACAGGGTCCGCCGCCGAGTCACATGCTGCCGACCATTCGCGCTTCAGTCTTGCTTCACCGACAGAGAGGCGAACGCCATTTAGTCAAGTCAGCAAATGATGAACCCTAAGAGCCAATGCGGCAGTTGCCTGGAGGCAAGGAGCCTGGACGAGGCTGATGACTCGTGCGTGTTTAAGCTCACCCACCGAGCCGTGTTTTCGATTTCACTGGTGAGGGGAAAACAGCCCCTTCCACGGTTTTAAGGCCAGACGCGGTAAGTTTTTCCAGGTACCTGGGTAGGAGGAGAAGGTGTCAGATGAGGCAGGTCGCCGACCAGGTTGATCTGCCAGATCGACCGTCAGCCCGTCAGCCCGTCAGAGGCTTCGGAGAAAATTGAAACCTATTCGAAGAGTGAGGATCATGGGTAGGGTATTCCAGCCCTGCCAATGCCTTCCGGCGCATCAAGGATTTCTTCTCTCTGCAAGATTTGTTTCTTTGGAAAAGCAAGAAATCTGAAGGCTTGCTTGCATATGCGGGGTTCCTATGGACGGTGTCTCAACGCCACACATAAAACGACAGGGGGAGAAGGGATTAGCAAACACGAGGTGGCGTAATTATGAATATTGTTGGTGTAACGGTCTCCTATTCCAAAAGGGAAGTCCGAACCGCGGAGCAAGAAAATCTATTACTCGCAAAAGTAAAGATGACTGTGGAGTGCAACAACCTCTTCATTGCGTCAGCCTTGTGAACCGTGCTATTGAAACCAGGGTGAGAGGGGAGCCGACGGTCGGGGGAACAGGTACAAAGCTGTGAAGTACTGTCGGTGTATCTTTTCCAAGCACGAGAAGGTCCACCCAATATCAGACTCTTAACAAATCATGAGCTGTAGCGCAACGTACCATAGAAAGAGGCGCGTCGCCGCGGTCGACTCGGAAATTTCCCATCTTATTTGACCGAGGCTGCGACTCCGGACGGGCGGTTTGGCGGCTCCGGCAGGCTCGGGGGCCAGGGCGAGGTCGGGAAGCACAAGAAGGGGAGGTGGATTCCGTGATGAGACTAAAGGCAGACACACTTGAAGCCGTTACGGCAGTTGGCGAGGCGGCAAATGCAAATCCGGGTTTCAGGGCCGGTGACTAAAGCTTAGAGAGATGCAGAGTGCGTGCAGTAATAAAATGCAAAAATGCAAATACTGATGCTCGGTACCGAGGATGGTGGAGTCCATTTAGGGGGTTCGATGGCCGGAGAAGCTAACATCAGTGCCTGAGGCAGAACTATCTCGTAACCTGAACTTGTAGACATGGAATTGGGAAATTTTACAAGAAAGTTGCACCTTAATCACTCAACTGCCCAAGACATATTCCGATCACCTGACTCTTTACCCCTATATTGCCCCTATCCCATTGTTTACATTCGACCGTCAGCGTATCCGAGGAGCTGACGGCGTTGTCTTGAAACTATCGAATCCAGCAAAGACAAAAGACAGCTATCGACACTTGATTCAAGATCTACAGAAGTCTGCCGCCGCAAACCTGGATTACAGACCGGCTCCGTCAAACATGTCGTTGTCGCGGGTGCCGGGGGATGAGAATCTGTATGTTGGAGGGTATGTACCTTCTCGCCTTACAGCAGGATTTTCCAAGTCGCTTTTGGCTTCATAATCTGATAAACGACACTTGATTATCGTTTCCTCTCCCGTTCGGCTTTCAGTCTATGATTTATTTCCCTCAATGCTCATTCTCCTGCTGGTTTTCTAGCTTTCTGGTTGACCATCTGAACAGGATATTCACTCTTCGCCGGAAGAGCACTCTTGAGAAAACCGGTATTACTCACATCGTTTCGGTCCTCAAGTATGACTTCAAAGACTTTGAGGATTGGGAGAAATACGACCATCTGAACATCGAGGTTGACGATGTGGAGGATGAGAATCTGTTAGGAGAGTTTGAGAACACGGGAAAGTGGATTGAAGAGGGTCTAAAGAACGGAAAGGATGGCAAGAAAGGAGGTGTTTTAGTTCACTGGTGAGTTCCTCAGTTGTTATATCTTGTTGTTTTTGTCTATTTCTGCTCTCTGGCTTAGAAACAAGCGAGATAACCTCCTTTTCATGTCGTCGATGCCTTGAAAGATCAAGTCAAGATATTGTTCCCACTTTGAAGCTTGTTCATGATCCCATTTGTATATGAGAATACTTCAGCAGTCCACATATTACCCGATCTCCCCCCAGGTCTTCCATCTCATTTTCAACATCTTTTATATACTTTCATCATCCATTTAAAACTGACTCCCTTTCCAGCGCAATGGGCAAATCACGCTCGGTAACAATTATAGTTGCCTACCTTCTCCGACAATATCCTTACCACACCGTGTCTTCAGCATTAGCACTAGTTCGGGAATCACGGCCCATGGCTGAGCCTAACAATGGCTTCATGGCACAACTCGAACTCTACAAAGAGATGGGCTGCCCACGTGATATCGATGGTCACCCCAAGTACCAGAGGTGGCTATATCAAAGAGAAGTCGATCTCGCCCTGGCAGCTGGGATGGCACCAGAAAGGGTCAGGTTCGAGGATGAGGAACTGCAAGACGAGACCGAAGTATCGGGACGGGAGGTTGAGTTAAGGTGTCGTAAATGCCGGTATGTCCCACCCACACTTCTCAACTCCCGCAAATCAATGTGCACTACTAGCTCGATCCTAGTCAGGCCAAGCTATAGACAAGGAACATAAGGAGTGACTTCGGTCTGTGTAAACAGAAAAGCTAACAAACATGGGTCCGCAGGCAAAGTCTCGCAACAACCCCCTATTTTGTGAAACATCTTCCAAACCTTCCCAAAACCAAGTCGTTGCCTACGACAGAACCAATATCCTCACTTACCGACTCTTTTCCCATGCCACCACTTCACACCGCTTGTACGCACCATTTCCTCCACCCCCTATCCTGGATGCGGCCAGCGCTCGAACAAGGACTCCTGGATAGCCGTCTCGAGTGTCCAAATCTCAAATGCCACGCCCAGATAGGACGCTATGCATGGCAAGGCATGAAGTGCAGTTGCGGAATATGGGTTTGTCCAGCGTTCAGTCTTCAAAGGGGCCGAGTAGACGAGATCGTGAAAAGGGGGGAGAATAACCAGGGTCAGGGGCCAGATGGAGTTAACGTTGCCAGTGGGGGACGAAAGGGCACTGCTCTTGGTATTAGGCTTCCGCCGGGTATGCGAGGCAAGGGAAACCTATAGGATCGAAATGACGGTGTGGAAGAACTATGCAGCATTTCGGAGAGCCTGGCCCTATTGGTGGCCTGTATTGAAATTGTGGCACTGGCGGCGATGATGATTTGATGGCCCCCAAGATCTCGTCAGCACATCGACCGGAAACACCGAGCTCTCCCGATGCAGTTGCACTGGTGCAGCGAGTAGAGACAGTGGTCTGAACACCTTGTGCAACCATCGTGAACGAAAGGAGGTTGCCATGAAGGCGCGCTTATGCACGAGCACGACCAACGCAGATATGCATATGGTAGAAAACCACAATTGACAAAAAGACTATACAAAAATACTGTAGGATGATTAAATTCAGGGAATTCCATTCGGTAGCAAATACGCTAAATGCCTTCATCACGTTGAAGCAGGCGAACCATGCCCTGCGGTGAGCATGAAAACAGCCAAAACTGTAACGTAGCCAACTCACGCATGAGAAGAAGGCGGATGAACCAAACTACCGGTAACCGGATCATAAGCACAATGCGGTCGTCGGCTAAGGCGGAATATGGAGTGTGGGCCGAATGTTATGATTAGATATCATGCAGGCAGACAGAGATTGATTTGGAACGAGCTCGCACTTCCGCCCTATGAAATTTTGAGCTGAGTAAACGGCAAAACGAGCTTCACCGAATGAAGCCTTAGGTCTGCTCTGACATTTAAAGCAGTAGATGTTTCGGCTGTCCCTCATGCTTATCACACAGATGATGCAATCGTAGCTCTCTACGCTGTGCCGCACCACATCGTTGACCACGGAGAGCCTTGCCAGGATCATTGCGGGTGGCATTCCGAAGTTCTTCAAGGCTTGCCCGTTGCCGAGTCCGTGCTATCGAGGATGATTCTGCAGGCGATTGGCGTTGGAGGCGTGGCTTTCCGAATCACAATCTCAAGCGAGTTGCTGACAGGTGGGGTAATCCTGATGAGTTTTGCAGCTTAAGGAGGGGCTGGAAATGAAGGCCTCGAGTCAAGATGAAGTGGCTGATTTCCAGCGTGAATATGGTAAGCACTAGCACACCAGCTCGGATCCCCCATTGAGCAAGGCTGGAAAACGACGTCGAAATGCAAAGGTTGCACACAGGCTCTCGCCTGCTCAAGAGATGATACAAAGAGCTTTTCAGTCCGTGGACGCTCTGCAAGTGAGGTGGGGAGCGGGATCGAAACGGGCGGGATGCCGTCCACGTTCGATGTCGGCCGCTTGCATGGGAGAGCGTTCAGCCTGGGACTCCCGCACAAGATGATCGATGATCACTATTTCATTACCAGGATATGATCCGGGGCACGAAGTCAAAGGCCTGCCCGTTGCCAATACATCCTTGTCTAAATCAAGACGCGTGGGCGGAAAGCCGATTTCGAACGGGTCGATCACCAGGGAGTCATGCAGTAAGCAACGGGAGGCCTCGTGAACGTATGATTCTAGCCTCAGGACACTATGACGTGTCTCAGAAACCCATCTTTGCAGTCTAGCGCAATTAGCACCGAATGGGCATCAGTTGCGTTACGCCCGGGTCTAGGTCCAAGAAGGAACCGTATTCCGTACATGTTGACGCTGACTGCACCAAATGGCCCAGGTATTCGGCATCGCCGAAGACGTGGAAGAAACGATCCTTGGAGGGGCTTGTAGGAAGAGGTCAACATGACCAGACTTGGAGGAGCTTGGTCACGTGGCAGGTCCGAGTAGATGATTTGGATCCGCGTTTTGATCAGTACTATCATGATATACTGGAGGTATTTGTTAGGGGAATCCTTTGGGGACTTGAGGGAATAGGTTGGGGTTTTGTAGACGCTCCCGATTTCGTTTGGCGATCTCTGCGTTCCGTTTCTTGTCAACGCGCTGTTGATAGAAGGTCTTTTGAAGAGCAAACACTCTTGGTTCTTCGTCCAGTGCTGGAGTTGTGACTTCGTCAGGTTTCTAGAAGCGAATCAGTTGATGAATGAGCCTACTGCACACAGTAATATGTCACCTTATCCTCGGGCTTCTTCTCTTTCTTGTCATCGTCCTTCTTGTCTTTATCTTTATCCTTTCCTTTCTCCTTCTCCTTGTCCTTCTTCTTCTTTTGCTTCTCCTCGAATTCCTTCCTGACACGTTCGACCTCGGCATCCATCTCCTTCTTTTTCTTGGCGGCCACAGCTGCCTCGTCGATGATTGGGCTACAGAAGCCTTTTTCTTTGAGGTGTGCCGGGCATACATAAAAGAAGTCCTGGCCCTGCGTTAACGCCCAGCCAGGTAAGCTCGGTGTATCGACGTTGTACCTTGTTTTCAGGTGTGACCAGCACGCTGGTGCTTGGCTTGAAGCATATTTCGCAGGCTTTGGAAGCGGTGTCGGCGACCTTGCGATGGGTGTAGACGTTGGGGAAGGAGGCCATGGTCGGACGATAGAGAAGACAATTTTCTTGGCAAGAATGTCCCAAAGTCCGAGGTGGACGACTATTGAAAGGGAGGTTGGATGAAGCGCAGAGTTCAGTCGACGTTGAGGTGTTGTTGAAGTCACGTTAGCCAGACCCACCCGCAAGGCTGGAGCTAAAAGCCGAGCCGGCCAGTGCTGAGATCCCTGCAATCGCGTCCGCGTCTCAAATTTCAACGTGCAGCCAAATTTTGTTTATCTGCTGCTGCTTGAATTTGTCCCTCTCTCCTCACAAGACTTTGCAACTTTTTGGTTCCCCATTGAAACATACTTTTTTTTGCAGACATCTCTGTCGTATCTAATTGCTCCTACAATGGCATCCGAACAAATCAGAGCACCCAGCAGCAAGCCTGGAGAGACAAATTATGTGGAGGTCGTTTCACTGATTTGAGTCACCGCTTGCTTTTCAGTTCTGCATATGGTTATCAATTGACAAGTGGATTGGACCCTCTCATAGTCTCGTACAACGAGTCTATCTACTTTGACCGAGCATTCCATGCCCAAGATATTTTAGTCAGTATTGCTGGGCTCGCGTATATCACAAGGTTGAAATCCTCAAGGCCGCCGAGTTCTCTGCAGTTGAGACTGGCCTGAAAGAGGCTGAGAAAGGATTGGTTGCTGGCACACCCAAGATGATTCCTGACGTGGACGAGACATTCACACTGCCAACGAGCGGAGGCTGGGTGAAATTGTTGGGAAGGATATTGGAGGAAAGTTACAGACCAGTCGAAGCAGGAACGAGCAGGTGGCTACCGACGTGAGGTTGTGGCTGAGAGATGAGCTGAGGAGAGTTGAGAGCTATCTAGTGGACTTCCTCAAGGTCATGGCTGCCAGAGCAGAGCAGGAAATCTCCTGGTCATGCCAGGATACACATATCTTTAGCGAACCCAACCTGTCAAATGGAGACTTTGAATGTGTTATTACGCTATGGTGTTTGCTCAGGGTCTGGAGAGGCTACCAGAAGTTATTGTCCGGGTCGATCAGAATATGTCCAGCAAGGAACGAGGGTATTTTTCATTTCCTTCTCACACTAACTGCTTTGGTGTGGATCGAGAAGCTATGACGAAAGAGCTTGGCTTTAATAGGCTGGTAAGTGGTGCATTATTTATTTACTCCTCTAAGTGATGGCATGCTAATCTGACCTCTATAATTCAGCTGTGGAACTCATTGGGAGCTGTCTCATCACGTGATTTGTCATACAGGCTATGCAGTGGGCATCTATACTCATGATCCATATTAGCAGGTGAGCACCAATTTCGACCCCAGCTACCTCGACATGCGGTGCCTTTCCCTAAGCTAATTATACCGCAGAGGGGCTGAGGACCTTATTATCTACTGGACTGGAGAGTTCAACTTTGTCAAACTGGCGGGTGCTTACTCCACGGAAAGTTCGTTAATGCCACAGAAGAAGAATCCTGATTGCCTCGAACTGCTCAGGGGTAAGAGTGGTAGGGTGTTTGGCAAATGGCTGGCCTTTCAATGGCAATCTAGCGAATCCGTACTAGTAAGTTACCACGCCGCTCGTCGATTACGCAATAACTGACCGCTTGAAAAGCCTACAATAAAGATGTGATTTAGCCCTTCATTTCCTTTTATTTTTCTTCTCACGAACTCCCCTGTTGAGCCTCCATTTCGATGTACTGACACCTCATCTAGTTGGGAGAGTTTGTGGAACCCATGTTAGACGTGATTAAGAGCACTCAAAATAGCGTTCAAATTGCTACCGGCGTGCTTATCGCGTTGGCGGTAGACCTGAGAAGATGAAAGCCTCCTTCGAGTATGTTTCAATCCTTGGCACATGACTGCGGGAATTGCCATGCTAACACTTTGAATTAGTTAGTTCATGTTGGCCACCGATATTGGTCAAGAACGGACCGCCTTTCATTGAAGTGCGTCGCGTACTTGAAGAAGACAGGCACCCACATGAGCGAATGACTTATTCAGACTTCAAAAAGATTGACTCTCGCTTCGGAGAAGACGTACTTTGCATGTTTTGATTATGAACATAGCGTCGAGATGCATTCAGCTTCTGGTGGAACCGCGAAGGTTTCAGCTTTGGCTTAGGTCAAGCATTTGAAGTCGTTGCAATGGAGAAAAATTGGTTGACTTACAAAAGCTCTATAATGTTATGTCGGATACCAGGCTGGCGTAATAAACATTATTCCTTTGCTTTCAGATGGGCCATTGTTACGTTTTATTCCAATTTCAGAGAGCAAGAGCAGGCCACTGAACACGAAATTCTGTTACAATGGTTTCGATACTTGATGTGCCATTTATGTCACGTGCCTCGCTAAATTGAAAAGGGGGGCCTCTTCACTTTGACAACCTCAGGTTTTCTCTCACAAAATGAACGTCCCTTCAACAAAAAAGCCTGATCCCCGAACCAACCCTTTAGAAAGCTGTACTACAAAAACATTGTGCCACTCGTCAAAACAACTAAGGCACTGCTGGGCTCGTGACAAGCGTGTTTGACACCGCGCAGATTTTCCTGACTGAACGGAAGTTTGTATGGAAATTTTGATTCCCTTTACTAGCATGACGAAATAAGTTATCTCCTTCATTAATCTGTGTAGCGACTTGATTTAGGACGTTAGTGTGCTCGAGCATATTCTAGGCTTTTCTTTTCTATTCACTTCTAATAAACATGTACTATTGTGGATTCAGAACTTGCCATGACAGTTCGAGCTGTGACAATGGAATTAATGGAAAATTCACCTCCATATTTCGCGTCTAATTTATTTATTGGCACTGGCGCGCAACTGATCTCCTCGTCTTCAACAACCAACTCCACATCTCCACACCGCGATCATGCACAAAGACACCCATCCCAAGATGTCGAAGGAAGAGCTGGTAGACAACCCGTCCCATGTTGAGGTAGTGATTCCCCTTCGCTCATCTATGCCCCACCATGCCCCGACGCTCCACAAGTTCTGGGACATTCACATCGCTTTCCCCTCTCATGAACAATTGTTAATGCACTACCTGATAGATGATCAACCCCGATGTCATCCTGGACTTCTCACAGCTTGCTCCAGACATTTCCCAGCAAATCGAGATACTGGGTGCCAAGGTCCAATGGGCAAAAGATCTGACTGTCGGCATCAGCTTGACCGAAGCCGAAGTGGCCTTGCTCACCTGTTTATTACGAAGCAGTCCTTTGCCTCCCAACCCTCCTGGAGACGACGAACATCATTTCAACAAAATCAAGCTCAACGCCGAAAGGGAACAGATACGGGGCGGTGGAATGTTTCTCCCAAGACGAGAGAACTCGGTACTTGACAATTTTCTCGAACGGTCTCTGCGCTACAGGGAATACCAGCGAGGAACCAAATCTGCGATTATGGTACTACTGCACTTCATGGCTTTATACCAGTACTACGACGATGACAACTATCATTCCCTGGATTACAAGATGGATAGAAGCTTGGACTATAGCTCACATGTTGTCATGTTCGGCGGTAAATTCGCAGAGTTGGACAATTTAGGTCCGTCCGAAGTAGAGCATATGGCTCAGCTTTACTTCTTCGCCATTGTTGCTGTGTTCGAGAAATTGGAGAAACACCAAGCATCAAGTCAGGGCACATATCTCAATCGAAAGGAATCAATGGCTATCCTGACTTGGTTCAGTCAGTGCCCACCTCTGCTTTATCCCAAACGCCACAAGAAGTCCATGGAGCCTGTTGAATCGGCCGTCATAAAGATCCGCAGAGTTCTTGCATCTCCTGACATATGTACAGAGGCAAGACTCACTACGCTTGAAGTTGAGCATCTTCTTGCCATCTCGGAGAGAGTCCCAAGGACAAAATGCGCCGAGAAACCTAGGGGCGAGCCTAGCTTATCACCTCAAATACCTGAGCAATTTTCCGTTGGTAAAGATAGTAACGGATCAACTGCAAAGACGCAGGGACAAGATCCAAGTTCCAGGCAAGTTGTGGAAGTGTTCCAGACCTGCGCCGATATTCTATTCAAGTTCCGAAAGCACCGAGCCGAAGGATTGGGCATGTTGATACATTGCTCACACGCTCAAGGAATCTGGGTCAAGTGTGCGATGTCCTTAGCTAGTTATCCAGAGCTGGCGATTTCACCTTCACAAAATCCAGAACACCCACAAGTAACGGTTCTTGCGAAACTAGACGCCGCCAGGCGAGACAGATATATGTTTGCACCGGTCCATCTTGATTTGGAGGAAGTCCAATTTTTGACAACCGTTATGGATCTTCCACCTCGAGAACTTCCTCCGCGCAAAGATGATTCTTTGTTCTGGGGGCCAAACACTAACGACATCCCCAAAGGACTCGAATCAACCGCCGAGATTCTTCTAAAAGCAAAGCGTGCACAAAAGGTGACCGAGCAGAAATCAATCGAACAGGAGGTGAGTTTTCCGTTGCCAGGATAATACCCTTGAAGGATATTCTAATTTAAATGGCAGGACCGATCTGCGGCTCGGATCGAATCAATAATCAAAATGGTTCAAACCTTTGCGGATGAAGCCTTATCACTCTTCCCCGACTTCACAGCGAGCTACAATAAACTGCCTAAGACAATTGCTGATGGCCAACTCCCCGTCGTCGTCAATGCAATCATAGCGCTGTTGAAAGAGAAAGATGATGACAGGGAGAAAAACAAGCAGTTGCTCAAGCAGAAACTTGCGGCGAAGGACAGAGATCTTGCTGCTAAGGATAGAGAGTTTGAATATGCTGGCCAAACAAGTCACAAGCAACAAGAGAAGCTCAAGTCAGATATTTTGAAGACACAAGCTGAGCTCGAAGTAGTTAAGCGCGAACTCGACAAATCTCGCAAGGAACCGGATAGAGTTAGAGAGGGATTCTTTGGCAAGATCCAAAAGCTGCATGATAAAGTAAGCGGTTTGGAGAAGGATATAAAGGCGAAAGACGACCAAATCTCGGTGCTCGGGCTGGACCAAGCAGAAATGATCAAAGATATCGAGAAGAACAAGGAGAAAGTCGGCAAACAAAGAGACCAACTGAAGGAGTGGCGAGACAGATACAAGCAATTAAAGGACGAACGAGACATATTACGATTGAACTTGCAGAGAACTCGGAATCCAGGCTCTGGAGCCGCAATTTCGGTCTTGGAGAAAGCGTTGGCCGAGGAGCGTGCGAAGTCGAAGCTCTTGGAGGATAAGCTGGACAAGTTTCTTGCAGCGGCTGCAGCTGTAGCCTCTATGTGAAGTGACGTCCGCATCACAGGTGGTTCAACCTGCTGTTTGTGCATTGGATTTCTCGCATTTTCTAAATGCAGGGCCGCTATTTAACTGTCCTTGGGAAGGCACTTGCCTCGGTTTTGGGATTACTGAAGATCTGAGAAGCACGGCAGGATCACCAATGTAGATAGGCAGTAACTCCATAGTAACTCGGAAAGTTTTGACTATGAAATGGAGCTCTCATGCCAAAATCAAGAGCAAAGTATGCAACTGGGATATCTTTCTATGAACAAGGGGCAACCTTTCTTACTTCTTCAATGACTCACCGTTCGCGGCAATCAATGACTCCTCAGTCCTTATAGGACCTTCACCTACAGAGGTCAAGATGACTCTGCTAACTCCACCCTTCAGCACCTCCACAGCTCGAGCATCTACATCCGTTGCCTCTTGGACTTCAATATCTCGCCCTTGCCATCCATCCAGACTTCCAAGGGCGCTTTTGAACAGACCAGCCACCAAACCTGAGTTCTGCTCCTCAAAATAGATTACAGCGTTTGGTCCAGCATCGAATGTATACGCCGCAACGATCTTCCCCGCCTTTCGATTGATATCCTCAACAACCCTAATAGCCGCCCGACTAACATCATTCAGGTAGAAAATCGGCGGGAAAGTATCCAAGCACGTAGCATGGAAACTATTACTCTCCATCATCGTAACCTTCCCAAACGTCTCGAAATCCCGCTCCTGGATCGCCTTCGTCATTAACTCCATGTGCTTCGGGACGACAACCTCTGCTCTCCTTTGGAAAAGCTCCGACGTCCCTACTGTGATTTGCATGCCTGATGTACTGCTTACGCCTTTTTTTTCTGCGGAAACCACAAGGATGAGGGCACGCATTGTGGGCCAGTGTGAGGCGGGGGCTAGTTCGACAGCCACACTATCCGAGCCGTCAACCTTGCTCCCCATTTGCCATGCTACGTAGCCGCCGAATAGAGACCGGCATGCACTGCCGCTACCTTGTCGAGCGATGCATGATAGGTCGGTTGGAGAGGAGGGGAGCTCGTATAGATTTGCAATTGCTCGTACAAGAGCGGCAAACCCGGCAGCAGAACTGGCTAGTCCGGCAGCGGTAGGGAAGTTGTTCTCAGAGACAATTCGAAGGGGGAGGGAGGAGAGTTTTGGGAGCGACGGATTCGATGATTCGAGGGCAGCGCGTAGAGAACGAAGCTCGCGGAAACATGCCTGAGTGCGGGCACCGCTCACGTCCTGGGGAGAGGAATTCAAAAGGAGAGTATCTTCAGAGAAGGAGGAGGAGCAGGCGGCAGTCGTGTGTGTTCGTAAATCGACTTGGGAGAGGGTGACTGAGACGGAGGAATTGGTTGGGAGATTGAGTTTTGGATCTCGTTTCCCCCAGTATCTGGACTTGTTAATATTGTGTGAGGTGTGGGGGAGGGGTCCTCACTTGACAACTGCAATGTTGACTGGGGCAGTCGTGCTTGCTTGGTAGACTTCCGCCATTCTTAGATCAATGACTGTCTGTGTTGCCCTTGAATATTTAAGACAACAATTGGCCTTTGGACAATTGGTAAGTGAAGAATGGTGTGGATTTGTTTTGTTTTTTCAAGGCGGTCAGAGTCAACCAATCGGGAAATTGATTCGCCGATGTTCGCTCAGGGGGCCAAAAAGATTCATGCATGAAGGCATCATCGAATCCTCCTTGACGCGCTCTCATCCGACAACAAAATGGCAAAAGACACAGAAAATCCGGCAGAAGTCTGCCCAGTAGATCCAGCTACGCGTGCGGCATGGCTCAAATCGAATCCCTCAAGAACAGCAGCGTTCCCAGGTGCGACCAAAGACGCGAGTTTGGCAAGCCAAGGAAATAGCTGCGACTCGAGCACAATCGACCAGACACTTCCCCCTCCGCCTCCGAAAGGGCTTTTCTCACGATTTTCCACTCCTTCTCCACCAGAAGCTCCCAAATCTCTGGGAGTCGACCGCGAAATTTCTACGATTCCACGCGCTTCGCCAGTCAATCAAGATGCTGGAGCTAAACCTGCAAATAGCGAGAAAGAAAGTGGTGTTAGTGAGAGTGGAAACTGGATATACCCTTCCGAGAAGATGTTTTTTGAGGCTATGAAAAGGAAGGGCTATAGCAGTGACGCGAAGGATATGAAGACAATTGTGCCTATTCATAATGCGGTCAACGAAAGAGCTTGGAAAGAGATCAAAGAATGGGAACGGCCGTGGGGAAGTGAGGAGAAGTATGAATCATATCAGTATTTTCAGACATTGGGACTAATTGGGATAGGTGTGGTGGCCCGAGATTACATTCCTTCCTTGGATTATCTACAACAATGAGCCCAAAGGCGAGGTTTAATACATTATTGGGATATGCTCCTCCTTTCGACCGACATGATTGGGTGGTGGATAGGTGTGGAACGAGAATAGAATATGTGATCGATTTCTATGCGGGAAGAGATGAAGGGAAGGGAAATGGAAAGCTAAACTTCTTCTTGGACGTACGACCAAAGTTGAATACTTGGGAGGGCTGGAAAATGCGTGGAGCAAGGGCATTTGGTCTGGCTTAGGTGTATGGAGGGGTCGAGGAGTCCTCTTTAGCATCAATGAGCATTGGAGGAAACCTTCGGACAGCTATAGCTGTTGGGACAATCGACAATCTTCACTCAACTCTTATCAATCGACGGTCATCGGGGTGACAAAGAAGTCATGTTGGGTTGAAGGAAATGGTTCTTAAGAACGTGTTGACCTCAAAACGAGAAGGACAGGAAGACCAAAAGGATTACACGTAGAATTGTCGACGGGAAATAAAGAAGCAATAGCGGCACATGGCGAGTCCAAAGAGACACCCTGAACAACAGTGAAACACAGTTATGAAAAAATTTCAAGAGACTAGAAGTTTGCTTCAATCCCTTCTCAAACATTCTCAGCTACCGCTTGTTTTCCTTCATCCTGATTCTTGTCCCTGACTGCGTTTCCATAGCTGAGACTTCTAGATCCCAGTTCTGATCAAGGCAATCTATGATTTCTCTCTCAATTGGTGCCAAATATGCCCGTGTATCCTCAAGTGCTTCAATCAGCGACCTACCCTCTATCTTGCCGTACTTTGCAAATTGAAGAGCAAACATCCAAGCCTTTAGCAGAGTGACTGGGCTTGCATCCCCCTCTAGCACAATTAGAAAGGTCATCCTCGACTGATCATACCACACAATGTAACCACAGTCCTTGAAAATGTCCAGCAGCTTTGAGAATTCAAGCAATTGAGTTCCGCTGTAGCTGCCCGTCGCGCGACCAGGGCGGCCGAAACAACGAAGCACAGTATTAAGATCGACTCCTAGCTTACAATAACCAAGTATTCCTCCCTTCCACCTCAGGACACCATCTCTTTCAAACACTCGCTCTTGAAGACGTACTTCTTCCGGAGTGGGACACACCAACCGAGGCAAGTCTTCTCTGCTCAGGTTGCTGTCATTGCTGTAATTAGTCTCATCGTTGTCAAGCTGTTCAAGTAAACTTGAGAACACAAGATTGGCGCGTTGTCGATTGAGCGTTCGCATGCATACTGCCTTGACGGCAAAGTAGTTCGTCCCAAGATGGATGGCAAGAAGAAAGATCATTGCTGTCCAGGTTGCCCATTTAGACGAGATATAGGAGACGACGAGACTTCCTGCCAACATTCCCATCAACGATATGACGGTTTCTTGACTTGAGTCTTTCTATAGAAATATCAGCCTGCGCTAGCTGTTGGAGTAGATGAACTTACAGCATTTAGCTCCCCAAGATTCCCTTGAGTTGCAAAATGAGCGCTTAATGAAGCCTTGGAACTCCCAGCAGCAACTCCACATAGCGAACGAAGTACACTGGACAGGCTCAACAACACTACTCTCGAAGCTTTGGGCAACGCAGGCGAAAGACAATCTAAAAGCATAGCAGCATCGTTGAAAATGTCGGCAGCTAGACGGTACATTTTGCATTCAGGCTCGAGTGACGTTCCGAGTCTATGAGCGAAAAGAATGGTGGCAATTCGGCCTATGCTTTCTTGAAGGACCGTGAGGAGAAGAGCGGCAGTTGGAGACGCATGTGAGTCTCCCACGCCAATGCCTTTAACGTGTAAGTCTTGTGAGTCTAGTTGCAGGGAAATACATGCCTTCAAGCACTGCTCTGGATGATAGCATCCCCGCGATCGAGCTTGAGAAGGCTTGTAATGAGTCCTAATCAAATAAGTCTTTCATGTCATCCGCTACTCAGTGGTGGCAGTTCTCTTACATAGATCTGGTACCTGTTTATGTTTCAATACGAAGGTCTTCAGATATGTTCAATTATAGCTGACTTACTCAAGGTAATCTTTCGTAACACTGTTCGGGTATCCCGCAGGCAAGAACGCATTCAAGATGCTCCTCGCATAGCTGTTTGAATTCTTGGGAACCTGATTAAAATATCAATATTTAAATAAATTTGAATGAGTGGGCGGTCTGACAATAACATCAATCCTGCTTCCCGAATGCGTTGATGGGCTTTTGATATATGTTGCCACGAGGTTGTTTGCTTGGTCGAACTCATCGATCTCAAGAGCTTCGTTATTGAGAGGATTCTGGATCATGATGAGTGGTATTCGTGATCGGATCGCATTTTCTGAGTGTAAAACTTGGTTTGAGATGACGGAGAAGATTGGCTTGTTTCCGGTAAATTGTTGTGAGATTGAGAAGGCTACGTTTCGGGTTTGTGAAAGAAGCGAGTTGAGAAGCGGATTGGGAGCCTTTTTGATAACTCCTTCAAAGCTCCAAAATGTTCTTTGCACCAAGTATAAATAGGCATTGGGAATCCCAGGAGCTTATTTGATTATCGCTACATATTTGAATTTGCTTTGAAGAATCGTCCGCAGGAGGGACAGCCAGTAAGGAAGCACGTGATGGGTTTGAGGTGAAGTGAGCATGTGAGTACAAGAGAGGAAGAGGTCTTTTATTGAAAGCTCTAGCTAGTTGAAAACCGGAGGACTGCTGATAAATGACGATCATGCTATATCATTCAAAACGCGAGAAAAGAGAGCCCTGGATGCCATTGATCCTCCCAATGCAAGTATTCGTTGTCCCCCACCCCCCAACGCCGATTCCACTTTCCGATATGTCCTCCGGCCAAGCTGTCGCGAATCCTTGGCTACCCCGTCTCCCCAGATTCCGTAATTGGCCTCATCCCATCGTCCGGTGATACCAGAAAAGCAATTCGGGCTCTTATAGGGTATATTTACTTGTTCGACATAAATTTGTACAGGATTCCTCTTCCAAATATGGATCTGCTCAGCAGACCAGTGTAGCTCCGCCAGTCTCAATGGCATCGATCTCCGCCAGGTCGATTGGAGTTCGTCGGAAACGTGCTGGAAGCTCGTTGCGATCAAAGTATTCGCCCTTATTCGGAGATACCGGCCCAAGGGAATGTCCCGACATGGAGCCAATACTGCCATCAGCGCTGCTCTTTGCACGCCCAAGAGGACCGTGTTGTTGTGCTTGTTGTCTGTAGGACGAGAATGAAGAAGAGGGCTTCGGGGCGGTGGTCCAGTCTGCTGGGAGCTCATGAGAAGGCGATGCTGGGTGGGCGTGAGCAGAGTGGTCGACAGAAGCTACGTAATTGTCAGCTGCGTCCTTCGATAGGAAATCCAGAGAGTTGGGCAAAGATTCTTACCTGGAATTGTGCGCTTGCCAATGAACTTAATCATGGGGACACGCTCAGCAGCGGAAGAAGCACGGAGAACCTTAGTCGCAAACATCTTGAAGGTGGATTGGAAGAGAAAATCCGGTGGATGAAGCTGGCACAGGTTTCCAGAATGCTGCTGGCGAAGCCGTGCAGTTGCTTTCTCCGCTGGCGATGGTGTTGTTGCCGTGTGTAGAAGTTGACGGAATGCAGGAAGCTGTCTTTAAAGGCGTGATTTCGAGCTCGCTAAAAGTAAAAGATGGGGGTCCCCAGGGGTCAGGCTACACAACCGAACTCGGGCGCTGAAAAGTCAACTTTCACACGGAGAACTTCGAACTTTTCACACCACCACCACCTTTTGCTGCTGTTTCGCAGCCACGTCAGACTTTGACCCAAGACTTTTCTTTTCACAGGAGCTGCAGCCAGCATACTGTATGATTCGTCGCAAAGGAAGCATTGCAAGCAGAAGTCGACTGATCCCGGCCATCTCCGGGAGATTCCTCCGCTGATAGCCCCCGTCACATCACACCATTCAGTTGAAACGCCTGTAGGCTGTAAGACCATCTTCTCCACGTCCCCGCAGAAATTGCCCCTCCGGCGCGTTCATGTAGGCAGTTGGGCAGTTCAGCTGATCGGTTATATGGTGCTGCAGGGAGACCCCCACGGTTCCTGCAGGCTGTACTCCGTAATTGACTTTTCTGGCTCGGCAATGCAAGAACGCTGTGGGGAGATACTAACTCGTCGATTTCATTGGCCAACGCTCTTGACCTTTCGTTGGCAAATCAGAAGGAAGGCCGAGGTTCAGGTTGGCTTCGTGGGTGTCATCATCTGAACGTCCCGAGTCGTTTTCGATGTTCAGCAGATGTTGCCTGGTATTACTCAACAGGTGAGTGTTGCAGTACCTGGGGCTGCAGGCCGAGGTTCGTTTCTCACAAGTTGTGTTCGTTTCAATATTCGAATGGCCTAGTTGCGTTTCAACACCCAACAGAGTACATGCTTGCTCTTGATCGGCAACTAGAAGTCTTTCAAAGAACAAGATGAACGGCCATAGTTCCCGAAAGCGAGAAATGTTAAGAATCCTTCATTTTCCGCGTTAGTAATAGTCAACTTTGTAAAAGTGGCTTGCCTCAAGCCAATGTCCCTTTCTGCCTGTTTCCGTTCCAACATTTCCTTGCATTATTCTTCCCAGAAAAAACGATTTTCATTACTACCGTTAATCCAATTTCTAGCTGAAAGCGTTGATCGCGGTTTGAAGTACCCGTCGATGGTAGCCACTCCTGAATCCGATGGATCCTTGGACTTCTGAGTGTCGATCTCTTGGTTGAGGCATCCTGAAAATAACTAAATTTTGCAATTGAAGCATGAAATTATGCAACGTCTTGCCGGAAACCCCACCGTACTGGCATCCTAGAGCTCCAGTGGAGCACAACGAGTTGTCACGAACTCTGAACGAGGAAACCAATACACAAACAGTAAGCTAAAAAAAAACCAGAACCTGACTTTGCGGAAATATATGCCTCCGGATAGGCACTTGGAGACGGCTCAACCACACACAAGGCCTTGAAGTCAACGTGAAATGTTCATTCAAAAAACCATTCACAGTCCTCGCTAATCTCAACCTCCCCAGTCACTTAATGGAATGAAGGCAGATTAAACTATCCAGCACCAGCGTCCCTTATGCTGGGTACCGCCTTGAAAAGGAATGCATTCGAACTACCTGATGGTATGACAATCCAGGTCAAGACCTCGTGCGGGGAAGTGCGCCTTGAGGAAACTAAATTCAAGCTTAAGCTGACATACCTCGGGATTCATGAATGGCCAAAGCTTCTGGCTGCAGAAATCTGCAAAGAATTCTAAATGCGAAGATCCAAACCGAGGATTCCAAAATTTCCACGTCAATCTGGAGATTCAAAATGTCCTTTTTGGAGATGGCATTGGTGGGCTGAAAGCCGGCTAATCTGTGTACCGACAGCGAGACTACAGGATGCAGAAAATTTAGTCTGAGATGCCTTCGAAGAGCATATATTTCTATGATTGACAAAATTTATCAGCAAACAATGTCTGCTGCAGCTCCTGAAAAGTCGAAGCAGCCTCGCTCGCTAGAAACCGGAGACGAGAACGATCCATTAAATTACACTCAGAATTTAAAATGTTACTACTGGGGATGTCGCCAGAGTGAGTGAGTTTAGAAGTAGAAAGTAGAGTCGTGGTGAGGAGAGGAGAGGAGAAGAATTTGGAGCCTGGAAGTTGAGTTATAGCGGGGTTCTGAGAATGACTTTGATTGGCCAAGATCTCATAGACCCATATTTCTTCACTCACCCTGCCTCTCGTCGACACATCTCTCATTACTTCTGAATTGTCATAAGAGGTATTCTCATACCCAAATCATAAAACCTCCTTTCACAGTTACCCAACTGTGATTTGGCGTCTCTCGTATTCATTAAAAAAGTGTTCGTTGCATTCCATTTGTGGAGGTGAATATCATCGTCCTCGCTTGTGGCATCACAACTTGAGAACATCCAGCACTAGAGATCCTGATTCGGCGGCGACCTCATAATATCCACCAAGGCAGTCAAGATGCACGAGCTCTTCCTCTCAACTCAAGTCGCCAATGAAGATCTTCAGAGAGCTCTACGCATCCTTCAGGGATACTGTGGTATGAAGCCGGTGACCTTACTTCGTCGCCGACTGATATGGGAAGGGCCTCGAACGCGCAGCAGCTTAAAAGGAATCGATCCAGGACTCCTTCAAAAACAGCCATGGAAATCTTTATACGATCAACTAGTCCGGCAATCGTATGTCATCGCTCTGTTATATGACATTGATCGGGATCAATTTGGCCAGAGTGAGAAAGCTGCAGACGAAGATGGCGAGGACTGTGCAAAGAAAGACGAATCGTGAGAATCCACTCCATCTTGCACTCAATACGAATATTTTCCTTGATGAGTTTACTTAGCTAATGCACTATTTAGAGTAATAGACTGTGACCAGCTTCCTGGAAGCCTTCGATGGACGGACCTACCCGATCCAGCCGGTGGCAGGCCCGTCAACAGTCGTCTCCTTATTACTATCGATGATGAGAAGGGGCTATGTACAGTACTAAAGTCGATGAATCATAGGTATTTACCATTCCAGGCATCAAAGGACAATAGTTAATATCCTTGAGATTTATCCAGGAAATGATCCAAGAATGCCATCGATTCGTTCTTGGAAATATAGTCTTCGACTTAAGCCGTTACTTACAGCTTCCTCCAAGTGATACGGAGCCAATATCAAGTATCAGAACCCGATTGCCGACCTATGAGTCTCTTATACCCTTGGACTCGGAGAACAAGTGGATTCTGACAGCTAGCGCATTGGTCTTAAACGGGAGCAACCCAGATCACAAGCAGAAAGGAATCGATGAATTGATGACTGTGAGGACGGAGTTTGAGGGATGCTTTGATTTCCAGGCACTTGATAGGCACATATTTGACACGAGAGTAAAATTCTGAGCATTGTGGGAATAGATGGGTTGGGGGCGTTCTGGGGCGTTGGCGATAGTACCGAATTGATGATAGACTCAAGAGCCTTCCCATCTGCGACCACCTTCTGCGAGTCGTGAATAGATCCCTCCTTCGCCAGTCAGATATCACAATGCAAGCTTGAGCAGTATCTGGATCATGAAAGAAGCCTTCAAGTTGATGTCTCAGAACAATTCATTTGCAACCCTCTCCCGACTGGTGTCTTCTAATATTCTACAACCGTAAAGCCTCCCCAAAGACCCAATTCCATATTTACTTGTTCTTGTATGTCTGCCAAACTGCAACACCGAAGGGAGCGCCTGTGATATGTTAGCCACGACCACCCGAAAGCGGCTTTGGGGCGGCTCACCGAATCCAACAGCCATAAAGGTCCAGTATCTCAGAGCAAACCACTTCGTCAGTGGGTTGAACGGAATGTTGCTTCGTGGGCCCTCAGGGTAATGGTATGGGGATGACATTTGAGCTCGGGTGGAGTGGAAGCCCCGGCGGGCGACCATCGAGGTCGTAGAAGACGCGCGGACTGCTGCTCGAGATAGCATCTATTTTCATTAGCTCCGCATAGCATCAATTGGAGTTGCAGGCGGCATACTTTGCGGATCTGATTGATTGAATTGTCTGATTGAGTAGGGGAGGTCGTACATAGTGGTTCGATGTTCAGAGAGCTTTGTTCGGAAAGTTGCGCTAGCAGGGGGCCCTTGCGCTTGTCCCAAAAAGCTGAAATATTTTGTTCTCGAGGTGTGGGAACAACAACCAAAACCACTTTCACGAATTCACGAATCTACGCCTTGCTACCCCCTTTCGATAAATGACACCCGTAGTGTTGTTACGAAATATCCGGGATATTAAGCAAGATGGACGAACTATTCGATGTCTTCGACGACAAGCCCCAGAGCGAATTTCCTGAGAAGCCCAAGAAGGCAAAGAAAGACAAGAAAGACAAAAGCAAAAAGCGAACCGCGAACGGGGATGTGAAGAAGGATCAAGATGGAGACGCGGAGATGGTAGATACAGAGCAGGTGGCAGAAGCTGCAGAAGAAGATATCCTCGCGGAGAAGAAAGATACCAAGAGGCGGCGCCGAGAGGAGGAAGCAGAGCCAGTTGTTACGGATACTTTCCAAACCGAACAATCGCGAGAGGTTGCAGCTTCAGCAGGTCTTCAAGGGAAGGATGACGGAGCTTTGGTGATTCAGCACAATATTCAGCACCAGGTCTCCCTGCCCCCAGATTACGACTATGTCCCAATTTCGCAGCACAACCCCCCCCAGAAGCCAGCTCGTGTCTGGCCTTTCGAGTTAGACCCTTTCCAGAAGGTTTCGATAGCATCAATAGAGCGAGGAGAAAGTGTACTTGTTTCGGCGCATACCAGTGCGGGAAAGACCGTGGTTGCAGAGTATGCCATTGCGCAGAGCTTGAAGAACAACCAGAGAGTTATCTACACCAGCCCAATCAAGGCTCTGAGCAACCAGAAATATCGGGAGTTTGCTGCAGAGTTTGGAGATGTTGGACTCATGACTGGAGATGTTACGATTAACCCTACGGCAACTTGCCTTGTCATGACAACAGAGATTCTCCGATCTATGCTATATCGAGGTTCAGAGATCATGCGAGAAGTTGCTTGGGTAATCTTTGACGAGATCCATTACATGAGAGATAAGGCTCGAGGTGTTGTGTGGGAGGAGACCATCATCTTGCTGCCAGACAAAGTTAGATACGTCTTCTTGTCTGCTACCATTCCCAACGCCATGCAGTTCGCGGAGTGGATCACCAAGACGCATCAGCAGCCATGCCACATTGTCTACACGGATTTCCGACCCACACCGCTACAACATTACTTCTTCCCCGCAGGTGCCGATGGTATTCATTTGATCGTGGACGAGAAAGGAAATTTCCGAGAAGACAACTTCCAGAAAGCCATGGCAACCATCGAAGACAAGAAAGGAGCGGATCCTGCAGATATCGATGCTAAGCGGAAAGGCCGTGGCAGGGACAAGAAGACCAATAAGGGTGGTAACAAGGATGGTAATGGTGATATTTACAAGATCGTCCGCATGATCATGTTGAAGCACTACAATCCTGTTATTGTCTTCAGTTTCAGCAAGCGAGAGTGTGAGGCATATGCATTGCAGATGAGCTCTATGGCTTTCAACGACGATTCGGAAAAAGCTATGGTTACGAAGGTTTTTGAGAGCGCCATTGAGTCACTCTCTGATGAAGACAAGACTCTCCCGCAAATCCAACATATTCTACCCCTTTTGCGTCGAGGTATTGGAGTCCATCATTCTGGATTGTTACCAATCTTGAAAGAGACTATAGAAATTCTCTTCCAGGAGAACTTGATCAAGGTTCTATTTGCTACAGAAACATTCTCTATCGGTTTGAACATGCCAGCAAAGACGGTTGTTTTTACTAGTGTCGAGAAGTTTGATGGTGTCAGTATGCGACATTTGACACCCTCAGAATTTGTGCAGATGTCCGGTCGAGCTGGAAGAAGAGGACTTGATGACCGAGGTATTGTCATCATGATGATCAACAACAAGATGGAGCCTGCAACGGCCAAGGAGATTGTTCGTGGAGAGCAAGATAAGCTCAATTCAGCTTTCTACCTTGGTTACAATATGATCCTCAACTTGATGCGAGTTGAAGGCATTTCTCCGGAGTTTATGCTCGAGCATTGCTTCTATCAGTTCCAGAACACCTCTAGCGTCTCTGGTTTGGAGAAAGAACTTCAACAACTACAATTAGAGCGAGATAGTGTCGAGATTACCGATGAGGCTACCGTTAAAGAGTATTACGACCTGCGACAACAATTGACGTCCTACACGAAAGACATGCGCGATGTGATTAACCATCCTAATTACTGCTTGCAATTCATGCAACCTGGTCGCGTTGTACACATCAAATACCTCGATCAAGACTTTGGATGGGGCGCGGTTGTCAAGTTTACACCTCGTCGGCCCGCCAAGGGGCAAAATAGCGAAGAATACACCCCACAGCAGGCGTACGTCCTTGATGTCTTACTTTCCGTGTCTGACAGCTCCTCCGTTGGCACACAAGCTCAGGGTGAAGTACCAGCTGGTATTCGACCTCCTGCTGAGGGCGAGAAAGGCAAGATGGAAGTTGTACCAGTCTTGCTTTCGTGTATCGAGGCCATTGGTCATGTCCGTATATTCTTGCCAAAGGATCTCCACCCTGCCGATCAACGCAATAACGTCCGCAAGTCTTTGGAGGAAGTCAAGCGTCGATTCCCAGATGGAATTGCCGTTTTGGACCCAATCGAAAACATGGGTATTACAGACGAGTCATTCAAGAAGCTTCTTCGCAAGATCGAAGTCTTGGAGTCTCGTCTGTTGTCCAACCCACTTCACAACTCTCCTCGACTTCCGGAGCTCTATAATGAATATGCCACCAAGATGGAGATGAGCCGCAAGATCAAGGAAAAGAAGAAGTCAATCACCGCGGCGTTAAGCATTATGCAACTCGACGAACTCAAGTCCAGGAAGCGTGTGCTCCGTCGCCTAGGATTCATCAATGATCAGGAGGTTGTACAACTCAAGGCCCGTGTTGCATGCGAGATCTCGTCAACAGGCGACGGCCATGAACTTCTGCTCTCGGAGCTTCTTTTTAATCGATTCTTCAATGAACTCACTCCAGAAGTCTGTGCTGCAGTACTTTCCTGCTTCATTTTTGAGGAGAAGAGTCAGCAGGCACCTCCTCTCAAGGAAGAGCTTGCCAAGCATTTTAGAGAAATTCAGCAACAAGCGAGAACTATTGCTAAGGTGAGCCAGGAGAGCAAGTTAGAGGTCAATGAGCAGGAGTACGTGGCGAGTTTCAAGTCTGAACTCATGGAAGTCGTCTTTGCTTGGGCTCATGAGAAGTCTTTCGCGGAGATCTGGTACGTTTATTCCCTATCCCAAACAAGAAATCATTAAGAGCTGATGCTCTCAACAGTAAGATGACAGACGTCTACGAAGGATCGCTCATTCGCCTCTTCCGCCGCCTTGAAGAACTTCTTAGACAAATGGCCCAGGCTGGTAAAGTCATGGGTTCTGATGAGCTCGCTTCGAAATTCGAGGAATCGCTCACGAAGATCAGACGAGATATCGTTGCTGCTCAGAGTTTGTATTTGTAAGTCATGGCCTTTGCTCTTGACTTCTGGAATACTTTTACGGATGGGTTACAACCGTGGGAGAATGGGTTTTTATGCATGGATCGATGGCGCCTTGGAGAATGGAGTTGTTGGTGTATCGTTTACTTCTAGGTCGTACTACGAGAACTCTTTGGTTGATCCAGGCATTCATACTCGGATATCTCATAGGTAGATCATCAGCATCGACTAAACAAGTGCCTCTGATCAGACGGTCGGTTTTATGACTGTCAATATGAGAGGTACTGTACAAGGATAGTAATCTGCGTTCCTCGACTTAATTGCCATGTTTCGATCTTGGCCTCAAGTTCTGGATTCCACAATCTGCCAATACAACGCGAGCGATTTGACTTTCTCACTCCCCCGCATAAGTTCCATCGCTTCTATGATTGATGTGTCTGATGTGAATAATTTGTGACGCCTTCGACTATTGTCATACCTTAAAAAGTTATCCTACCTTTGTTTGGGTCAAATACAAGCACATAGTCACATCTCCCTTTCGCAGATAAGCAAACTTTTAGTTCCAAATATACATTAATCTACTCCAACCTCCTTCCCACCATCTCATCTCCATCACATCCTCTCAAATGCCCATCTCCATGCATGCATTATGATCCAAACAGAAAATGCCTCGCTGTTTACCGCGCAATATCCCTTTTTCGCGCCCAATCTATGCATTCCCGGTGCCCAAGAAAGAAGGGAAACACCTATGTACTCCGACACATGCTCCCCAGTACGCTGATCTGATATCTTACATTTCCCTGCTGCTCTTCGCCTGGTTCTCCCTTACTGCTTTTGCTCATTTCTATTCGCGACTTCAGTCAATGTGTATGCCCGGGACTCCTCGTCCACCACCGCCACCAAGTAAACTCGGGACCGCCTTTCTTCCTACTCTCTTCCCAGGCATATCAACTCTCGGTACACCACCAATGGTTCTAGGCTCCTTCATCAACGAGACATCCAGCTGAGCTGGGATTCTGGATACGACAGTCCTGTAATCGCCAGGGAACTTCGCGCTCGGTGTCGGTACTGCGGCACTTCTCCATAAGTGATCTGATCTGTTTTCCAAGAAGGAAGCAGACTTCGTAGATTTAGAGAAGAATGATGTACGGCCGCGAGATTTCTTGGCTAGGATGACGCTGTCGAAGAGTTGGATGCTTGGGTTATCGGATGGCGTGGTTTCGCGCTCGTGAATGAATTCGTTGAAGGCTGTCACCCCAATCGTTACTACAGTCAGTTGAACAGGGGATCGGGCCTTTCTTACCTTGCGTCTGCTTCAGCATAGTAGCGTACTCCTGCAATTCTTGCGGCAAGCTTCTCAAGAATCCATTCATGTCGAAACTATAGATTTGCCCACTGCTCTTCTGCTCCCTGGTTGGTCGATTCAAGTACTTCCTATACGTGAAGAATAGACTTGCAAAGCATCGTACGAAGGCTGCACGTACACGATCTGCGTGGAACGCTGAAGGGCAGACAAGAGACACTTGGCCTAAGCAACGACCGTGGGAAACGGTGCTGCAGCTCGTGCATTTGTATGCTTCATCGCAGTCAGGCTTCTCATCGCAGATCGAGCATACTGAAGAGGTATTGTTAGGCTGTGAGACGAAGCAATGTCCTTCCACCCAAACTGTAGTGTCAGTATTTCGTACAGGTTGCATCAACATATTCGGCATGATCGTCGAGGCCGCAAGAGTGGATGCCGCATATGTTGAAGGAGCATAGCCGTAGGTAGACTTGGAGTCCATCGAGAGCGCAGAGGTAGAAAGGCTTGCGGAGTGACCGTTACTGAAGGGAATGCTCGGACGACGAAGAGTAGGACCTCGTTCCAGGCCGAAGGAGCCACTGCGTCTCGAACTAGTATCGAAGTGGCCTGACCTCTTCTCTCTAAGCGTAGCTGTAAGAGCAAATCCGGAATCGTTGCGTGAAATCGGGGTCGTGGGTAGAGCTGGGAAGTTGCCCGAGACTGGCGAAACTGAACTTGGAGGACTGGTCTTATTTGATCTGCTTGTTGATGGTCGTTCAACACGGCTGTGATCGTTTTTCGATTGCAAGAAAGCATTGAAAACCGAAGGTCTCTTCACTGCTGCAGGATCAGGTTCGCCAAAGGTAGTCGAGTTTTGGCTGACATATTTTGCGAGTGAGCTTTGTGGTGCATTTTGGGTAAAAATGGCTTCGTTCTCGGACGAAAATGCATTGTACGGGAAGGTCTCGATTGCATAAGGTGGTGGGCCAACGGGAACACCGCATCTGTTATGGTGAGGGGCCGCTAGTTGAAGCAGTGCAATAAGTTTCCGACGCTGTTGTCGAGGCAAAGGGGTGGGCGCAAGAGGCGACTCGATAATATCCTGATCCAGGTCCACCAGAACATAATCATCCTCCGGAAGCTCTATCCGATCATATCGCCTCTCGATACCAACAATATATGGACAAGGCGCCTCAAGTGCGGAGATCAGCCTCGCAGGGAGCACCGGGATGAAAATGCTTGCCCACTTTAGCGGGTAAAGCAGACTAGCCAGTGCTTTACTTGCAAGATGCAACATAGCGGTATGAGATGATAATAGAATGATCCTCGACTCAGACAAGGTAAACTCAAATAACGACACAATATTTGGAATGCTGAGAGCTCTGAACAAAGCGTACAGGTCGGTATTTCGAGATTCCGGGAGCTCATTCGCTGCCTCTTTCCTTGCAAATAGTCGTAATTCTCTGACAGCCAGCTCAACCTGTGTTTTGGAAGAGATTGGACTCAGTGCTTCGGTGCAGAGATTGACCACATATCGTTCCAAGGGCTGCCATCGCCCCACCTTTGGAGAACTTGGTGGAACTCTCAGTACCCCTCCATCACTCATTGGAACGACCACTGCTCGCAGCCATTCCTTCCAGAAGCTGGTAAGACTGGGATCTCGGCCCAGAATTCCGTAAGCTCTTGGTGTCCATAATCCGGTCTCGCCATCTGTCAAGCCATCGATTTTTGCTGCTGCGCCATGCCGTACAGGCCGAAGCATGTCGGTCATTAAACCAATCTTTTCCTCCACAGTACTGATCTGCTCCTCCAAGGCCTCTCTGGCTGCAGACCCTGATGCAACGCCTGGTAGTCTAGCCAGTAATTGTGAAAGATTTGCTCGTTCAGACGCTAACCTCACCCCTAAACTTGCCGCAAGTTCTCGCTCCTCATTCGTCATATGAGCTTGTCTCCATTCTTCACATCTCCTCTCAACATTTGCTGCAGCATCTTGCTTCAGGGGCATCCATACTATAACCGTAATGCCATATATCCTCGAGTTGTCCTCCGAAGTCATAGCAAATCCATGCCATGTTGACCGGGGTCTCTCATCTGCAGACACAATGTTGATGTCGTTTGGGAAAGCAAACATAGGAACATAGTCTGGAAACTTTCCTCTCCTCTGCAACTCTTCTGTGGCATGCTTCGGTGGATATCTGTCCAGTAATACTGGTTCGAAGCGTCGTTTTAGGGGATGCATTTCTGGGTCTGCGTTCAAGGGTTCAGGTTGCGGAATTACTGAGTTGTAATTGCTCAGTCGTTTCGAAGTTCGGACGGAAGCTGTTTTTTTAGATGTTAGCAAAATATCTTGACCGCAGACGCAACCGCTGTGAAAATGGCCTGATCCAAGAATATGACATTGCTGGCATAAATTCAACGTAGAAACTCCCATGGGACTCACTAGTTCTCTGGATCATTGAAGGTTGTCTCTTCATGCTATTCATGTCCTTGAAACTGATCCGACGTCGTATGCTGCCTCCCACGCTCCTCAAGGGACTTCTCTTTGCTTGTCCAGCTCCATTACTAACCCCTTCCTCATTCTTCAGCCGGTCTGTTCTCGGATTCGTCATTGGGGGAGGTTTCTGTACAGGAGCCCCAGCACTAAAGCTCAGATCGTCCAGAAAATACTCCCTCTCATTCGCAAACTTCATGAGCGCCTGGTCGAAGTCGAAATCGCCCAGCGTGCCTCCCCCGTTACCAGTTGTAGTCGGTGCCTTGATCGTAATGCTGCTCCTGTTGCTCTGGGTCTTCTCGAGCTCGTCAAGCCCCTGGATCGAAGTCCGTACATCGTTGGACAGCTTGCTGAGCCTGTTCCACGAATTGTCCCTTGAATGCCGCGCCGTTGCTCGGGGCGTCCCACTCGGCGGTGATACGGGTGTTTCTCCTTCACTGCCTTCCTCTATCGTCGTGTCGACCTGCGGTGAAGAAGGACCTGCGCCATTGCTCTTCTCCCAGGGGTTTTGGGGCGAGAAGACCTGGTCGCTGTACGAGAGGGAGTCAATGCCTGCGATCCAGAAGTAATCGGCTAGGGGAGCTGAAGTGGAGGCCATGGCACTCGAGCCGTGCGGTGTTGAAGTGGTCGGCCTGCCAGTGCGTCGAGGGTTTAAGGGGACATTGAAGACCTACGCCGCTTCACCAGAGATCTCCAGAGTACTCTGTTCTCGTCTGACGCTCCGCAGTGAGTTCACACAAAATTCACCAGGCAAAAAGCTCTCCGAGTAGGGCTGTTCCAATTGGAGGGTCTGGCTAGAAGGATGTCGTCGTCGCTGTGTGGGGCAAGTCGGGGGGGGTATGGGACCGAAGGGCTGTCTTTTCGAGGGTCTTCTCCACTCTCTAGAGAGGAATGATCGACGGTTCAAGAGCTGGCTCCAATTCGTCTTGCACTGCTTTTGCAGGATTGCTGCAGCAGTGCCAAAAGGTGGAACTGGAATGTGTGGAAGGGCTGAGAGTGGTGGTGCTGGAGCTGGAGAAAGGCGCCGTTAGGAATGGGCTGTCTTCGGCGTGCTGTGCTGTACTGTGCTGTGGATTTTATTATCACCGAATGTCTTATCGGGCTCCGTCGACGAGGCCGATCACAACTGCGGGTGCAGATATGCGAGTGAAGATCTTGTCCTGGGATGAAGCAAAAGCAATTATCATGAGGGGGAACGCGTCAAAAAAAGGAATTGCGCGCTGGCGGTGTCGCGCTCGCGGAACCGGGCTGGTGAGGGAGGACAGAAGACGGCTGCTTGATTTAGAACACGCCGGCGGTCTAATGTTGGCAAAATAGGGTTGATGGCACGTTGAAAAGGGGCAACTTGGGCACTTGGGCACTTGGGCATCTGGGCCCTCTTACGTTAGGATAAAAGGGAAGCTCTATGCGCCGCAATAATTCTTACGAGTTTAGTGGTGTAGTGTGGTGAGATGCCATACAGATACAGCACAGCCATACACGCACCACGCACCACGCACGACACATGAGGCCTCCAATAAACACCGTCCAACCCATCATTTTTAGCCCTACCGGCCCAGGCACACCAGCGGCCGAGCTGTCCACTCAGGGGCCGCGACGTCACGATGAACAGTCAACTTCCGTTTGCCAGCACTGGTCCAATATCACCGTCGATCTCATCATGTCTGAAGAGAACAGGAACCATGTTTTCACAGCGATTTCGGCTCATGCACATTGCACACCGCAAAGGCATCCCTGAGCGGCCGCCTGCAGTGGAAGGCTCTACCCTACGGCCGGTGAGGGAAAAATGCGCCGAAATTGACGATTCTGGCATGGGGTTGGGGGGCGCGGGGTTGCAATCATCCTTGGTGGGGGATAAAATGCCCAAACTATTGGAGGAAAATTAACGAGAAGGTTGAGGGAGTATGATTGTTTGCTTGGTTGACGGCCATAATATATTAATTAAGGACCGGAATAGAGATATTTGATAGCAGCTGCATGAAATCCAGTGTTTCATGGACACATATCCATGCGCGGGAGAGCCGTGGCGGTGGGGGGGTGCTATTCTCAGCTTACCAGTCTAGCCTTAATGAGCATGGAATACCTCGAATTCCTTGTATAGCCTATGGAAAATCTAGGAGCCCGCTTGTAAAGGACATGTGCCGGTTACTCTTTTGAGTACAGCCCGGGTATTCTTCCCAGGGAATTGTACCGAGGTAGGTTGTCTGCAATTGCGTGGTTGGCTCGTCAGAAGCCCTGAGAGGGGGGTTGAGGACTAGGCGCTAAGCGAGTTTGTAATGTCAACACGATTGGCCTCCTTTTAAGTCTTTAAGGTCAATGGAGAAGGATTGGGAACAGAGACTTATCTCATCATGTAACGGTTTAATCGGCGCTTTTTTCTTCTTCCATCTATCTCAATATGATTGAGGGGAAGTCCGTTGCTGGAATCGACTTGACAACTGTGGAGGGAAAGAGCATTGTCGAGTACCTGCTTTGCAATTTCATTGTTTGAAACCAGGCCTTGCTCTTCTCAATAATTACCAGTCATCATATGAAAGCCAACCCTTTACTATTGCAGTCTCGCTCGGTTTTCTTGCACTCGGACAACAGGACAAGTGTCACACGCTGCTAGGGCGAGAACAGAAAGTATGGTGGCCACAATGATTTCGTGACTGAAACTAGAGAGAGAAGAAACAAAGTGAGGCGTGCAACTCCTCTTATGTACAGATGGCTCACCGGCCCTATGCATCACCCCCTGCCTGCAGCTAAGTATCCTGAGGTTCTTACACAAAGTGGTTATTCAAGGACAAAAGGAAAGTCGGGACTAGTTGGTAGCTATGTCAAGTCATGTCCATGATAGTATCCGGGTCGATATTACTCAAGTGCCCATAATCCTACCACTTCTTCTTTTCTGATGCATACTGACCACATCCAGCACTTACAAGCTCTCGGTATCGACGCCATCCCAAGAAACCCCCTCCGGCAAAAATCGTCGTGGCCGCGACGCTGAACTCAAGTCTCTAATCTCCAAGTTCTTCGCGAGGAAAAGGAAAGCAATGAAAGCCAGACGGTGGATGATGGTCTTTCTGAACGAGATTAGAAAGATTGGCGCGAATATTGGGAGGGATTGAATGCGGGTGGATAGGAAGCGGCTTTGGCCAAAGAGAAGATGAGTGAGGGAGAGAAGGTTAAGGAGAGTCCTAGCAGTACGGAGCAGAGAGAGGCGAATGTGAGTGTCTTCGATGAGAAATTGGGAACTTGGGAGTCGGATGCGGGGGCCGAAGAATGAGCTGGATGGCTGGCTAGGCTTTATCTTGCAGGAGGAAGTCAACCAAGCGGCGATGAATTGGACAGACTTTGCCTGCAGCACTGTGGTCAATGTGATCATTCCGCAAAATTGTAGTCATTCATCTTCCCATGATTTGAGGGCATTCAAGCTGAAAGCTTTGCCTCTTTCTCGCAACCATGCCCTAGAAAAGCAGTTTCATCTCAGGATGCATAAAATAATTCTTGATGTCGCAGTGCCTTAGTCTTGCTCGTTGCCTCAGCCTTCCCAAAGCTCTGGAACAATAGGGTGATCTACTAGCTAAGAACGTTTCGTAGCTCTCATACGTTCAATAGGATTCCAATGCAACACAATTGGCGTTCGACTTATAAACTGAATGTTGGTGCGTGGAAATCTGAAGTTCCCTCCGGCGGTGTTCTTAAGCTTCTCGGACAAAGCGAATTGTGTTAGGAATCCACGTGCATTGGGTCCTGGGGCATATGGCATCGAGGCTTGTGCTCAAGCGTGATGAATTGAGAGAGGAAGAACAGAGAAGACGTGAGCTGGAGCGATATTCTGAAGGGAGCAAGCAACGAAACCGGATCGATTTGATCACATCAACGAGCAAGGCAAAGGTGACTTTTGAGAATACCAAGGACGTCAATGAAGCGCTCACTGAAGGAGAGGGAGGAAACTTGTTGGTAAGTCCCAACTTCTCGGAATATCAATTCCCCTTAGAGCTATGTCTAATTGGTTCGGGACATTCCACTAGCAATGTCCAGCAGCCCCGGGAACATCCTACTCCAGGAAATACTTGAATGAAGCCTGTTGACTTCGATTTTCTAGGGAAGTAGTTTATTGCCACTGCGAAGATATTCGAGACATTGAGGGAAGTAGTTGTCTGGACGACTGAAAATGGATGCCACTCACTTCAACCTCGCCCCTAGCGCCCCAGTGCTCAAGAAACCCCTATTTCCCATTGTTCCTCTCCATGAGAGACTCAAGATCCCAAATATCAGCTTTCCCTCCGCGGTTGGTTCTGGTCTATTGCCATCCCCATCAATCGTTTCCTCAACAAGGAAGCAAACCTGTTGTACATCCCCCGGCATCAATACCGGCTTCTCCATGCTCTCTCCCTCGCTGAGAATCTCCCAATTGATCCCTTGACTTCGGAATCCTTCTTTTGTCTCCAGAATTACCATATCAAGTGTAATGGTTTCCTCTCCGCAATTCTCTAGTTGAGCTTCCAATGCCCATGTCCTCCCTTTCTCCCCAGATGAGGGCAGTTGCCCAGTCTTGGTCCGCACAACCATACACCCTTTACAAACAAACTGATACAGCTTCCTGAACGTCCGTATCCGTCCACTCGTAGGCGTCGTCTCGGAGTAAGTCACCGTCACAGCAAGAACATGGCTCCCTTCTTCCTTCAAATCAAAATTAACCACTTTCTGTAGACTCTTTCCAGGCTCAAGATCCACTCCTTCTTTCTCCCGAGCCTTGGGTCCCTCTTCATCTTCCTCGGAAGCGGTTTCCGGTCCAAGCCGTAAAGGAAGAGGTATCCCCGAGCTCGGGATCTTCATCTCGGCCTCGATCCGCACATTACTTATTACCTTGGATGGACTTGAGCCAGGCATAACTTCATTGTTTGCGCATAGTGTGCAGGAGAATGTCTCACCCACATATGCTGAGCCGAAGGCGGGTGGGAGGGTAAGCAGCGGGGAGAGGATGAAGGTATCGTTTTTCGTGGAGGGGTAGGCTAGAGAGGCCGCGGGTGCGGGGAAGCTGGATGGTGAGTTTGTGGAAGAGGGAGATGGTGTAGGGAGAGGTATGGGGTGCTGGACTGAGAGACTGGGGCGGGAGAGTCTGGTTGGTGTTAGAAATGTTCTGGAACGATGAGGGTTGAGCTACCTCAGCACTTTGAGGGAGACTGAGTGTGGCTCCTTGACAGAATCAACAGTGGACGAGGTGCGCTGATGCGCCATTGAAGTGTGTTTCTCAAACCATATGATGCTATACGCCTTTGATGAAGGTGCTTGGACTTCTTGTGGTTGGTTGCACAGGTGTGATTCTGCCCCTCCACACCGCCTTGTTCGGCATAAATTATTTACACAACGGAACCACCTCCGTGCAATCAATATGTCAAAGGAGGAAGAGGCTACCAATGGTTCTGAGAAGGTGGAAGGTATTCGTTTGAAGAGGTCTGAAAAATTGCTACTTGTGATGAACACACCAAAAGGTGCAGTCTAAGTGACCCTCCCTGCTCATTGACCAGTCCACTGGAATGAAGTACACAAACACATTGTACATTTCACTGACATGGACCTTGTAGGGAGAGGAGTTTTTGCAGGCAGGGATATACCGGGTAGGGCAGTTCTCGAGGTCTCTCCCGTCCTAGTATTGGATCCGATGGAAAACGAGGAACACATCAAGAAGACTGATCTTTACAATTATACATAGTTTGTGTCACATGATTACCATGGATCAAGCTCACACTTCACAGCAACTGGCCCTACACACCTCCTGCAAGGACTGCTCAAAGCAACGGCTCCAAAACTCCTCCAGCGCAAACACAAGCTCTCATTCTCGGCCTGGGCAGCATGTTCAACCATTCCAACCTCCAGCAAAACGTCGGCTGGGAACGGGATGTCAAGAACCTCCTCATCACCTACACAGCACTGCGAGATATCAAGAAAGGGGAAGAACTGTGCATCTCATATGGGCCACGACTGACATTCAAAGATGTAGAGGAAGAAAATTTGGAGACGTCACTTGAGGATTGGACAGAAGTGCTCAGCATAATTGATTTGATTGATTGAATTCATTTGCCTCATCCATTACTGAGTGATGCCGCCTGAATACTTTACAAGAGAGAGGTATCCTGCGATTTCCGCCCACCCAACCCCAATACCAAGCAAATGCCGGAACGAATCGTGAATGGAAGTGAAGAAACGGGATACATCAATCATCACATACCGGGAGGGGGTGGAACCTATTCTTGTCAAATTCAGTGGTAGGGCAGGTCTCGGGTCTGACTCACAGCATTGTAACCAGTCCCCGGAGCTGAACCTGACGGTGGTGGTGGAGGAGGCGCTTCGCTGGGAGGGGGAGGGGGAGCAGACCCTGGAGCAGAGCTGCCTGGAGGAGGTGGTTGAGCCGCTGCTGCGGCTGCGGCCATGTACTGTTGGTAATATTGGACGTATGCTGTATAGCCACCGTAAGCTGCATACGGGTCTTGGCCTGCACCATAATATTGAGCATATTGAGCAGCATAGTCGGCTCCAGCTGTTGGGCTGCCTGCTCCGGGTGCTGATGAGGTAGTTGGGCTCATGATTCCGCCTGGAGTTGCAGGCGCAGGAGAGTTGCTGTAACCACCATAACCGCCAGATCCATAAGAGTTTGACCGAACCGCCATATCACGATCACCATATCCACGTTCGCCACCATAGCCAGTGCTTTGGGCTCCATAACCTCGCTGTGGAGGTGGTCGGTTCTTGAACTCCTCATACTGATCTCTAACATTCTTCAGCAAGTCCTCGCAGAGCTCCTTTGCCTTTTGAACCTCAGCTGGATCTGGGCCTCTGAAATGAAGTCAGCTAAAATCTAGTGTAAACACTCTGATACTTACGCAACGTGGAGATACATATCCTCGTCGCTCTCACGACCAGAGCCATGTTCCATGAATCCGGAACCACGGCCCTTGATCTGGACACGGCATCTGGTCTCTTGTTGGATGTGCTTAACATAAGCGCCACCATGGCCAACAACTTGAGCACGAAGATTGAAGCCTGGAAGTGGTTCAAAATCGATTGGGATCTTTTCTTCCGGCCATTTACGCTGTTATTAAATTAGCGAGAAAAGCTTTATGAGCTTATCAAATACATACTCTGCCAAACTCATCCCTCTCGACTGCTTCAGGCTCTCGTCGACGGAAGCGTCTCTCATCAACCAAGTTCGGAAGCTCCTGTTTCATTAGTTCTTCAATCTTCTGGACTGCCTGCTCGAGGCCTCTCTTGGTTGTGCTCGTGACGTGGAGGTAAAGTGGAGGATTCTGTACATTTATCAGCAAGCTCCCCTTTCAGAAACCGTTGACTTACAGCAGCCGTAGCCATGCTCTTATCCGGGTAGTAGTTTCCACGCGTAGTGACATCTTCAAAAGTCAACATGAAAGCTCTATAATCAAAACGTAAGTTGTAGGTAATTGCGTACCAGCTCCGGTTTCTTCTTTAATCTAGATGTCACGCAGCGGGAGTCAGCAGATGCCAATGAGGAATGTGTAGTGAGTGCTATTGCGCTTCCGAGTAAGCTTGAAAATCTCCACACAAAATAATTATCTCATGTAGGGTTTGAAGGAAAGAGAGGATTCAGAGTATATATCCGAGGAAAGCCTGATATATCAGTGGAATATTGACACAAGGAGTATTTACCATCTTTTGTGTAGAACCTTTGGTCAGTGTGTAGCGATTGCGCAGGTCGTTGACTTCGATATCTCGAATATAGTCTCCGTCTGCAATGTACATCTCACCATTGACCAAGCTGGCGCTATTGCCTGCTCCTGAACTAGCTGGGGATGCCGACTGTCCGGCGGGTGGGCTCAATGTAGATCGGATAGGAGGGACGTCAACATGTTGAATACCCTTCTTTGCTTGAATTTGGGCATTGATCCGGGCAGCCGCAGCAGCTATGAAGTGTCAGCCTGATCGCACAAACAAGTATTTCCAAGCTTACCTGCAGCAGCAGCGGGATCGGCAGAATTTGGATTCGCAGAACCTGGGCCTGGGCTGCTGGAAGTTCGTCCAAGAGGGCTCCTGCTTCGTCGTGGTTCCTTGACTGCCGGGGGAGATCGAGAGCGTCGATCGAATCTAGATGTGCGCTTTGGCTCAGGCTCTTTCTGATCGAAGCGGGAGCGCTTGACTGCACGTCGCTCAGTGTCGTCCATCTTGGATATCAAAACGAAAATTTGGAAAAAGATCTCAGGAAGCTGGATGCGATAGATCGTCGCAAGACGGGTGGTGACAAGGTTACTCGAGTCCGCCTTTGAGGCTGAAGGAAAATTCGGCCGGCTCAAAGTTAATCCGACCCGTTCACCCCAGATTTTGAGCAACCGAGAAATTTCCAGGAATGTTTGGCGACATCGGCCTCATTTTGAGTTTGAGTCACATCCCAATTGCTGCGGAGGGGGTGAGGCATCCTCACAACCATTCGCAAGGAGTCTTAATTGACTTCTACCTGTCATCATGTCTTCACGAAAAGCCATTCTGGCTCTCCCAACAAGAGCAATTTGTGCTCGCACGCCAACCTTCACCGCACCTCGTCAACACCTTCGAGCAGAATCAACAGCTTCTTCCACTTCAGCCCTCGCATACAAAGCTCTCCACAGGCGCATATACCCTCTTCCAACCTCAGATTCCCCGCCATCATGGTCAGCCCAAGCAGCTGTTTCCAACATCCTCTACGAGACGCCCTCACCTTCAATCGCACCACCTAAACGCCACATCCTGAATTGCCTCGTGCAGAACGAACCTGGCGTGCTCTCCCGGGTCTCCGGTATCCTAGCAGCTCGTGGCTTCAATATCGACTCCCTCGTTGTCTGCCACACCGAAGTCGAAGACCTATCTCGAATGACGATCGTGCTCTCCGGCCAAGATGGAGTTGTCGAGCAAGCACGTCGCCAACTTGAAGATCTGGTACCCGTTTGGGCAGTGTTGGACTATACAACCGCTCCTTTGGTTCAACGAGAACTTCTGCTAGCCAAAATCAACATCCTAGGTCCAGAATACTTTGAGGAATTACAAGCTCATCACAGGGAGATCACGGCTAATGATGTGGAGGAAGGACAAGGTGGAGAGGAGTGGGCTGATCAGCGTCTGGAGCAGCTGAGAGAATCGAATGACTTCCACCCCAGCAAGTTGGCGCTCAGTCAGGCTATGAGGCATAAGCATGAGCACCTGAAGAGCATTACGTACTTCACCCATCAATTTGGTGGGAAAGTGCTGGATATTAGCACGAACAGCTGTATTGTTGAGGTGTAAGTATTGCTTGGCAACCTGTCTCTTGGATCTGACTTTTGACTAACGTATTCCAGCTCCGCAAAACCAACCCGAATCGACTCCTTTATGAAGCTCATCGCACCTTTCGGAATTCTCGAGTCAGCACGAACCGGTCTGATGGCACTTCCCCGTTCACCGCTCTACGGTCCGAACGAGCAAGAGACACTGAAGGAAGCAGACGATATTGTGGACGCAAGTACATTGCCCCCTGGATAGATAGGTTCTCACTCACGTGGAGAAATTGGTCAGCATGGAGTTGGCGTCATTCTATCAATGAGGAATTCATAACGTGGAAGAGATCAGATCTTCTATGTACTTCTATTCAAGTTCCATTCCGTTTCTCATGTAACGCCATCCCCGTCTATTACGCCTGCATCAAGCCCCATATATACGTGTGCCAGTCCATCCATATCATCCATAATCATCCTTACTATCAAAGTGTGACGCTCGCGCCAATGCCAGAACCGACATACCACACCTCCTCGCGCCACTGGCCAAGTCTCACCACAACTGTGCCTGATGCATCAAGTTTCAATTCACCACCTAGTGCCTTCTTAAGTTTCTCATAACCAATAGAGTCCATTGACCAGTCCACTGGCAATTTCGGGCTCTGGCTGGTTCCTGGTGGTACCTTGAAGGGAAGATCGTAGTCGATATAGCCTACAGGCTCAGTATGATTGTAAAAAGCCGTAGCATTTACATTCTCGATATAAAACGTGCTGTATTGGAGAGGCGAAAGCAGTGTGAAGACCGCAGTCGAGGAGAATAAGTGGAAAACTGCGCTGTTAATGAAGTGAGGTTTGGAGTCCCTATCGTCGTCGTCGTCCCTGTCATCACCAGTGCTAGGGTCGGACAGCTTTGGTGCAGGTATCTCGATCAAGAATTTACTAAGTGCTTTGCCCAATGCGGGCTGATTGGGAATGGATCCCTCGTGAGTTTGGAATGTCAGGGTCGTGTTGAAGCCAGAGATATATTGGGACAACAATTCGCGTCCAATCTTTGCTCCTTCCTCTCCACCAAAGGTTGTCGGATCCCACGTCGCCTGGACGAGGATATTTGTGTTGTTGCCCTGTTTTACGTCGACGTTCTGGACTGTTGCGTCGCCAATGATAGAGCCATTGTTGAGGATGTGGATATTGACAAATGGGATGTGCGCCGTGTATTCGGTCGGATTGGTGAAGTTGACGTGTGCTTGGAGGTTGATAGAAGTCTTGCTAGTGCTCAAGACTTTCAGCTCGCCAATTCTTGGCTTCAGATTGCTAAAGCCACCGCCTGGAGAGATCGCTGCAATCTCGTCAGCTTCGGTGCGGCCGATCTAAATACGCAAAGCGGTTGTCTAACGTTTGACAGGAACGACTCCCTCCGCAGGCATCTCTTTGATTACCAGCTCCCCAAGGACGGTGGAAAGTGTAACGTCAACAAGAGCCTCCATCCTAAGCATAACGGTCTTGCCACCAAACATGAGTGCTGAAAGTACGTCCGTAAACACATCATCGTCCGTGATGTTCAAAGGCACGTCCTCTATCCGGGATGTGATTCTAAGCTGGGCTTCATTGTCTGACTCAATTCGTTCGGATTCAGCGGATTGCCATTTTTTCAAATTTAGCTCGCCAAGCTTCTCTCCCTTGTAGAATACGTCGGCAGTGGCATTAACAGCGGTCACATTGATGCCAAAATTCATCTCTTTGGGTAATCCGGCAATGACAACGATGTTGGCAGAAATCTGAGGGTTTGATTCGTCGCTTCCTGGCTCGGCCCATGGATCCGGGAGGGTGAAGTGTGTATCAGTCAAGGAGAAGTTTCTGATCAGACCTTCGAATGTATGGCCCGGAAATGGAACTGGTACAGTGATACTTGAGATGATCTTCATGATCCAATCAGGAGTGTCACTATCTGGTGGATTCGAACCCTGTACAAATATTGTGGTATCGTTGCCACGGATGTAGTCTCCGAGCAAAAGATCAAGGGGCGACGACTTAGAATGTGGACATGTCTGCAGAAGATCTTGAGGCAGTTCTCTGACAATGCCTCCAACATCAACAACCGCATCCGAGTAAGGCTCGACATCGACAGGTGCCGTTGTAGCATCGGCAAGCCGAATATATGGATCATTATCGTTACAGTTCGGAACAAGGATATTGAATCCAAGAGGTGGTATCGTGAGCTTGATCGGGTAGCTGTTTACCACAGATAATGATACATCTGCAGCCATACCACGACGTCCCGAAGTATCGATGGGAACTTCCCGGAAATTAAGGCGGGTAATATTGTACTCGGGGATGGCCGGAAGATCGTTGCCTGAATACGTAATTAGATAGTAGCTCAGTAATAAACTCTTTTAATGAGTGGGAGATTGTGAGAAACTTGATTTTTCTGAAGACCCAAAAAGTCGGACTAATATCAGTCTGAGAAGGAAGAATCAACTTTGATTGTAACCATCAATTTCTAAGCCAGTGATTTTTCTCCGAGGTACAACGCTGCAAAGGAACGGTAGAGGGATTGACCTTCAAAAACCAGTGATTTAGAGATGCTTTGAGTTCCAAGAGGAATCAAGCCCGATTTCAATCCAACGTCGGCTTTGCCCACCACTCTGATTTGATCCAAGCGACCCTCCAGCCAGTCGTTGGCAACTTGACGAATTCCCTCCATGTCGCCAGGCTCCAAGTCCGTGAGGAAATCGACGGCAGTCGTATGCCCATTTCGAATGTCAACAATAACGCGTGGTACAGCAGCGGTACCAACTAGAATGTTGCCATATTCCGGTAGAGAAACCTCCACTTTCGACTCCTGGCTCTCGACCGCACGAGCAATCCATGTACCAAAACGCCCAATATTTCTCACATGCTTGTTCTTGACTCTCGACGCGTCCATTCTGAATGATGCTTGCACCCTCGCCTTGACGCCGTTTGAGGTGAAGGAATCTATCGACAAATTTGTAGGCTCGATAACTAGAGCCTCTTTGGTGTATTCTTCGACAACTGCTGGAGCAAAGAACGCGCCAGCAATTATTCCTAAGACTAACAACCCCAGAACTCCGATTGCGACAGCAGTTGGCCAACGTCGGCCACCCTTGGTGGACATCGTGGATCCGTGGCCATTCTGTAACGATCGCAACGATGTCGCTGCTGGCGAGGGTATTATTTCTTCATCCTCGTCTTGATCTTCCACACCGTCATACCGAGGAGCATGGTCAGATCGTGATAATAAAGGCGTGTCCTCGTGAGACTCGTCGGAGTAATGTGAGTGATTTGATCGAGGTCTGTCCGCGCTGCCAAGCAACGGCGATGAAGGATTATCTGACATGGTGCGAGAGCAAGGTCGTTTTCCTGCAGAGACGAGTCTGTCAACAACCGGCGCCAGGGCGGAAAATATGTTGTTTATGGATGATGAGCCCGACCCGGAAACAGGTGAGGATGAGGAGTTGGCAGAGGCGGGAAGGCTGTGGTGTTGATTGCGTCTCCAAGCGGGGGCTAGCGCCCAACGGGGACGATCAGCGGATGACGGATGTGCTTTCAAGAGTATCTGTAGTTGAGTACTCGAGTTAGCAAAATGTGAAAAATCTAATAATAATTAGCGACTCTGGGAATCATGAAATTTATGTAAATCGCAATGATTTCCTAAAAGACGAGCTCTGAGTGGGTAAGTCGCTGTTCCTGGATTTGGTGCCTGACGCCAAGCAGGCAAGAGCAAGGCAAGGATTTTCTGCATGCAGAGAGCATCTTCACCTGACTCACTGAAAATCTCTGGCAGAAAACTTCAAGTAGCTACTTTTCACCACAAAAGGTAATCCACTTCGGAGACTACTTAGTCTGAGTGAAACACTTTCGTTCCTCCATCTGATTGTCTATGCTTTCAATTGAAGAACAATTAACACAATTGACCGATTCGAGATGCCTTCAACAGCCCACCTCCGCCCCGCTAGGACAGCTCTCCAACAGCTCTCCAGAGCCTCAAAACGAAACTACTCTTCACCCGCAACACCAGTCATCTCTCCCTTTGCACCCCGCCATTTACTCTCCATCGCAGACCTCACATCCACCGAACTCACAACTCTAGTGCGCAATGCCTCCTCCCACAAGACCGAAATCAAATCTGGCTCCGTCCCCAAGAATCTTCTTGGTGCCCTTTCAGGCAAAACGGTCGCAATGATGTTCAACAAACGGAGCACACGAACCCGTGTCTCAACGGAGGCAGCAGTAGCAACAATGGGTGGCCACGCCATGTTCTTGGGGAAGGACGACATCCAGCTCGGCGTCAATGAGTCCCTTTATGACACTTCGCTCATCATCTCCTCCATGACCTCTTGCATGGTAGCACGCGTGGGCGACCACTCTGAAGTTGCAGACCTGGCCAAGCATTCCTCTGTACCCGTCATTAACGCTCTGTCTAACGATTATCACCCCCTCCAAACCATTGCGGACTTCTTGACTATCCATGAAGCGTTTCCTTCCTCCTCCCGCAGTTTGGGAAATACACCAGGTTTGGGATTGGAAGGGCTGAAGATTGCTTGGGTAGGAGACTCGAACAATGTGCTGTTCGACCTTGCAATCGGTGCCTTGAAGCTCGGTGTCAATATCTCAGTTGCCTCCCCCAAAGGCTTCACCATCCCTCCCGCTATGTTAGATATCATCAACTCCTCCACCTCAGGTGTATCTTCCCCGGGCAAACTCACACAAACACACGTACCGGAGGAAGCAATCAAGGATGCGGATATTCTGGTTACGGACACATGGGTGAGCATGGGGCAGGAAGCCGAGAAAGTAGAGCGGATGAGGGCGTTCGAAGGATACCAGATTACGAATAAGTTGGCGAAGAGGGGAGGTGCGAAGGAGGGATGGAAGTTCATGCATTGCTTGCCAAGGCACCCTGAGGAGGTTGCCGATGAGGTGTTCTATGGCCCAAGAAGCTTGGTGTTCCAGGAGGGAGAGAACAGGCTTTGGGCTGCTATTTGTAAGTTCTGTTTTCACCCGAGATAAGAGAAGATGCTAATGTGTTCAGCTGCATTGGAAGGATTCGTCGTCAATAAGGGAAAGATCGTATGAATGAGATGCGTGGGGTCCAAGATGATTTATGAGTGCTTATGCGTTTATACCAAGACAAAAGTTCGGCGTTTTAGGGGCACCGAAGCAAAGTATCAAGTTGGCACTATTGCCGAAAGGACGTTCCGGACCCTCGTTCCTGTCTAGTATGTGAGCCACTCATCAACGACTGTGTGTGAGATCCTTAAAGTAAATGGATATATTCTCCTTTGCAACGCCGTTACCGTCTATTCTAAGCACGAAAGCCGCCCTCAAGAGACCAGACCCCGATGCAGTCCTGGCCCATTAAGTCCCCAGTTCCAGATCACAGAACCTCAATAACCATCATAATCATTATACCGGCCATACCCTCCACCAAACTCTCGTCGAACCCAATACTGATGGTATGAACTCATGTCTCTGTGGCCACTGATACCAAGTTCATCAGCAACGTTGACATAACCCTCGTGATTAACGGTCCCAGATTTGTTGATCTTCTTGATCGTCTCTTCATCGCCCTTCCAAGGAGTACGGCAGTAGACACACTTCACCTGTCCCGGCTTGCTTCGAGCCCATTGTTCGAAGCAAGCGCGATGAATGTTTTGACCGCACGCTCCTTTGCACCAGAGAATATCGTCCAGCTTGTCAGATTCGACAAACTCCATGACACATACGGGGCAATCACCTTCAATTGGCTTGCGGGAGCCGCCCGTGTCAGTGACTTGAGCTTTTACTTCATCTGAGGAGAGCGTGGTGACTGGTGCATTTGCAAAGATCTCAGCGAGCTCAGTGCTGAGGAACGCGAGCTGGTATGCTAAATCTTCACGGACTTTTAGGACATTGACGAGAGCCTATATCACATCAATTACTGAATCTTTGAGTAGTGAGATGAGACATACGTAGATGATGTGCTTGCACTGATTTCCTTTTCCAGCATCAGGGCAAGTACATTTTGGTACTTTGCTGACGGTAACTTGGTAAATATTACCAGTGCTGCCGGCGAGATCAAAGACTTCTTCTTCGTGGGTGCCGTCTTCGCTGGTAGTTCTGTTGCGTTCAATCAAGAACATGCGTTGGGTTTTGACGCGTTCAAGTCTCTCGAGATAGGTCTGAGGTGGCTTTTGACGGAAACGCTTGACCCGCTTTTCTTCTGACTCTTCTCCCTTTTTCTTGCGAGCTCGCTTTGGCTTGGATGTATCGATGCCTGAGATTGTCAGTAAAGGAGGTTCAGCTTTGAGTTCGACATGAGGTTGAATTTATTGTTCCAACTAGCACTGATCTGTTGATCAACTCGACCTCAGGAGGGGAAGGATTTCTTACCAGCAAGAGCAACTTGTGCAAGGGCAGCAGCTTCCTCGTCTTCCTCATCGTCGTAAGTTAGATCAACCACTTTACGCTTCTTGGAAGACTGAGAACCGCTCGGATAGACATGCAAGGCTTCAGATTCTTGAGATGAAGAGAAATGAGGCGCTTTGCGGCCCGTGGATCTGGAAGTCTTGCCGTCGGTAGTCTTCGATGACGCGGTGTATGATCGTGACGCCATGTTTGTAGAAGGCTCGAGTGGTGTCGAGTTGTGACGAGGAAATGAGATGAAAATACTCAGTCGATTCACAAGGGTCAGATTGAAGGAGAGTTGTAAGTCAATGGCTCAGCCTCCCCTCATGGTGGTAAGGTGAAGAATAAAGTGGAGATGGAAGCAACGTGTGATCGCGAGATTAACACGTGTCACGTGCGCAACCAAGTCCCCAATTTGGCCTAGTGAAGATCCTCTCAAGGTAACCTCGACCGGTGTCTCTTTCTCGGTGAGGGCGTCTTTCTCTTTCTGAACATGTCAGTGTTTGTTTAACCCCCTGTCTAACTAATTTGTTGTCAAATAAAACAAAATTGCTCGTTGAAAGCCTGTCCTACTTCACAACCCGCAGATGCCATCTACCGAGAACCTGAAGCCCCTCTCCCTATAGATTGGGAAGTCCCGACGCGCGGGTGCAAACTCGCCATCAACGGCACCAGCAGTGAACTTGGCTACCTCAATATCGCAAATGCTCGCATTCGCAATTTCCTGCAACCCGCCATTTTCCCTGAAGAAATCGAGATCTGGCTGCCAGGTTCGAGATCAGAAATCGGCTGGCTGCAGTTCAAAGGGGATCCGCAGAAGGAACCGTCCAAGAAGCATCCTTTCGAGCACAATACAAATGATTGGGACAGTCCCACTAACCTTTACAATATCGATCTTGTTATCGGGAAGGATAATGAAATCGTAAGGAATGTGATGAGTGAGTATTTCGTCCGAGTGCCACGCCTTGTGTGAGGACTTGGGGATGGAAAGCTAGACGATTACAGCCCCAACCAACAGTAGAGTCTTCTGGGGCTCAATGGGTCCGTTCGGCAAGTTTGATGGTGTTCATGAGATCTCTGCTTGGCGCTTCGCGAGTAATGAAGCTTGCAAGTATTACTTCCTTGGGGCTTTGGCGTTTATCTGGGATGTTCCAACGGACTTGGACCCCCTGTCGACGTACCGGTTGAAGTTCACAATCAATAGCAATGCGGAAGAGGAACACATCAGTGGACCTTTTCGAATACAGGCTTCTAGGCGTCGTTCTGCGAGGACTATTCAACCCGGGTGGGAGATATTTGCATTTGCACTGTTTGGCGTTTTTATTGTGGGATTGTTAGCAGGTAGAATAGTTTGGGCGGAGTTGTAGAGCAATGGCCTAATCAGACTCGAAGAAGCAGATGGGAGCTTTGAAAGATGAGTGTCGACCGAACCTTGGGAAGCTGGGATCGACTGGAGGGAGGTGTTGTAATGGATTTTGGGAAGATTTTTCGTATATGGCGCCTTTGAACGTCTTGCTTCCATCTCCATCATAAAGAGTGGCGAGCTTGGATGATGGAAGGAAGAGTGAAGAGAAAGAAGAATAGAACTCACCTCACAGTGTAGTCATGCTGGGTCACGTGCAAATCAGATCAAACATGCCAGTCTCAATCCGGTCTAGTGGAACCCTCGTACAAAATCTCGAAAATCTAACGACAAAAACCTTCTTCTTTTTCAGTCTTTCGGCGTTCGATTATACCCCTGTTTTGGCTGGCATTGCTATCAATCGATACAATGATCGCAGATTCAAAGTCTGCGTTACTGATAGCCTCTTCACATTGAGAATAGCCAAGACCGAATAATGCCTTTTATAATCCTGCTGGTTGCAGAGTCAATCTCTATGAGTGCAGTGGGTTCGCTTAGTGCATACAAATCATTTGGTCGTCGCCAATTCTAGGAAGTAGGTAGGATTGCTTTAGCGATGTGGAGAAAGATGACTAGTTCATGCTCCATATTCTGTCCTTTTGCATGTTTTTCATCGATTGGGGCATTGAGATCCTCGACTTCATCAATTCAAAGCACAGCCAGTCATCACTTCGTCAAATATGGAGATTTGTAGTTGATATTTGTTACACATGTGGACACGCTCATAATTTCAGGAAGAATTTTCATGTTTGAAGCCCCAATCTCACATGTCATAGTCGATCAAGCCTCCACATATCCATGGGAATTTGGTCAATGCTTGTCACCCTGATCTCTTTCCTCCCGTTCATCTTGTGACGCAGTGCAGCCCTGGCTAGGTAGACAACTCCTCGAGGTCTATTTGGTGATTCAAGAGGCTGGAAGCTCTTTAGCCCATGCCAAGAGTCGAGTTTGCTACGGTCTTCCCAAAATGTCTTCCGAGGGAATCATACTAACTTGCTTGGGAGTAACAAACTTTGGCGACGGTCTGCGAAGGATACTTCTCAGAATCCCACTCCTTTCCGGCGTACTCAACCGGCTGGTCCTCGAGATTCTCGCAAAACTGAACCTGGAAGAGATACTCCGCGTCATTCTTGGCATAAAACTTTACCTAATCCCTAAAAATGTGATTTGGATGCGAGTCGGGCTTGGCGATTTCCTCGTGCAGCTTCTTCTGGGTATCGGGTGATGGAACAAGGCTATATTTGGCAATATAATCGCCGAATCAGTATGCAGTTTGGGTATATTGGCGAATTAACTGAAGCAATAAGCTTCTGTTCTTCCCTACTGTCCACATTCTGCTGTCAAATAATATTCACGGACCTCAAGGTGAGTGCTCCAAACCTCATCGCAAGCTTTTTGGAGATCAGTATCATCCCCAGCTTCAAGTTGGTTGTAAACTTCCTTCTTATCCCACTATGTTTAATGCGAATCTCAAAAATCTCACTGGTTGTCTTCGGATCAGCAAGATCAAGCGCTGGTCAGCTGTTGAACTCGATGCCCAGGTTAGTTATTTCGGTGCTGTAACGTATGGCAATGGTTAATTCTCCGGATCGCCAACGATAAGCTTCCCCTTGACCAGTCCTTGCGTACGGGGATGCGTGCCTTTGGAATACTGTAAGATGTCACTCCTGTTTCGGAGGTCTACCAACATGAATACAGGTGTCTGGTGGTGTTGTAATGGGTCTTCTGTACCACATTAATCATATCTGCAACTGCTTGGATATCCTCCTTCTTGTTGGGAGGTATTCTCTCGATTCCTTCAGCATTCCACCGGATGTAGTTGCTGGTGTTCACCCCATTTGTCCCATTTGATGCCATGATCAGAACGAAATGAATCTGCTCTCTCGAAATGAAGAAGATAAACGAACTTGAACTAAAGGCAGCCTTGCTAGTATATCTTGAGCCGGGCACAGGGTAAAAGTAAGATTACATAAGAAGGATTTATCTGAGAAGTATACTTAAGTCACTTCTTGTTCTGCATCTAAACTATGATCTCAGTAATGGCTGTAGTTGGTAACTTGAGGATGACGGTTGGCAACCTCGGGCTTAGATCAACGAGTCTGTACTAGCTCCCCGCATGTGTTCGACAATTGATCTGAGCGGGACGGGCAACGGGACTCTTTCCAGTATCTAAACTTATTGCTAATGATCAGAGATGAAGGGTGCCTTATAGGAGCCTGACTTTGCAGGTGCCTTCTGGAGTTTGAGGCCCGCCGAATTCCGCTGGTGGATGGTGTTGGATGGTTGTTTTTAGAGGAGGTTGGTGATTCCGTGCAGGGGTCTTGCACATGCTTCGTGACGCTAAACGCTGAAGCGAGGAGCTATTACGAGTTCGGCTTCAACCGTGGGAGACGCTGTACACAATTGTTCTGGGCCAACTGATCGGATTCCTTCTAATAATTACCTGCCAACATGTCAGCCGTGGCCCCTTCAGACCCTTCTCAAGCCCCTTCAGCAGGTACGTTACCCTCCAGATGATGAGCTGTTGAAGCCGAGTGTTCAACCGTGTTAACATTTTCCAACAGCACCCAAGAAGAAGAACAACAAAAAGAAAAAGAGCGGCAAAGCAAAGACCAATGGGGATATCACCAAAGGCCAAGAAAATGAGAAGGATACAGCGCCAGAGAATGGCGAGGGGGACGGGGAGGTTGAAGAGTCGGAACATTCACCAGTGGTACGAGTGACACCTGTTCAATTCCTGCCAGCATAAGGGGAAGCGCATTCTCTGACGGTGCGCGCAGGATACCCCGAGGGAATCCGAATTCCCAGAAAAGTTAAAGCAGCAGACGAACGGTCATAGCTATGATTCCACAGACAACGGCCACGCCGTCGAGCCTTCGTCACGAACACCTGAGGAAGGACCGCCGGGCAAGCCTAATAAGTCGGAAGGAATTGCAACCAGCAAACAAACAGAATCCAGCGATGATACCAGCGTTCGATTTGAAGCCATGTCACAAGAACGGGAAGCTCTGAGAGTTGAAGTAGAACGATTACGAAAAGCGCTGGAGGACATCCGAGGAAAGCACACGGAGGAGGTATCTGCGATCAAGAGCCAACATGCAGACGCATTATCGACTATTCAGACGACATACAGCGAAGAAATTATCACAATCAAAGGCCAACACTCGGAAGAGTTGTCTATAATTAAAACTGAGTTAGAAGAAAGCGAATCTGCTAAGGATCAGGCGGAGACCCAATACCAGAACTTACTCGGCCGCGTCAATACCATAAAATCGAGTCTGGGCGAACGCTTGAAAGCAGATAGAGCGGAGCTTCAGGAAGCCAAGGAGCAGATTGACGAACTTGAGTCACAAAATGAAACCCTCCAACAGCGATTAAAAGGCCTAGAGGGAGATGTCAAGCAATTAGAAGAAGAATCACGAGAATCTTCAAAAGAACTTTCTAGTCTTCGGAATCGACACAATCTTTCACAGCAAAATTGGGTTCATGAACGAGAGGACCTGATCCAACAGACTAGGCAATTGAAGGAGGAAGCGGAAGCTGCGAAAGAGGCAATGGGGGACTGGGAAGTCCTTGCAATGGAAGAGAGGTCAATGCGTGAAGGTGCAATAGAAAAGATGCGGGATTTGGAAGAACAATTTTCTGCCCAGAAGGAAGCCTACGAAGCAGCGGTATCCGAGAGAGATAGTCAAGCACAGGCTCTTGAAGGGTTGCAAAGAGCTCTCCAAGAAGTGCAAGAAGCCCGCAAACGAGAATTACGGGAAATGGTCGAGTCTTACGAAGAACAAGTCGTTGCTCTGAAAAAGCTTGTTCAAGAATCAGATTCTCGAGCCGTGGAAGCAGAAGCAACCAAAGGGTCCTTGCAAACAGAAGTGGACCGACTCATCCCTTTTGAAAAGGAAATCAAGGAGAAGAATCTCCTCATCGGAAAATTAAGGCATGAAGCAATTGTGCTCAATGACCACCTCACGAAAGCCTTGAGATTTCTCAAGAAGGCTAAGCCAGAGGACAACGTTGACAGGTTAGCCATTCCGAAGCTCTTATTGATTGCAAATTACTCACAGTTAGTAGGCAAATCGTCACGAACCATTTCTTGCACTTCCTCGCCCTCGACCGCTCAGATCCCAAGAAATTCCAGATCCTGCAATTAATTGCAGCGCTCCTCAACTGGACAGACGAACAGAAAGAGCAAGCAGGTCTTGCAAGACCAGGTGCGTCAAACAGTAGTTTACGCTTACCCATGTCACCATTCCATCGTACACCCAGTACACCTTCGTTGTCAACCGAGTTCTTTACTGAGTCTCCAGCGAACAAGGAGTCATTGGCCGAATTGTGGACAGGGTTCCTTGAAAGGAGTGCAGAGGAAGGCTCCACAACGGGGAGCCGAAGTGGCAGTGTAAGTAGTGCGGCGCCACGGCCGGAGACGAGAGGTGGTGAAGGGAGTTCTAGAGGGTCATAGAATTGATTCGTGTACTACAACAAACATTGCGTCTGGCGTTTGGGTGAAAAGGCGATTGGCTTTACGCCTCGCAAACATCTACTGGCAATTTTGCATTTTATACCAGAAGGTTGGACCTTCATCATAATTGCATCATTCTATCCTCAAGATCTCATCTGGATCATGAGAAGTTTATCAAATTGTGCTGTGATTCGAAGGACGCCTTAATCTTGCTAGGTAGCAAATTTCGGGAGTTGTACAATCTGTCACTGTTAGTTGTCGTTGTCAAACATGAGCATTTGTATCCTGAACCGGCCACGATTTATCAGTCCTAGCTGGACTCTCAAGCTCTCGAAGACTACATCACACAGAATTTCTCTTGTTGGTCAACCCTTCCCTTTGTCTTTTAATAATCCGCTCAGATCTTGACTCGGCCTCTCGGCAATCTTCAAAGCAACTCGACCCTCCTTCGGAGGGTCATTGTCCACCGTCATCTTACGAAAATTGGAGACAATGGCGTTCAATTTGAAGTTTGGTCCTTCCTCCTCGGGGCTTCATGTTACATGGTCACCCACTGAGAATAGCCGGACAAGCGTTGTAATTATCTCTTTGAAAAATGAGAGCCCGTCGGCTGCGAGAGACAGGTATCAAAACGGTCGCGTTGATGAAGTCATTTCCACCTACTTCTAGTTGTGTGAATTTGAAGTGGGTAGTGACGAGTCACAAAGACTGACAATTGTCATCATTCGCTGTGTCCCTAGAACACATCACAATGAAGTTGACTTTGCAATGAGTCTCTAGTCTCAGCGCAGGGTTGTGTTTAGAAATACCAGGCGGAGGTGCTCTCTTTTGTGTTCCTACCTCAGGAGTCTTGTTCTCAACACTAGCTAGGATTCGAGTTGAATCGTTACCCTTTGTCACGACTTGATTCAGATACTCAATACAAATCCCCACGTACATGTTCCTCACAGAAAGAATCTTACCATTCATTCGGCAAATTCTTCGATTCTACCCATGTGTTGCGGGTTATATGGCGACGGAGACCGTACTGGAGGTGATCTTCATCCTTCAATGAACCTACGAACACTGAGTTCGACGGTCAGGCGGGGATGTGGTGCTTGTTCTCTCAAAAAGAGCGGCTTTGAAGATACCGATGACTCTAGTATCAGTGGTAATAGCAGTGAGCCCACTCGAGGGTCCCCATTCGGTGATCTTCGTCGGCGCTTAAGCAGACTCGGAAGACAAGAATCAAGCGAGGCTCTCAACCCACCCTCTATGGTTTGTCTGCTCCATAGAAAGACGTAAGATAGGCAACCTGACCAGAATGTCTCTACTTCTGAGCTGCACGAGCAACCAACCAAGGTGCGGATTCCCAGTGACGAAGGGGATACCGGCTCTACGACAACTAGGAATGGATCACTGAGAGGCATTACTATCTCTCGCACGATACATGGAAACCCTCGGGCAAGAAATTGCTCCCAAGGGCCATCACACTGTTCGCATTCAACTGGAGCTGTCCGAGTTCCATACATTTTCGAGTTCGCCCCCTTCCCCGAGCACACTTGCATGGGGAGAGGTACAATTCCACTTGGTACCGTACTTGTCTCCATCGATTGTAACTCTGAGATTACTCCGGCATTCAAATTCAATGCATCATTCCAGAGGCTGCTTAACAAATACAACCATCAGAATCATATCTCTACAAATGATCCGATTGAGTTGCGAAATGTTATGGAGGTCACTCTTCGAAGCAGAGTCGAGTTCAGATCCGCAGTGCGGCTGATGAGAGATATGAGAGAGAAAAATATGCTGGTGGTGACGCTCTTGAAAAGTTATCCTAGGTGTGAAGAGTGCAAAGAGAGAGGAAGGTTGCATGAAAATCCGCCATCTTGGGTAAAAAGGAGTCGGTGTTAATCACGCCAGAGCGATCAAGGCACACGGTCTCTAAGAGCAATACTGAAGTGTAGAAGACCTTTCTAGGGCTTTCTGACTTCAGTCGCCAAGTATCTTCTCTCAATTTATCCCATTCCACCCCCTGAATTAAGCGAGCGTGAAAAGGGGGTATGCGGGCCGAGGTTCTACTAGACACTTAAGATCCGATAAGTGCTACAGCCTTGCATTATGCAATTTGTGCATCTAAATTTCGAGATCAAGTATACGTACTTCAAATTCACTCTCTAGGAGATGGGTAAGCTTCGATCATTTGCACAAAGCAATGTAAAGTCACGTCCATAAATTTTCTCTCACAAATGTCCAAAAGTGAGCTGGATATTCGTCTTCCATATGTGTTTTCTACACCACCAATTTCCTTGTGTTCGAATCGCTCCTTGGGGGCCTCACTCGTTCATGCTTGTTTGAGAGTGACGTGGTTCATTTTGCTGCTGTGAGGAAGGTGCATTGTAAACTTCAGTAGCTGCTTTCAATTCTCGACCCATCAAGAACTATCATACACATAACACACTTCTGAATACATATATTTCACAGCATTCACTCGTAATATTCATTCCATGGCACCATCATCGTTACGTCGAGCGACTAGAGCCGCTCGCAAGAAGCTGTTTGGTCATTCGGAAACCGCGCTTGCGCCTGAGCCTGCTCCCAAGACCGAAACATCGCCCGCTGCATCAAGTTCATCCACATTACTGAATTCACCTGAGCGAAACGGGAGTGGCGAAACTCCAGCCAGCCCCAGTGAGGGTCATAATCAGGACACAACGGCTCAAAATCTCTCCACGATAGAACCCAATAACCAGACCACTATGCCACCATCACCAGCTTCTGATCTTCCACACCAACCCTCCTCTTCACTCAAACCCCGCAGCCTTACTTCGGACGGCCAAGAAGATCATGAACTGCACCACCAGGGTACAACGAGCCAGCGCCTCTCCCATGTGGAACTCAATAACGATACCACGATGCTAGCTTTTGACCCTCCACACCGAAGCCCTTCCTTAACGCCAAGCAACGCTTCACTCGAACAATTGCTCAAGTTCTCTGGAAAGTACCGTGAAGAAAACGCACTTGTTGCTCCCACAGCGCCAGCAAGCACCTCGGCCAATGTCTCAGTTCCTTCGTCTTTCGCAAACCCGCCGCCTCTTCTTCCAGCGAGCGCTTGGACTTTTACCCCCTCTCCCGCATCGAGCTCTGGAAATCAGCATGGTCCTCCGCTTGGAAACAGTTCAGCGAATAAGTCCTCTCTTCCGTCCGTCACCATAAAGCCGCCTACTCCACCACCAGCAAGCGGTCCAGCTGATGCTCCCTCCCGTGCATCGAGCTCTGCAAATCCGCAGGTTCCTTCGCTAGCACGCAATTCAGCTAAGGCTACCCCTCCACCGAGCTCTGCAAACCAGACAGCTCTTTCATCAGCGAGCAGCTCAGCTAATGTTAGGGGTCCTTCGCCTTCTGCAAACCCGGCTGTTCCGCCCCCAGGATTCAATTCAGCAGATACACCTGCTCCGACGAGCTCGGCGAATGTTCTAGCTTCTCCAAAGAATGTGGACTTCGCAGGGCCCTCGAGCCCACTGCATAAGATTCGCCGTTATAGCGAAGCTTTCCTACTATCAAGCGTCAGAAATGCTCCAGAGAAGGACAAACTTTTGGCTTCGGGGAGTAAAACTGATAAACCCAATTCAATCCTCAAGCCGCAACCCCAGGAGATGCAAGCCCGGGCTGATTCCAACTCCCCCAAAGTATACGTCGTGATTTTATCAACTGCTAGAGCGAATCACATAGGAACTTGGGACCAAATTTTGCACAAGATCCAAGGCGTATATCAGGGCGAACAGGATGCCGACAACAAAGTTATTTCGATGTATAACGTGGCTGTATCAGATCCCAGATATCAGATTACATTTCGCGCTAAGGGGCAAGGGAGCCCGTTCTACTACTGGGAAACTTCCAACATGGTTGATGGTGGTCATATGCGAGTTTGGGTTGAAAGGTGGGGCGTGAAAGCTGAGAGTAATGAACCGAAGGCGGTGCGCAAGATACGCGGTATGCTTAATCCTTAAAAAGAAGAGGTCTCAGGCAGGAGTAAGATTGTCCCAACAGACTTTGGACATGAGAGGGAGTAGAGAAACTAAGACACGCAAGTAAGGAACAAATAACACTGGCTCCTGCGAGCATTGGAGCTGCAAGAAGCATAGGCAGTGGCCTATCGTGTCGCCGATGCTCTCCCACCACTAAAGCATTAATATGAATTCATTCTACCAAAACATGTCTAAATATTGCCATTCATCCCCGGTACCTGCGAAGGCGCAATGACACTCTGTGCATACGTCTCAGCATCAGCTGTAATCGTCGCCATGTTGATCCTCCCATCCAACGCATTCCTCACTCCATCCACCACCTCCCTCTCCTGCATCAACTCACCCATCACCCTCCCCTCATGGACCCAATACCCCTGACTCCTCGCCCTCAACTCTGCATCTCGATTAATCGTATTTCTCAGTATCCCCATCGCGCTCATCTTACTCCTCACCACATCCAACATCCTCGTCGAAGCCTCGACCCTCTCCGCCGTACTCGGCGGCGTCAAAAACGCTCTGTTCGTGCTGGAAAGATATAGTAACCAGCCGAGCATCCCATCAACGAACGCGAGACCTATCCCGCGCCACACGCGCATTTTCCAGAAGAAGAAATCGATATCTTCCAGCCTTAATGCGCGGGCATTGGCTTTGTAGTCATAAGTCGCAAAGAAGTAAATGTCGATGAGCATCATTGCTCCAGCTGCAAGCGTAGCTGTCGTCCGCCATATCGCTGCTTCTTTGCCTGTGAAGAGGCCGGAAGTTACCAATGCCAGGACGCAGAGGTTGAAGAGGTGTGGTGCGAGGAGCGAGGGGAGGCTATAGTAGAGGTATGAATTTGGATCTTCTGCGTTGCAGAATTGGCAGTTTGTGAGGACGTCGGGCCCGAATTGGAAATACAGGTATCTTGATTCGAGGGAGGAGATCTTGGAGCGGAGGATCTCGTCGGTGGGGGTTAGGGGGCGGAGGGTCGAGAGGCGGGTGAACAGGACGTCGGTGCTGATTTGTAGGCGCGAGGAGGTAAGGGTGAAGATGTTGGTGGGAGCAGAGGGGGGTAGGGTACTGAGGAGGAAGAAAAGGGTTGTTAAGGTGAGAATTAGGAGAGCGCGGGAGACGTTGGGGGGGACGGGGCGGATGGGGATCTCGTGGATGGAGGGTGCGGCGCGCAGGGAGCGGTAGTAGGCTAGGGCTTTTGGGAGGAGGATGGGGCCGAAGAAGAGGGAGAGGGACTTGATTCTAGGTAGTGTTAGTGGGAGGTATCCCAAGGGGGAGGGTGGTAACTTACGTTCCCCAAGTGATCGCCATTGTGGATGTTGTGGTTGTGTTTACAACGTGTCGATGTTGGAAGGATTTAACACGATGTTCAAAGTTACCCAAGTCCGGCAGAACTAAGTACACCGCCCATCGAAAACTGGAAACGGTTTAGCTCAGTTCCTAGTTTCGCGTACCTTTCCTGAAAATTTGAAGCTCGTCTTCAAAAATCAACCACAACCCATGAATTCCAAGTACTGAAAGGGAAGCTGTATTCTTAGCTATGTTCGTATATAGCTAACCCCGGTTTGTTTTCACGCCATCTCCTCAAGCTACAACTTGCGGTGATGTCCTCATACTGGACCTTCAGCTCCAAGATTCGCCCAAAATTCCATCTTCACCGTGGCACTTTCGAAGCTTTGGCGATCCTCTCTCCCATGGTCACTCAGAGTCAAAAAGAATGCCCAGAGCAAGCCAAAGTACTCTGCCAAGAGTCATCTCACTCGTGTTGCAGGGTCTTAGCTTTCCGAAGCAATGAAGACCTTTGCGTCTTTTTGATGAGAGATATCCTCAATGTCCCCAAGAATCTTACTATAACCATCCTCGAGCAAATGAATCTACAATTCCTTCTTCTCTTCAGACGCGGCCTTTTCGGAAGGGACTGCAACGGGTTCCTTCTTGGCTTCTTGTGCTGTTCCTGAACCCACGCCCGCCACCAATGCTACGATGGCTACAAGGGCGTCGCTGACGAGGATGATGATTGCGGTGCATGCTAGGAACCAGGCTTGGATGCTGATGCTGCCTAATGGTGCCCGTGGGAAGGAGAGGAGCCATTCGGCATAATATGGAACCCAGCCTTTGGGGATCCAGAACATGGCTTGCTTGGAGTACCAGAATTGTAGGAACATTCGTAGACCATTTGTGCCAATCCATCTCAATGTAGATACAGCACTATCGAAAGTGGCTTTCGTGGAGTCTGTAGAGGCTTCTGTTGGTGGTCATTAGCTTGGTGTCCCCGTTTGCGCCTGGGATTGGAATCTTGAGATGTACTGTTCTTGTCCAACTGCTCCAAAAGCCTATCATGTTGTCTCTGTAACTTCGCCCATTTTGCAAACTGGTCTTGGCTGCTTGTAGCATTCAGCTCTTTCCGCACCTTCAGGTATTGACTCTTCAATTCTCGTTGTTCTGCTGAGGATTCGGACTTTGAAATTGGCAGACTGTTGTACAAGTTCCATAGCTAACAACCATTAGCTATTCAGCAGAGACACTAGAACGTTGTTCCATACCAGTGCGTTGATCGAAGAGGCTCCGAAGGTGTTCACGAGATGGATGGCGAGTTGGAGGAGGAAGACTGTCAGGAGAAGGGAAGGCATGTTGGGCGACCAAACACTGTATTTATTAGCTACACAGATTCGAAGATGATAGATCTTAGAACCTTACGATTTCTGATGCTCTGTAATCTCGGGTTCGTGGACTCCAAGACGCAGGTTTGTTGCGAAAGGCCAGAGCCTCAGTCAAAATTAGCTGACGGAGAAGGTCCGTGCACACAAGGCTACGAAGCGCGAGGCTTGCTTTCATCCTAACTTCACAATTCTGGAACACCTATCAACACTCCTACATACCACCATGTCGAGAGCACTCGATCCAGAAACAGCTGCATCGCTCAAGAACAGCAATCCCGAAACCGTCTACAACGACATCGTCAGAGCCCTCTCCTCGGAAACCGATTCTCTCCTTGAGATAGAGTTTCTAGGCAAAAGCCATCCTCTTCCAGAAGGTTGCAATGTCCTCGTTGATGGAAATAGCATTGCAATTGCCAAAGCCAAGCTTGTCCAGGCATTCGTCGTGGCTCGTAAGAACTTCTTCAAGTACGTTCGAGATTGTCCAGGAGACAAGTTATTGGATTTCAGAAATGCAACCGCAGTCATGCTATTGATGGATCCCGAGCATCTCACTGCTGCGAATTCACGAAAAAGTCTTATTCAGAAATCGCAGAAAGAACCCAAGATAAATCTTGAGGTGATCCTGAGGAAGGAGTTACATTTCGTTGATAGCTACCTGACTTCACGTTTACACCGCCATACGAAATCGCCCACGTTGTGGAATCATCGTCGATGGGTTCTTAAAGTCTGCCAGTCAATTCAGATGGAGTATGATATTCAGCATGACCTCAAGTCTGTGGTCTTGGTCGCTGCGGAGAGACACCCGAGGAACTATTATGCCTGGTCTCACCTGCGCTGGCTCGTTCAGTCGTTCACCATGTGCTCCAATATTCAAACGACGAGTTTCGATTTCAGCAAGCTGGTGTCTGTTGTCAAAGATTGGTGTCTCAGACATCCGGCTGACACCTCGGGCTTTTCTTTTCTTCTCTTCTGTCTTCCCATGCCTGGGTATTCTGAGGACGTCTCTAAAACGGAATTGAGATCTTCGGTCTGTTCAGAGGTTCTTCGGCTAGCTGTGTCTTTTCAGTGGACTCACGAAACTATCTGGGTGTTTCTTCGTACTCTGGTTGCTTCTGGAGGAGTCTTTGAGGATGAAACGGCGGCATTCTATCGAGCCATCGAAGACATGCAAGCGGTTCAACCAAATGACCACCGGTTCCTGGAAGCAGCGCGAAGTTGGTGTGGAAAATATGGGCAGAAAGACCAGGGCTGATTTGAGACTGCATGAGAAGGCAACCGAAAAGGGACTGAAAGCTGCTAGAGAAGTGAACTACTTCCCTCCTCAAGGATAGAGACATTGAAGCACGAAATACTGTATTCGGCATCAGAAAGTCCCCAGCCTAAACTGCAGCGGCAAGCCAACAATAGGATCCGGATCTTCTTCCCCATCACTGGGAAGGAGGAAATCCTCCAGACTCTTGAGGCTTTTCACCTTCGCCGTTTCAATATCCTTGGGGAAGTCAGAGATAAAGTAACGTTATCCAAGAAGACGTGAGGCGTAATGTCAGGCTTTTGTTCAATATGGAGTCCTTGTCCGACATGATTTTGGAAGATTCGCCAGGGGCAGGGATTTCAAATTGAGCAATGTCAATTGCAGAAGCGAGAGACAGGGGGCTATAAATAATTACCGGAGTGTGGAGCGGGAAAAGACATCGTCATCGACGGCGTTCATCCAATACCCTGCGGCTTCTGGAAGCGTGTCCTCGGTATGGCATTCTGAGAATGATTGCATCCAAACGTCAGTCCGCGATTACCCAACACAGCAGATGTAGGAAAAGATGAGCTGAGACGTGATATTGAGACGAAAGGTCACTAAGCATATATTTACCTACCTTTGCTGAGGTAATGCCTCAGGGCTTCAGTCGTATTATGTCTCGGACTGATCTTGGGTTTCTTGACGTTTCCTGCTGGAAGCATGTGATGATCGAGGAAGCTCAAGGAAGCTCGGTCACACCTTTTGGATAGCGAGAAGGCGAAAAGCTGGAGGCAAAAATTGAAAAGACAATTGGAAGGTGTTCTTACTTCAAGGTCGTATTATTCTTGCCGGGGAAGTCTTTTTTAGCCCATATGCAAAAGACGGCTCGAAGCATCTCGATCTCGAACTCGACATCGAACAAGAAAAGTTTCGAAAACGAAGAAATCTGGTATGCAGCCAATGGGAGTGCCCGGGAGGTCGAGTGGGGTGAGATGGCTCCCACACCCTTCGACGAAACCCAGACCGTTCCCCATCGCGCTTGGCTGGAAATCACCTAATGCGGAACTTGGAGACGCAGGGAGATTGCGCGTGCAGTGCAGCAGTGCAGACGAATTCGCTGGAGGGATATCAAATCATACGTGCACCCCTCCACAAATTCGTATCCGAATTCCAATCCGGTTGGGATGGAGCTTCTTGACCTGATTTTGGAAGCAACTGATTGTTGCAGGAATGCGTGGCGGACGATGCTTTTGCAACTGTTGCTGTCTGAGTGAAAGCTCGGTGGCCCTCCCAACGCCGCAGCCAAGGTGGTTGGAGGCCGCCTGGCAAATAATCATTCTTTGCCCGTAGATGGCCTTGGTTTCATTATCGGATCCCAGCACGGATTGGCGCATGAGCTTGCATCTTGATCTTTTCGATGACCCACAACGGACTGCTGCTACAGCACTGTAGTCTGTATCAACGGGGTTCGAGATGGAGCAGTTGCGGACGCAGAGCTGGGATGGAGGGCCAGCATTCAGAGACGGAAGTTGGTCTGTACAGGTAGCATAATGTAGACACAGTTCCGGGCAATCATTGATCAGTGACCCCGAAAGCAGGAGGGCTCATCTCGGGCGTATCCATTTTTTGCACGCAAAAGATTGCTGATCTCAGTTTCCCATGCTTGTGTGACCGTGGGGCCACGACTGCGCTTCGCATCAATCTCAGGACTCGGGACTCTGGAGTCTGGAAAGCCTTGAAAGTTGAAAAGCCGGCCGTGGTCAGGGGGCGCTGGCTAGCCTTCCCTGCTGGAGCGACTCCTGGACTCCTGGACTCCTGTCCCCAGACCCCTACCCGACCCGCCACGGGCGTCGCCAGCCAACCCTTTTCGCCCTGATCCACCCACAGTCCCACTGCACCCACTCGCCGCGCGCTGCTGCTCTAGTCCCGGTTCTGGTAGCTCGAGCAGCCAGCCCGCCAGCCAGCCAGCCAGCCAACCCGCTTGCTGCTCACGCTTTTTTATTGCTGGCCTCCCGTAAAGCCACAGTCTTCCACTCCTCTCTCCCCTCCCTCGCTCTCTCGATTGATCGAGAAACTCCAACTCCGACCTCAGCTTCTCCTTCTCCTTCTCCTTCAAAAGTTCCGTCGTGTGCGCGCCGTCTTTGCTTCACCACTGTCGTTAAAGTCCCTTCCGGTTAATATTTCCACAGCAACGGAAGCCGCGAGAAACGCTTCGGCTCCTGCCTCTGCCTCTGCCTCCTATCAACAAGCTCGTAAGTTCCGTGTTTTAGCTTTCTGCTCAACCACAACCACCACCGCCGCCACCTCCACCCTGCCTGCCTTCACTTCGCAGATCCCGTTTCGTCAGAGAAACGACGGAAACGCTCCTGGTGATCTTCTACTGCCCAATTCGAACAGAGAGACGTCCACGCGGCTTTACTCCACATCCATCAATCAAATCAATCAATCAACACGCAACCACCGTCAACTCGCTCTCCCAACGTCGTCGCAGTCGACTCTGCCGCCATTGATTCATCCAATTGAGCTACGCTGACATTGGAAAAGTTACTGAACAGCATAATATCTATCAAGATGTTCACCCAAAAGCTCCTGCTTCCTGCGTTCGCGGTCATCACCGCTGTCGCTGGTAAGTCACCGTCCCCCCCCTCCTAGCACATGAGAATGGATCTCGCATGCAGCAATCTCTTCCAGTCTGGTAGTCGGTGTGGAGGAGACGCGAATGACGCGGTATATGGGTCAATTGGGATAGGATGATGCTAATTCGATTGGGTTTCCAGCACAATCGATCTGCTCCCAGACGGCCACGGCCACCATCAACTCACAAGCCGATGCAGCAGCGTACACAAGCTGCTCGTCCGTTGCCGGCAGCATCCTCATCGGCTCTGGAGCTACTGGTGATATCACGCTCGATGGACCTTCCACAATCGGCGGTGATTTGACCGTGAACAATGCTACTGGTGTCACCTCCTTCAGCAGTTCTACAATTGGTCAGATCAAGGGTACTTTCCACATGGAGGACTTGACCCTTCTGTCGTCTCTGAAGATGAGCATGTTGACTGCAGTCAAGGCGATCAGTTTTGTCTCTCTCCCCAATCTCGGCTCCCTCACATTCCCGGCGACTGTCACGTCCGCAACAAGCATTACAGTCAGCAACACGTTCTTGAGCACCCTCGCTGGCCTCAACGTGACCTCCGTCACAGTTCTACAGGTTGACAACAATCCTCATTTGACAGAGTTCACATCAAATATCGGGAACATCTCTTCTGCTGCCGTTTTCAATGCCAACGGCGCAGATCTGGCAATTTCTTTCCCTCTCTTGACGTGGGCAGCCAACATGACCTTCCGAGACGTGGGCTCTGTCAGCCTCCCCTCATTGCAAGTGATCAATGGCTCTCTCGGCTTCTACGAGTCCAGCGTTGAGAGCATCTCTGCCTCCAACCTGACCTCTGTTGGTAACTTCGCTACGGGAGTTGGAAGCTTGGCATTCGTGGCCAATACTGCCTTGACTAACATCAGCATGAATGCGCTCAAGAGCGTTGGTGGTGCAGACCAGGTTGCCAACAACACTCTTCTGAACGCCATTTCGTTCCCAGCCTTGGTCGATGTTGGTGGTGCAATTGACTTCAGTGGTAACTTCACTACGTAAGCTGTACCACTGATTTGTTCACTCAAGCAAAGCTAATTTTGAATCTAGACCAAACCTGCCGGCTCTTGGCAACGTGAAGGGAGGTTTCAACGTCGAGAGCAAGCAGTCAATTGACTGCACTAAGTTTAAGGCCGAAGCCTCCGCATCTGGTGTAATCCAAGGAAAGTTTTTCTGCCAGGGTAACTTGGACAGCGTTTCGTCACTTGGCACAGGAACCACCACTGGAACGAGCGCATCCTCAACCTCCAGCAAGGGCGCAGCTGCTTCCTTCGGCGTCAACGAGGCTGCAGCAGGTCTTTCGGTCATCGGTGGTCTTTTGCAGATGTTGTTGTAAAGCATTGGGACGTCGGCGTTTTTACTTCTGTTTCCGCTACCTTAGACCTAATCTGCGACGTTCTCATTGCTTCCTTTCCTTTTCTACATCGACCGTCTACAAAACGAGGGCTGCCACCATTGAGCGGGCCTTCACACTTTCCTTAGGATCATGCGTGTGAGTGGGGGTAGGAGGGAAGTTGAGTGCTTGCTTTACTGCATAATTTCCATCTCGACATGAAGGCTTTGCCTTGTGCTTGATTTGGGGATAGCAATAATATTGTATGCTGATGAGTGGAGGCATGAAGGGGAGGGGAATTTGTTCCTGAAAATTGGAGTGTATGAGAGACACCTTAGGGCAGGCAAATTCCATAAACTGTACATTGATAGGAACTCTTTCTGTTCAGTAAACCCACGTGTGTGATCTTGCGTTGCGTGCTTTCTGCAAATGGAATGCCAAGAACAGAGTGCACCGAACCAAAAACCCAAAACGAATGACCACACAGAACAGTTCAAGAAATCATGATATGCTCGTTTACCATTTATGAAGCGTTTTTTTCTCTTCACTTTTTTCAAAATTTCTTGCTTTTCTTTCTCGGAAAACCACGCTGTAGAAGTCAACGTCAGTGGCGTTCCCCGTTTTTTTATTTTTGTGGTACGGTAAGCCTCGCTCCGAAGGGATGCATGCAGCTGTTCAGCCCTGGCACTGCACTGGCACTGCACGGTCTGTGGGGTGTACAGTGTGCAGCTGCGCAGCTGAGCAAACGTTCACGGGGAGGCGGGCGCCCCCCAGGCTGCAAAGTGCCCGAGTGCCAGCTTGCCGGGACGGGGACGGGGATGCGGCGCTGAAAGAGGGGAGTTTGGTTGTGGAGGATGGGAATGGGAATGGGATGATGGTTGTGAGCCCTTTTCGCCTGGTTGAGAGGAGAGGAGGGGAGAGGAATGTTTGGAAGGGGAAAGAAAGGGGGAGGATCGGGATTTGACATGTTAAGTCTTGAGAGTAGATGGATTTATGGTTTAGGGGGGACGTATGTTCATCGTGGGATTGGCGGTCTGGGTATATGTATATGTACAATCTATTCATCCTCCGTTGTTTCGTGTCTTCGTTTTCCTGGAAAAAGGGTCCTACAGCTTGGCCTTGGGCTTGTCTTGCTTCATCATCGTGTCAGCTACGATGCGGCGCTGGATCTTGCCTGTTGCTGTCTTGGGCATGTTGTCTGTGAAGTATACCTGGATTTCCCGTTAAGTCTTAAGTCGAGGAAAGCCTGCAAGGAGAATGGTACAAGGGAAATGAGTAGCGGAAGACGAACCTTCTTCGGCACCTTGAACTTTGCCAGCTTGTCCGCAACCCAATCCTTCAACTCCTCCTCTGTAATTTTCTGTCCGGATTTTGGAACAACAGCCACAGCTACCTCTTGCCCATACATTTCATCCGGGATGGCAAAACTGACTGCCTCGCCCACCTTCGGGTGTCTTGCTAATACATTATCAAGCTCAATGGGGCTGATTTTCTCCCCTCCCTTGTTAATCAATTCCTTGATGCGGCCAGTGATGATCACATATCCATCTTTATCTTTCTTTCCCTGGTCTCCGGTACGGAAGAACCCATTGCCGGTAAAAGAGCTCTTGTTTGCTTCCGGGTTGTTCAGGTATCCCTTGGTGACATTCTCACCACGGATACAGATCTCGGCTTCGGAGCCTTGGGGCACTTCCTTGCCTTCTCCGTCTAGGATAGCAACCTCGACCCCTTGCCCGATTCCCACAGAGCCTGGTTGGCGCTTTCCGGGGGGAAGAGGATTGGAGGTCATTTGGTGGGCGGCTTCGGTCATGGCGTAGGCTTCGAGGACGGGGGCACCGTATGTTTCTTCCAGCTGGTGGAAGGTAGTGGGTGATAATGGGGAGGAACATGATCTGATAAAGCGGATCTTGGGCTTGGTGTGAGGCGGTGGGTTCTTCAAGAGGATCTGATGGATTGTAGGAACTGCTGTGTACCAATTCGCCTTGTGTGTAATGAAGTCGTCCCAGAACTCGGAGGCTGAGAACTTGGGTGGCACGATCACGGAGCCGCCTGAGTACAGAGGCGCAAGGAAGCCGGCGAGCAGGCCGTGCACGTGGAAGAGGGGCATGACGAGCATGGTGCGGTCCGCAGGGCTGAGGTCGTACGTGGCTTTGATGTTCTTCATTGTCCGCGTGAGATTGCGGTGTGTCAATGGCACTGCCTTTGGGCGTCCGGTGGTACCGCTTGTATGAAGCACCAGGGCAATATCATCAGGTTGTGCCTTTTCGACCTTTTGATTCCCCTTTCCCTTAAGCTTCCCTTCGTCTTTCAAATCCAGAACTACTTCTCGTCCGTTCCAGTAGCATTCTGCAATTGCAGCTTTGTATTTCCTCGCTGCTCGAACGGCAGCTCCATCTTGTGCAAAGGAGCCTTTTGGCACAAGAGCAACAGCCGACTTCAAATCGTCGATATAAAATTCGAATTCTTCCTGCTTATATGCCGCGTTTAGGGGAGCAGCAATGCCTCTCTGCCATGCAGCTGCTAAGAACGCAACGATGAATTCGTATGTGTTGGGGAGGGCGATCGACACTGCGGCTTGGGGTGTGACGCCGAGCTTGGCAAGCTTCTTTTGGAAGGACAGGACTTCGGCAGAGAGCTGTTTGTAGGATATTGCGAGAGCTTGGGGCTTGCTTGGTACTATGATTGCTGTGGAATTGTCTCCTGCAGAGAAGGCATTCGAGAGCGTGGTTGCTGCCATCTTACTGCGGAGAGTGGGTGTATTTACAAATTGTGAATGGATGAGATTTTGGTGGATACAGCTGTCCAGCAGAGCAATTGGCTTAAATAAAGTTCAACTAAGAGAAATTGAGTTTCTGCCACGGAGATGACTGAGAAATAACTAAATTCTCATTGTCTGGTGACGTTTGTTTGATCTTCTTCACTAACGCCGAGATAGGAGCTTTATTACCAGGGGGGAAGTTCGCTTACTAATCCTAGCCTGGTAGGTGAGGCTGTGGATTTGAACCAATGTCAGACCACCTCTGCCTTTCTTGAAAAAGAGCATCCACTCATCATGTCGAATTCTTCGAATCCAACACCTCCGGCGAGAGGCGGTGGGCTCTCATTATACGCCAATTTACTCGATCCTGACAGTGTCACCTCATCTGCGACCGTATCCAAAAGACCTGTTGTCTTCAAGCCTGCGGAATCAGCAGATGAAGCTTCAGCTAAGAAACCCTCCATAGATCCTTGTAGCTACAATTCTGATATAGCAACGGTGTTTTCAGCTTGCTGACCGGCTTGGACAGCTGCCCTGCGATTCCAACCTACCAAAAGACCCCAATTGTCGCAAAAGCCAAAACCAAAGACCAACTTCCCAAAAGCCGCTCCTTTGGACAGCACAACTCTGCGAACGACTTCCCCGCAGACCGCAGCCGCTTCGAGCGTAGCAAGGCCACCCGCCAAGACTACATTGGCAGATTGGACAGGGGTTGAGGATGATGATGTGAATGGTTTCTATGGCGGAGAGAAGAGACAGCGAGGTGGGAGGAAACGAAAGAGGAAGCCCAAGGAAGAGCAAGTTGCCGTACAAGACTGGGATGATATCTATGACCCAACACGACCAAACAACTATGAGGAATACAAGCATAGTGACGAGAAAATCCGGGAGGTCAGGGAATGGAAGGATAGACTTTATGCACACAGGATGGCTCGAAAGTCGGCGAGTGATAAAGATAGCGATGAGGAAGACTACCGGCCAATGATGGGCAGTAAGTGTCCCGAAGGATTCTTGATGCCCTGGACTAATGATGGCAGAACAATTTGCTCCCCCTAATTACTCCTTTGCACCTCCACCTATAGACTCACCTCCTCGAAAGCCTGCAGAAGACAATAATTCAGATAGCTACAGCCCAGCGCTCCCATCAGAACACGTCCCTCCTCCACCGCCTCTACCTGAAAATCCCCCACCGCCATCAACACCTCCAGAGCCATTACCTGCAGGAGCAATATCTCGAGCACCAGTCCGATACAACCTCCCACCACCTCCTAGCGAGATACCAAGTTCAGAAGCAGAGTTGGAAAAAGCTCTGAACGCAGAAGAGGAGGATGGAGAAGAAGAATCATCAAATACTGAAGAAGCCCCGAGATCACTTCGGCCAGGCCAACGAGGATTTGCAGAACGGCTTATGTCCAAGTATGGATGGAGCAAAGGAAAGGGGTTGGGAGCCGATGGCTCTGGAATCGTCAATCCACTTCGGGTGCAAATTGAGAAGCGCAAGAAGAAGTCAGATGCTGAAGGCGGTGGATTCCGAGATCCAGGTGGACGAGGGAAGATCATTGGAGGCAAGAAGAATGCTCCTGAGAGGGAGACAGATGCTGGCAAGTTTGGGCCGATGTCTGAGGTTATCGTGCTTAGGGGCATGGTGGATAATATGGATCTTGATTCCGAGCTAGAGGGTGATGGAGATGGAGGGCTGATGCAGGAGATTGGTGACGAATGTGGTGAAAAGGTAAAATATCCCCTTTGAAGAAACTCCAAATTCTAACAGACTTGAATTAGTATGGACGAGTGGAACGTGTCTACATTGATCGTCACGGAGCTGCGCCGAAAGTCTTCGTGAAGTTTACAAGCCAGCTGTCTGCTCTGAGGGTAAGTCATATCCTTATTTTGGTCTGCTGATAGTTGACATTTATTTAGGCAGTCAACGCTCTCGAAGGGCGTATTTTCAATGGCAACACCATCTCTGCTTTGTTCTACGACACGGAAAGATTTGAAGGGGGCATCTATGAATAGCAGATCTTTCAAAGAAAAATACAAGATATTTTTCCCGCGTTAGCGTTCATCACTTGTGATACAAGTCTTCTAACTCGGCGAAGATTCGTCTGCATAAGAGTGCACCAAGATATGTGTTTGGAAACGGTTTTGGGGAGCCATCATAATCCCTCTTGTTTATTATTTTTAGTGTTGCCACCTTTTTGTATTCATCACAATTTCCAATGCTATGCTTTTATCCCAAAGAGACAAGAAATATGATGCCTGCCTGTCTTCGAATCTCAGATCAGTTCTCATCCGAATTCTCACTCCAAGATCACATGCTCACATCTGGTCTTTCTATCTTACAGCACGGGACTTTTCTCGTCTCATTCCGCTCCCTCGTCCTCCTCGGAGTCCCTCTCCTCACCATAATCCTCTCCAGATCCCAAATCATCCGCTCCACCATTCTCCCACTCCCTTTCCGGCTCGCATCCAGGGGGCTTCACTTCCAGGACTCGAATATACACCTCTACTCGCTCGCCCTCTCCAGCATCATCAGATGACCAGTAAATACGGCCATCATCTTCGCATCCTTGCTTCGTCTCTTCAGCTTCATTATACTCATTATTAACAATGCCCTTCACAGCGTTGTTGGCATCTTTGATAGTGGCATAGATGGCGTGAATGTCTGAAATCGGTTCCGTATATTGCGGATTTGAGTCTACCATGACGACGTAGACATAGTGAGGGTCCTGATCAGCCACCCTGGGCTTTAGAGTGAATGCTGGATTTGCCGTATCTGAAGCTTGGCGCTTAATTTGAGGTTCTTCCGCGGTGTTGCCTGCAGCACTGCTGGTTCTCTTGTGTGACACTGGAGCCGTTTTCGGTGAGGTTGACATCTTCAACGAGAGCTTGGCGGTGAAAATAGCTCCTAGGTTTCAATTAAGCTCCTAATTCGACAGACGAACAGCTTTTGGTGAAGATCGCGATTCGAATCGCGAAAACGGACTTCTCAGTCGCAAATCGTGGTATCAAATAGATGAGAGGAAATTAGGCTAAGAAAGATCTCAAGCTAGAAGTATGTCTGGAGTGAAATGGATCCCCACGTTAATTTGAAGAGTAAGTGAGGATTTGAATTAAGGGGGGTCGAAGGAGGCCGCATTGACAGGGGTGCAAAACACTTCTGGCCGCACATCGCTTTCAAGATCACAGACATCATGAAAGTATTTTCAGAACATACTCAAACGCGGCAGACACTAGATAATTCAGACGGGCCGGCCGGAGGGTGGAAAGGGGCGAAGGGGCTCGCAAGGAAAAAGGAGAGTCATCAAGGGGCCATCGTCTCCTGAGAAGTTGGTTCACGGTCATTCACATCTGCTTCGGAGAATGAGCGCATGAACGCCGTGGGTGTCAACTTAACCTATCTTGATCTGTGATCAGATACCATTTTGCCTGAAGAGCTCACCACTAAGAGAGCGACACAGCGCCGCCTTCCTCATGCGCGGAAGGAAGTCACGAAGCGAAAGCTGGTTCGGTTGTCAGTCAGCGTCTTGAAGCCCAATGCACGTTCCTCTCCTTGCATCTCAAGTCGACAACCATTTGCCAATTAAGATCAGGTGTGATGCAATCTGATTGTATTTCGGGTCACCGCGAAAACGTGCATCGGAGAGGAGTTCTCATCTAGAACTTGAGCTGCTTCGGGAATAGTCGACATCCCCCACCTCCAAAAAGTTTCCACTCTCTCCGATGACGTCCTCTGCCCCCAAGCTCGCGCCATCTAGCCCAGTGTTGGAGAAGAACATCTTTATCGTATGCGTTGCAAGTTGCACTCCTTTGAAGGTGGTCAAGTGAACTTGAAAGACTAGTCCAATCGTCTTAAACAATGAGAGTCAATGGCACAAGTCGGGCACCGAGAGCTTCTCAAGCCCACTTTTGCTTTATTATACTCAGCAAATAGGACTCTGTGGTTTCTCTCAGCGAGTCTTTTGAGTGCTTGTCAGTGCTATAGCCCCAGGTAGTTCATTATCGGCGGTCGATATATCTTCAATTCGGCAGGTGGGGTAGCCACTGCAGGGAATATTTGCATGCACCTGTGTTGCTTTCCTTTCAGTCGCACAGCCTGTCTCGCATATTTCGATGACCAGATCCACCTATCGAAGAGAAGGTTGCGACCCCATGGGCCGAACACAGATTGGTACCTTTCCTTTCTAGGCCTCTTCCTAGCTTATAACGATGATCCGATCAGGCCCCCTGATTTACCCCGCAACGTTGCTTAATCACACTTCGCGGTGACTGCTCAGGTACATCTCCGATGTATGTCAACTTTTGCAAGCTCCACGTGAGGCGTCTCACTGTGGGCATTGGGGTGAACTCAGTCCTTCAAGATCCATTCTTCATGAGACTTATCATCCTCGGCGCAACAAACCTCACATGTGCTCTGAGTTCAAGGCTTGATCGTTTCTCTCTCGTAATGAGAATCCACTCTTACCCACTGCCATAGGTGCCAGCTGGTCTAGATGTTGAGGGGGACGACGTGGATGCCCGTGTCGTTTCTGCATCAGAGAGAATCTACCGCACGCACTTGGTAATCAGAAGCTTTGAACTCAATTGTTCCCATGCTGACCACCTCGGCCTATCCATCGTCGACTTTTTGCATTTCCTGGATCTTGGGCCTTTCCAAACAAGCTTTCACCCCGGATGCATCCCATTCAGAAGCCCGTATGCCTCGAAGTGTATAAAAGCCTAGTGGCAAGCAGCAGAATTCTCGGTTTCGAAAGCAACCATTAGTTTCTATTACAATATTCTCTCCAAGCAATCCCACTCACCTAATCAGCAGCTCATATCTTCTCAAGATGCAACTCATCAGCACCCTCCTTCCTCTCCTCCTCGCCTCCAGCTTCACCTCGGCCCTCCCAGTCACCAAGACCAAGAGAAGCGCTACCACTGTCCTCTCGGACATCGCCAGTATCAGCTCAGATGTAGCTACTCTCACCAGTGACGCTCTTGCATATACTGGTGGTCTCTTCCAATCTCTCGCTCTCGCTATCACTGTGGATTCCCTCGAGTCAGCGATCACCACGGCAACCTCTGACACAACTTCGTCGGGAACTTTCAGCTCCGCAGACTCTGATAGCATCTTGGCCGCTGTGACCACTCTCACCCCAAAGATCATTACTCTATTGAGTGATCTGGATGCCAAGGTAAGTCCCCGTGACGATGGGTTGCTAGTCTTGACGAGATGATTAATGGTTTTGATCAGGCTTCTACCATCTCCTCAGCCGGATACACTTCGACTGTTGCTGGAGCTCTCACAACATTGACTACCGATACCAATGCTCTGTTTGCTGCTCTTGAGGCTGCGCTTGATTCTGCTGATTCTGTTTCTATTGCCACCTTGCAAGCTTCTATCGATGCTGCGTTCGCCACTGCTTCTGCCACTTTCTAGTCTTGTTGGTTGAGCTTCTTGTGGCTTGCATGGAATGCCCCGCGGGGGATCCTTGACTTTTTGTTCGTCTGAAAGTTTTGTAGCGAGCTTTGCCTTTATTTCCTGATCGTGAGCCAGTTACATTCAACGCCGAGAGAAGAATATGGGCGAATTTAGCTTTTCTTAGAATTAAAAGAACAACCAAATCTTCCATGGGCTTGGAACCAAGCACTTGCTACTTTTCTCCCCGACGTTCACTAAGGGGTGTTGATGGAGGCGTATCAGCGATCTGTGACCTGGACTATGGCAAAAAGGATATCTGAATCCTGAAGTCATATCCTTACCCTGAATATGCCCTCACAAACCCATTTTCTCAATCACCTCACTAACAACAAGGCTCGAATCTCTCCTATTCAAGATCCCTGACGAAATTCTGTCTGAGATCTTGTCATACTTTGTTAATGAGAACGGCTACTATGTAGCCTCTCACCCTAATCCCGCCATTTCAGCGAGGCCATTCGAATACTATTATTTCGTTACGTCTTCCTCAATTCATGTCCGGATGGAAAGAAGTTCGAACTCTTCTTGTGGAGTATTGCCGAGCATCCAGAGCTTGCATTGGTGGTACAAGATATGAGACTTGATTTTGAGGAGGCATACCGCCAAGTTTACGAGTCCGTCGAGAGAATACTCGGCGAGCTTCAAGGCTTAAGAACACTCAGCCTTATGGGATATTCGGGCTACGAGCATGAGGATGATATTTTTCCAAACAATTTCGTCGCCACCGGTTCCATGAATCCGTTGTCGACTGTAAATCTCGCTATCGCCGAGTTCACCACTGAAGGCATGGCGAAGTACGTATCTCTCCCTCATCTAAAGAGTATGTTCATCCATTCCGAAACACCTAGCTTATCCAAAATACTCCCTTTACGAGAGTACTCGAATCCAACACTTCGAGAGCTAAAATTTCGCGCCCCCGTGCCTTTGTCCTCATTAAATATATTGCTCGCTGTATTTCTGAATCTCACCTCCCGGACCACTTACCTTCCCGGTCAAGAAGAGCAAAGTCACAAATTGGTCACAACTGTATCTCCAGGCTTGTTATCTCAATTATTGGATCAAATCAAATCTGCGTTGTCAGATTTTGCCTTGTTAGACAAAACTTCCAGTGGCCAGGTCATGATGGCTCACGGGCCGATCTGAGCTATTTTACTTTTTTGAAGAGACTGGATATCCCGTCGCTTTGCTAATTTGTGTCGGATCGGGGTGGTCCATTAGCAAGAAATAGGATGGCACACCTACTACCGCCATCATTGGAAACGCTCACGGTTCGTTACCTGTCGTCCTCGTGCACTGCTTGAGCTTGCTGCTAATCATTTCTCCTAGATTCTTTAAGGACTTGATACTGCTATTGCTCCCAGGGGCGCGGGTACTCTTGACGATGGAGAGTAATACACTTCATTCTCATCCCTCTCCATATTCGTAGAAGATACAGCATGGCCGATGGAGCTTACTGGCGGAAAACAAAGCGGACACTTCCAAATCTGAGGAAAATATCTTTGATCGAGTGCACCATTCGATCCGGGAGATAAACGGAGGAAAGCATACAAGCAGTGGATTGAGCAGGTCTATAAAGCACGGGTGGAGTTGGGTTTGCCAGTGAAGCCAAATGTGGAAGCGATGCGACTTTCAGGTGGAAGTAATAAAAGAATTGTCTAAGAACAAGTAGGTATGCACTTCGAAATCGAATTATATTATTGACCTGTCTTACTGGAGTTTCCACTACTGTACAACTTTGCTTTGCGGTCTGCAAGGCTGGTTATTGCTGGAGAAGCTATGAGCACTTGCCTCGCTGTGCCTGCTTTCTCTGCATATCGGAAATTTCCACCTCCCCACACGTCCTTGTCGTTCGGCTGGACACTCGCTCGGCACTGGTAAAGCACCCCTAGCCAATGTAGAAGGTATCATATCATATGAGCTTGAAAGAACCATTTACAGAAAAATTACAACAACTCTCAAGCCAAGGCAGCGCACTTCACAACAGCAATCTCCCCATTCCTCGGACACAGAAAAGATTTCTCCACACCCCAGACAGAACACAAAACCAAGCAGTCTCTACTAATCCAATCTCCGGGCAGCGAGAAAAGCTCCTTGGGCATTTCCCCAGCGACAGCACTGGAGACAGCTGTGTTGCTCTTTGTAGCCACAACCTCAGATCTGGCGCTTGGAACGGAAAATGAGAGCGGTTCTCCATCTGGTGTGACTTGCCAGGTACAAATCGAAAAGGTTTTGGAAAGGAATACAAGGCGATCATGGGAGAGGAAGGAGAAAGCGAGGGCGATTTGGGCGGAGATTCTCGAAGGCAGGATAGTCGGTGTTATTATTTTTGGGCTCCTTTTCTGCTCATCCTCTGGGGGTGGGGTCGTAGAAGTTGAGAATGACGATATTTTGAACATTAAGAACGTCTTTTCCTGGGATCCTTGTTTTAAGGATGACATCTGAACCAAGGTGTGCTTTTTGTCAGAGGTTAGGAAGACTCGATCGACCTTAGCTTGGTCCAATGACCTTGTCGGATTTGATGGCAGGCTCAGATATAGTGGAAGCTCGAATGTGTATACACAGCTTTTGACTAGTGCCCAGTCCAAAATGTGGATGGCCAGAGGACCAAAGCCAATGACCAAAGCTGGGTCTTGAGGATGATTGATCCATTTGCGAGGACTCTTGGGCGCCTCCAATGAGTGTGTTATTGAGTAAGTAGTCAGTGAGATGACGTGTGTTGTTGAAGCATTGTGGACCAAAAGCTGGCTTGAATCCAGATGAAATAGTAATTGTAGAATGCCCCCCTGCTTGATCTCAACCTCAATTTTGGCTGCGGTCTCCACAATTGGGGCTGTAGCCCCAGCACCAGAACTTATTGACATTATGACGACTTGTTCATCTGAATCGGAGAAGGAGATATATCGACCATCCATACTCCAGGCGATCTGCTCGATGCTCACGACACCCTCGGAAATAAACAGATCCGCAATTTTACTCCCCTGTGCGTTGTGTAAACGTACAGTGCCTTTCTCCGTACCACAGCAATAAAGGCGACCTGTAGGAGAGCAGGCAAGTGCTGTGATGGCATCGATACTTTGAGATTTGCTCGTGTATGCGGTGGAACTTTGAGCAATGCTGTCCGCTTCACTCTCGTTATCTTTCCCTGTATGCTCCGCAAATTTCATCAGAGCATTTGGCTCCCAAGCGTTGGCATAATAGCCCCTGATATCATAAAAGCGGCGAAGGTCAGGACTGAATATCAGGCCAAGCACGTTTTCCTGAGATGTTAATTGATAAATAGGAGAGAAGCCGGAAGTTGTGAAGACTTTCACGGTACCACGCACATCACCGGTAGCGAAAAGTATACCATCTCTGCTGATCGCTAGTCTAGATGCCCCGGTGGCAATCTCGTCAACTTCATTCTCGTATGGGCGCCATTTGAAGACTACACCTTCAATGTAAAGACCAAGTAATTCTGGAGTATGTGGATGCCAGACAGCTTCGATTACTTCGCCCCTGCAAATCTCTTCCCGTTTTCTCCAGCAGTGGCCAATATGCAATTGTCCATCAATCTCCCATGCTGAAAGTGGGTGTCCTCGGTAAGCCACGGCAATCAGGCTTCCATCCCTATTTAAGGCCATATAACTCGATGAGTTCAAGTTGTGCCCTTCAAGCTCTTCCTCTTCCAGCTCGGCCACAAGCTGCCAAGTTGGAGAAGTGGATTGATTCAAATCGAGGGACCTGATCTTCCTGTCTTCGAAGCCAACAAAAAGCTCAGTGTTATTCTTGACGAAGAGCATAGCAAGTGGTCTAGGTCGTGATTGGAGCGTCTCCACGGATATCTTGCATTTCCCGGTAGCAGTCTCCCAGAATTTCACAGTCCGGTAGCCATACGTTGCAAACATTGTCGCAGTGCTGTTAAATTCCATCCTGTACACCCTCTCGCCATGTGTAAAGGGACTGAGTGCCGTTTCTTCAAAGGTAGAAGAGTCATACATGAAAATACTCCCCGGCGTTGCCAGAACCGCAACTTGAGATCCGACTGCCATGATGGATGATGAACGGGTGCCATACCCGAGGGACATACGTGCAAGTGAATCGTCCCAGCTGTCTGTTGATAGTCCTGACACCACCAAGCTCTTGGCCTCCACCTTGCCGAATAGCTGGTAGATTGAAGAATTTTGTGGGCAGAAAGGAGGTACAATTTTGTAGATCGACTCGGGATTTCGACGCAGATTTGTTCCAAACTTGCCGACGATCTTTAGAAGATCCACAGCCCAGCTTTCCAGAAGTTCTTGCTCCACGATTCGGCGTTCATTGCGTGCAGAATCATATACTTTTCGTTTGGCAGTGTACTTTGAAAGATTTTTCGATGCTTGGACAAGAACACGCAGCTGGTTACTGGTTGCAAGTGCATAAATCCAGGTTAAAACCCAATGGCCAGTGAAGAACTTCTTCATCACTTGGAATACCTGCTCACAATCGATTGGCGTCGATATGAGATGCGAGGACCACAAAGTCGCAGCATATTCGAGAAATTCGGGCTTTTGACTCCGGCCAAGCTTTGCTCGAAGACCGGGAGCCATGAGACACCGCATACAACTCAAGAACATTTGATGGTGAGCGGCATAGGGATCAAGGTGGAAAGGGTGGTCGTCGCTGCTGAGCAAGTATTCCCGAGCTGTTTGATGGACCATGTCAACATTACCACCATTGTCAATAACGACGAAGCCCCGGCATAGATCTATAACGGACCGCTGAAAGTCTAGCGATTCCAGCATTTCAGTCGTGTTCTGATCTAATGCCTGTGACAGTTCGGTAACAGTCAGCACCCGTAATGAACAGGTGACACATTGTAGAATGGTTGATGCAAACGCTCTATCTGTTACTGATAGACTCTGAGCGAGTGATCGTGCCATCCGATCATAAAGTGCTTCCATGCCAGCTGGTAATTCTTCGAGAGCGCGCTCAACGTCAGGGCGGGTGTGACACGTGTTCACTTTATCAACAACAAGTCGCACCCACTAAACAGTCAGTATTGCTTGATAAGTTAACCGGAAAGATAAACTTCTCACAAGGAAGTTGTTTTGTGCTCCTTCCACCAATCGCTCTACAATGCTCTCCTTGAATTCAGCACTACCAGACATGCTGAGTTCCTGACGAATATAACAGCGCATGTCTTCCAAGTGGCCTTCAATGCTAATAGAACGTAGATTCAGTGACTTCGGGACTTTCTGGAAAGCAGCCTCCATGTCCGAGGAATTTCGCCCCACAAGCAAGATTCGAATCGGTATCGAGGGCGAGGAGATGCTGGAAAGAAATCTAATAACTGCCCGGGGATCATCTGCTTCGTCAAGACCATCAATGATCCAATACAGTGGCTCCCGCTGTTCTTCCATATTGAAAAGTATTAGCTTGAAGATGCGTTCCCAAATGGTCCTCTGGTCGGCTGTTTCGAACTCGAAGCCTTCACCTTTAAGCTCAGTAATTTTGTGTGAGAAATCCGGCCAGGTTTGTGCGATCTGGTAGGCGATTGAGCGCAGCACCAAGCTTAGACACCGTTTCTTTTGATAGCCAAATCTGACGAAGAAGTATTGCACAGAGGCCCCCTGTTCCACAAGGTCATTAATAATGAAAGAGGATATCACAGACTTCCCTGATGCCGGCCCACCGTTTATCCACAGCAGGCGTGGTGACGGGCCCGGATCATGTACCCAATCGAGATATTTTTTATCTTGGAGGATCCAATCACTGGTCCCGTGAACCCATTGATCTCGAAAGAAGCTATAGTCCACGCCCGGCAGTTCCGTGATAGCCAACAAGGATTTCAAATCGTGTGATTCTCTTCGCGTTGTTGGAGGCCGCTTGTTCGCTGTACTTGAAATGATCTTGCTTATGATTGACTTCAAGACATTTCTGATAGTGATATAATTTGGGTCTCGAGGACTGTCGTACTTGCAAACGCCGTGGTGATCAGCGTCTAATGCCTTTGAGGTCTCCCCAGGGTACCCAAGCACAGAGGAGTCTTTTTCAAGTATCATAACTCGGGCATTCTTCAGTCCAATCGACGTTGGTCGAGTTTCATATAAGGAAACAATATCCAGCTTGGGTGCAATATGACGAAACTGCTCGTTGAGCTTTTGTAACGTAAACGAGTTCTTCGCGAGGTCTGATATATATTGCTTTGAATTTGTGACCATGGCAGATTGCAAGATACGGTTCAAAATATTGGCCAACTCCGTACCGCGATGTGGTGTGGCAAGAAAGGCGATTGCAGAAATGGCTTTGATGATGGATTCATATTCAGGATCGTTCTGACCTTGCATGTATGCTTCCTTCACGATAAGTCCTCCCATACTGTGGACAACAAATATCAGAGGCACGCTTCCCATGTTCAGGTCCTCCTTTTGCTCATCCTTCGCGTACTTGAGGTCAAAGAGCAGACCTTTGGCAAAGTCCAGTATCGAGGTGCCGACATTACCTGCTCTGTGGACGGAAGCATTGTATCCAAAAGTCAGAATCCTGGCCAGGCAGATATCTGGTTCGAGGGGCAGAAAAGTAAGCGGCCAGAAGAGGTCCGGATCTTTATCCTTCGACCATGTCATGCGACTAGTCCCTCCAAGGCCATGTAGGAAAACGATATCTGCCTTGTGTCCATTTTCTGGAGTATAGACGACATTTAAACCCAATGGGCCTGTTTCCGGCTGGCTGTTTTCATGAGGGTGCTGGCTCTCGGCAGCAGAGGTATTTGTTCGTAATGATATGGATTCAATATGCTCCTCGAGGGATGTGTCCGACGAGCCGAAGTTGGGCTTGCTGGATTCTGGTGCGCTCTGGTGAAATCGCGGCTCATGAGCTTCATCGCCCCGTTTTTTCCCCAGGCGTACGAGTTTCCGGAACTGGAGAACAGTGAATCGTTAGTCACTTTGTGTCTCATGGGACAGGCGCAGAGGACTAACCATGACAGTCTGGATTGCAGGTGCAAGTGTAAGGTTGCATGATGTTGCCACAGCATTGGGCTCTGGATGGACTCGGGGCGGAGTTCATGAGTTGAGAGACACGAGGCTGGAAGACCGCCAGGAAACCGCCCCGAATCAGCCCGTAGTCATCCCCGGGGTTCCATTGGAGCAATTGAAGCGCTTGGAGTTACTCGTGCCGCCCATAAGTATCGCGAACTCGCTTAACCGATACCCCGCACCAAAACACGTCCCGCATCAAAAACATGCGAATTCGCATTTCGCCCGGAACTTTAATAATTAATTACTCCATAACCACTTATCCAAATAGAATAATATAAAATTATAAGGTAGAATCAATTATGGTCTTGAGCTTGTATAATTCAGTTTTTTTTATCTAAAGCGTTATGGTAGCGTAATTATACGCGTACTTGATTTCGCCTGTACTACCCCCCAATGTGACTACCTCACTAATTTGGGCAATTACCCCCTGCTATACCACTACCTTTGCAAGGCGTCTAGCCTTACTAGGTACTTTCCGCTTAGTTAACACTACTGGAGCAGCTTTTTTTTGCCTTTGGAGCAGTAGAAACTGGCTGCTTCTTTGGTGCTCTCTTGACGGGCTTGTTAGCTAGCTCCAGGTCCTCCGCTAATTGCTTCTGGACAGCCTTAGCCTCCCTATCTGCCGCCTTTTTTGCCTTCTCCTGTTTATTTCTAAGGGCGTTTGCAGCCCTTGGATCTTTCTTTCCAATTTAGCTTCCTCCTCTGCGATTCTTATCCTCTCCTTCTCTTCTTGGTACTCCCTAGCCTTAATAACCTTCCCAGAAGAGTAGTAATTAATTAGATCCTTATTTGCCTCGCTAGCAAGATTCAAACGAATGCCCTGGTAATCCTTCTTCTTTTAAAGCTTAATTACGTTATATAAACCTCGATTTTCGTACTCCAGAATAAAGACTCTTACAGCAAGATAAAGTATAGTTAAGAAAATTGTCTTAATTTTCTTAATTATAGATTCTTTATTATATACTTAATAAAATTAATAAATTAATTTTGCAGATCTCAGAGAATGTAATTTACTTGTCTTTTTAGGTAATACAAGTATAGAGCGGGTAATAGTCTTAATAATAAAACTTTTATTAATTGGCTATATTTCTAATTTGCGAAATACTAATTAGATTTTTTTTTAATAAATGCCTTGTTTTAAGATCTTTTAAACTTTGGCTAAAAGAAGCTTTTACTTATTATAATATATTTGCTTAATTTATTTATTATTATATTAAGTTCCTAAAAGTATATAGTTAATAATAATTAAAAGAGTTTAATATTAAGAAATTTGTTACAGACCAGGCCTTTATATAAAGAAAACTAGTAGTTTTGATATATAAAGAAATAACTAAGGAGAGAAAAAGAAAGTCTCACTTTCTTACAAGCTAAATATATACGGGCCATGTACTATATGCCCCTATAGCCATAGTAATAAAGGTCACATAACTGAGTCACATGACCGAGTTCAAACTACGGGTTTAACCCGTTACAAAATTAAAACTAATAAGTTATATATAAAAATAAAATTAATAAAATTATACTATATTAATATAATTTAAATATCTATTAATAATAATAAGATATTTTGGCTTTAAAATATATTTAAATAATATACTAAATTATTATATATAATTCAAAAATAAGCCTTTAAATTAATTATAACTTTATTAATTTATATACTTATAAGAGTTTCTAATTTGCTTTTATATATTAAAAATAATAATATTTATTTTCTAATTATAAATATATAAGCTAAAATATTAATAAACTCGCAATTTTTATCTTACTTTAATTTAGTAATTTAATCTAACTTTAGAATAGCTTTAGTTATAATTCTTTTAAAAATTACTTATATTTTATTAAGAACCTCTTTTTATTAACGTTATATATATTTTTAATTTTAATTATTATAATTATTATAATATATAATACTAGTAGAAATTAGACTAGAACTAGCTAGATATATAAAGCTAAAATCGGAAAACATAAATCGAGATTATATATTATAAGCTTAAGCTAGTATATAAGCCTATATATAGCTTGTAATTATTTAGATCTAAGACTTTTTTAAAATTCTCTTCTTTTTTTTTAGCTTTAAATTATTAAAATAGAGATAGTCTAATTTTGCTTTCTAGGCCCTAGATTTTATATTTATAATATAATTTAAAGCTTATTTATTTCTTAATTTTATAGAGAATTTAAATAAGATTTATCTAATTAGTTTTTAATAAATATAAATATAATATACTATAGCTATTTTTATATTAATTAACTAATATTAGAATAAAAAAAGCTCTAGAATAGCTAGGCAAAAAAGCTTTAAATTAGTTAAATAAGTAAATAGACTAATTTAAAGCTTTTTTTTAAAGAAAATATAAAAAAGGAAGTTCTAAAATAATTAAGTAAATTAAAAGAAGCTATAATATAAGATATTACTAATATATTATTAGAAAATAGACTAGAGCCTTTTATTAAGTCTTTTAAAAATTCAAGTATTTTATTAATATTTATAATAAAAAAAATACTTTTTTTTTAGAAAATAAAGAAAAAAAAGAGAAATATTTCATTAAAAGCAAAATTTCAAGAGTTATTTCGAAATTTAAAGGCTTTATATAAAGAAATTATTAAGCTAATTCTAAAAATATATAATATTTTTATTTATAGTAAGAATTATTATAATTAGCTAAAAGAAATTAAGTAAATACTATAAAAGAATAAAGCTATTATTAAGAAACTTATTATATAATTTAGTAAAATAACTAGTTTTCTTATTTTAGAAAATAAATATTTAATTAAATTTTTTAATTCTTTTATTTTTAAAAATATAATTAAAAATAATAATATTTTTAATAATTAATTAGTTTAAATTAAAATTAAGCTTTATAATAACTCTAATATTTATTAAATAAAGAATTTTAAAATTATTTATATATTTGGCTATATAAATAGCTATATTTTTATACTAATTTCTTTTTATTTAAACTAAAATAATTAATATATATATATAAGATTATTAAAGAACTATATATTTATTTAAAGAAACTATATAATAATTCAAATAAGAAATATAATATTTGGCAAGTATTTAAGAAACTATTTATAAAAAAGAACTAAATCTTTTAAAAGTTTTATATTTTATTTTTGAAATATATAATAAATAGAAATATTAATTTATAAGACTTTAAAAATAATTTAAATAATAAGTTTATTTAAAAGCTTTAAAGGCTATAGCTATATATTATAATAATCCAGCTATTTATATTATAGAATTTAAATAATATTATATTATAAATAATTAGTAAATCTAAGCTTACTATAAAAAGAAAATTAAATATTTAAAAAAGCTAATAAAAATATAAATAAATTAAGTTTAGGAAATGCCTTTTATATAAAGCCTGCTTTTAAAACTCTAGTAATAAATAAGTCTATTATTCTAAAGCCCGAATTCTTTAATTTTAAATACTATAACTATAATAAATTTGGTTATATATTTAGGAATTATTTAGAGCCTAAAATAAAGTATATAAAGCAAATTTTAGTAATTAAGCTAATAGTATTTATTATAAGTAAGCTATTTAAAGATATAAAATAAAAAAATAATAATTTCTAAAAGAAGTTTTTTTAGAGGTATATTATATTAATATAATAAAAATTAATTTAAGCTAGCTACTTAAAAGTAATATATTTATATTTTCTTATATAATTAGTAATAATAGATTAGATATAAAGACTTTTTTATTAATATTAAAATAAATAAATAAATAAATAAATAAATAAATAAATAAATAAATAAATAAATAAATAAATAAATAAATAAATAAATAAATAAATAAATTTTAAATATTAAGCCTATTTAATTAATATTATTTTATAATATAAAAGAGTTTAATAATAAATAAGCTATATTTATTATTTATTATATTAAGCTTATATTTTTAATTAATAAATAGAAAGTTTTAATATTTATATTAATTATAAAATTAGATAAATATAATATAATTTTAAAATAATAATAGTTTATAAATACTAATATTCTAATTAATTAAAAGAATAAAAGATTAATTTGGCCAAATAATTAGCCTAGTAAAAAGAATTAAAATATAATTCTAATTATTATTTATAAGAATTTGAAATCTGAAAAAAATAATTAGTATTAAAAAAATATAAATAAAAGAAATAAAGCTATAGCTATAAATAAGTTCTAAAGACTTTAGATTATAAAAAGAAAATCTTCTAATTCTTTTTATAAGCCTAGCTTAAGAAGTTATATATAGTAAAAGAATTAAGCTTAATTTTATAAAGAAATATAAATAGTTTTAGAAAATATAAAGATTTCTTTTAAGCTAAAAACAGAAATATTAAAGCTATATTATTTAAAGAAAAGCTTTAAAAGCTAGTTAAGGCTTATAGTTAATATTATAGAAATCTTATTAGTTATTTTTTAAATAAATCTATAGAAAAAGAAAAATCTTTTCTTTATAATATTATTTTTTAAAATTAATAAAAAGCTAGAATTATTATAGTTATTATAATATATAATACTAATAGGAATTAAACTAGAACTAGAAAGATATCTGGTATCTAAATATAGTATTTATAATTATCTAATAATTATATATAACCTCGAGCTTAAGCTAGTATATAGGCCTATATATAGCTTATAATTATTTAGATTCGAGAAGTATATCTCTTTTAAGTCTCTTTTAAGATCCTCTTCTCTCTTTAGCTTTAAATTATTGGAATAGAAATAGTTTAACTCTGCTTTTTAGGCCCTAGATCTTATACTTATAATATAATTTAAAGCTTATCTACTTCTCAATTCTATAAAAGATTTAAATAATATCTATTTAATTAGTTTTTAATAAGTATAAATATAATATACTATAGCTACTTCTATACTAGTTAACTAATATTAGAATAAAAGAAAGCCCTGGACTAACTAGATAAATAAAGAGGCCAGTAATTTTATTACTAAAAAAAATATAAAAAAAGCAAGTTCTGGAATAACTAGGCAAGTTAGAAGAAGCTATAGTATAAAATACTACTAGTATATTACTAGAAAATAAACTAGAGCCTTTTATTAAGTTTTCTAAAGAATTCGAGTATTCCGTTAAT